TAAAAATAAATTTTATATTGATTTTTTAAGTACTAGATATGGAATTTCGGTAACTTTTCGGTAGAATCTTTTCTCCCTACAACATATGTACTTCCTAGTGAAGCAAGCAGTGATACGAAACCTATCATCATTCAATGTATTCACGGTGCGTGTGTCAGGTCCATCGTTGTAGTGAGAGGAGCTTCAACAGTGACTGGGACTTGTGACCCAGGTGTAGGTTTAATATATATAGAGAGACGAAACCTCTCATCATTCAATGTATTCACGGTGCGTGTGTCGGGTCCATCGTTGTAGTGAGAGGAGCTTCAACAGTGACTGGGACTTGTGACCCAAGTGTAGGTTTAATATATATAGAGAGACGAAACCTCTCATCATTCAATGTATTCACGGTGCGTGTGTCGGGTCCATCGTTGTAGTGAGAGGAGCTTCAACAGTGACTGGGACTTGTGACCCAGGTGTAGGTTTAATATATATAGAGAGACGAAACCTCTCATCATTCAATGTATTCACGGTGCGTGTGTCAGGTCCATCGTTGTAGTGAGAGGAGCTTCAACAGTGACTGGGACTTGTGACCCAGGTGTAGGTTTAATATATATAGAGAGACGAAACCTCTCATCATTCAATGTATTCACGGTGCGTGTGTCGGGTCCATCGTTGTAGTGAGAGGAGCTTCAACAGTGACTGGGACTTGTGACCCAAGTGTAGGTTTAATATATATAGAGAGACGAAACCTCTCATCATTCCATGTATTCACGGTGCGTGTGTCAGGTCCATCGTTGTAGTGAGAGGAGCTTCAACAGTGACTGGGACTTGTGACCCAGGTGTAGGTTTAATATATATAGAGAGACGAAACCTCTCATCATTCAATGTATTCACGGTGCGTGTGTCGGGTCCATCGTTGTAGTGAGAGGAGCTTCAACAGTGACTGGGACTTGTGACCCAAGTGTAGGTTTAATATATATAGAGAGACGAAACCTCTCATCATTCAATGTATTCACGGTGCGTGTGTCGGGTCCATCGTTGTAGTGAGAGGAGCTTCAACAGTGACTGGGACTTGTGACCCAGGTGTAGGTTTAATATATATAGAGAGACGAAACCTCTCATCATTCAATGTATTCACGGTGCGTGTGTCGGGTCCATCGTTGTAGTGAGAGGAGCTTCAACAGTGACTGGGACTTGTGACCCAGGTGTAGGTTTAATATATATAGAGAGACGAAACCTCTCATCATTCAATGTATTCACGGTGCGTGTGTCGGGTCCATCGTTGTAGTGAGAGGAGCTTCAACAGTGACTGGGACTTGTGACCCAGGTGTAGGTTTAATATATATAGAGAGACGAAACCTCTCATCATTCAATGTATTCACGGTGCGTGTGTCGGGTCCATCGTTGTAGTGAGAGGAGCTTCAACAGTGACTGGGACTTGTGACCCAGGTGTAGGTTTAATATATTTAGAGAGACGAAACCTCTCATCATTCCATGTATTTACAGTGCGTGTGTCGGGTCCATCGTTGTAGAGAGGAGCTTCAACAGTGACTGTGACTTGTGACCCAGGTGTAGGTTTAAGGGACCCCTATCTAACGTTAAACGCTCACCTCCACCGTCCAAGCTCCTCTCTCTTAACCGATTTGTTTCGTTTACAAATAAAAATCATAGAAATAAATATTCTAAAAGATTATCAAAAAATATATCTTTACGAATTCATTAAAAGTTTTTTACTATATTTAATATAATTAGGGAACTTATATTTTATTTTTTTTAGTACTGTCACATTAAATTATCGAAAGGCAAGGAAAAGTCTAAATGATAATGCCTTGAAATTCGTTTATTTATCCTGTACTAAGTACATGCTTTATAAATATCCTTACCACAAGTCTCACAAAACTACAAAAACATCGTTTTCCGGTTTACGAATATCTTTTGCGAGCATTTACGAATTATAACTGTTTTCCCTCAATATTAGTGTGACGACGCAAGCATTATGAATAGACTTCTACCTGGCAATTTCCCAGCTTTAGCCAGGGTCTGCCTTACATGTTGTGAATAGTTTTGGCTAATTGTTTTTACGACCGTTCGCCTGCCTGACATCAACCCTCTTTGGGAATGCATTAATCAGTGATGTCTAAATACTCTTATAAAGTACATATGACTCGGAGAAATCACATTGGTACTTGCCAGGATCGAACCCGTGCCCTCATGCATGAGAGGCGGACCTTTTAACCACTAGGCCACCACTGACTTATTTACTTTTATAATCAATATAAATAAATAAAATTCTAGTGTCTGTTTGTAATATTGAAATAACAGTTTTTCACTACATGCATATAAATATGTATACGGTACATACACCAAAATAAGATTGTGTTACAATTTTAATCTATCTGTCTGTTCGGGCTAATCTCTGAAATGACTGGACCGATTTTGACGGGACTTTTATTGGCAGGTAGCTGATGTAATAAAGAGTAACTTAGGCTGCTTTTTATCCCCATCCCGAAATTAAGTAATCACGCTCGAGTGGGATTCGGTGTGCACGCGGCGCTTAAAAGATTTTTCTTTGTTTATTTTCTCTTTTTTTTGCGCAGACGAAGTCGCGGGTAACAGCTAGTACTTAAAACCAAGGCTTCATTCGCACTGGAATCGTATAATATTTTGCCAACTTCAACGGTTTTATTTGTTGGACGAATTATAATCTTGAGTACTGTGTGGAAACACGTAGGAGTTTTTCGAATGGTTTAAAGACGTTTATTTATTTCTTGTTCTTCCTGGCAATTTCCTAGCTTTAGCCAGGTTCTGTCTTACATGTTGTGAATAGTTTTTGGCTATTTGTTTTTACGACCGGCCGCCTGCCTGACACCAACCCTCTTTTTAGCAACCGCTTGATCATGATGCTAAAAGAGGGTTATGTTTTAAAGGCACCAATGTGTGGATGATTTATTCGTCTTGATTTGACATACTTGCACAAATAAGACACATACAAATAAGCGAAATCGTAAAGTGTTAAACATTAAATGTCATTTTACTAGTAAATTCACGAAATTATATAGTTTTTGTTGAATTTAATAAAACTTTTAATTTTTATATATACAGGGTGACTGGTGAATTACTATCGATATTTGAGGACGTGATATTTGACGATCATATATGACAAAATAAAAATTAATATGACATAAATATACGCATACATACATACGCGTGTCGTGACGTGGTGTTGTATCAGCACGCCGCCGCACGCGTCCACACTTGAACACTTGGAACGTGTCAACACTTTATTTATTTATACGGAAATTTTGACAAAAATTAAGTGCCTATTTTTTTTACATAATTCGAATGAGAATCATGTACCGAGTATTCTCCTTAAATATTGATAGTAATTCACCAGTCACCCTGTATACCTACCAATAAATAATTATAATTGTTACTTAGATAATAATCGAAAGGTAATATATAAATGTATATAAAATATGTCACAATATATAAAAGATTTTTTTTGTATTTTTTATGTAATTCTTCTTATAATCTTTTACATAATATAACAGTCTTACTTGTATATAATATTTTTCCTTGTATTTTGTGTTTTTTTTGACAGCTCGAGTTTTATTGACAAACCTTGACTTATGTTTAATTTTGCCAATTGTAACTAACTACTAGTTTCTAACGTCAACTTAAAAGTTTAAATATACTATCACGTTTTTTATTATCGTATTTTCCAAAACTAATACTAAGTTAAACGACCAAATTATGAAAGTTACGTAAACCGATAACCTTCTGGGAAATCCACGGAATTTTGAAGTATGGGAATTCCGTTTGTTTAGATAGAAAATTATCTGAATGTAGGTTAAACTTATGTATGTACACACACACACACAGTTAAGTCAGTGGTGACCTAGTGGTTAAAAGGCCCGCCACTCATAAACGAGGGAGAGGTTCGATCCTGGCCCGGGCAAGTACCAATGTGATTTTTCCGAGTCATAATATTTACTTTCTAAGAGCATTTAAACATCACTGATGAATGCATTCCCAAAGAGGGTTGATGTCAGGCAGGCGGCCGGTCGTAAAAACAATTAGCTGAAACTATTCACAACATGTAAGGCAGACCCTGGCTAAAACTGGGAAATTGCCAGGTAGAAGAAGAAGATATAATCAATTGAAATAATATTTATCAATACCAACTTACGTGTTACATACAAAGGTCATATTTCGACCTCGCAATTCGGGATTCCCGCCAATTAAACAAGGATAATATAAAGTTTATTTATACTTAGAATTAAGAATTAAATTATATTCATAGGGTGGCTGCCGGTGGTTTCAGGAAAACTTATATGTATATTATAATAAGAATTACATATTAAAACTTATAACCTACACCTAAGACTACATGATTGACCCGATGTTATGATAGCAATACCATTCCATAGCTTGTGTGTATCAGGAATCTTCTGGTTCACACGGCTTGGTGTTCGTTCCGCGGAGTCAGCGGCGTCACTCGTTATTTTATACATACAACGATTTTGCCCCGGTGATGTTCATTTATTTCTTAATATTTAGCGCCTACGTAACAATTAATTACAATATTGTAATACTTTTGTTATTTTTGTTACTATACTTATTAGATAAAATAAAGATCATAGTAGAAGATATAAAGTTCGCAAAACCTAAATAACAAAATGTTATTGACCTATTTACATTCGTCGATACTTAAAACTGTTCGTGAGGAGTTTTACCCTTGGTACGCGTTTCGACCCTGGCAAGTACCAATGTGATTTTTCCGAGTCATATGTACTTTATAAGAGTATTAAGACACCACTGAGTGATGAAGGAAAACATCGTGAGGAAACATGGACTTATAATTTCACAATTATTAGTTTGAAATCACCAACCCTATTGAGCAAGAGTGATGATTAATGCTCAAATCTTTTCCATGTGAGAAGAGGCCTTACAGCAGTTGGCTCTAATAGGCTGATGATGATGACGTGTTTTTAATACGAACTATATATTTGTTTCAGATGTTAAAGATAGTCCTTATCATAGCCCTGGTGGGTTCTGTATACACGCAGGATGATAAGGATTTGGATTCAGTGATAGAGTCTATATTCGGCAAGCCATCTTCCACGGAAGCTCCCTTCATCAATGTGAAGAAACCTTCAACAATAGTACCTCCAGTCAACAAACAAGGTAACATAAACAAAAATGACAGTTGTTTGAGATGAAAACAAACAGCGTAAATTGTATTCCTATGTTTTATTATAAAGTTTTTATATAAAACTAGTTTTTACATTCGACTTCGTCTGCATTAATTTCGGCATTAGTAATATATGTACAGCTGAACAGGCGAACTCTATTCCGCCCTAGAGGCCGTGAATAAGCAGATATTGGAGTTTATTAAGTTTTTCTTGTGTTTCGATCGAACAGTATTAAATATCCTATGTTCGTCTCCTGGTTCTAATCTATCTCTCCGCCAATATTCAACCATATCCCTACAGCCGTTCTTGAGTTATAAATAGTGTAACTAACACGACTTTCTTCTATATCTAGACTAGAAATATAGTTTTTGAAATAGATCTCATCTAACCAAGAGTGTTAATTCCTAGTTTTAACGCAATTATTTTCATATTTCTGTTTTGTTTGTAAATGTATAGTCTAATTACTTCTTCTTCCTGGCAGTTTCTCAACTTTAGCCAGGGTCTACCTTACATGTTGTGAATAGTTTTGGCTAAATGTTTTAACGTCCGTCTTTCTGTCTGACATCAACTCTCTTTGGGAATAAATATAGACTAATTAAGTGATTTTGCGGTAATCTTGTTCACAGATACAGAGAATCAGCCGTGTCAGACTGAAGATGGTAAGGAGGGTCGCTGTCTGAGACGCTTCCTGTGTAACTCAAACAACACAGCCATAGATGACGGAGTAGGCATCATAGATATAAGGTGAGAACAAACATTGGAGATTAATAAGAACAAAGACAGCTGTATAACTGTTTGCCTCTAAGTGTTGTCTATTCAAAATCTTCTATCTTCTATATATATAAAAATGGATTGCTGTTCCTTAGTCTCGCTAAAACTCGAGAACAGCTGAACGGATTTATCTTATCTTAGTCTTGAAATGTTCGTGGAGGTTCAGGGAAGGTATAAAATCTGAAAAAAATTGATTCATTACTGGGAAAACCATAAAAACAGCCCTTTTCTATTACCCATACAAACGTTTTTTTGACATTAGATTTGACAACTAACTAATATGTCAATTATTCTGTCACACTTCAAAACACGGAAATTTATGGCTTACAGGTAAACTCCAAAAATATAAATAAAAAAACGTAATAGATATTTCTTGATTATCGGGCGATAAGAAGTTCGCCAGGTCTTCTAGTCTCTAAATATATCTAAAAAACGATTAAGAACCCATAAATTAGATGATTTCACTAATCTCGTTTAATATCACTACTGTTTATTATTTTTAATATCTTAATTGTAGTTAAAAATGTAAAATTTCCTTAGTAAGCGAACTTTGTTCTTTTTGGAAATAAACTTCTTTAAACCTAGATTTAGACATTCACATCTCGTCTGCCCGTGATCACGGTTGCTGTAAAGTAGCCGAAACGTCGAGAGTATGTAGTTTATAATCAAAAATAAAATCGCGTAGTTATAGAAAATATCAGTTTCATTTAAATGATTCGCGAAAATCTTAGATATCATTACTGAGATTCAATCCCCAAATACCATTTATATTACAAGTTGTTGCTACATATAATTTTAGGAAAAATATAGCCTATATGCTTGTGTGTGAGTCGTGATATTTTTTGTAATGGTTTTTTTACAATTAATACATTATATAAATAATATATCATTATTTACTTCTTCTTTACATAAATTCTGACTAAACCACAATCATTTCTTCAAATGTTCTCAAAAGGAATTAATACTTTGAACCATAAAAACGGCGTATTTAACAAGTTTTTTCTTTTTAACAGAGTTCAGGCAGATCAATGCAGTTCCTACTTGGACGTGTGTTGCAACGTGCCTGACGTGAGGCCACCAGACAATCCCATTACCCCAAAACCACCGAAAATCAGGGTAAATACGAAAAAAATAACAAAGAAATACTATTCCTGTACACATTGCTATAGTTAGAACAAGTAATGTGTATTATTTCGACTTGTTGGTCCCATAATATTAAAATTATCGCATAACTAGCGAAAAAAAGACTTCAATTTCGTAATATTAAAAAGAAATCAGTTTTGACGTAATATTTCTCTGGAAACATTAAACTTAACTGTTTTTCTCGACTATAAATTTTCCTCTAACGACGTTTTTCTTTGAAACCTGTAAACTTTACTGTTTATTTGGACTTTAAATTCTGTGAAAATGACCGTTCATTTGGACTAAAAATTTTCTGAAAACTTTAAAGTTAATTGTTTTTTTTTGTGACCATGAAGGAAGGTTGCGGATGGAGGAATCCCGAGGGTATTGGCTTCAAGACGATCGGGGATGTTGACGGGGAGAGCAAGTTCGGAGAATTCCCCTGGATGGTCGTCATAGTTAAGTGAGCTGCCTACATATATAATGATATATACGCTTGATTTGCTTATTTCATAACCAGTAACATATATATATATATATACATATATCATCATTAGAAAAGTCATATGTCAGTGGTGGCTCAGTGGTTAAAGGGCCCGCCTCTCGTCGCCGAGGGCGCGGGTTCGATCCTGGCCCGGGTAAGTACCAATGTGATTTTTCCATATGTACTTTCTAAGAGTATTTAGACATCACTGATTAATGTTGATTCCCAAAAGAGGGTTGATGTCAGGCAGGCGGCCGGTCGTAAAAACAAATAGCCAAAAACTATTCACAACATGTAAGGCAGACCCTGGCTATAGCTGGGAAATTGCCAGGTAGAAGAAGAAGAAGATCATCATTAGAAAAGTGATAAAAATCGTTTTGAACCATATATACAAACTAGTGTAATAAATTTTATGTATAATATTAATGAAATACGTAGAGATATTGTCTATGGATATACGCGAAAGAAATTTGTCTTTTTTATCTTTCTTAATCTTTCATACTTTTGGATATAACTCCTATGTACTAAATTTGTCACGATCTTCTTATGTAATGTAGAAGTTATCTATGAGCCAAATTTATAATAACTCATCCACAATAATGATTACGGAGGTGGGTGTAACATTAAAAAACAAAAAAACGGATATATATTTAGGTTCCTAACAAAATCATTTAAAAATATAATAGTCTTATAAAGCCTGTACTTTTAAATAAGAAATCAAACCTTAACTAGAACCAACTAATTGTTATCTTAAACCAAACCACCTTATATAAGTTGAATTCAATTTACAAACACAAATCGCGTCGACAAATACTTTCCCTCGTAAAAGTGAACAAACCAAACGTCACTTCGGGTGCGAGAATTTAAAGGTTCGGTTCAAATTAAATGTGTGTTGTTTAAATATACATATATATATATATATATATATATATATATATATATATATATATGTATATTCTCAATTAATATTAACCATAAATCCCAACAGCTCATTTATTTAGTTTATATACCAAATCATCCCAATGCGTTAATAGTACCGATTACGTTGATCCCAGAATCGAAGCTGATCCTGAAGGCCACAAGCTCAACATGTACGTCGGAGGCGGCTCGCTGATACATCCCAGTGTTGTTTTGACAACAGCACACACAGTCGCAGCTGTGCCGTCACCTAGAGTTCGCGCTGGGGAGTGGGATACACAGACGTCCAAGGAAATATACCCGTTCCAAGATAGAGATGTTGATTCTATAGTTATACATAAAGACTACAATCATGTCAAAAGTGAGTTTTCATTTTAGTATGCATGTGGGACTAAACTCGAAGTTTTTTTAACAGCTTCGCTCACGTGGAGTTCGGTTATATCGCGTTTCCAAGAGAACCTTTCAAAAATCTGGGATAAAAACTATCCTATGTTCTTTCTCAAGGTCAACTCTATGTCTGTACCAAATTTCATTAAAATCTGTTCAGTGGTTTAGCCGTGGAAGCGTAACAGACAGACAGAGTTACTTTCGCATTTATAATATTATTAAGGATATTAAGGATAAGCTGACCCGGCAAACGTTGTTTTAAATATAAAACATAGGGGTTGGTGATAAAAAATAGAAAAATATTGTATGTATATTTTAATGCTACGTTATAAAAAAATGAAAACAAAAATTTCGTCTGAAAGTAATTAAAAATTAATGGAGAACAAACCTTATGACTTAGGTATGAAAATAGATGTTGACCGATTCTCAGACCTAGTCAATATGCTCACAAAATTTCATCAAAATCAAAGCCGTTTCGTAGTTCTTTGTCTAACACCGCGACACGAGAATTTTATATCCCTACTAATATTATAAATGCGAAAGTAACTCTGTCTGTCTGTCTGTTACGCTTTCACGCCTAAACCACTGAACTGATTTTAATGAAATTTGGTACAGAGATATAGTTGACCTTGAGAAAGAGCATAGCATAGTTTTTGTAACAGACTTTTGAAAGGTTCTCTTTAAAACGCCATATAACCGAACTCCACGTGGACGAAGCTGAGGGCGGAAAGCTAGTATAATATAAATCTTTTCAAAATTTGTATTCATAAACCTCAGTACGATATCAATGAAGAAAGTGTGAAAACATTTAGTTTGACAGTGAGTAAAAGATCGGTATTTTTAGATTAACTTGATACTGAGTAAGCTTTGCATATTTGTTTCATCACATTACCTACGGAGTTTTAATAGTTTTTCATACATAAGTCTTTTTATATTATTAAAGTTTGTTATTGAATGAAGAACTGGAAACGCAACGTATGTACAATAGTATTTTCGCATGCGTAAAAATATATTATAATAAAGTTAGTTTTTGACCATTTTTTGTACCTCTAAACTATTTCTCAACAGCTTTTGGATAAACAATATGAGTTTATTATTTAAAGCAAAAAAATATTTATTTAACGTTACATTAAAAATTTAAAACCAAATCGCACTGTAAGTGAAGAACAGTCAGAAAGCAAAACTATGTTATTATAACTGAATGCTATCCGTACGTATCTTAGATCCTAAATATGTTATACAGGGTGTATGAAAAACTGTGTCAACCCTTGAAGGCATGTATACATATAGGTATAAGCTTATTATAAAAAATAGTATAACTTAAAAAAAATCAAGCAGAGGTCAGTTACAGTGCATAGGCTAAATAAGTTTAAAATCGACATTATTTGAAAAAATGTTTCAAACATCTGACGCAATACAAGGTCAAGGCCCCGTATCGTCGCGAAGACGCATGCGCGGCCTTTGATCGCAGGCGCCGGCCGCCGGCGTGGCACACTCGTCTTTTGTTAGTGTTTATTAGGTAAGTATCGATAAATATTCTATCGACATTTTCAATATTGCTATAAGTAGTTATGCTTTTCTTTAGTCATTTAAAGTAACTTTTATAAATAATAAATATTATTAATCAATATTATAATTTGGAACTTCTTCAGGTAAATTAACTATGTTGTATTATAAGATAAATCGTTAATCTACTTCTGTTAATAATGGTGTTTTACAATCAAAAATAATATTAATGTTTGATATATCAAAATAAGTATCGAAACAATGTAAATATTAAATATTTATTTATTGTTATGATTTTTTAAAAATCGATATTTCATTTATCGATATTTTTTATTCGAGCCTATGCCGCCCTTTTAATAAAAATAATTTATTAGTTAGTTCCTCGTGGAAATTTCTACCGAGCGGATTACTTTTTGGTTACGGTTTTATCAAATTGTGTTGTTTTATAAAATGTACTCCAACCAGGAATATTTCAATATGTTAATGTATCTAGGGAAATGTGATTGTAATTATGCGGAATCGCGTAGACTTTATGACGAACTGTTTGCTTCTGCAAGAAACATACCATTACCGTCACTTAAGGCATTTCAGCGTCTTCATATACGCATGTACAATTTCGGAAATGTCGATGGCCGTGAACAACAACGTGCTAATGCGGGAAGGCCGAGGGTTGATAATGACGATCTAGAGGAACACATATTAGATATTTTTCGACAGGACCCTACGGAAAGCACGCGCTCTGTGGGACATCAACTCGGTGTCAACCATACGCATGTATGGAAAGTTTTAAAGGAAAATGGCCAGCACCCGTACCATTATAGTCGAGTACAGTTATTGATTCCTACCGACTTCGAGCCTAGAATGGCATTCTGCAGATGGATTTTTAAACGAAAACGATGAAGACAGTGAGTTCTTGAGCCGTATACTTTTTAGTGACGAGTGTACTTTTGCTAGAACAGGCGTATTTAACACGCACAACGAACATGTATGGTCAGTCACCAGCCCACATGTTACTAAACCTAGCTATTTCCAACATCGATGGAAAATTAATGTTTGGCTCGGTATTATTGGTGACAAAATAATAGATGTTATTATTAACTATAATTAAAGTGTTATTTTAAATTGATTTTTAAAATAGTGAAACGTGAAATATTTGAAAAAAAGTGGTATCAGTGAATCGTTAAAGTGATTAAACAATCAAAATAATGTGAATGTACGTTTGACTTAGAGGCCATAAATAACCAGATATTGTAATTTATTAAGCTTTTATCGATCGAACAGAATTAAATCCTATGTCCGTCTCCTTGTTCTAATCTATCTCTCCATCTATTTTCAACCAAACCCGTACAGCCGTTCTTAAGTTATAAATAGTGTTACTAACACGACTTTCTTTATACTTTGTATATATATATTTTAATTAAATATATTAATTTTCAGAGAACCTTTTCTACGACATCGCTCTGCTATTTCTCTCTTCGCCAATGGATACCAATATTCCCAACGTGGGCCTGGCCTGTCTTCCGCCTCCAAGGCTTGTCACTCCTGGTGGCGTAAGATGCTTCGCCAGCGGCTGGGGTAAAGACAAATTCGGCAAAGAAGGTCGCTACCAGGTCATATTGAAGAAGGTTAGTGTATATTAAAAGTTGCCGTCACATTTATAGAAGAGCCTAGCTGTGGTCAAATTACTGCAAATAAAATGGGCTGACTCGACCGGTGAAGTACCACCCTCTCACAGAAGATCGGCGTGAAGTAGTCTTTAATGGCTGCGTTTCGTCCGATGAGTGAGAGAGACGGTTGCTCTTACCCTGTTCCCATCCATTCCCATATTTTCCTTATTCCCACCCTTCCGTCGACAGTATAGTGATGAACTCTTTATGTTGCAGTTACTTTTGTATTTAAAATATCGTATCTGAACATACTGTTTGGAAATTCTTGAATTCTAAGTTCGATTCCTGGTTCTGTCGATAATTTTTCATTTGATTTTTTAAATATATTATCATTAAGATACATTAAAATGTTTTAATTATAATAATTTTAAACATTCATGAATGTTCACGTATATATATGTGTGTGTAAGTCGTTGTAGTGTGCGTGATGCTTATTTTATATTATAATAGCTTTCCGCCCGCAGCTTCGCCCGCGTGGAGTTCGGTTATATCGCATTTCCAAGAGAACCTTTCAAAAGACTGGGATAAAAACTATCCTATGTTCTTTCTCAAGGTCAACTCTGTCTGTACCAAATTTCATTAAAATCAGTTCAGTGGTTTAGGCGCGAAAGCGTAACAGACAGACAGACAGAGTTACTTTCGCATTTATAATATTAGTAGGGATAATATATAGTATTTAACACATTATATATAAATATTAGCCAAATATATGTTATACTTCGATTGTGTAATATACTTTGAAGATGGACATATTACATACTCAATGTCAGACGCCTTTCAAGGCCTTTCTATTTCGTTTGGGTCAAGGTCGAGTTACGAATAATATTGCTTTGTTTGTAGTATTAATAAAAAATATTATCTAAGACTTTAGTATCTACCTATTTAAAAGAAACTTTATTTTATGGAAATTACGTGTTTTTGTTTTTATATCCACATGAATCTAACGTTTTGGTTTTATCTCGTCTGTCCGTGATCTCGGTTGCAAAGTAACAGAGACATCGGGATCATGAAGATACGAAATAAAAGAAGTGTAGTATACGAATAACTAAGTTTAATTTAGGAAAAATCTTTATAACATATGAATATAATGTTTTTAACAACTTTTATCTTAAAAACCACTGGACCGATTTTGTCGATATTTTTACTGGACTGGTGTATTAATAATTGAAGATAATTAATTAAAAGACGCTGTTTATAACACAAATAGTATGAAATTCCACTCAAACAAAGTCGTGAACACAAGCGGGGTCAAATCACAAACCATTCTCATCTATTCGTAAAACTTAAAGTTTTTATATCAAAAACAGGAACACTTCGTAATATTTCAACAATTAAACCATTATTTCACATTGTATTTCAACTTTTTATACACGTTAGCGATAAAATAAGACTAGGTAATTCGTATATTTTATTATAACATTGTTTTATTTCCAGGTGCAATTGCCGGTGGTTGAAAGACAGCAGTGTCAGAAACAGCTTCGGAACACACGCCTGGGACCGTTCTTCCAACTACACAGCTCATTCATGTGCGCTGGAGGCGAAGAGGGCGTTGACACCTGCAAAGGTGACGGTGGCTCGCCTTTAGTGTGCCCGATCGAGGTAATATATACAGGATTCACAAAAAAACACTTACAAAATGGTCATGCTATAAAATCACTGCTTTGAAATAAATCAAACATTAACTAGAACAAACTATAGTCCGTTAGACTTAAGCTGAGCTTTGCATTAGTGTGAGTGACAGTAATATTATAGTTGAGTCAGACAAAAAACTTTTAGAATTAAAACTTTATTATATTTAAATAGATACATCACATAGGTGCTATAAAATAAGCAAAACTTGTAATAGGCCAGATGGAAATATTATGAATATTATGGAAAAAAAAAGTTATGAATATACTATACAAATTCTTATTCACTTGACATTAAGTTTTCAACATTTGATTTTGCTATCAGTACAAAAGGTGAAATGCGGAAGGTGCGGGGCGAAGTATAATCAGTATAAACCAGTTCAAAACTAGAAAAGAACGTGGCATTCAAAAATTTTACATCACATCTACACTATCCGTGTACACACACAAATGCAAAGCTCAGCTTAAATCAAACGCACTATAATTAAACTTAAATTCAATTTACAAACACAAATCGCGTCGACAAATACTTCCCCGCGTAAAAGTGAACAAAACAAAAGTCATCGCTTTAAGGTCACTGCGGGTGCGTTCAGAAGTTTAAAGGTTCTCTAAATTGACATAAACTTTGACATTTAATAAAAATTACAGCATTGAAACTACTTTTATGACAACAAAAATAACGTTCCTTTTCATTCAATATTTATATTTAATATTACATTAATTTATAAGTTTATTTTATTAAGATAATGTGTGTTATGTTTTATGTATATAATTATGATTAAAAATATTAATAATTCCAATTTCAGAATGAACAAGGACGCTACATGCAAAGCGGCATGGTCGCGTGGGGAATAGGTTGTGGCGAAAACGGTACACCAGGAGTATACGTAGACGTAGCCAACCTTAGAGATTGGATTGATGACAAAATTATAGGAAAAGGATTGGATACGAAGGTCTATACCTACTAAAAAATGGATACAATCCAAAAATATATAGATCCAACAGAATACGTGTCAATTAAGACATTTTCTTTACTAGTGTTATGTTTTATTCAGTGTAAAATTAATTGAATATGTCGTGTGTTTAATTAGTTATGCTCGTGTTGATATTTAAGATACTTTTTTATATGAATCGAAGTAAACGAAGTACTTAAGAATATGTGTGTTTTATTTGTGTTTCAAATGTCATTTTCATCATCATCAGCCTATCAGAGCCCACTGCTGATCAAAGGCCTCTTCTCATATGGAGAAGGTTCGTGATTTCAAACTTATAATTGTGGAGTTATAATTCCAGGTTTGTTTCACGATGTTTTCATAAGCAGATTTATTACAATTATTTACCCCCCCATCCCCCTTGTTAGCAAGAATAAGCAAAGCTCTTACCCCCTCTCCCATGCTTATGTAAACATTTTCAATTATTGTATTGTTTTTTTTAAATATAAATTCATAAAAATATTATAATTATATTTTTTTATGGATCTTCTCGATGTGACGATTAAAAAGTAAATAACTACCGATGACGTAATCATCACCTAGACCCCTACCCCCATGCTAATGGAAATGCCATGCGCGTATAATCTGCAGTAATTTTTTGGTTTGAAAAGAGTGAGAGAGATGGCCTATGTTTTCTGTCTAGCACTATCTCTTTTCTCATAGATGATTGGCGCTCAGTCAGTACGGTACTATTTTGAGAGAGATAAAGATAGACCGAAACTTCGTTTCCTCTCTTTCTTTCGGAGTGCCACAATTGACAATTCTCATCTCTAAGGCATATCCAATAGTATATGTTGATGAGATGTGAATGTCTGTCAGTCGGTCTTGTTAATATAGCGTAGTAAATCCGAAAATATTAGTTTCATTTGTAATTTTTATATAATAAATAAAAATTTATATCGTGTGTATTTCAGAGTTACTTATGTGTATATCGGGGGATGCGTTCCATGAAGTTGTCGAAAATGATCCAAAAGATTCTAATGATAAAATAGATAGGAGGTCATTCACAATATCAATGAAAGCGATAAGAGCACTTAGACCAGGAATACCAGCGAAGCGAAGGATTGTTAACTTTAAACATTTACCATCTGCTGTATGATTTATAAATAAAATTATAAATAAATTAGGGATGAGAGGTATTTTTGTAAAGTTTTTGTGTTTTAAATAATTACGTCGTAGGATAGATAAAATTACTAATTAGTGACCTATAAACTAAGTAATTGGTGAATTTTAATTGTTATATTGTATCCTATTAATAGAAGGTTAATTTACAACATGTAAATATGTTAAAGCTGGGAAAATTGCCAGGTTTTCAGACCCTGGCTAAAGCTGGGTAGAAGAATCTCTGTACCATTACTACAAAAGTATGATTTATTCGGAAACAGCAATAACGCACTTTTGAAATTCTCATTATTTAATATTTTATGAAAATTTCTACAGAGAATGGCCTAAATATATGTACGTTATTTTAAAGATTCAGTTTATTGTTTTTGTTACAAAATATTCGGTAAATCTGTTAGTAGTTTTTTTGCTTGACTGATTTTTGTGATTGGCAATATTTGTCATTTATATTGAAAAGACATGAAACAAGTGTTAGCCATAGCGAAAATGTCTATAAAAAAATAAGTAATTGATTAAAAAAATGTTTTAATTAAATCATTCTTTAGTAGTTATTCTTTTTCTACACTATTATAACAAAACATGAGTTGTTTTATTGGACAAAAATCATATAATGGGCCAGCATAATAGATATTGCTCGTGAGCGACGAAATAACAAGTTGCAAGCCGAATTACACTGTGAGCCAGAGGTTCCATAAAAACTACGAAATTTATATACTGTACATAGTGATAAGAATTACATATGAAAACTTATAACCTATACCTAATTCTATATGATTATTCCTAACGTGGTGGCCTAGTGGTTACAGGCCCGCCTCTCGTGCATGAGGGCGCGGGTTCGAAACTTGGCAAGTAGTAATGTGATTTTTTTCCGAGTCATATGTACATTCTAAGAGTATTTAGACAAGTTTGAAATCAGCAACCCTTCTTGAGCAAGCGTGGTGATTAATGGTCAAATCTTCTCCATGTGAGAAGAGTCTTTACTCAGCAGTGGGCTCTGATAGGCTAATAATGATTCTGATGTCAGGATAGCAATAGCAATGCCATTCCATTTCTTATCATCAGGAATCTTCTGATTCACACGGCCAACTGTTCCTTCCGTAGCAGTAACGTACAAGTTATGATATTTTATGAATACAACGGTGCCCTGATGATATTCGTTTTATTTTATTTCTGTCTGTATTATATAAATTTCAAACAATGAATGACTTTCATCCCAATCTCATAAAATTTCCTACCTTTTTTGTGAGTACATGTAAGGTTTATGACATCTAAGATCTAAGATCTGAAGATGTCCGAGGCGACATCGTTGTATGTATAAAATATATAACGAGTGACGCCGCTGACTCCGCGGAACGAACACCAAGCGTGTGAACCAGAAGATTCCTGATACAACACAAGCTATGGAATGGTATTGCTATCATAACATCGGGTCAACCATGTAGTCTTAGGTGTAGGTTATAAGTTTTAATATGTAGTTCTTATTTTAATATATGTACAAATAAGTAAGTTTCATAGTTTTGCTGGAACCTCCGGTTGTCACCCTATATAATTTATGAAAACCAGACAATATTTTATTTTATTTGTAAATTATATTATATGTGGGTAGATGAAAAATAACAAGACTATCATAAAGACACATTCTCATTATTTTACTACAAGTTCACTACATACGGAGCGTGGTTATTCATTTGTAAAATCAGTTTTAACGTAGGTTTTCGAGTGTGAAACGTGAAACGCATAGTATAGAGTGATAAATAAAACGTGTGCTGCTATTACTAATGTTAAACACGGTTGCTGATTTAAAAAAACTATAGTTAAAAACAAACAAACACACCTTTTAACGATCTTAATGGATTACGTAATTTTAAACACTACATAAGTCACACCTACATCTGAGTCGCAAGTCCCAGTCACTGTTGAAGCTCCTCTCACTACAACGATGGACCCGAAACCCGCACGATGAATACATGGAATGATGAGAGGTTTCGTCTCTTGCTTTAATCTATTATATATAAAAAAAGATTGAAAGGAAAATAATGTGGATATAAATGTTAATTATATAAAAAGTAAATAAATGCCAAAATAAGATATGGTGTATATATATGTACATATGTCGATAAATAACGAAGTTAAAAATAACAATTAAATAAACCTAACTTAATTGTTACCTCCATTAGGAGTTACAGTTTTTATAATTGTCCAATTATTTTGTTTTCTTTCAGTTTAAACACAATTGAATCGTCTATGAAGCAAACAGTAGGCGGAATGCTGGCAGGATTTTTGATTTTGGTGAGAATTTTTATATTTTAATATTAAATTTAATGTTATATCTTTATATCAATTTCTCGTGTCGCGGTGTTAGACAGAGAACTCCTTCGAAACAACTGGAACGATTTTGATTAAATTTTGTGAGCATATTGAGTAGTTCTGAGAATAGGCCAACATCTATTTTTCATACCTCTAAATCGTAGGGTTGTTCACCCTTATTTTTTTGTATTTTCGGAAGAAATTTTTTGTTTTTATTTTTTTATAATGTTGCATTAAAAGTACATACAACCCAAAATTTTTACTTTTTTATCACCAACCCCTATTTTTCCAAAACACACTAATAGCTAAAAGTAAATACTATTAATTCCTAGTTCACATTGTGTAACAATATTTGAACCATTATATATCTTTTATAGTAAACTATGTTTTATTCCGCCCTAAAGGCCATAATTAACCAGAAATTGGAGTTGGAGTTTATTAAGTTTGTTCTGTTTCAATCGAACAGTATTAAATATTCTATGTCCGTCCCCTGGTTTTAATCTATCTCTCCACCAATTTCCAACCATATCCGTACAGCCGTTCTTGAGTTATAAATAGTTTAACTAACAAAGCTTTCTTATATATAAATATATTAGACAAGTTTCTCTTCACAAAACAATTATTTTTTATTTATTTCCAGTTGCTATTGTCGCTGTACAATGATGTTGAGTCAGCTGCCAGCTTCAGTTTCAATCACTACGTAAGCATTTAACAAAACACATTCTATTAGCAAAGATTGTATCTTGAAGTTACTCTAAGAGGTAGTCGTGGTGGCCTAGATGTTAAAGGCCTGCCTCTCATGCATGAGGGCGCGGGTTCGATCCTGGCAAGTACCAATGTGATTTTTCCGAGTCATATGTACTTTCTAAGAGTATTTAGACACCACTGACAGATGAAGGAAAACATCATGATGAAACCTGGACTTATAATTTCACAATCATAAGTTTGAAATCGCCAACCCGTCTTGAGCGAGCTTGGTGATCAATGCTCAAGTCTACTCCATGTGATAAGAGGCCTCTGCTCAGCAGTGGGCTCTGATAGACTGATATTGTTAAAATTTATATTATACTGATCCTTTTTTGTTTATTTAAATTTCACTAATCTCAGACTAAATGGTACATATTTTATTACTATTAAAACATTGATTTAGGACTTCAACGAAGTAGAACGCTTTAGTCCAGGTTCATTAAGAATTTTGGGTTATTAATTACGTTTAGGAAAAAAGATTAAGATATTAATAGACACTTCGTTAACCCGAGGAAATTTTGAAAGAAATATTTGTATATGCGTAATTATCACTGCGGCAACGAATCTATAGAATTGTGTCAGAATAAAATATATGAAAATTGGTTTCAGGTAAAAGATGACATTTACGATCAACCGGTTAACCTGATGGCTCCAAAGAAAAATCCACATATGAAGGTCGGTATAGCCCAAAATATGGAAAGTTTAGAATAAAGATAAATTATTTAGTATTTAACTCGATTTTTCCTAACAATTTACGAGTTTAGTAGGTACAGCAAACATCCAAAAACATTAGAGATCAAATTATTTAATTTTCTAAACAATTTTCATGAAGAAATCTGGTCTAAATGAAACTAATATTTTTTGTATTATACTACGATACATTATTTTTGTGAAAAACTACATACTCCCGACGTTTCGGCTACTTTTCAGCAACCGGGATCCGAAAAATATTGGTTTCATTTAAATGAATAAAGATTGCGAAAATCTTAGATCTCATTAGTCAGTGGTGGCCTAGTGGTTAAAAGGCCCGCCTCTCATGCACGAGGGCACGGGTTCGATCCCGGCCCTGGCAAGTACCAATGTGATTTTTCCGAGTCATATGTACTTTCTGAGTATTTAGACATCATTGATTAATGCATTCCCAAAGATTGTAATGTCAGGCAGGCAGCCGGTCGTAAAAACATTTAGCCAAAACTATTCACAACATGTAAGACAGACAATGGCTAAAGCTGGGAAATTGCCAGGTAGAAGAAAAACTTAGATCTCATTATCTAAATCAAGTCTTTTTATTGAACTTTCGCCGGTTCTTCTCAGGTCAGGGTATTTTCTTTTCCTAACCGGTGGTAGTGTCTCAAGTGACCATCAATAAGGAAGTGTAATGCTTCTATATTGAATAAAGTTGTTTGAGTTTGATTTTGAAATGATCAAAAACATAGTATAATCTCCTAATATTCATTTATTGATTAACTGAAGGGTATTTCAGAATGTCCAAGAACAGTCTACTACCGAAGATCCCTGGTCTCCGTTGGACTTCTCCAAGTTGGATGCCATGATAGCTCAACAACAACAAGAAGACAATAACCGTATCAAAAGACGAGCGAAGGTATGTAACACAATATTCAAGTAAAAATATCTTATACATTATACCTACTAATATTATTAATGCGAAAGTAACTCTGTCTGTCTGTTACGCTTTCACGCCTAAACCGCTGAACTGATTTTAATGAAATTTGGTACAGACATAGAGTTCACCTTGAGAAAGAACATAGGATAGTTTTTATCACATACTTTTGAATGGTTCTCTTGGAAATGCGATATAACCGAACAACACGCGGGCGAAGCTGCGGATGGAAAGCTAGTCTATATATAAAAGAAAGTCGTGTTAGTTATACCATTTATAATTCAAGAACGGCTGTATTGATATGGTTGAAAATTGGCGGAGAGATAGATTAGAACCAGGAGATGGAAATAGGATAGTTTTGAATTTGAAACCAAAAAAATATTTGCTAATAAAATCCAAAATCTTAAGTAACTGCCTCTAAATCGAAATAGTCCGCCTGGTAGGCTATAAAAATTCAAATTATGAAAGTAACGCGGACAAAGTCGCATGCAAAAGCTGATATATACATATTTTCATCTTACGTTGTGAAAATTTTAGCTCAGTTCATCACTTACTTACTTCTTATAAATACTGAAAAAGTACTCATTGTACTCATGAACTTCAGTTCGAATGCAAGTATTAAATTAAAAAGTTTATAAATTGTCATTACCTTAAAAACAAAAGAAAGAAAGGAATTTGAAAAATATAAAAATAAGTTTAATGCAATAAAATTATGTATATAAAATCAATATGTGAATGATAATAGGACATTTATTTTCGTAATTTATGAAAAGCTAAGTTAAAAGGTTAACCTTAAAAACTGAATTAATTTAAAATGACGTGATATTATCGTTTCAGAAAAGAAATTATAATATAATTGTAACTAAACTTTAGAATCTACTTGATTAAGGCTCTTTTACTTACCGAAATATTTAAGGTAAAATATACAGTACTTCAATACATTACATTTTGCAATTAAAAAACGAGGATAATTTATGTGTATCTAAATCGTTAAATGAGATTTACTAAGTGTATTAATTGTCTTTAACGAGTGCTCTTCAATTTCAATAATTATAAACCGCGATGCGTTAAAATTTGACTGATATTTCGTAATATTATAAGATTTATTTATGGGTTTTCTTTTTGATAAATTATTTGCTTAAATTTCTCTTAGTCGTTTTCATATTATCGTTACTAGGAAATTACGCGAGTTTTTCTCAAACACCAATTATCGCTAATCGGGTAAAAGTGTTTTAAATGAAAAAATTTTTGCGCAGAACACCCGTCGTTTTAATACATTGAGTGGCCCAGCGTTGAGGGAGCGCCCTCATCACTATCTATACCCGGAACCAGTGAAGGACAGAATCCTGGAATTCACAACCACAACCAAGAAACCTGGAATCCTTCCGGAGACAATGAACCCAGGTGTGATATTCCGCGTGCGAATGTCAGACGCGATTCTGCGGATCAAGCAAAGAATGTACGAAGATCCCGAAAGGCATATAGAAGCTGATATAATATACACGAATCTAATAAAAAAAGTCGTGATGGACGAAATAACTAAGTTCCATAATCTGCTCTTGATGTATAAAACTGACAAATCTATTAAGGAGCATCTTGGAGAATGCGGTGGAAGAATATACAAGTTTATAAGCTACATGACAATCAAAGTCCATATTTACTGTCTGTTCGACGCGCTATGGATAGATGGTAACCCGTATGTGATTGGCGACGAATATTCCGTAACCCCAGTTGAAGCTCCACCAATGCTGCAGTGTGACGCAGCTGAATGTAATTCGGTAGTTTTCGTCGATTCTATAACCGAACCTAAAGATATTGAAGAGTGAATAATTTAAATAAACAAATCAATCTATTTAATTCTTTTAATTTTTACCTTTTTTCCTTTGGTTATAACTTACTAAAAAACTTGGGCCTGTTCAGAACTCATATTAATTCATTCTTGGAACGTACTTCAAAGACAGCCCTAGTAGGTTCTTTTCAAATTTGATTAGGTAGTGAAAGCTTGGATAGTGGAGGTGAGCGTTTAATACGTTTTAGACAGGGCCCCTTAAGCCTACACCTGGGTCACAAGTCCCAGTCACTGTTGAAGCTCCTCTCACTACAATTATGGACCCGACACACGCACGGTGAACATATTGAATGATGAGAGATTTTGTCTAGTCTAGGCTTTATTATTTTTATATCTATTTGTAATTGGTCACAAAGTTAATATTGCATTCACAATTGCTATTAACTAAAACGAGGACAGAAAATAAAAATTCTTTAATACAGCATTGAAGATAATAGTTTTTTTACTACCTTTGTGGACTAATATGCTAAATCAAACAAAATATATCTTTAAAATGAGTAATTCAAAGATAATTGTATACTTCTTATATACATAGATTCAAATACATATTTTTTAAATCTGAGACAATTTATCACTATTTAAGTATTTTTAATATTTAATAAACCCTATAATTTATAAGATATTAGATATTTTTTTGTAATTATATAATACTAATACTATCTCCGCCCGCAGCCCCGCCCGCGTCGAGTTCGGTTACATCGCGTTTCCAAGAGAACCTTTCAAAAGTCTGGGATAAAAACTATCCTATGTTCTTTCTCAAGGTCAACTCTATATCTGTACCAAATTTAATTAAAATCAGTTCAGTGGTTTAGGCGTAAAAGCGTAACAGACAGACAGAGTTACTTTCGCATTTATAATATTAGCAGAGTTTTATTATTTTTTTCGTTATTTTTTATATATTTCTCTTCATTATTGTTTCAGCATCGCAAAACAAGACGTCGTAATAGAATCCGTACTACATCTCCTGTGACGGATTTTCATGAGGTAATTGAATTTTACATGAATGAAATAAAATTTAAATCATACGTCAATATGCGATCTAAGACTTTCGCCAGTTTTATTCATTTAAATGAAAGTAATATTTTTCGGATTATACCACGCGTGCTTTATTTTCGTAAAAAACTACATACTCCCGACGTTTCGGCTACTTTTCACTTTTCAGCAACCGTGATCACGGGCAGACGCTATGTGTGTGTGTATAATGAAAAATATACAACAAAAAAGAGATATGAAACAATATTAATTAATATATTTGCTTTAATTTATAATTAATTAATTTGCAAAATGTTCAGCGAAGAAATATAAGATTTTCGAGTGTATACAATTAAAATGAGAATTTCATGTCGTCTACCCATGGTCATGGTTAATGTAAAGGAATCGAAACGATCAAAAACCAAAAGTAGAAAAAGAAACTGTCATTTAAATATGAAGATGAATGCCATTTATGGCCATTATACCATAACAATGCCACAGTAATGCCATGCAAACTCATCTCTGTTCCTTGTATTTTACAGGGAAATCTGACAACAACTGTGCCAATAGCCAGAAGAGCGGATCGCTCAGACACTCAGCAGATCAAGAACAAGAGGAGACATCGCAAAAATAGAAAGGACACGCCTTCTTACGATGCCTACGACCCACCGATGAAGGTAAATAATAACATTATTATGAAAAGGCAAACAATAATTACATGATTGTAAGTGAATAAAGGTCGTGGTGGCCTAGTGGTTAAAGGTCCGCCACTCGTGCATGATTGCGCCGGTTCGAAACCTGACAAGTACCAATGTGATTTTCTTAATCATATGTCGTCGTCATCAGCCTATCAACGCCCACAGCTGAGCAAGGCATCTTCCTCACGTGGAAAAGGTTTGAGCATTAATCACCACGCTTGCTCAGGACGGGTTGGTGATTTCAAACTTATAATTGTGAAACTATAAGTCCAGGTTTCCTCACGATGTTTTCCTTCACCGTATGTCAGTGGTGTCTAAATGCTCTAAGAATGACTCCAAAAAATCACATTGGTACTTGCCAGGTTTGAACCCGCGCCCTCGGCAACGAGAGGCGGACTCTTTAATCATATGACTTAGTCATATGTACTTTCTAAGAGTATTTAGACACCACTGACAGACGGTAATGGAAAACTTGGACACATAATTTTCAATTATAAGTTTGAAATTACCAGCCCGTCTTGAGCAAGCGTGATGATTATGTTTAATTTCAAAGGACAGACATCAGGCTGTCTATCACGATGGCGCTGCAATTATGTAGGTTATTTAAAATTAAAAGAATGCAATGTATGTCACTATATTTATTGTTTTAACACACTATATATAAAATTTCGTAAAATAAGGTGAAAATTAAATATCCCTAGACAATTTAGATGTGTGTACATTTCTCTAGGCACGACGTCGCGGGCAAAAACTAACTGGATAATTTAAGCTTATTGTATAGTTGTTTGTTGTGTTTCATTAAAGGATTTTGAATCTTCGTTTGTGGAGATGCCCAAGGACCTGTACCAGGCACATTTGAGACCTGGTGTCATCTTTCGCATACACATGTCTGAAGCTATATTGAAGATGCAGTACCGCAAGTGAGTTTATATAATTTCATTATCAATTTTTGCTTGACGAGACGAAACCTCTTAGCATTCAATGGATTGATTCGCCGTGCGGGTGTCGGGTCGGGGAGCTTCAACAGTTCCTGGGTCTTGTGACCCAGGTGTAGGTTTAAGGGGCACCTTATCTAACGCGCGTTAAACACTCACCTCCACTGTCCAAGCTTCTCTCCCTGAATAACCAAATTTGAAAAGAACCTACTAGGGCTACCTTCGATGTACGTGCCAAGAATGTATTAATGTGAGTTCTGGATAAGCCCAAGTCTTTTAGTAGGTTGTACAGAGATTTCGCTGTTATACCTCTCAATATTCAGCGCCATTCAGAGAAATTAAGCCTTCATCGAGTTAATCAATATCATTGTAAATATAAGATTAATCAATTTTATGATTGGAAAAAAATATTTCACGTAATTTTATTTGCGATTTATTTGATAAAATATTAATAATTCATTTATTATCAAGTACCTATAAGTTACACAACAACGTGTTCTGAAAAGAATTTTGTAAAACAATAATTTTAAAAACTAAGAATGCCTTGGTTATTGTACATATAATTAATTTAAATTACAGCTATGTACTATAACTTATTTTTTGTATATTTTTATTAATAAGGAATCTTTCTATTTATGACAAGGTCTATACCTACTAATATTATAAATGCGAAAGTAACTCTGTCTGTCTGTTACGCTTTTACGCCTAAACCACTGAACAGATTTTAATGAAATTTGGTATAGAGACAGAGTTGACCTTGAGAAAGAACATAGCATAGTTTTTATCCCAGAATTTTGAAAGGTTCTCTTAGAAAGCTAGTTATATATATGTATTTCTCGAATATCTTGAAAATATAAGTATAGGTAAGCGTTTAACACGCGTTAGGTAGGGTCCCTTAAACCTACACCTGGGTCGCAAGTCCCAGTCACTGTTGAAGCACCTCTCTACAACGATGGACCCGACACACGCACCGTGAATACATTGAATGATGAGAGGTTTCGTCTCTTTATATTCTATAAAATTATGAATATAGATCGCAGAATGTATATAGAATTTAACAGTTCATTTTTACTGTATTTATAAATAGTATGATAATCTTTTGCTTGAAATACAACAGGCTCGTTTCATTGAGTATAGTACTCAATTAAGTGCACTTATTTTATGATTTTAATGTAACTAATTGAATAAAACCAGTTACGGCGAAGACAAAGACGAGTCCGTAATAGAAGCTGACGTGGAATACTTGAGATTAACACGGAAGGTCATCAATGATGAGATAACGAAGTTCGAAGACCTCAAATGGTTGATCGGCTGGTTCACGAATCGTACGGAGCTGATACAGGAACATACTTGCAACACTAGATATTATGCTGTGGGTAAGAATGGTTTGACATATAAAATATCATCATTATCATCAGCCTATCAGAGCCCACTGCTGAGCCTCTTCTCACATGGAGAAGGTTTGAGCATTAATCACCACGCTTGCTCAAGACGGGTTGGTTTTCAAAGTTATAATTGGATATTATAAGTCCAGGTTTCCTCACGATGTTTTCGTTCATCTGTCAGTGGTGTCTAAATACTCTTATAATATATATTGCAAGTTAAACAAGCTCTAAACAAATAAAATGAAATTTTATCATCTACTTCAAATGTTAGTGCATATTATATGATATAACAATTTGTATCGTTTAAGTACTCTCATTTACTGAGTTATATTAGACAAAATGAATCACGTGAAGTTCTATCACTTACTTTTAATTTTTCACAGTTATTCTCTAGAAATTCTATTCATATAAATGCTTTTAGACCTTTAAATTTAAGGAAAATTAAATCGCCAAAGCTCTTTAAATTTCTTCTACGTTACTTCTCTTAACCTTGACTTATAAATCATTATTATTAGTTTTTAATCAGACAATATTGATGTCTTATTTGTTGCTAATTATAAATGCAAAAGTTTATCTATTTTTCTAATAAATTAAACGCTTGATTGACAAACAAGAAGTGATATTTATATGAAGAAACGAACATACCCACAGACTTACATCCTTTACGCTAGATGGCGCTACTAGTTCGTACTAGTGATATTGTCGATACAAAATAGAATGAACTAATGTAATGAAAATTTTGCATGTTTGGTACATATCCTAGCCTAGCCTAGCCTCCTAGCCTAGAATTAATTCTTGGGTAGTTTTTGTTTTGAAACTCCAAAAGCAGGTTCAAATTAGATTTCTAACTATAAGTTCTTGTCAATTCGTAGAATACTATTCCTTTAGTTCCATTCAACATTAAAAGGTAGTATGCTGACAGTGGCGTAATATCACCATTCGAGGCTCGTGGCAAAATTCATCAGGAGATATCCCCTCATTAACAAAAAAGCTGAACGTGCATTTTTAATAACCTTTACATTTAGAGGGGTTATTACAGAATAACCATAATATCTTTTCGTATAATTTTAGTATATAAAATGCACAAATGTTTTATCATCTCACCGGGGGCCTTTCCGTCTGGGGGCCCGTAGTATTATGCCGATTTGCCACCCTGTAGTTACGTCACTGTATGCTGATAATTTCGTTCAGTCAAATATGTGAATTGTGGCTTTCAGATTTATCTACCCAACTAATTTTTTTTATGTTCCATTTAATCCAGGAATCCCTCCAACGATGTTCACTCACAGTGAGGAGTATATGAAGCGTATGTGTTTATTTGACAATGTGTTCATCGATCACATTCCCTACGTGGTTGGTGAAGATGGATCTTTGATGGCAGCTGTGGCACCACCAGTTCTGCATTGCGACGCAGCTACTTGCACATCAGTGCCTTTCATTGACAGGTAATCTTCTATATATATAAAAATGGATTGCTGTTCCTAAAACTCGAGAACAGCTGAACGGATTTATCTTATCTTAGTCTTGAAATGTTCATGGAGGTTCAGGGAAGGTATAAAAGCTGAAAAAAATTGATTCATTACTGGGAAAACCATAAAAACAGCCCTTTTGTATTTCCCATACAAACGTTTTTTTTGACATTAGATTTGACAACTAACTAATATGTCAACCATTCTGTCGCACTTCAAAACACGGAGATTTATGGCTTACAGGTAAACTCCAAAAATATAAATAAAAAAACGTAATAGATATTTCTTGATTATAGGGCGATACGAAGTTCGCCAGGTCTTCTAGTATTTTATATATATGCTAAAACTACAGCTTTAATCATAACCTTAACATTGTAGAGTCGAATGATAAATTGGTAGTACCTATACCTTATGTTCAGATAAAATTTTTGTGTGAATAAGTAATAACTATTAAATATAATAATAACATATGCAATTTAACATTTAAATCCAATATTAATTTAAGTCTCTCATGAAAAGCTAAAGCGCATTATCGGCAAGGCTATGTCTTATTCATCAAATCCCCGCTCCGCATCCATTTCTGTTGCGCCATGCTATAGATAATTAAACTTGTTTAGATTTAAAGAATTATCCATGTACGTATTGTTAAAAAGATTTTCATGTACCACGTCTGACTGCTATTTGAAATTTAAATTTTATTAAGGATCAAAGTGATCAAGGATTTTTATAAACCAGGACTTTCAAAAGTTTAATGTATCTTTTTCTTTTGACTACACTACCTATATTTATATTCTTCTTCTTCTACCTGACAAATTCCCAGCTATAGCCAGGGTCTGCCTTACATGTTGTGAATAGTTTTGGCTACTTGTTTTTACGACCGGCCGGCTGCCTGACATCAACCCTCTTTTGGGAATCAACATTAATCAGTGATGTCTAAATATTCTTAGAAAGTACATATGACTCGGAAAAATCACATTGGTACTTGCCAGGATCGAACCCGCGCCCTCATGCATGAGAGGCGGGCCTTTAACCACTAGGCCACCACTGTCTATATTTATATTATGCATATATAAAACTACTAATTTATTCTCTATTTCGTTTTAGTGTAATGTTCGACGAACGTCTCAGTCGTAGCAACGTGCGTACAGTGACTCGTTGCCAAGCCAGTTGCCGCATGCATTGCCGCAACGACGCTGACTGTCTTACGAGATGCTCCGCGAGATGTCTCCGTGCAGAATAAAAGCAGCATCACTATCGGTTCAGTCCATTTTGGAAATCAAGTTTTCTTCTAATATTTTTAAGCCTATCCTATTAGAGTGTACAATGTTTTCTGATGATGAAAAGCAATAGTTTTATTTTATGTCATACACCATACATGTACCCACAAAATATGTCACGAACTTATATAAAATTAGGATGGAAGTCATTGATTTGTTTGAAATTCTTGTAATGATTTATTATCCTTTTATACAATGTACGAGCCCAAAATGGACATGAAAACAGATTATGATCCGAACTAATAAAATGTATAAATAAAGTTACTGCAATAAATAATGTACGCTGCACTTTAATTGTTTTATTTTTGTCTTCATTATAAAGTACAAACAAACCGGAGACGATTTGTAAATACAGACAAAAATCTCTACTAATATTATAAATGCGAAAGTAACTCTGTCTGTCTGTTACGCTTTGACGCCTAAACCACTGAACTGATTTTAATAAAATTTGGTACAAAGATATACTTGACTTTAAGAGAGAACATAGGGTAGTTTTTGTCCTAGACTTTTGAAAAGTTCTCTTTGAAACGCGATATAACCGAACTCCACGCGGGTGAAACTGCGGGCGGACAGCTAGTGTTAAAATAAAATAAACATCACCAGGGTGACACAGTTGTATGTATAAAATATCATAACTTATACGTTTCTAACACGGAAGGAACATCTGGCAATATAAATCAGAAAATTCCTGATGATAAGAAAATGAATTGCATTGCTATTGTTATCCTAACATGAGAATCATCATCAGTCTATCAGAGCCCACTGCTGAGCTGCCTCTTCTCACATGGAGAAGGTTTGAGCATTAATCACCACGCTTGCTCAAGACAGCTTGGTGATTACAAACTTATAATTGTGAAATTATAAGTCCAGGTTTCCTCACGATGTTTTCCTTCACCGTCTGAGAGTGTTGTCTAAATACTCTTAGAATGTACACATGACTCGGAAAAATCACATTGGTACTTGCCAAGTTTCGAACCCGCGGCCTGATGCATGAGAGGCGGGCCTTTAACTACTAGGCCACCACGAGTATCAGAATAATCATTTAGAATTAGGTATAGGTTATAAGTTTTCATATGAAATTCTCATAACTATGCATATAAGTTTCGTAGTTTTTATGGAACCTCTGGCTGGCAGTGAAACTCGCCTAACAATTGGTTGTTTCGTCGCTCACGAGCAATATCTATTATGCTGGCCCATTATATGATTTTTGTCCAATAAAACAACTCATGTTTTGTTAAAATAGTGTAGAACAAGAATAACTACTAAAGAATGATTTAATTAAAACATTTTTTTAATCAATTACTTATTTTTTTTATAGACATTTTCGCTATGGCTAACACTTGTTTCATGTTTTTACAATATAAATGACAAATATTGCCAATCAGTAAAATCAATAAAGCAAAAGAACTACTAATAGATTCAATCCTTTGAAACAGCATATATTAAGACCATTCTCTGTAGAAATTTTAGATATTAAAGAATAAGAATTTTGAAAGTCCGTTAACGTTGTTTCTGTATAATTATACTTATATAACAATGGTATATAGATTGTCTAATTGTATATAGGTATTTTGAACTCATAATAATGCGTCAACTTTTCCCCAATAAATACCTATAAAAATATTTAACTTCAAGATGTGGCTGTGTCTACGAGTATTAATTCTGTTAAGTTTAAGAAATGTGACTCCGGATCCATGATCCTTCACTACTATAATATCACAAAATTGTTTTAAGCTTCTAGTTGAAATTCAAGCTGGCAGTAACCCGCAATTCATAAGTATGAAGAAGTTGTACAGCATTAGAAAACATATTATGGATAAAGTCTACTTAAATATTATTAATATCTCTTTACCTCATATTAATAGGACACGAGTATATAACAATTAAAATTCACCTAATTTTATCTATCTTCTTCTACCTAGCAATTTCCCAGCTATTAGCCAGGGTCTGCCTTACATGTTGTGAATAGTTTTGGCTAATTGTTTTTACAACCGGCCGCCTGCCTAACGTCAACTCTCTTTGGGAGACCTAATTTTATCGATCCTACGATGTTCTAAACATCGACTCAAAAGACATCTTTGTCACTTTTACCTAAGTATAATATTTAATGTTTATATATATATATATATATATATATATATATATATATATATATATATATATATATATATCTATGTAAGTATAATATCTGAATTTTATACTATTATAATTTGGTTTGTATTCATGTATACACAGGATGACTGGTGAATTACTATCAATATTTAAGGAGAATACTCGGTACATGATTCTCATTCGAATTATGTAAAAAAATAGGCACTTAATTTTTGACAAAATTTCCGTATAAATAAATAAAGTGTTGACACGTTCCAAGTGTTCCAAGTGTGGACGCGTGCAGCGGCGTGCTGATACAACACTACGCCGCCGCACGCGTATGTGTGTGTGAGTGTATACCTAATCTGTAGGGTGTGCACACGATGCGTAATTAATTACATAACTTTTGGTTCACTTTACTTAGAAGTTCATTAATATTTATGTTATATTAATTTTAATTTTGTCATATGTGATCGTCAAATATCACGTCCTCAAGTATCGATAGTAATTCACCAGTCACCCTGTATATATATACCTCTTTTTTATTTATTCCTTCTCTCTTTTTATTGTACCTACTCCCCATTTCCTCTATCAAAAGAGTTTCTGGTAGAGATATCTTTTAAGAGATAAGTTATCCTTTGTACATCACATTTCCTTTATAAGACTTTAATTGTAACAAATTTTTTTGGTACATGAATAAATACTTACATAAATAATTATTTAAAACACAAAAACTTTCCACAAAAATACCTCTCATCCCTAATTTATTTATAATAAATCATACTTTTGTAGTAATGGTACAGAGATTCTTCTACCCAGCTTTAGCCAGGGTCTGAAAACCTAGCAATTTTCCCAGCTGTAACATATTTACATGTTGTAAATTAACCTTCTATTAATAGGATACAATATAACAATTAAAATTCACCAATTACTTAGTTTATAGGTCACTAATTAGTATTTTATCTATCTTACGACGTAATTATTTAAAACACAAAAACTTTACAAAAATACCTCTCATCCCTAATTTATTTATAAATCATACAGCAGATGGTAAATGTTTAAAATTAACAATCCTTCGCTTCGCTGGTATTCCTTTTTTTTTTTTTTTTTTTTTTACTTGGAGGAATCCTATTACGGACTTCCCGTGCCTGGGCAAATTTAGTGACACGGGGGTGTGTGGGGCTCGACCTAAAGGCGTTCGGCCACTACCCACTAAACCTCCAAGGCCCAATCCTTTCGTAGTAGCCGAAGTCCGGTGACTGGTGTGTCCATTGCTCCGGGCTTCGACATACGTCCGCCGCTCAGCGTCATTGACGCGCGGCTCTCCTGCTGTTGCCGTCTGCTTGTTGTGTGCTATTATTCTAAAAAAGTATAAATAGACACACACGTTCTATTCGTCCCTCAATAAAGGGACGAATGAAACCTACAAACTAAAATAATACATTAAACTAAAACTAAACAAAACGTATAAATATATATATATATACATGTTTATAATAATTAATTTATTTACACCTTAATTTATTTACACCTTAACTACGGGATGCGACCGGCGTATCTTCGCCGCCGCCCTCCGGGTCTTCGACGCCTCGCCTGAGTGGCCGCAGGGTCGACTTCCCTCTCCCTTTCGGCCGTCTCCTTCCGTTTCATGATGGACTCTGCGAAGACGTTGAGAGCCTCCCAGAGTTCCTTCTTTTGTTCGCTGGTATTCCTGGTCTAAGTGCTCTTATCGCTTTCATTGATATTGTAAAAGACCTCCTATCTAATTTATCATTAGAATTTTTTGGATCATTTTCGACAACTTCATGCAATGCATCCCCTGATATACCCATAAGTAACTCTGAAATAGACAGGATATACATTTTTATTTATTTTATAAATAAATGAAACTAATATTTTCGGATTTACTACGCGATATTAACAAGACCGACTGACAGACACATCTCGTCTCATCGACATATACTATTGGATATGCCTAAGAGATGAGAATTGTCAATTGTGTCACTCCGAAAGAAAGAGAGGAAACGAAGCTTCGGTCTATCTTTATCTCTCTCAAAATAGTACCGTACTGACTGAGCGCCAATCATCTATGAGAAAAGAGATAGTGCTAGACAGAAAACATAGGCCATCTCTCTCACTCTTTTCAAACCAAAAAATTACTGCAGATTATACGCGTACGGCATTTCCATTAGTATATGTCGATGTCGATGTCTGCTAGTGATCAAGGTTGCTGTAAAGTAACTGAAACGTCAGAAGTATTTAGTTTATGGTCAAAAATAAAAATCGTGTAATAAATCCGCAAATATCAGTTTCATTTAAATGAGTACTCGCGAAAATCTTATATCACATTATAAAAAATTGCAATCAAAATATCATTCCAACTTACGAAGAAAATAAAATGGAAAAAACAAATAAAAACCAATCAACATATTGTATTGTTAAAACCATATTGCCATAGAAATTATGTGGAGAAATGCTTGTTATAATAATGTCTACAGCGTGAAATGAATTATTAATTGAGCGTCATACAAATAATGAAGTTATAGTAAAAAATATCTGGTCAATATACTTAAGTAACAATAGGTTATCAAACCAAATTCATTTGTCTGAAAGACTGATGATGTATTTGTCTATAAAAAGGGAAAGAATCATAGAACACGGGCTGGCTCGACCGGGGAAGTACCACCCTCACAGAGATGGCTACGTTTCGTCCGATGAGTGAGAGAGACGGTTACTCTTGTCCTTTTCCCTCCTTCCCCAATCAAGGGTGGAACACATCTGAAAATCTATGTCGCGAATGTCTATAGGCGACGGTACTAGCTCAATTAGGTAGGCCGTCTGCTCAGCTGCCACATTTAGCGTAAAAAAAAGATATTTCACTACGACGAATTTGCTTTCTTCACGTTTTATAATACTATTTTGGTCTCTTACTGTTTTAGTTTAGGATAAATTTAGAATATTTTGATAACATCAGTGAAACCAATTTATTGAGTCTAGGAATGTAATGCTAAAATGAGTGAGGTAGAAATGGCTGATCATATGATTTCAGTTTGTCAAGCAAGGATCAAATCTGACATGACTTAGCTATCTGCAAAACATGGCTAATGGCTTGTATATAAAAGGTCAGAAATAGAAAAACGAGTTCCATTAAAAAAGATACAACAATTAGAATATGAAAAGCAATTCACTGAATTTGTTTAAGAACAGAATAAGCTTGCAGAACTAAATCTTATAGAACATGATTACAAAGACCGCCCTTTTAAACAGCTTAAACGTACACTAGGTTCTTCTTCTACCTGGCAATTTCCCAGCTTTAGCCAGGGTCTGCCTTAGATGTTGTAAATAGCTTTGGCTAATTGTTTTTACGACCGGCCGCCTGCCTGACATCAACCCTCTTTGGGAATGCAAAACTAAGAACTAAGAATAGTCTAATAGAAAACTAGTAGAAAATTGAGACACTAATTAATATTCAGTCTAGATAAACAACTTGCTGCCTAGCTAGGTGAATCAAAAGGAGCTTATATAAATGCTCTTTTTGCTTAAACCTGATAAGAAGTTGTTTCAGGACTTTTCATCTCCAAGAGAATTAATAAAAATGTTATTAAAACCATGTCTTGTCTAGTTAAATTGATAAATATGCTGATTTTATATTTGATTGTAATAATTACAAAGTAAATTTTCAATTATCTAGAACATAAATAAGATTTTTTAAGTTTTATTGAACTGATATTATTGTTCACTAGTTTGTAAGTTTTTCAAGTTATAACGATTTTGAGGTTGAACCATAGAATTATTTTATGAAGAGTGTTGAATATATAACTTTATTTAGACTATAAAATAAGTCTAATTTGTTAATTCAGCTGAGGACAGCATTTAAAATAAATATTTTTGTTATCTGTATTTACTTTATACTCATGTCTCTTGTTATCTCAGTGGTGGCATCTCATGCATGAGGGCGCGGGTTCGATCCTGGCCCGGGCAAGTACCAATATGATTTTTCCGAGTCATATGTACTTTCTAAGAATATTTAGACACTACTGATTAATGCATTCCCAAAGAGGGTTGATGTCAGGCAGGCGGCGGGCCGTAAAAACAATTAGCCGAAACTATTCATAACAAGTAAGGCAGACCCTGGCCATAGCTAGGAAATTGCCAGGAAGAAGATACTCATATCTCTTGTCTATGACCACAGCAAACTTGTGAAGAATTAAGTTTCTAGTTTTGTTAAAAGAAACTTTCAATTTCATTTAATATAAGAATCCTATACAAAACCTAAATGGTTAAGATAAAAGATAGTTTATGTTGCAATAAAGTAAACTACTTACATGTTTAGTAAAATTATAATTATTTATTTTTGATACAAATTATACTATTAACTATGTTCAAAATTGTTTTCATTACTGCATAAAATCTGTTTACTCACACCAAAACATATTTTCAACTATTTGCATATAAAAAGATACTATATATTTTAAACATGTCATATACTTATAGTAGAATATTACTCTGAAAATAGGTTAAAACAAACATATATTTGCTCCAATTTGAAATACTAATCTTTTATGTACTTGAGTATAGCCAGATGTAATTACTGCTATTAAAAATAACAATACATTGTACAATCCTTCACTCGGTCAAATCAACACTGAGTTAGGTAGAGAGAGAAGATTGGTCAGTGGAGGTGAGTGTTTAACGCATTAGATAGGAGCCCCTTAAACCTACACCTGGGTCGCAAGTCCCAGTCACTGTTGAAGCTCCTCTCACTACAACAATGGACCCGACACACGCACCGCACATTGAATGATGAGAAGCTTCGTATTGTCTTATATTTGAGATGAAATGAAAAAACATTATTCTAAATCAAACATATTATATTTCATAATTTTTAATTACAACACATTCAGACATTTCAAGTTGATTTCAAATTAAATCTCGTCTATATAAAATTATTTTATCTTGAAATTAAAACTACATAGGCACATTTTAGTCAAATGTTATTTTTCAATTCAAATACATTCAATTATTTTTGTTATGTTTATCAAATAATTCATTGTTTAGTTTGAGAGTCAATTCTTTATTTTGCTGACACCAGTCGAAAATTATACACACAGTAGCACAGCTAATAACTAATTAGAGAATTATATGAAATTCTTTAATTTATAGCCTTCTTTTGTATAAAACTGAATTAATATCTATTCCTTCAACATATAACAGTCTTATGATATATATATATCTGTGGAAAGTCCTTTACTGGCAATAATAGCGTCAAGCCATGGCTTCAGATAGGGTATGTTGACGTAAACACTCGGTACATCCTTGCTGCCACAACCAATACCATACGCGACCATGCCGAATACTTCATAACGTGTGCTCTCCCCAGCCACCTACAATAAAAAATCGTACAAAAAAAACAAAGATTCAATTTAAACATTTTTTTTTATCAATTACTTATTTTTTTTAATACTGTGAAATGTTTCAAAGTTACGTCGGGAAAACTTTTTAATTCGTCGAATCGATCCTTTAAAGAAGTTGTTTGATCTAGGATTCCAAAATAAAATTTACTTTATACTTGATTTTGGAGTCTTATAAAAATTCTTCTGTGTTCATGGTTAAATTGTTTAAATGACAAATATATTTCGGATTATACTAAGCGAATTTATTTTTGTAAAACTCTACGTACTCCCGACGTTTCGGTTACTTTACAACCGTGATCACTAAGATGAGATGTGAATGTCTGTCAGTTGGTCTTGTTATATAAAATCGCGTACTACATCCGAAAATAATTAGTTTAATTTAGGTATATATATATACACTAGAAGACCCGGCGAACTTCGTATCGCCCTATAATCAAGAAATATCTGTTACGTTTTTTATTTATATTTATAGAGTTAACCTATTAAAGCCATAAATCTCCGTGCTTTGAAGTGCGACAGAATGATTGACATAATATTAGTTAGTTGTCAAATCTAATGTCAAAAAAAACGTTTGTATCAACAACTACTAATAAATTAAAAATTAATTAAAAAACATTGTCCAGCGGATAAAATTATGAATCTAAACCATTCCCAGATCCCCTTGAACACACACAACAAATTTTATCAAAATCGGTCCAGTCGTTTGAGAAAAGTTCAGTGACATACACACTCACAGAAGAATTATATATATATTTATATTACCTGTACAGGACACACCAAAGATGAACCTCCGTCTCCACGACACGTGTCCACGCCATCTTCACCACCGGCGCATGTTAGAGACTTGTCTAATCTAAAGAAAGGTCCCAAACGAGTTTTGCGTAAAAGAGTCTCACACCTCTCAGCGTCAATAAGCGGCAGACGTACCTGGAATTAAATTTAGGTTGAGTTATAATAGAAAATGACAAATATAATGTCCCAGTTAAAGACCCGCCTATCATGTATAAGGGCAGTTTAATACCTGGCAAGTATCAATGTGATTTTTCCGAGTCATATGTACTTTATAAGATTTAGACATCACTGACAGATGAAGGAAAACATCGTGAGGAAACCTGGACTTATAATTTCAATATTTTTTTTCGCCTTATCAGAACCCACTGATGTAAGGCCTCTTCTCACATGGAGAAGGTTTGAGTTAATCACCACGCTTGCTCAAGACGGTTTGGCGATTTCAAACTTATAATTGTGAAATTATAAGTCCAGGTTTCCTCACGATGTTTTCCTTCATCTGTCAGTGATGTCTAAATACTCTTAGAAAGTACATATGACTCGGAAAAATTACATTGGTACTTGCCAGGATCGAACCCGCGAAAATTTCAAATTATAAGTTTGAAATTACCTATCCGTTTTGAACAAGCGTGGTGATTAATGCTCAAATCTCCATGCGAGAAGTTTTTGCTCAGCAGTGGGCTCTGATAGGCTGATGATAGTGAAATCTAGTGTATGTAAATAGATATTTTTGCTCACTTTTTTAAGTATAACGGCGTATTCGTTTTTCTTCCTGAAGTTCGCTCCCCATCCCATACTGAAGCACTTGGTCCCCGGTGGAGGTAAGCTAGTACCGACGCAAGCCACGTTTATATTTGGCGATCCGTCCAATGAGAATGGACTCTTGAGGAAAAGTACAGCGATGTCGTTGTACACTGAAGCTGTAAATAAAACAGACGAAAATTATAAGTAGTTTGGTCATTTTAGTGTTTATTAATAATATTTTTATATAAAACTAGCTTTCGCTATATCGCGTTTCCAAGAGAACTTTTGAAAAGATTGGGATAAAAACTATCCTATGTTCTTTCTCAAGGTCTACTCTATGTCTGTACCAAATTTCATTAAAATCAGTTCAGTGGTTTAGGCGTGAAAGCGTAACAGAGAGACAGACAGAGTTACTTTCGCATTTATAATATTATAATTATTTATAATATTGGTAGGGATGAACTTTATGGCTATAGTAATAAGTGATATAACATTTTATATACGGATCCTTTTCATTATTAATGATTAAATGGACTTTTACTTTGTCTGGCAAATAGTACAGAATGGACTAATCAATATTTTTGCTGAATATAAATATGCAGAAACAAATATGGAACCAATATTTTTAGATTACTACACGTATTTTAAAAACCACATACTCCCGACGTTTCGGTTACTTTGCAGAAACTGCAATATTATAAATACGATTTTTTTTGTTTTATTTAAATAAATACTCGAGAAAGTCCTACATCTCAAAATGTGGAACCCTTGGAAGGTCACAGAATATAGAGCATTGAACATAATTTCAGTTTATGCTTAAATTTACCTCTAAAATAGTTTGGGTGTATTATTTTATTGCTGACTTCTCTCTCCTGGTGTTCGAAGAGCTCATAAGTCGTTTGAGTGTCCCATTCACCGGCGCGGCATTTGATCTTCACAAATAGAAAACATAAAAAATATTATTCAAAGGAAAAAATCAGTGAAGCAGTATATTTTGCTAAATCTCTTTATTAATACTTCTTTTCGAGTCTTTTCCTCAATTATATTGATATAAACTTCGCAAAAGGATGCAAAAAATGTATGTTTGTAAGTTATTATATAATGTACTTGTATTTACAAAGATTTTTTGGCGTGACGAAGTATATGTATTAAGTTTTTTCTTAAGTATAAAAAAGCCTATATTTATTATCACATGATACATTGACATAGTATTTATAGAATTTTTAGTTCAAGGAGTATGGCGCTGTAATAAAGAATAACTTAATCATTTAATTTTGATTATAATAAAGAATAAATAAAATTATACTTTAGAGACAAAAACTATCTTTATACATATATATAAAGTATATTTGCAATGTATTACCTGGCTAGGTCTGTACTGCTCCACTTTATGAGCTGCTGTAACAACTACTGATGGATGAACCAGGAACCCTCCACCCAGGTAGTCATTTTTGGACCATTCCTCAGTCTCGTTTCGATTTCTGAAAATATAAGAAAATCGGTCATATATCTGATGGAAATTTCATGGCATGGCATGGTGTATATTATAAACCAAACTGACTGAAGTATTCTCTACTGTTACTCCAAGATCCCTGCTTGTGTCTGTTTAGCACGCAAAAAGTACTGAAACGAAACCTCTCATCATTCAATGTATTCACGGTGCGTGTGTCGGGTCCATCGTTGTAGTGAGAGGAGCTTCAACAGTGACTGGGACTTGTGACCTAGGTGTAGGTTTAAGCCTTAAGGGGCCCTATCTAACGCGTTAAACGCTCACCTCTACGGTCCAAGCTCCTCTCTCCTAACCAAATTTCAAATGAACCTACTAGGGCTGCTTACGAAGTATGTTCTAGGAATCAATTTATATTAGTTCTGGACAGGCTCAAGTCTTTTAGTAGGATGTAGAGAGATTTAGCTGTTATACCTCTCACTTTCACTTCTACCGAGTACAAATTTATTTATATCATTACAAAACATACGAATGCTTAGCATTTTTCATTCACTGACTTATTTTATACTATGTATAATGTGAGATTATTTATAAAAGAAAAACTGTTAAACGTTAAATATGCAGTACGAGGAAGCGAACTCATGATAACTATAGTTTCAGCATACCCCAATGGCCTCCTACTAAGCCTAATTTTAATAAATTTATTTCGCAAAAATAATACAATCTATATATAAAGGAAAGTTGTGTTAGTTACACTATTTATAACTCAAGGACGGCTGTACAGATATGGTTTGAAAATTTGTGGAGAGATAGCTTAGAACAAGGAGACGGACATAGGATATTTAATTCTGTTCGATGGAAAAAGTAAACACCAATATTTGATTACAGCCTTTAAAGCGGAATATAGTTTGTCCGGTCAGCTATACATATATTACTAATTCCGAAATTAACGCGGACGAAGTCGCGTGCAAAAACTAGTTAAGAAACTCACCTTATAACGGCTATCATCCAGGGAAAGTCACCGTAATTGGCATAAATACCATCATCAAGACCAGCTGTGTCCCTCGACTGGAATATATGCAGCGCTGGATTGTTCCAACCACATTTTTTGGAATCTACCAAAACATAGATATTATTACTCTACAGTTTGTAATTGTTTACAAAGCAACGAGAATTTTTGACATTATCAAAAACACACGTACATACACATACACACACACACACACACACACACACACACACACACACACACACACACACACACACACACACAGACACACACACACACACACAACATTCAAAGAAACGCCAACGTCAAAATTTCACTCCTGGTGTTTGAAAAACTTACTTGCAGGTATTTCTGGGAGCTTTTCTTCCAATATAATAGGTTTTTCAGGGACCTTGTTCAAGACGCAGCAGACTTGTAGGTAATGTGAACAGGCTTCATCCTTCCCCCTACGAATACATTAACTTTATTATGAAGCAGAGATGAGAAAATGTATTAATGAGATCTAAGACTTGCGAGTTTTCATTTAAATTAAACTAATATTTTTTGGATTACTACGCGTATTTTATTGTATTAAACTACATACTCCCGACGTTTCGGTTACTTTTGTAGCAATCGTGGTGACAGGCAGACTAGATGTTTTAAAAGAGAAATTATTGTTATTTAACAACTATGTAATTAGTTTTAAGCGATGATATTTTTGTAGTATTTAGTGTCACTTTATAGAAATGATGACAAACAATTATTAGGAATTTTCTAAAGGAAACTTGGAAACAAAATTAGAAATTCGCGAGTTTAATTATGTTTCTTTTAAAAACCATGATCGAAAGTCTTCTTCAACTACATAAAAACTAATATTTTTGAGTTACTACGCGTTATTTTATATATTTAAAAAAACTACATACTCCCGACGTTTCGGTTATTTTGCAACAACCGTGATCACCGGCAGATAAGATGAGAATGACATACATTCATAAAATAATTCATAGTAATCAGAAAATATTTGTATTTATAAATGAATGATCGCGTTAGTCTTAAACTTCTTCTTAAACTGAATCCTACTGAAATCTACTTTTAAGAAAAGCTCTGAAATACATTGAGGCAATATCGTCTTTCAAGCATACATGGAGACACATAATACTTTATTTCTTTGTTCTAAAGCTTGCCATGTCAACTCAGAAACAGTTTTACTGATTTCTGTGAATATCCTCGAAAATTTTCTGACATACTTCCCAAAAAACGATAAGTTTTTAAACATAAAATAGCCACTTAAAACACTCATACATAAGTATGTATGGGTCAGGAAATTCGTCCAAATTTTTACGTAGCTTATACAATTTTGAATAGCACTATTATTCTGCACACAATTCTAACAAAATTTTGTTAGCATAACCAAAATAATAAGGTCGAAAACTGCTTGCAAGTCCAGCTGTGACTAGAAGTATACCTGATATCTATAATGGTGCTTCCATCAGTAATAACTTGGCCATCGTCGGTGTTGCACTGGTAATACAAGACGCACACACCCGGCGTGCCATCGTCTCTCGTGCAATTAGGGGAAGCATCTGTAATCAGTACAAATTCTTGTCTAAATTATCATATACATATAGTAATGTATGTGGTACTTCACTGAAATTCTTAACTGCTGGACTTGTTTCAATAATTGAATATTTTAAATATTTCAACCGTACGTCATTATTGTTCTTATTATTAATAATATTTCTAACAGATTTAAGTTCAAATCTTATGTTCTTAATAAAAAAATGATTCTTTTGCTAAATTATTGTAATATGTATCAAAATTCAATACAAATAAAATTAAATTGTCAAAACTCAGATCAGAATATAAACAAAATGAATCTTAATGTTATAGTCCAGCAAATATCTTACAAATAACACATAAGTTCAAACAATTAATTGATCGGCCTAGGGCAAAGAGTGTGTTTGTAAATTGAATTTAAGTTATTTAAGGTGTTTTAGTTTAAGATAATAATAAGTTTGTTCTAGTTAAAGTTTGATTTATTTGAATGTACTGGCTTTATAAGATGACTATAATCTTTAATGATTTTGTTAGAATCTATATTTAGCCATTTACATTTTTTTGCTTTAAACATTTCATGATACTGTATTTTACAAATTTACAACATATGTATATTTGTTGGTGTAAAGACTTAGTTTTGATTGCAGTAAAAAATCATAAGTAACACACTTTTTAACGTATAAAGGCTATATATACATTATTTAAAAAACTAGTAGGTTTACAAAAAAAGTTTATCAATCTTAATGAAGTACATGTATGTCATAGTTGCTGTACAAAGTTTCAAAAGCATCAGTTGTATGAACAAGATACATTGAAATCAAGCTTAAAACACCTCTACTGAAAAATTTTGCACATTGGGCCTTATACATAGGAGCCATCCATATATATTAATCTGTTGATTTACTTGGTGTATCCCGTTTATTACTGAGGACGTCTGATGAAGTGGCGGGAGTCGGGGCGGAGAAGTACTCTGTAAAGTAAAAGATTACTTAAATACAACTATTACTTTATATTATCATCAGCCTATCAGAGCCCATTGCTGTAAGGCCTCTTCTCACATGGAGAAGGTTTGAGCATTAATCACCACGCTTGCTTAATACGGGTTGGTGATTTAAAACTTATAATTTGAAATTATAAGTCCAGGTGTCCTCACTATGTTTTCCTTCTAAATACTCTTATAAAGTATATATGACTCGGAAACATCACATTGGTATGTGCCAGGATCGAACCCGCGCCCTCATGTATGAGAGGAAGGCCTTTAACTACTAGGCCACGACGATCAAGGCCACATAATGGTGTAAATTTTAATTGGTTTTGACTTATAAAATCAAGGTTTAGTAATGAAATGTATTATATATATATATATATATATATATATATATATATATATATATATATATATATATATATATATATATATATATACTAGCTGACCCGACAGACTTTGTACTGCCCTAAATCGATAAATTAAAAAAAAATATATATTTTTGAGTTTATTAATAAGCCATAAATCTCCGTGTTCTGGCATGCGACAGAATGATTGACATATTAGTTAGTTGTCAAACCTAATGTCAAAAAACATTTGGATGGAAAATAGAAAAGGGCTGTTTTTAGGGTTTTCCCGGCAATTATTCCAATTTTTCTCTCCTTTTAAACCTTCCTTGGACTTCCAGGAGTATTTCAAGACTAAAATTAGCCAAATCGGTTCAGCCGTTCTCGAGTTTTAGTGAGACTAACGAACTGCAATTCATTTTTATATATAAATATAATAATATAACAATCTACCAGGATTATATCTTACGAGATATTACTCTAGCATCTGGGTCCAAATTGAGTTCGCCGTCATCCTTCTCCTGAGCTGGCTGTATACTTTGACGCGTCACTTTAATGAAATAAAAATTATTAAAGATTAAAGATAATAAAGAAAGATAAAAGAAATAAAAGATATTATTTCAGAAACTAATTTCACTTATTAGAATGTTCGATTAATTTCATATGTTAGTAAGAAACAAATTTTTTGAATAAGACATCCTTGTAAATAATTAAAAGATTTATATAAAAACCAATAAATTTCAAAGTTAACGTGATAATTAGAACTTAAATATTTAATTTCATTACACTTTAAATAGGAATTTGATTTTTTATATATAAATGGAAGCTTTATTAACATATTTATTTGAATAAAGATAGACGAGAAGAAACCTCTCATCATTTCATGTATTCACATTTCACCGTGCGTGTGTCGGATCCATAATTGTAATGAGAGGAGCTTCAACAGTGACTGGGACTTGTGACCCAGGTGTAGGTTTAAGGGACCTATTTAACGCGCGTTAAACGCTCACCTCCACTGTCCAAGCTCCTCTCTCTGCCAAATTTGAAAAGCCCTACTAGGGCTACCTTCAAGAATGAATTAATATGAGTTCTGAACAGGCCCAAGTCTTTCAATAAGTATGATATTTACGAAAAAAATATGAAAATAGTGACGAAAGCTATCTAGTAATATTTTATATGGAATTATTTTACAAGTAATAGTTTTTATAGCTTTAGTAACTCACCTAAAGGTTTTGGGGCAGGATCCAAATTTAATTCGCCATCTGAAATCAAATTAAAAACTTAATTGCTCTAATTTTTCTAGTTTTATATGTAAAAGATGTTAAGTAAGGTATGTATTTAATATTTTTTAATCTAAAACTACATACTCAACAATACTCCCGACGTTTCGGCAACTTTTAAGCAACCGTGATCACGGGCAGACGAGATGTGAGTGTCTGTCATTTGGTCTGGTTATTTTATCACCTACCGCCATCGATTTCATAATTTTCTGGCGTACCGCTCTGGATGCCCGCAAAATGCACTCACGGTGACACGAGGTCCCGAGAATATTATTATTTTTTTTGGTTATTAATTTATTTCTACTAGTTAATTTCTAACCGAGAAAACCTTTTGAAGATAACGAAAATAGTCAATAAATGTAACCATTTGAATGTAATGTAATATGCGATAAAACTTTTTTCCTAAAGAGATGAAACTTCGCATCTTTCATTGGATTCATTCTGCGGTCCATGATCACGGTTGCAAATTAACTAAAACGTTGGGAGTATGTAGTGAAAATAATTAAAAACGTTGTATCTCCAAAACTGTAAATTCACAGTAGAGCATTTCAAAGATTCAAATTAAACCAAAATCTGCATTTATTGAAAATTACAACATTAGGTATGCGTTTGACAAATCCTTTAAAAATAGTGTTTTTGTTGTTTTTTACTTTGCATGGAAATAATGATCCATAATAGGATATTTTTCAGAACAAAAGCATAATAGCATTTTTAAGGCATACAACAACTTCTTTTCAAAAATCTGGGATAAAAACTATCCTATGTTCTTTCTCAAGGTCAACTCTATGTGTGTACCAAATTTCATTAAATTCAGTTAAGTGGTTTAGGCGTAACAGACAGACAGACAGACAGACAGACAGAGATACTTTCGCATTTATAATATTAGTAAGGATAACAATTATATTACATACCTTGTATCGATCTTTTGTTGTTTCCATCATTGCTCTGGGCGACTGATGTACTTAATATGAATAATATGAGGAATCTGAAACATATACATATATAGGTATATATTATAAATAAAAACTTCTCTCCGAAGCGCATTTGAAGTGGTACGGCCACGTAATTAGAAGACCTGAAGATAATCTTCTTCTACCTGACAATTTCCCAGCTTTAGCCATAGTCTGTCTTACATGTTGTGAATAGTGTCGGCTAATTGTTTTTACGACCGGCCGCCTGCCTGACATCAACCCTCTTTGGGAATGCATTAATCAGTGATGTCCAAATACTCTTAGAAAGTACATAAAATACAAGATGACATACTAGTTTTTGCCAGTGACATCGTTCATTCATACACTTTCGATGACTTATACATAATCTACATAATAAATTGAATATCGTGAGGAAACCAGGACTTATAATTTCACAATTATAGGTTTGACATGACCAACCCGTCTTGAACAAGCGTGGTGATATTGTATTCCCAAAGAAGGTTGATGTCAGGCAGGCGTCCGGTAATAAAAACAATTAGCCAAAACTATCCACAACATGTAAGTCAGACCCTGGCTAAAACTGGGAAATTGCCAGGAAGAAGAATCTACATATATTAAATAAAATGCTTTCACCATTTTATATAAGGAAAACCGTCGCATTTAATAGTATAAACATTACTATTGTAGTATAAATACGGGTTTTTCTCAGAAATTACCCACTTAATATAACTGCTACATTGAAAATCTTGATAACGTATTTATGAGCTTGGTTTTTGAACAAAAATTTAAAGATTAACAATAAGAATTTAACACATTATCTTTTGTGAATCAAAACATCTTGAGGAATCCTGGACTTATAATTTCACAATTATAAGTTTGAAATCGCCAACCAGTCTTGAGCGAGTATGGTGATTAATGCTCAAACCTTCTCCATGTGAGAAGAGGCCCAGCAGTGGGCTCTGATAGGCTGATGACGACATTATCTTTAATATCACTTCTGCAGTTAACGGATTTTTTAACTAAAACTTTATACAATTCAAATATTAAACTATCAAATAACTATAGTAGTATTTAATATATCGGTCTCTACAATAAATTAACTTGTTTAAATGAACTACTTTTTCGTATACTACACGTTTTTTATTATTTTAAACTACATACACATTCGGTTTCTTTACATCAACCGTGATTACGGTCAGACGAGATAAAGGGTCTGTTCGTTAGTCTTGTAATTTGTCATTTATCGAAAATAATTCCTTCTTTAACAATGAGAAATTAATAACAAAAACTTTAAATACAAGAAAAGCTTAGTTTCATTTAAATACGTACACGTGAAATCTTAAATATCTTTATAAATTTGCTCTTTATAAATTGATATAGTTATTTACTGATGCCTGGTCTTGTAATTATTTGAAAGCTGTTTAAAATCTTTGGTGTCACAAATTGACCCTTTCACAAAGAGCTCTTCAAATAACTGGACTCGTTAAAGCGTGCTAAATATGAAGATAATTACCTTACAAAAATAATCCACAATACAAAATTTAAACAAGTATACTAAAAAAACACAATACTCAAACCTACTTAAATAAAAACAAAACTCAAATAGCAACAGTCCAGAGTATAACAATATAAATAAAAAGCACACAATATCAAAGTAAGTATGTCAAAAAAACATATTAACTGTTTTTAAGTATAATATGATGAATATTTCATAAGAAATTACTATTAAAACATTATTTTGATATCGAATTCACTATTGAGATTGTATATTGTACGTCACTTAACAAAATCTGGGTTTTTACGCTTACCTAAACATGTTTGTACGCGCCCTCCCACTTCGATGGCTTGTAGCTTACTAACTAGTGAGTGACTCGAATAAATGTCAAGATATTATCTCTTTATTTCGTTTGTTTTCCTCGTTCTCATATATAAATACTTTAATTATAAGTTACATTCATATATCAAAAAATATTCTTATTGTGATATGTTAATTAATTCATTAAAATATATGTATAAGCTTTGCTATTTTTATATTGGAGTATTTTTTTTGACTTACAAGGATTAAGAATGCAAATTGTGAATCAAATCAGCAACTCGGTATACTTTTAAATATTATTCAAAAACGAATGAATGAAATTGAACTTAATTGCAATAACTTTAAAAACTTTAAACGTTTAAATTAACCTAATATAGCAAGAAAATCGTAATAGAATACATTTTATGTCCAAAATTAATGTAAATAACAAAAAAAATGTTAAAAGTATCTGTTTTGACTTCAATATAGTTTTGTCAATTGACTAGTATTGGTTAGCTCAAAATAGTGATTAGACGCGTGTAACTATGTTTAGGTGAGACAGATTTGTTAATTTATTACGTCTTTCTATACTAATATTAATTTATGGACATAATTGTCGAATATATTTTTATAATGAGTCATAATTTATATAAAACTCATATGTACATTGTAAATATATGAATTATAAGGATAATTTAGAATTTGTTTTATCAAATTTTGTTTAAGATATTTATACAATATTTATGGAGGCGTATGTAATTAAAATATATATTTAAAATGTTTACTTAAAACTTGAGTTTGTAACGGTTTTTCTTTTAGTGGTATTTATTCTTCTTCCTGGCAGTTTCCCAGCTTTAGCCAGGGTCTGCTTTACATGTGGTGAATAGTTTTGGCTAATTGTTTTTTACGACCGGCCGCCTGCCTGACATCAACCCTCTTTTGGAAACCCTCTTTTAGTGGCTTTTATTTCTTATAGATAATATTAAAGTTTTTTTCATAATTGTCATTGCTCTATTATTTTCTAAAGATATTTGATTTCTCAAACAATCAACGATAAATCTTAGCTTATTTTTCAATATCTTTGTACATATTTAGGTATATTTTTATTTCAATATCTTGTTTAAACGTTTTATATTGAAAAATCAAAATATTTGCCAACAATTAGTTTTTAGTACTCAAAACATAGAAAGTTTATAATCCTTATATTTCTTTTCAGATATACAATAATAGTTTTACTAAGTATTGGAGTATTTTGTCAAAGAGACGAGAAAATAACGACGAATGATGGAATAAATTTAGATCCAGTGAATTACCGTGAGTGACATATTAAGGATAAAATAAATTTCAATAGTTTGTTACTGAATTGTAACTAAGGAAAATAATCTTTATAGCCATTTGTCATTTGTTTTGATGTGTATATATATTTGTGTATTTCTGTGTGTATATATATATACCTATATATATACTAGCTGACCCGGCGGACTTCGTATCGCCCGTATCAAGAAGTATCTGTTACCTTTTATCTCGATGAAGTTAATTTATTTTTTAAGTACTAGCTTTCCGCCCGCAGCTTCGCCTGCGTGGAGTTCGGGTATATCGCGTTTCCAAGAGAACCTATCAAAAGTCTGGGATAAAAACTATCCTATGTTCTTTCTCAAGGTCAATTCTATATCTGTAGCAAATGTCATTAAAATCAGTTCAGTGATTTAGTGAAAGCATAACAGACAGACAGAGTTACTTTCGCATTTATAATATTAGTAGGGATAACTGACCCGACAGACAATGTTCTGTCTACTTAACTGTGATTATTGAATTCTAATTGGCATATTAATAAATCAAAAATTACTCCAAAACAAAGTGATTATTATTCTAATGCTTTAACTACGTGAATATTACTGTCAGTGACACATTATTTTAATAAAAAAGTGAAATATTCTACTTATTCTTTTTTTTCTAGTAATTTTCGTAATTATTTCTTTCATAAGAACCTTCTCCTAATAATAACATATAATAAAAAAAGAATTAGTCAAATCGGTCCAGCCATTACGCGTGATGCCTTGACCAAGGGAAAACGGGATTATATATATATATATATATATATATATATATATATATATATATATATATATATATAATTTCTTTTTCCTTATTTATTTCTAAAGAAAGTTATTTTTCTCTCTCATAGATTTATGCAATCCTTTTTTTATTGATATTTACATTCAAACTAATTTATTTATTTTCATATATTTATATGTACATATATATATTACCTATTTATATGTTACAGAAAATAACGACACAGAAGAAGATTCTGCTCTTGATTGGGTAAACAAGATTATATCTGAATCAAAAATAAACAAAATTAACAAAGAAGAAACTAATTTACATCCAGAAAAAGGTAAAGTTGGAGTTAAATATATGTATATTTCAACGAAAACATAAAATACAGGGTGACTGGTGAATTACTCTCGATATTTGAGGACGTGATATTTGACGATCATATATGACAAAATAAAAATTAATATAACATAAATATTAATAAACTTCTAAGTAAAGTTAACCAAAAGTTATGTAATTAATTACGCATCGTATGAACACCCTACAGATTAGGTATACACACACACTCACACACTCGCGCGCGGCGGCGTGTTGTTGTATCAGCACGCCGCCGCACGCGTACACACTTGGAACACTTGGAACGTGTACACACTTTATTTATTTATACGGAAATTTGGTCAAAAATTAAGTACCTATTTTTTTTACATAATTCGAATGAGAATCATGTACCGAGTATGCTCCTTAAATATTGATAGTAATTCACCAGTCACCCTGTATATAGTGACGAAATCTCTCATCGTTCAATGTATTCACGGTGCGTGTGTCGGGTCCATCGTTGTAGTGTGAGGAGCTTCAACAGGGACTGTGACTTGTGACCCAGGTGTAGGTTTAACATTTTTCTTTAATTTTTACGTATTCTACCCGAAAGGACTTGGGCCTGTCCAGAACTAACATACATATATTCATTCTGAGAATACTTCAATGGCAGTCCTAGTAGGTTCGTTTCAAATTTGTTAAGAGAGAGGAGCTTGTACAGTGGAGGTGAGCGTTTAATGCGTTAGATAGGGTCTCTTAAACCTACACCTGGGTCACAAGTCCCAGTCACTGTTGAAGCTCCTCTCACTACAACGATGGACCCGACACACGCACGGTGAATACATTGAATGATGAGAGGTTTCGTCTCATTACCTAGAAAATTAATTAGCAGATTTAATTTATAATTATTTCTTATGGATTCAACTTGTATAAAAACATTTATAGTTTAATACTAGAATAAGTTAAACGATATCTTTTTTAACCCAATCTTTTGAACTTGCCACTGACGAATTATAGTAATGTAACTCATAATTGTAAAGACATAACAAGCATTACATTTAGTGCAATTTATTACACTAGTTTTTGCCCGCGACTTCGTGAATGTTAATTTCGGAATTAGTAATACATGTATAGCTGACCGGCCGAACTCTATTCCGCCGTAAAGACCGTAAATAACCATTTCGATTGAACATAATTAAATATCCTATGTCCATCTCCTGGTTCTAATCTATCTCCACCAATTTTCAACCATATCCGTACAGCCGTTCTTGAGTTATAAATAGTGTAACTAACACGACTTTATGTTATACATATATGTAGTATAAAGATTTATAGCAATTTACATGATATATTTAGCAAAATTCAGATTATCTAAGTGCATTTCGTTTGAAAAAGGCTTTGATATCCCAAAACATTGACTTCGCATGCACAATTTCATCCAAAAATCTTCGATTTAATTAGTTTTTGCGCTATTAATAATCTAAAATATATTATATTTCAGTAACAAATATAAATTGCACTACGAGTGATAACAGAAGTGGAACTTGTGTGCTGTACTATCAATGTGATGAAGAGACCAATACTATTATAGATGATGGAGCGTCCATAATAAATTTTAGGTAACGTATGCAAAAGAAAGGAAATTAAAATTAAATGAAACTAATATTTTTCGGACATCCTACGCGTGCTTTATAGGGGCCCCTTAAACCTACACCTGGGTCTCAAGTCCCAGTCACTGTTGAAGCTCCTCTCACTACAACGATGGACCCGACACACGCACCGTGAATATATCGAATGATGAGAGGTTTAGTCTCTTTGTAAAAAACTACATACTTCAAACGTTTAGGCTACATTTTAAATAGATGTCATCTCGTCTGACCGTGGTCAAGGTTTTTTATGTAGTATCTTACAAAAATAAAGTACGAGTAGTAACCCGAAAAATATTAGTTTCATTTAAATGAATACTCGCGAAAGTCTTAGATCTCAACTGTTCGATAGCGAGTCTATTGATGAAGTGCATCTAAAAGGAATGGACGCTTGAAAGTTGAAGGGTTTTCACGCTCAGGCATATTTTAGATCCATTTATGAGACTAATTGAATATGGAAGTAATTATTTTATTGGGATTGAAAGGAATAAGAGATTTATGCAATGAGCTGTAACAGCTGTAACTGTTTCATTTAATTGAGCTGTAATAGCTTTAACTGCTACTTTATTCTCATCTTCTATGAATTATTAAAGTTTTTTCCTGTCTCAAAGATTTAGTTAATATAGTCAAACATTAACAAAAATAAGATTAGGATGTTGTTATTGGGACATATTTACAAAATATAGCTTCTCTTTATGATAGCAATTAGTTGAACATTTTAAATGAGTTTCCTCTGAAGTTTTAGAAATTTTGGCTATGATATTTTTTTGTTTGATTCTCAGTCAATTTATATGAATCCCTGATTTTAATTTGTTAAATAAATATGCATTTTAAACACAGAACGGAGGCTGCCTGTCCGCATTATCTCAAAGTCTGTTGTGGCTTGGATAAAATTAAAACAGACGGTAAACCAAATATCATACGAAGAGTTAGTAATAACGAGTCCAGCCAAGAATTGGATTCTAAGGACGACTCCAACGACAGAAGTGCTGAAGGTGAGCTATTAAAATTACATTAAATTTAAGCTAATGTTACAAAAAAATTAACACAAATTGGAAAAAAATATGATACAAAATCGGTTTAGAGTTTAGACACCCCTGATAGACGGTGAAGGAAAACATCGTGAGGAAACCTGGACTTATAATTCTAATTATAAGTTTGAAATCACCAACCCGTCTTGAGCGAGCGTGGTGATTAATGCTCAAACCTTCTCCATGTGAGAAGAGGCCTTTGCTCAGCAGTGGGCTCCGATAGGCTGATGATGATGATGTAATCGTTTTAATTTCTTTTTATAATTTAGTTGACTTTGAGAAATGCGGTTGGAACAATCCAGCGCTTTACGTATTTCAACCAAAAAGAAACAATTCTGATTCTGAACCGTACTACGCAAATTATGGGGAATTTCCTTGGATGATAGCTGTCGTAAGGTAAGAACATTTCAAATCATTTTCACTGAAACTATTGAGGAAAATGAGAAAAAAATCAGTGCAAAGTCATAAAAGATTGGATGTTATCAATAAAAGCACATTATGATCCTATTATGCTGAATTTATTAACCCAATTTATAAAACTTTTATATTTAACTTTTCCACTTACTTTCTTTGCAGTAATCGTTAAAAGACATTGAAAAGAAATTGTATTTGCTAAATGAATAATATTATTTTTAAAACAATATTACAGTTTTTGCTTCTTTGAAACAGTAAACATGACGGGTTATATCATTAATATGTAACGAAATTTCAACATTAATTTCATTTAGGAGGTCCAATGATACTGATCTTTGGGCAAGAAAAAATTACGTTGGCGGTGGGACTCTCATACATCCGAAAGTAGTTCTGACTGCGGCACATATAGTTCAGAATAAGAACCCCGATGACGTAAGTTTAATGCTAACAAAAACAATTTACAATTCCAGTTATCTACATTTATATACTATCCAAGCTTAATTTTTGATGGAAATGGGATTTTTTTTGAGTTTTTGTTGGTCCTCTTAAAAATTCTAACTAATAATTCAGATTATTCTTTCAAGCTGAAATGTCGAGCTGGCGAATGGGACACTGAAGTAACCTTCGAAATATTTCCGCATCAAGAGAGAAATGTGAAAAAAATTATCATCCACCCAGAGTACTATAGACGTAGGTATATTTTATTATACATAGTTCTACCAAAATGAAGAGCATCATCAGGTATTTTTCTTTCTACAGCATCTCTATACAACGATATGGGACTTCTGTTCTTGGAAGAATCATTTGAACTGCATTTCGCTCCACACATAGGTCTGGCTTGCGTTGGGAATAGCCTCCCACCTCCCGGCACTATTTGCTACGGAATGGGCTGGGGCAGGAAAATCGACAAGAAGTACGCGATAATTCTTAAAAAAGTAAGAATTTTCTTACATTTTTTTCGTCATTTGCACTGTATTAATCATTTCTCTCAATCAGATGCGACTTCCGTTGGTAGAAAGGCAGGAGTGTGAAGGTCTTCTACAGAGCATACGTTTGGGTCCGTTTTTTCAACTGCACGATTCACTGACATGCGCCGGTGGGGAAGATCGTATGGATATGTGCAAAGGAGACGGAGGTTCATCATTAGTATGCCCTATTCAGGTAAACTGGTGAATACTCACACTTGTAGTTCAAATATATTATAAAAATTAGTACTTCATTAATAATTTTTTGGGCTTTTTATCGTTATTGCTTGTCATTAGATGTCTAATAACTCAAGAACGGCTGTACGGATTTGAACGGAAATTTGTAAGAAGGAAAGTTGGAATCAGGAGGCAGACATAGGATACTTTTGAATTAATTTGACAAAAAAAAAATCTAATAAAATCCATAATCTGTTTATATACTGTCTCTAAATCTAAACAGTTCGTCTGGTCATCTATATATTTCTAATTATGAAACTAACGCGAATAAAGTCGCTGACAAAACTTAGTTATTTAATATATATATATATATATAAGAAAGGTAGCAAACAAGCAGTTTCCTATTATTACTTCACACCGATCTGTGAGAGGGTGGTACTTCCCCGGTCGAGCCAGCCCATGTTCGAGCTGTAGTAACTTGACCACAGCTAGGCTCTACAATCTTAAGTATATTCTACCAGCTTAATAAATATTTTGCTCTATTTTTTACAGACCTATGATAGAAATGTCAGATACGCTATGTTTGGAATGGTAGCATACGGTCTGGGTTGTCACTCAAGGAAAATTCCCGGAGTTTTCGTGAACGTGCCGAATCTGAAATCATGGTTGGACAGCACTATGGAGTCTGAGGGATACGCAAAAGATACATACACTTACTAATTTAATATAGAAATTTTGAAAATAAACGTTGTTTTTTTATATAAAAGTTGATAATGAATCTTAAATAACGATCATAAGGTGCGAAACCGAATTTCTGTTCATTTTTTATGTGTTTATAGGAACTATTATTCAAATTTAGTGAACATTTTTATCTAAAATGAGTGATAACCATGCACATACATATATTGATACTCACAAACAAGTTCCTCTATAAAAAGAAGTGAAGTGTCCTTTGGAGTAAATACTTCAATAAAAGTTCTTGGCGACCTATTATAATGAGCTGGTCATTGACTAATTACCTCGTTTCTGACCAGATTATAAGACCTCTTTGTGGAAGGATTTCTAAGAGTTTACAAGAGAGTTAGACTGGTCACGTGCACATACAAATTTGATGAATTTTTCATAGTTGTCAATCGAATACTAGAATTTAGTGCTTGCTACTAGCCTTGTTACTTCTTAACCCTTACGCAAGGACATGTTAGAGGTTTATGTATGCATGCGTGCATGCGCTGTATAGGAAAGTGCTGTGAAATGGACCAAATTATGTAAATGCGGTTTTTTGCATTTCAAATTACTCTTTATAGTGGGCCAATGGCCATATTTGGTTTATGTATCCCAAGCAATTTGAAAGCACCATCTCTTTTCAAAATGATTTATCTTTATGGCATTTTAGGCTGTTGATTATTCGAAGTGCCTGACATGGGCCCGTATAATTGTTGTATGAAAATTAATGCGTAATCTTTTTTAAATTGAAATTGATTTTATAAAATAACATTGTGGCGTCAAGACTACATATAAATCATTACTGACTACTGACAAGAATGTTAAATGTATTTTGTTCTACATATTCCATAAACGAGATATCTTTGTTCGTCATCTCCTCGTATTTCCCGTTTTGGATTTATACTAAATAAATTTCCTTATTCTTAATGTAGAACATCATCATCAGCCTATCAGCCCACTGCTGAGCAAAGGCCTCTTCTCACATGGAGAAGGTTTGAGCATTAATCACCACGCTTGCTCAAGACGGGTTTGTGATTTCAAACTTATAATTTGAAGTTATAAGTCCAGGTTTCATCAAAATGTTTTCCAGCATCTGTCAGTGGTGTCTAAATAGTCTTAGAAAGTACATAGACTCAGCAGAACCGCATTGGTACTTCTCAGGTTTCGAAAATTCGAACCCGCGCCCTCATGTACGACGACCACGACGAATGTAGAATTAGATTCAAATTGTATTTGTAACAAAATTTTCACTCATGGTGTATTAAAAGGGATAAATAATTCTTAAATTTGAGAAAATGATAATATAGCAGTGTGCTTACCACATTGACATACTGTTTCCTGTATTTATTTATATCGTCATACAAACACAAGGTACGCCAATATGACAGGTCTTAATAATCTTCTATATATATAAAAATGGATTGCTGTTCCTTAGTCTCGCTAAAACTCGAGAACGGCTGAACCGATTTGGCTAATTTTAGTCTTCAAATACTCCTGAAAGTTCAGGGAAGGTTTAAAAGGTGAGAAAAATTGGAATAATTGCTGGGAAAACCCTAAAAACAGCCCTTTTCTATTTCCCATACAAACGTTTTTTTTGACATTAGATTTGACAGCTAACTAATATGTCAATCATTCTGTTTGTTTGAAAGAGGAAAAACCTGATTATTTATGGCCTCTAAGACGGAATAGAGTTCGCCTGGTCAGCTATACCTATATTAGTCTTGACCAAACTAACGCGGACGAAGTCGCGGGCAAAAACTAGTATTTTAAAGATTTTTCTTGTATGTATCAAACAAATGACTGTGAAGATTATAGCATCTTCTTATAACTTTGATTCTTCTAATTCAGTCTATAAGAGAAGAGAAGTTTGGAAAGCACCATTTAGTTTTAAACTTTCTTGTTAAATATTAAAATACAGTACTAGTAGGTTCGTTTCAAATTTGGTTAGATTTTGGAGCTTGGACGGGGGAGGTGAGCGTTTAACGCGCGTTAGATAGGGGCCCCTTAAACCTACACCTGGGTCACAAGTCCCAGTCACTGTTGAAGCTCCTCTCACTACAACGATGGACCCGACACACGCACGGTGAATACATGGAATGATGAGAGGTTTCGTCTCTAACTTGTAGCCTTTTGACTTAAAGAAATATAAGCTACACATGTAGGCTCGGTACAAAAACAAATGTCATGTTTGTATTAATTATGCTAAATAGGAATATAATTAATTACAATACTGATTAAAATGCCAAGAGTATTTTAAGTTTTATCCTGTTACAAAGTACATTTATATTAAAGGTATTCTCGTGAGTCGTGTACTATATAATGTCTATCGTAAATATTTCTTTTGAAGCATTTGTTTGATAAACTAGAGGCAGCAGAAATTACGAATATAGGTATATATACAAATTTGTCTTGAAATCAAAAATATCGTTTTGTAGTAGAAAGCTTATATTCTTTATGTTATTATGAAATCGCAAGTAAAAAAACACAAGATAATTCAGAGCTAAGCATTTTAACATGTTGATATGCTGAAATATTATTTAGATTGTAACGTAAGCACTACATATGAAAAAATAAATGAACATCGCCGGGTCGAAATAGTTGTATGTATAAAATATATAACGAGTGACGCCGCTGACTCCGCGGAACGAACACCAAGCCGTGTGAACCAGAAGACTCCTGATACACACAAGCTATGGAATGGTATTGCTATCATAACATCGGGTCAATCATGTAGTCTTAGGTGTAGGTTATAAGTTTTAATATGTAGTTCTTATATACATATAAGTATGTTTCGTAGTTTTCCTGGAACCTCCAGTTGCCAGCGTACATAATTAGATTACAACACTCTCAAAAATAACAATTGAAGAAGTTCAATAGATTTTTCGTATACTTTATTGTTTCATTTTAATTTAAGTCTAAAAATGGCACAATTACAACAAATTTAAAATATACATCAGTACAACCAAAGTAGATTATACAAAATACATTCTTATCAAATTGAATTTTCAAAAATATGATTAATGATAAACAAGCTTCTAAAAATAATAATAATTAAATAACTACCTTTATTACATTCGACAAACTCTTTTGTGTTTCCACAAAGTACTCAAGATTATAATTCGTCCAACAAATAAACACGTTGACTGATAAAATGTTAAACGATTCTAGTGCTAATGAAGCCTTAGCATAAAAATAAACAAGCGTATTAAAATGAAAGATAAAAGCTATATATTATATTTAAGAAAATTATAGAATTTCTAATTAGTCATACTAAAAAGAATACGTCAATTGACTGGACATTAAAATTTCAAGTACTTATTTTCAGTCCACTTTATTTCAATTCTGTTATTATGTATATAGGTATTTTAAAAAAAAAGACGAAAATAATAAAATATTTTACATGAAAGATAAAATTGTATATTATGTCAAAAAGAATATGTAGTTTTATTCAAGAAGCTACAAGTCTTGGGTTCTATCTCCTATCTTCTTTGAAGAAGTAAATATCTATCATAATTTCAATCTACACTTATAATCTTTTGTTACTTTAAAATTAAATGTCACAATAAAAATAAGATCTCAGATTGAAAAATATATATTTTTTTTAAACCAGCAATCATTTCATCGAAACGGGGTTGTTTTTAAAAGCAATATTTAAAATTGTTTGAAGTAACTACAAAAAAACATTTCAGTATGGCTGGAACACTTATACATATACATATGTAATTATTTTATTATACAATTATTAAAATTGCTAATTTTTGCCCGTGACTTTGTTTGCGTTAGTTTCAGTAACATAAATGTATAGCTGACGGGACGAATTCTATTCCTTAAAGACAGTAGATAAGAAGATTTTGTATTTGACCAACTTATTTTTTTTTCAATGGTATGAAAAGTATCCTATGTCCTTTCTATGTTCTAAGCTATCTTTCCACCAATTTTCAACCACATCCCTACAGTCGTTCTTAAGTTATAAATAGTGTAACTAATACGACTTTCTTTTATATATAGATAATATAATACATACATTGATTTTGAATATTATGTATAAAATCTTCTTCCTGGCAATTTCCCAGCTTGAGCCAGGGTCTGCCTTACATGTGTGAATAGTTTTGGCTCATTGTTTACGACCGGCCGCCTGCCTGACATCAACCCTCTTTGGGAATGCATTAATCAGCGATGTCTAAATACTCTTAGAATGTACATATGACTGGGAAAAATCACATTGGTACTTGCCAGATCGAACCCGCACCCTCATGCTTGATAGGCGGGAATTTAACCACTAGGCAACCACGAGTATTCTGAAATAAAATGTACCATTTGAAAAACCCATTACGTATATGTGAACCTAATAAAGAGTAGTAAAAGGTCATCGTTAAATGTTTACTTTTAAAAGAGATAAGAGTTATTTTAGATAATAATATACTTTAATAAATTTTATATATATATATATATATAGGTGGGTTCTGATAGGCTGATGATGATGATGATTTTAAAATGGAAACGTCCTTTGAACTATTTTCATAATAAAAAATTGGCTTAATATTGTGCATTTGTACAAGAAACGTAAAAATAGCCTGTCTTTCAAATATAAATTTACTTAAAGATAATAAAGATGAAATGCGTGGGTGATGCTAAAAACCTGTTCATATAAATGTATATATTGCATATGTTTGAATGTAACTTCATTTATTCACGATTCCCGAATCATTATAACTTGTTTGACCGGTCTCAATTGTATTACAACTTCACACTTAAAATGATTTTACACAAATAGTTGTTTACTTTGGAGGAAGCCAGAGTCGGTCAACTTGGCCAGATTGCCTTGGTAACCATGATGCCAGTAAAATGAACGAGAATGGACAGCGTTTGCTGGAGTTTTGTTCAAATCACAAAATATGTGTTACCAACACATACTTTAAAAGCAAATTTATGCATAAAGTTTCATGGAAGCATCCACGTTCGGGTCACTGGCATCAACTGGATCTGATCCTGACGCGAAGGAAAGACATTCGCTCTGTCCTTCATACACGTACATATCAGAGCGCTGACTGTGACACAGACCACTCTCTTGTAGTGACAAAAACAGCAATGATTCGCAAAAGAATCTATTCGTCTAAACCTCCTGGAAACAAGAAAATTGATTTAAGTCAAATCAGGATTGGCAAAAAAGTTGAATCCTTTAAGGAGTTGGTATGCTCAAAGACCTTGTCTTGGGAACAGAACGCACCACTGCAGGAGGAATGGGATCGTGTCAAAGAAATTCTTACGGAGTCTGCAGGCAAAGCTTTCGGGTATCCAACAGCGAATACTGAGGACTGGTTTTCACAAAATATAGAGCACCTACAACCATTGCTCGGCTCAAAACGACTTGCTGCCCTTAAGCACCGCTTTTCAAATGCGTTGTATGCGCAATATCTTGGGAGTTACGTGGAAGGACAGGATCACAAATGAAGCAATCCTAGCGAAAGCACAACTGCCTAGTCTCAGCGCCCTCCTTAAACAACGTCGTTTGCGCTGGGTGGGACATGTGCACCGTATGGATGCTTCTAGACTACCTAGAAAGGTCTTTCTGGGTGCTGTAGCGAATGCCAAGAGAAATATAGGACGTCCGTTGCTACCCTTTAAAGATTGTGTCAAGCGAGATCTCACTTCCTTTGGTATCGAGAATAGGGAATGGGAGAAACTCGCGGAAGACAGGGATCGATGGAAGCTTCGGATTGCACAAGGGGTCAAGCTACACGACACAGCGTGGTTCGAAAAACTCGCCACCAAAAGGGCCAAACAGCAGGACAGCAATAACATGCCAGCAGGCGCATCTGTTGCGTTATGCGCCTGTTCCAGATGCGGCCGGTCTTGCCGTTCCAGAATCGGTCTGCATAGCCACCAACGAAAGTGTCTATTATAATCACACACTCTCATTAATCATCTGTAATAGATTAAAAGGCCAATGATGATCCCTACTAATATTATAAATGCGAAAGTAACTTTGTCTGTCTGTCTGTCTGTTACGCTTTCATGCCTAAACCACTGAACTGATTTTAATGAAATTTGGTACAGAGATGGGATAACCTTGAGAAAGAACATAGGATAGTTTTTATCCCAGAACTCCACGCGGGCGAAGCTAATTCGGGAAGCTAGTATATATACATAATTAAATTGCGATATAATATTATATGTCATATATTCCCATATATCTGGGAAATACGTCCACAATCTTTATACAACTTGTTTTACTAAAGCTAGTCAGTTGTTTGTCACGTTTCTTGGCAACCGGTGGTCAAAATGAAGTAAGATCTTTGAACAGTGACGTTTTCCCGCTATTTAATTAATTAATATGCAATTTTAGATTAATTACAGTGTCATAGAATTGTTATAAACTCATCCAATTTAATTCAATGTTATGTTTTCCGTAAAAAATATATAAATTAATGATTTTGTATGAAAAAATTGCTATTTTTCGTTCATATATCTCCAAGGCCGATATATTAATTATTTGTTTGACCTTATGTGTTATATTTTTAATTCTTATTTGTAAGATATGTGATGGACTGTTTCATTAAGTCTCATATACATATGTACTTACATAAGCAGTGTGAATTTATTTTATACGCTCGTTGTAATCACAAATATACTCACAAATACATTGTTAAGACAAAATTTTAAAACGATTTTTGATCTTTTTAATTTCGGCAAAATGGATTCCCTTGAATTATGACAAATTTATTACTTTATTTACCATTATTATTTGATTGCAATTAAATATTCGTTTTTTGCGGACTATCTTCAAGCAATAATACGATACTTGCTTTTCTTTCCAGATTAATATTACCATTCCTCATCGTGTCACTTGTGTCTACGAGTTTCGAAGCAAGTATATCCTTCCCTAATGATAAACTGGATGCCGCGACTGACTGGTTGAACAGAGTTTATGAAATGAACAACACTGGAGCGGTTTTGGATAGATTTGGTAACAAACAACAAGGTAAGAATCTTATTTACACACACACACACACACACACACATAAACATATATATGAGATGAAACCTCTCATCATTCAATGTATTCACCGTGCGTGTGTCGGGTCCATCGTTGTAGGGAAGAGCTTCAACAGTGCCTGGGACTTGTGACCCAGGTGTATGTTTAAGAGGTCCCTATCTGACGAGGTAAACGCTCACCTCCTCCGTCCAAGCTCCTCTCTCTTAACCAAATTTGAAAAGAACCTACTAGGGCAGCCTTCGGATTTAAAAATGGTCCTAAAAATACAAATAGTTTTTTGCCAGTAAATCTAATACTTTTTGAACTTAACTGTCGCAGTTAAGTTTTAATCAATATTTAATCATTTACTCATAAATAAATTGCAACTAATCGAATGCCATAATTTCGACGAATTTCGTATGGAGCATGTTTTTAAAGGAATATATTTTCTTTCAGAACCCACAGAGAGATTTTGTGTATCGTTAAAGCAAAGAAACGGCACCTGTGTTGCTAAAGAACTGTGTTTGGAACATGAACCAGATGTTGATCCTACAAAATTATTCATTCCCAGGTATAATTGTAATATTGAAATAACAGTTTTTTACTACATGCTCATTAATATATACGATAGATACACAAAAATAAGATTTTTTTTACAATTTTTGTCTTTCTGTCTGTTTGTTCCGGCTAAACACTGAAATTGCTGGACCGATTTTGACGGGACTTCGACTGGTATGTAGCTGATGTAATAAGGAGTAACTTAGGATACTTTTTGTCTCGATAACGAAGTAGACGTTATCATGTTTGAGGCTCTTAAGAGTTTTCTCATTATATTTTGTTTGTACTTTTACGCAAAACGGAGTAGCGGGCGGCAGCTAGTAATAAACATAATATAACATTTTTATTAGAAGTATTTAAAATATTGAATTAAAAAGTTCAGTTTTAACAACCAACACCATACTTTTTTGTGATTAGGTTTTTATTAAATACGGAACTAAATAACAGGATAATTTATCACAATGATACATTTTTGTATCATTTTGTTAATAACAAAACGTTATAAAAGTGTTTAATACTTAGTAATTTTATTTTTGAATTGCCAGACTTATTATTTCTTCAGCTAAGTCAAACTAAAAGTGATAACACAGACAAAAGCGTAAGCATTGGCAAAATATTCCACTATTCCAGTGCGAATGAAGCCACGTCTAAAAAAATGATTAGTAAAGTATATTTTTCTGGCGTTTATAATATTTTTTCTTTTATAATAATTGTATTTTCTAGAGAAAGGAGTGCTTGCACCCCATCTGAGTACTGTTGCTTTAAGAGTTCGTTAACAAAGGCTAGAGAAGTACCTGGGGAGACTTCCAACAAGTCTGGTACAGGTGAAAAGAGTTTTTTGATTTTTTTTCAAATATTTCTATTTAAGTACTTCTTCTTATGTAAATTTTAAGATACAGTAGGTAATTTCCACGTAACTTTTTCCGTATTGACTATTTCATAAAAGTTTCTTTCAATTTAATGATATTTAAGCTTTTTCGAGTTTATATACATTTAAATGAAACTAATATTTTTCGGATATTCTACGTGACTTCATTTTGTAAAAAACATTAACATTTCGTCTGTCCGTGATCACGGTCGCTGTAAAGTAGCCAAAACGTCGAGAGTATGTAGTTTTAATCAAAAATAAAGTCGCGTAGTACATCCGAAAAATGTTAGTTTTTTCAGTTTGATAGATTATATTTTTTTTATTCAAAACATTATGTAGTAGACATTGTGCTCAAAACTTCCTTTGCAAAGTAATAAATAAATTTATGTCAAATTTCTCTATAACAGGACGTAAGTCGTGTTTGACTGATAAAAGTGAACAAGGAGTATGTGTCAGGAAGTCATCATGCGTCAACGCTGTTCAAACAATTGATCCTACAATGAATTTCAATCTCAGGTACCAAAAAAACTTTAATAATAATCTAATTTAAACGCTATGAACAAAAGACTAGTCTTAGAATTAGTAAAGTTATTGGCACAAAATGAGATCTAAGACTTTCGCGAGTATTCATTTAAATGAAAGTAATATTTTTTGGATATACTACGCGGTTTATTTTTATGAAAAACTACATATTTCCTACGTTTCAGCTAGTTTTCAACAACCGTAATCACGGGCAGACAAGATGTGAATGTCTGTCAATGATCACGGTTGCTGAAAAGTAGCCGAAACGTCGTCAGTATGTAGTTATTCACAAAAATAAACAACGTAGTATCCGAAATAATATACTTTTCATTATTGGTAATTTTTTTTAACAGAGAACGTGACTTATGCCACTATCTGGAGACCTGCTGTTTGGAGAAGAATATCAAAAGGAAAGCCGTGAAACCGATGCGCCAACAAAACACTGGCTGCGGCTGGAGCAATCCTGGAGCTAACGTGTTCAGGAAGAAGAACTCAGCTATAGGTTTTGCAGATTACGGAGAATTCCCGTGGATGGTGGCTTTGATCAAGTAAGTGATGGGGCTCGAGCGTATTTCATATTTGAGTCATCAAACAGGATTTAATATGATGAAAATCTCATTCAATTCAGATGACAATTTTATGGCAATTGCGTGGAAAAACTCGTCGAAACTGACACACTTAAAATACAAACTCGAAAGAGTATACAATTACACTCACTTATCTTTGCTTTGTTAAAAGAAATCCATAAGAATCGTGAAATAAGTAACTGATTGAAGTTCGCGAGATCTGTAGCAAAACGTTTTCTAGTTCCTTTTAATTTTATCTTCTTTCTTGCGAGCGACTTAAATAGAAAGAAATTATTAATATAATATAGTAGTCATGATTGTATTTTATCAAGCAATTAGTATATACTCAGAAAAGGTAGTCTATAATATACAGGGCCCATACAAATAGGCATTGCAAAAAAGCTTAAGATTACGTATTTAAAAACGTTAAAGTGAGTCTATTTTGTAGGAAGGGGACTGGAAAAGATGGTTTCAACGAAAGCTACGCTGGTGGAGGAGTTCTCATCCATCCATCAGTTGTCATGACAGCAGCGCATAAAGTTGTTAATTTCAAACCAGAAGAGGTAATAATCAACGAATTATTCAATTTGGGACTCATCAAAATTCTTATAATATCTTGCAAATGTTTCTTTGGATTTTTCAAAACTTAGACTGCATGAATGTCAATGTATTTCCTAAAAAAGAGGGTTGATATCAGGCAGGCGGACGGTCGTAAAAACAATTAAGCAAAATTATTCACAACATGTAAGGCAGACCCTGGCCAAAAAATTTCCAGGTAGAAGAAGATTGTCAATGTATTTCTAAAAATGGTCTTAAAATTCTAAACAAATTCAATAGACCTTCAGATTTATAGAATTTGTTTTAATGCATATTAAATTGCATTATAATAGATAAAAATCCGAGCCGGCGAATGGGATACTCAAACAGATAAAGAAGTAGCACCTTATCAGGAGAGAGATGTTTCCAAGATTATAATACACGAAGGACACAATGACGGTAAGCTTGTATTTCTTTGCTAGTTTTTACCTGCGACTTCGTCCGCGTTAATTTCGGCATTAGTAATATATACATACCTGATAGGGCGAACTCTATTTCGCCCTAGAGACCATAAATAACCAGATATTGGAATTTATTAAGTATTTTATTTCTTTTTCGATCAAACAGAATTAAATATGCTATGTCCGTTTTCTAGTTCTAAGCTATCTACCCACCAATATTTAACCATATCCTTACAGCCGTTCTTGAGTTATAAAAAGTGTAACTAACACGACTTTCTTTCATATATAGGCATGTAGATTTACAAATTCTTCAATATTAAGTCTCCATTTAACTTGTACCGAGGAAGAATAATCTGACCTTGACAATTTTATGGTCGTACCTGAACTATATTATTTGCAGATCTATTGTTGCCACATTCTGACATGAATTTGTCCAATATCCAATTTCCAATGCCCAAGCGTTTTAATTAAATGAAGTAAAACAACAAACTAGTTACACTTGTGTCAGAAACTTTTCCTACACGAATTAGATAATGAACATTTTTATACATAACTTGAAATTATTTTTAGATCAACACAACGATGTAGCGCTTCTTATTCTCAAGTCGCCGGTAGATTTATCAGATGCTCCTCATATAGCTATTGGTTGCTTAGCATCTCGTCTCCCGCCACCTGGAACGAAATGTTTCAGCATGGGTTGGGGAGAAGATTTCCTCAATGACAACAAATACGCCGTCGTTTTAAAGAAGGTATGCCTTTGTTACAGCATATTTGGTTTCGGAAAACTCTTGATAGAAAAATACTTACAAGTACATAGGCTATGTAACCAACACGTCTTGAGCAAGCGTGGTGATTAATGCTCAAAACTTTTCCATGTGAGAAGAGGCCTTTGCTCAGCAGTTCTTTCTGATATGATGATGATTGAACCTGACTGATGAAGTACTTAGTTTAAAGCTAAGTCATTACTCATATTATGACTTATTCCAGGTGGAATTACCTTTGGTAGAAGCATCACAGTGTGAGAGTATTTACAAACGTACGATTCTTTCGAGTGCTTATGTCCTGGATAAAACCTTGACGTGTGCAGGAGGGGAGCAGGGAGTCGATACATGTCATGGAGATGGAGGAAGTCCACTAGTGTGTCCAATTAAGGTGAATAAACCATTATTACACTTAAAACGAACTAAAAACATATAAAACTAAAAGAAAGAAAATTACTAGGAGTATATTTGTCGCAAAACCAAAAATAATTCCTGACTTCATAACTAAATACTGTTGAATAATTTAAAGTAAATAATTGTACGTACTGATCAAATTGTTACTTGAAAGACAAATTCAAATCATGGAAACTAATGAGATCTAAGATTTTCCCGAGTATTCATTTAAATGAAACTAATATTTTCGTATTACTACGCGTTTTTTTATTATTTTAAACTACATACTTCCGACCTTTCGGTTACTTTACAGCAACCGTGATCACAGGCAGACGAGATATTATGTTTAGTAATCCGAAAATATTAATAACTAGCTAAATTTTATCAAAATCGGTTCAGCCGTTTGAGCTTGAGCAAGTAACAAACATACACACATTCGCTTATATGAGGAAAAGTCGAACATTTTCCGGGATAGCGTTGCCAGGCGTCCGGATAAAGCCGGACACAGTTAAACTTTTTGATTGCATGTCCGGCCAAAATAAACGGTGTCCGGCTTGTCCGGCTTTTGTTAGGATTTTTACATTTCACAAACAAAGAAGCACTGCCGCCGCGCCGCCGAGTGTGTTCTTGAATGAAATCAAGTTTCCGATACTATAAGTATCCTATCGCAAAACAACGTTAAAATCAACGATAGCAAATATTTTGACCAACTGCAAAATCTTAAAAGTTTTCTGAATACTAACAAAGAGAACTTTGATTTCAAGAAGCTATTAGCACATAAGAAATGGGTAGCCTATTTTAAATCGATGACAAGTCAGGATTGCTTTTCAGAATTCCTAACTATTTATCAGTATTACATTGCTATCCCAGGACATAACGCAAACGTTGAAAGAGTTTTTTCCTTGATAGCTCAGCAAAGGACGAAAGAACGCAACAGATTACATGTTGATCTCTGTTTCTAATGTAACTGAGCTCTTACAGCAGGTTTCGACTAACCAAAAATATTAATAACTAGTTTTTGCCCGCGACTTCGTCCGCGTTAGTTTGGTCAAGAGTAATATTGTATGTAGGTATAGCTGACCAGGCGAACTCTATTCTCTCGTAGAGGCCATAAATAATCAGGTTTTTCCTAACTAATATGTCAATCATTCTGTTTCAATCAAACAGAATGATTGACATATTAGTTAGCTGTCAAATCTAATGTCAAAAAAAACGTTTGTATGGGAAATAGAAAAGGGCTGTTTTTAGGATTTCCCGGCAATTATTTCCATTTTTCTCACCTTTTATACCTTCCCTGGACTTCCAGGAGTATTTCAAAACTAAAATTAGCCAAATCTGTTCAGTCGTTCTCGAGTTTTAGCGAGACTAAGGAACAGCAATCCATTTTTATATATATAGAAGATTATCTTTATTGTGTAACTCAAAGAGAAAAAGTTTTTTTTTGTTTTATATTTTAACTTAAAGAGAAGTTATTGCTTTTTTTTAATTAAAAAAGTATATATTTTTTTTAGTTTAAAGAACTTTATTCTCATTATGACAACGTCATTTACATGAGAACTTATAACTAACTTGTGTTTTTCTTACTTTACTTATTTGTGTTTTTCTTATTATTTAAGAAAAAATCAAATATGTTGATGAATGTTTAAGTAAGTATCTAGTATTTAATTTTGACTGATGACTATTTGACTGATTAATAATAAAGTACCTATCTAAGACAAATGGGCACTCGATTATAAATATTATTTTACTAGAAATTAACAAGATTTATGATAATAATCAAAAAGACTTGATTTAACATAAAAAAATGTCGTACCTATTGATACTAAGACAAAATCCTCAATAATATAGAGTGTCCGGCTTTTTTAACCTAATGTCCGGCCAAACTGGCTGGTCTGTCCGGCTATTAGGTTTGGCGACCTGGCAACGCTATTCCGGGATGTAATGTAGCCTATGTGTTATTCCTGGACGTCAGCTTCCTGTATACAAAATTTTATCAAAATCGGTTCAGCTGTTTGAGCGTGAAGAAGTAACAAACATACACACACACTCACAAACTTTTGCAATTAGTGAGGATGATTTGCTGGTCTTCTAATCGCTTAAAAATTTTTGCCAAAAAAACTGATTCTTCAATATCATTCTTTCTATTAATCCAGGGTCAGCCTGATAGGTTTGAAGTAGTGGGTCTGGTGGTTTACGGCGTGGCTTGTGGAACTGGAGGTTTACCAGGAGTATATCTGAACGTTCCACAAGTTTACAACTGGGTCGGTCAACAGCTCGAAAAGGAATCGTACGAAAAGACTTCATATGTGTATTAAAAATACTTAAACCTTTATATTGTTTTATTTATTATATATGGTGTTATTATATATATTATATATATAAGAACAAAAGATCGAGTAAGTCTCTTCTTTTGTCAAGGCTCATCACTTTAAAATAGTCTAATCTATCCTGATATGAGGTTATCGTTTTATGAATTTTCCCGGAATATGATAAATGCCATAAAAAGCGTTTTTGAACACGCTCCAGTCTTAAGTAATGGGCAGCATAATGTGAACGCCAGACAACGCTACAATACTACTCAAAGTGACTACGAACAAGACTATTTGTAAAGCGTTATTTTTGTTTTAGCTTCTTTAAAATTTCGACCTTGTCTCATGATAAATTCCAACATTTTTAAAGCTTTTTGTATTACATTATACAAATGATTCATAAAAGTCAATTTTTTATCTAATATAACGCCCAAATCTCTTATAAGATCAACCTTAATAATTAGATTGTAACACAATTAAAAATAATAATTGAAGAACATCAATAGATTTTTCTTTATAGTTCAATTTTAATTTAAGTCTAAAAATAGCACAATCACAACAAATTTAAAAGATACATCAGTACAACCAAAGTAGATTATACAAAATACATTCTTATCAAATAGAATTTTCAAAAATATGATTATATACAAAAGATTTATATAAATTTGTATACAATGAACAAGCTTTGAAAAATAATAGGTATTTGCCAGGATCGAACCCGCGCCCTCATGCATGAGAGGCGGGCCTTTTAACCACTAGGCCACCACTGAATATTATGGTATAAAATATACATTAATAAATATTAATTTGTTTACATTATTTATATCGTATTTCTGAGAATTATTAACAAAACTTCAATCTTCATTTTCCTTTGAGCTTCAAACGTGTTTCATTCCTGCATTCTGGGAAACTAAATCAAAGAATCACGTAAAATTTCAATCATTGGGTTTTTTCATGATTCTTTAAGGAAAATTTCTAATAGGAATTATTGGGAGGGCTTAAAGTACATTGAACTCTCGAAAATTCTGTAGAATAGACTTTAGCATAGTTTTTAAATGTTAACTTTCTTTAATCAAATATACCTATTATCTTATATATAAAATTCTCGTATCACGGTGTTAGAGAGAGAACTCCTCCGAAACAGCTGGACCGATTTTCATGAAATTTTGTGAGAATATTGAGTAGATCTGAGAATCGGCTAACATCTATTTTTCATACCCCTAAGTCTTTAGGATTGTTAACAATTAATTTTTTTAGTTTCAGATTAAATTTTATGTTTTTATTTTTTTATAATGTAGCAGTAAATACATACAACCTTAAATTTGTACTTTTTTATCACCAACCCCCTTTTTATATGGCAAAACAAAGTTTGCCGGGTCAGCTAGTATATACAGGGTGAATGGTGAATTACTATCGATACTTGAGGACGTGATATTTGACGATCATTTATGACAAAATAAAAATTAATATAACATAAATATTAATAAACTTCTAAGTAAAGTTAACCAAAAGTTATGTAATTAATTACGCATCGTGTGAACATCCTACAGATTAGGTATACACACACACTCACACATACGCGTGCGGCGGCGTAGTGTTGTATCAGCACGCCGCCGCACGCGTCCACGCTTGGAACACTTGGAACGTGTCAATATTTTATTTATTTATACGGAAATTTGGTCAAAAATTAAGTGCCTATTTTTTTACATAATTCGAATGAGAATCATGTACCGAGTATTCTCCTTAAATATTGATAGTAATTCACCAGTCACCCTGTATATGTATGTATATATAACATGTATTTATAAATCTTACAAAAGTTAATTATTGTCTAAAATAATTGTTATCTCTTGTAAAAGTAAACATTTAACGATGACCTTTTATTACTCTTTGCTAGGATAGGAACATATACGTAATGGGTTTTTCAAATGGTACATTTTATTTCAGAATACTCGTGGTTGCCTAGTGGTTAAATTCCCGCCTATCACGCATGAGGGCGCGGGTTCGAAACCTGGCCAGTACCAATGTGATTCTTCCGAGTCATATGTACTTTCTAAGAGTATTTAGACACCACTAACAGATGAAGGAAAACATCGTGAGGAAACCTGGACTTAAAATTCCCAATTATAAGCTCGAAATCACCAACCCGTCTTGAGCAAGTGTGGTGATTAATGCTCAAACCTTTTCCATGTGTGAAGAGGCCTTTGCTCAGCAGTTGGTTCTGATAGGCTGATGATGATGATGATTTTAAAATGGAAACGTCCTTTGAAACTATTTTCATAATAAGAAATCGGCTTAATATTGTACATTTGTACAAGAAATGTAAAAAAAGCCTGTCTTTTAAATATAACTTTACTTAAAGATGAAATGCGTGGGTGATGCTAAAAACCTGTTCATATATGTATATGTATATATTGCATATGTTTGAATGTAACTTCATTTATTCACGATTCCCGAATCATTATAACTTGTTTGACCGGTCTGAATTGTATTACAACTTCACACTTAAAATGATTTTAAAAAATAGTTGTTTACTTTGGAGGAAATCGTGTAAATATATAATTAAATTGATATATAATATTATATCCCTACTAATATTATAAATGCGAAAGTAACTCTGTCTGTCTGTTACGCTTTCACGCCTAAACAGCTGAACTGATTTTAATGAAATTTCGTACAGATAGAGTTGACCTTGAGAAAGAACATAGGATAGTTTTTATCCCAGACTTTTGAAAGGTTCTCTTGGAAACGCGATATAACCGAACTCCACGCGGGCGAAGCTGCGGGCGGAAAGCTAGTATATATATTTATATATAATATTATATGTCATATATTCCCATATATCTGGGAAATACGTCCACAATCTTAATACAACTTGTTTTACTAAAGCTGGTCAGTTGTCTGACACGCTTCTTGGCAACCGGTCGTCAAAATGAAGTGAGATCTTTGAACAGTGATTTTTTTCTCGCTATTTAATTAATTAATATGCAATTTTAGATTAATTACAGTGTCATAGAATTGTTATAAACTTATCCAATTTAATTCAATGTTATGTTTTCCGTAAAACATATATATAATTAATGATTTTGTATGAAAAAAATAGCTAGTTTTCGTTCATATATCTCCAAGGCCGATAAATTAATTATTTGTTTGACCTTATGTGTTATATTTTTAATTCTTATTTGTAAGATATGTGATGGACTGTTTCATTAAGTGTTATATATATATATATACAGTATAATTATTATATATATATACAGTATAAAAAAATATACTGTTAAGACAAAATTATAAACGATTTTTGATCTTGTTAATTTCGGCAAAATGACTGTGAATTATTTAAAAACAATAACCTATTATTTTTTTTATATAGTTCTGTTGGATTCCCTAAGATTATGACGAATTTGGAAATACCATCCAATTCCTACGACTCAGAACATATACCATTTTTATATGATAACAACTAAATATTCGTTTTTTGCGGACTATCTTGAAGGAATAATACAATATCTGCTTTTCTTTCCAGATTAATATTACCATTGCTCATCGTGTCACTTGTGTCTACGAGTTTCGAGGCAAGTATATCCTTCCCTAATGATGCACTGGATTCCGCGACTGACTGGTTGAACAGAATTTATGAAATGAACAACACTGGAGCGGTTTTGGATAGATTTGGTAACAAACAACAAGGTGAGAATCTTATTTATACACACACACACAAACATATATATAAGACGAAACTTCTCATCATTCAATGTATTCACCGTGCGGGTGTCGGATCCATCGTTGTAGGGAAGAGCTTCAACAGTGACTGTGACTTGTGACCCAGGTGTAGGTTTAAGAGGCCCCTATCTGACGAGTTAAACGCTCACCTCCTCCGTCCAAGCTCCTCTCTCTTAACCAAATTTGAAAAGAACCTACTAGGGCAGCCTTCGGATTTAAAAATGGTCCTAAAAATACAAATAGTTTTTTGCCAGTAAATCTAATACTTTTTGAACTTAACTGTCGCAGTTAAGTTTTAATCAATATTTAATCATTTACTCATAAATAAATTGCAACTAATCGAATGCCATAATTTCGACGAATTTCGTATGGAGCATGTTTTTAAAGGAATATATTTTCTTTCAGAACCCACAGAGAGATTTTGTGTATCATTAAAGCAAAGAAACGGCACCTGTGTTGCTAAAGAACTGTGTTTGGAACATGAACCAGACGTTGATCCTACAAAATTATTCATTCCCAGGTATAATATACATATACAAATAAATAAAATTTGAGTGTCTGTTTGTAATAATGAAATAACATTTTTTTACTACATGCATATAGGTTTAGAGATCTTTATTTTACAAAAAAAATTGCATATGAATATGTATACGGTACAAACACCAAAATACGTTTTTTTTTAAATTTTTGTCTATCTGTCTGTCTGTCTGTTTATTCCGGCTAATCTCTGAAATGCCTGGACCGATTGTGACAGGACTTTTATTGGCAGGTAGCTAATGTAATAAGGAGTAACTTAGGATACTTTTTGTCACGATAACGAAGTAAACGTTATCATGTTTGAGGCTCTTAAGAGTTTTCTCATTATATTTTGTTTGTACTTTTACGCAAAACCGAGTGGCGGGCGGCAGCTAGTAATAAACATAATATAACATTTTTATTAGAAGTATTTAAAATATTAAGTTAAAAAGTTCAGATTTAACAAACAACACCATACTTTTTTGTGATTAGGTTTTTATTAAATACGGAACTAAATAACAGGATAATTTATCACAATGATACATTTTTGTATCATTTTGTTAATAACAAAACGTTATAAAAGTGTTTAATACTTAGTAATTTTATTTTTGAATTGCCAGACTTATTATTTCTTCAGCTAAGTCAAACTAAAAGTGATAACACAGACTAAAGCGTAAGCATTGGTAAAATATTCCACTATTCCAGTGCGAATGAAACCACATCTAAAAAAATTATTAGTAAAGTATATTTTTCTGGCGTTTATAATATTTTTTCTTTTATTATAATTGTATTTTCTAGAGAAAGGAGTGCTTGCACCCCATCTGAGTACTGTTGCTTTAAGAGTTCGTTAACAAAGGCTAGAGAAGTACCTGGGGAGACTTCCAACAAGTCTGGTACAGGTGAAAAGAGTTTTTTGATATTTTTTTTAACGTTTCTATCTAATTACTTCTTCTTATGTAAATTTTAAGATATGCTAAGTATTTACCACGCAACTTTCTGTATTGAATATGTCATAAAAGTTTCTTTCGATTTAATGAGATCTAAGATTTTTTGAGTTTTATACATTTAAATGAAACTAATATTTTTCGGATATTCTACGTGACTTCATTTTGTAAAAAACATTAACATTTCGTCTGTCCGTGATCACGGTCGCTGTAAAGTAGCCAAAACGTCGAGAGTATGTAGTTTTAATCAAAAATAAAGTCGCGTAGTACATCCGAAAAATGTTAGGTTTTTTCAGTTTGATAGATTATATTTTTTTATTCAAAACATTATGTAGTAGACATTGTTCTCAATGTTCTCAAAACTTCCTTTGCAAAGTAATAAATAAATTTATGTCAAATTTCTCTATAACAGGACGTAAGTCGTGTTTGACTGATAAAAGTGAACAAGGAGTATGTGTCAGGAAGTCATCATGCGTCAACGCTGTTCAAACAATTGATCCTACAATGAATTTCAATCTCAGGTACCAAAAAAACTTTAATAATAATCTAATTTAAACGCTATGAACAAAAGACTAGTCTTAGAATTAGTAAAGTTATTGGCACAAAATGATATCTAAGACTTTCGCGAGTATTCATTTAAATGAAACTAATATTTTTTGGATATACTACGCGGTTTATTTTTGTGAAAAATTATATATTTCCTACGTCTCAGCTACTTATCAACAACCGTAATCACGGGCAGACAAGATGTGAATGTCTGTCAATGATCACGGTTGCTGAAAAGTAGCCGAAACGTCGTCAGTATGTAGTTATTCACAAAAATAAACAACGTAGTATCCGAAATAATATACTTTTCATTATTGGTAATTTTTTTTAACAGAGAACGTGACTTATGCCACTATCTGGAGACCTGCTGTTTGGAGAAGAATATCAAAAGGAAAGCCGTGAAACCGATGCGCCAACAAAACACTGGCTGCGGCTGGAGCAATCCTGGAGCTAACGTGTTCAGGAAGAAGAACTCAGCTATAGGTTTTGCAGATTACGGAGAATTCCCGTGGATGGTGGCTTTGATCAAGTAAGTGATGGGGCTCGAGCGTATTTCATATTTGAGTCATCAAACAGGATTTAATATGATGAAAATCTCATTCAATTCAGATGACAATTTTATGGCAATTGCGTGGAAAAAACTCGTCGAAACTGACACACTTAAAATACAAACTCGAAAGAGTATACAATTACACTCACTTATCTTTGCTTTGTTAAAAGAAATCCATAAGAATCGTGAAATAAGTAACTGATTGAAGTTCGCGAGATCTGTAGCAAAACGTTTTCTAGTTCCTTTTAATTTTATCTTCTTTATTGCGAGCGACTTAAATAGAAAGAAATTATTAATATAATATAGTAGTCATGATTGTATTTTATCAAGCAATTAGTATATACTCAGAAAAGATAGTCTATAATATACAGGGCCCATACAAATAGGCATTGCAAAAAAGCTTAAGATTACGTATTTAAAAACGTTAAAGTGAGTCTATTTTGTAGGAAGGGGACTGGAAAAGATGGTTTCAACGAAAGCTACGCTGGTGGAGGAGTTCTCATCCATCCATCAGTTGTCATGACAGCAGCGCATAAAGTAGTTAATTTCAAACCAGAAGAGGTACGAATTATTCAATTTGGGACTCATCAAAATACTTATAATATCTTGCAAATGTTTCTTTGGTTCTTTCAAAACTTAGACTGCATGAATGTCAATGTATTGCTATTCCTAAAAAAGAGGGTTGATATCTGGCAGGCGGAGGGTCGTAAAAACAATTAACCAAAATTATTCACAACATGTAAGGCAGACCCTGGCTAAAGAAATTGCCAGGTAGAAGAAGATTGTCAATGTATTTCTAAAAATGGTCTTAAAATTCTAAACAAATTCAATAGACCTTCAGATTAATAGAATTTGTTTTAATGCATATTAAATTTCATTATAATAGATAAAAATCCGAGCCGGCGAATGGGATACTCAAACAGATAAAGAAGTAGAACCTTATCAGGAGAGAGATGTTTCCAAGATTATAATACACGAAGGACACAATGACGGTAAGCTTGTATATCTATACCAGTTTTTACCTGCGACTTCGTCCGCGTTAATTTCGGCATTAGTAATATATGCATACCTGATAGGGCGAACTCTATTTCGCCCTAGAGACCATAAATAACCAGATATTGGAATTTATTAAGTATTTTATTTCTTTTTCGATCAAACAGAATTAAATATGCTATGTCCGTGTTCTAGTTCTAAGCTATCTACCCACCAATATTCAACCATATCCTTACAGCCGTTCTTGAGTTATAAAAAGTGTAACTAACACGACTTTCTTTCATATATAGGCATGTAGATTTACAAATTCTTCAATATTAAGTCTCTATTTAACTTGTACCGAGGAAGAATAATCTGACCTTGACAACTTTATGGTCATACCTGAACTATATTATTTGCAGATCTATTGTTGCCTATTACATTCTGACATGAATTTGTCCAATGTCCAATTTCCAATACCCAAGCCTTTTAATTAAATGAAGTAAAACAACAAGCTAGTTACACTTGTGTCAGAAACTTTTCCTACACGAATTAGATAATGAACATTTTTATACATAACTTGAAATTATTTTTAGATCAACACAACGATGTAGCTCTTCTTATTCTCAAGTCGCCGGTAGATTTATCAGATGCTCCTCATATAGCTATCGGTTGCTTAGCATCTCGTCTCCCGCCACCTGGAACGAAATGTTTCAGCATGGGATGGGGAGAAGATTTCCCCAATGGCAACAAATACGCCCTCATATTAAAGAAGGTAAGCCTTTGTTACAGCATATTTGGTTTCGGAAAACTCTTGATAGAAAAATACTTACAAGTACATAGGCTATTTAACCAACACGTCTTGAGCAAGCGTGGTGATTAATACTCAAAACTTCTCCATGTGAGAAGAGGCCTTTGCTCAGCAGTGGGCTCTGATTGGCTAATGATGATGATGATTGAACTTGACTGATGAAGTACTTAGTTTAAAGCTAAGTCATTACTCATATCATGACTTATTCCAGGTGGAATTACCTTTGGTAGAAGCAAAACAGTGTGAGAGTCTTTACAAACGTACGATTCTTTCGAGTGCTTATGTCCTGGATAAAACCTTGACGTGTGCTGGAGGAGAGCAGGGAGTCGATACATGTCGTGGAGATGGAGGAAGTCCACTAGTGTGTCCAATTAAGGTGAATAAACCATTATTACTCCTAAAAAACTCAAGAAAATTGTAGAATTGTACATTTGTCGCAATGCCAAAAATAATTCCTGACTTCATAACTAAATACTGTTGAATAATTTAAAGTAAATAATTGTACGTACTGATCAAATTTTAACTTGAAAGACAAATTCAAATCATGGAAACTAATGAGATCTAAGATTTTCCCTAGTATTCATTTAAATGAAACTAATATTTTCGTATTACTACGCGTTTTTTTATTATTTTAAACTACACACTCCCGACGTTTCGGTTACTTTACAGCAACCGTGATCACAGGCAGACGAGATATTATGTGTAGTAATCCAAAAATACTCATAATTATTTGATTGTCTTTTTGCCAAAATTTTGCCAAAAAAACTGGTTCTTCAATATTATTCTTTCTATTACGCCAGGGTCAGCCTGATAGGTTTGAAGTTGTCGGTCTGGTGGTTTACGGCTTGGAATGTGGGACTGGAGGTCTGCCAGGAGTATATCTGAACGTTCCACAAATTTACAACTGGGTCGGTCAACAGCTCGAAAAGGAATCCTACGAAAAGACTTCATACGTTTATTAAAAATACTTAAACCTTTATATTGTTTTATTTATTATACACAGTGGCAAATGAAGGTTCAGAGAAAACTACGAAACTTATATAAGTATATAATAATAAGAATTACATATTAAAACTTATAACCTACACCTAAGACTACATGATTGTCCCGATGTTAGGATAGCAATACCATTCCATAGCTTGTATGGTATCAGGAATCTTCTGGTTCACACGCTTGGTGTTCGTTCCGTGGAGTCAGTGGCGTCACTCGTTATATATTTTATCCATACAACGATATCGCCCCGGCGATGTTCATTTATTTCTTTATATGTAACGCAAACGTAACACAATGATCCATCTGTCTGAAAATGTGTTATTTATTTACGAATTTCGAAGGAGAAATGTCCAAGATTATTCAGATTATTTAAGAAAACGGACCAGGTCGCAGTAAGAACTTGTATTAAAGTAATATTTGATATATTCGCTATCTTAATTAAGAACTATAATTTTACTTTATCATGTTATGATAAACTTTGACCGGCGCAGAACTAAAGAAAAATCAACCTTATATACTTATCAATACTAATATTATAAATGCGAAAGTAGCTCTGTCTGACTGTCTGTTACGCTTTCACGCCTAAACCGCTGAACTGATTTTAATGAAATTTGGTACAGACATAGAGTTGACCTTGAGAAAGAACATAGGATACTTTTATGCCAGACTTTTGAAAAGTTCTCTTGGAAACGCGATATAACCGAACTCGACGCGGGTGAAGCCGCGGGCGGAATACTAGTACATTATATATTGTTGATTTTCTTCAAAAAGTGTGAAATTTTGACGGACTAAAGTCTTAATAGCACACAAAAAACAATATGTTTTATTTCTAAGCTGCTGTTGTAATGATTATGTCTTCAATGTTACTTTCTTGGTAGGATAATAAAATAAGACTCATTATTATGTATGTAGGGAAGTAATGAAATGATAATTATATAGTTGTTATGGACCCATCATCAATCCATGGAGTGCTGAGAAGTTTTCGTGATCATCAATGTTATATATTATTATCTTCAGTCAGCAGTCAATCTAAGTAAATCTAAATATTTATATCAAGGGGCCAAGATCTCCAAAAAAATGTTTTGTTTAAAGACCTAACCCACAACGATCTTATGATAGATAATGGTAATGATTTTTAGAAAAATATATATATATTTATTTAATTAGCATTAATAAACAGTATTTATGTAATTAGCGATGGCCTAGTGGTTTAAAGGCCCGCCTCTCATGCATGAGGACGCGGGTTCGATCCTGGCAAGTACCAATGTGATTTTTCCTAGTCATATGTATTTAGACATCACTGATTAATGCATTCTTAAAGAGGGTTGATGTCAGGCAGGTGGTTGGTCGTAAAAACAATTAGACAAAACTATTCACAACATGTAAGACAGATCCTGGCTAAAGCTGGGAAATTGCCAAGTAGAAGAAAAAGAATCAGTGTTTATGTATGTATATAAGTAAAAATTAAGGAAAAAAATCATAAAAAGGCTATCATTCTATAGGGAGAATTTTGAATACTTTGTATGTTATTAAAGAAATGTAATAAGAAGCTTCTTTCATAAAATGTAACGAGCGAAGCGAACGGAACTCTACTAAAAGTACTGGTAATGACTCAGGTCATTCAACTACGGAGATGTTATCAGCAACCAATGAGCAACAAGTCCACTCATTTTTCTTTGATATCCCAGTCATCTGAGATGGTTTTTATCAAAAAACATAGAAAAGATCACCAATTTTAATTTTAGAGCCGGAAAACAACACCCATGTCAAAAAAACAAAAGCTTTTTCGTATGAAACGAGAAAAAATGCTATAGTAGGTACATCTTCTAGTTTATTTTTGTCATTTAAATCTTCCTGCAATGGATGGAGCACCAGTTTGAAACTATTTGATCAGCTTTAAGAATACTTTTATAATGAATTACAGGCACGAAGTGACTTTAAAATTACAAATAAAATTATATGTATTATTACTTTTAACCTATTTTCTAATCGTATTATTTAGGCCAATAGAAATACTACCGCTTATAGTCCACTAACGATCCAGTCTTTATAGGGGCTATAGCCCATCTTCGACATTTTGATCTACCCTAATACTAGGTATATGGTATAATTTCAAAATATTAAAAGTTTAAAATCGCCAACCCGTCTTGAGCAATCGTGGTGATTAATGCTCAAACCTTGTCCATGTGAGAAGGGGCCTTTGCTTAGCATTGGGCTCTGATAGGATGATGATGATGATTGTACTTATACGAGATACTATTAATTTTACAAGTAAATTAATATTATTTTTTGTAATTATTTGTGTATTTTTTATTTGTTTTTCATTAATGAATGATACAATTAATATTAAACAATAATCTGTCCTTATAACATCGCGTCATTAGTGTGTTTTTAGTAGCATAGAAAAAAATACGAAAAACCTTTGTTATATGAATCAGAGATGACGTTAAATTATGTATAATAATTTAATAATCAAGCCCACCTTCTAATACTACGTAATAGAATAACGGGAAAAGCCAAAAATATCGAAAATACAGCTCAAATAAACCACTTCCTTAAACGCTTGAGAATCACGTTAAAAAACCTATTTGTAATATATCTTTGTATTAAACTTTAAATTAATATAAAACAAAGTTTTAATCGATCCTAATATTACTTAAAATCTTTATTTACAGTATCTTGAGTCATAATAAATTCTACACGTAAATTGCTCGTCTTCCCAACTTGTTTTATAATTGTCAGTCGGATATGCAACCTTGAAGCAATACGTCGTCTCAAAATGAGGTATTTTTATATGTATATAAATCTCTTTTTTACGTATATTTTAATATAAAAATGTTTTTATGTATGCTATTTTTATATTTTTGTTTAATTCCGATGCACAAGTCATTTTAAGTGATGAGTTACGATTGAACGAAGATTAATAGGTTATGTTTTGATTTGATCAGTTAGTTGCTATGATATGTATTGTATAATTCTCATATATGTATATATATACATATATATGTATAATGTAGCTTGTTATAATATTGATATATTTGTTTATGTTGTCAGTGTGATGAAGACGAGCAAAAATAAAGAATTGTTTAACGTAAAAAAATTGTTCGTTCTGATATTATTTACTTCGCAATTTTAGACATAAAAGTTTTATTACTGATAGATATCTTTATTTTTGGTTATCGAAACTAAATTTTGTTTTCAATTAAATAGATAGGAAGTGGTTTTAGTCATTCATTTACAAAATTATATAAAATAGTACTATTATAAATAAATAATGAATAGCTAACATTTTCGTGTACACATTTAAATGAAATTAAGTTTTTTCGTATACACGTTTTGTTACTTTTTTATATCTATATAATAGAGACGTTTCGAGCCAGTGGTGGCCTAGTCGTTAAAAGGCTCGCCTCTCATGCATGAGTGCGCGGGTTCGATCCTGGCTAAAATGTTTTATGCGTTCTTAACGTGTTCACTTAAAAATGCCCAAACGAAATGAGAAAAAAAAAATCACAAAATAAATACTAATAATTCCTAAATACCGGGAAAAGCTCGGTAACCAGGTATTATACAGGGTGACTGGTGAATTACTATCAATATTTAAGGAGAATACTCGGTACATGATTCTCATTCGAATTATGTAAAAAAATAGGTACTTAATTTTTGACCAAATTTCCGTATAAATAAATAAAGTGTGGATACGTTCCAAGTGTGGACGCGTGCGGCGGCGTGCTGATATAACACCACGCTGCCGCACGAGTGAGTGTGTGTGTGTATACCTAATCTGTAGGGTGTTCACACGATGCGTAATTAATTACATAACTTTTGGTTAACTTAGAAGTTTATTAATATTTATGTTATATTAATTTTTATTTTGTCATATATGATCGTCAAATATCACGTCCTCAAGTATCTATAGTAATTCACCAGTCACCCTGTATATATATCAGGATGGATTGTTATGTAGTTTTCTTATAAGTTCCACTATCTAGATTCTAGAGCTACTCCAAAAATCTTAATTAGTAAAAATATTCACTGGACAAATACAGCGTTTTGTTTCACTTTTATTTATAACAATCATTAATACCCTTTCTTTATATTATAATATTAAATAATTTAAGACAATATTAAAATAATATATCTATACAATTTTCAGTGTCAAGATATTTCTCGTTTGTCTAACATTGCTGCATGTAAGTGCTTCAGATAACGACTTAGATAATTGGTTGAATTTCTTATCGAAGCAGAGCCAAGATGTTTCAACGGCATCTGAGGAAACAAGTCCAGACTTAACGCCTACTGGTAAGAAATAGTTATTTAGACACATTCGTTATGTTCAAAATACAATGTGTTTGTGTGCGTGCGTGCGTGTGTGTGCGTTTCTATACATAAAAATAATAGTTTAAAACAAAATTTTACAAAGTTAAAATATTATTATAAAGGCATATTTGAATATAAAATCATAACTTGAACTTTCGTTTACGGCGATATAGAAATATTTTTTTTATTAGCTCAGGAATTTGTTTAAATGAGAACTAAGACTTTCGCGTATTCATTTAAATGAATTAATACTTACAGATTATTAAGAGTATTTTATTTATTTTTTAAACTGCATACTTACTTTTCAACAGTAACCAAAACGTTGAGAGTAAGTAGTTTTTTAAATAATAAAATACGCGAAGCAATCCGAAAATATTAGATTTGTTGAATTGAAATATCTATAAGTCAGTGGTGGCCTAGTGGTAAAAAGGCTCGCCTCTCATGCACGAGGGCGCGGGTTCGATCCTGGCCCGGGCAAGTACCAATGTGATTTTTCCGTGTCATATGTATTTTCTAAGAGTATTTAGACATCACTGATTAATGCATTCCTAAACAGGGTTGATGTTATGCAGGCGGCCGGTCATAAAAAAAACAAATGAAAATTGATATATCTATAATGCTCAAAATTGTTTGAATCCTAGACTTAAAATAAAATAACTTATAAGTTTGATTCTAGAAAAGTGTCATTAAAAGTAATAATTATATGGTCGAAGAAGAAATTATTTTCTTTTTGATTCGTCTAGAAATATTTTGTACTTACTTAATGATTTTTTTAAAGAAGTTCAGAGAAGTTTAAAAGGGCCCAATGGCGCAACTATGGCTTACGTCAAAATTGGTGCCAAATATGACTCCCGAATTGTTGAACAAAATTATAAATTTTCTATAGATATATGACTTATATATTTTACATTTAGTCATTAAGATGATGGATAATTTAATTTGTTGATAGTTGTATCGTCGAATACTGAGAGAACGTGTAAAATACACAAACAAGATGATGGAGTATGCACCAATACAAATCACTGCGACGTAAAACCAGATGCTACAAAATCATTTACATTAAGGTACATATTTATTTAAATAAACTTAAAATACAAAGAAAGGATAAAGACGAGACGAATCCTCTCATCATTCAATGTATTCACGGTGCGTGTGTCTGGTCCATCGTTGTAGTGAGAGGAGCTTCAACAGTGACTGGGACTTGTGACCCAGGTGTAGGTTTAAGGGACCCTAGCTATCTAACGCGTTAAACGCTCACCTCCACTGCCAAGCTCCTCTCGCTAGGGCTGCCTTCAAATTCGAAATTATCTACTAATAGCTATCTTTCTAATATGTTATTAAACTAAATTGAGAATGCCCTAGTTCTTGATTTATAATATTTTTATCTTTTTATATAATTTTATACACTATAAGCGCTTGGTCTAGACTTGTGTTAAATTAGTCTCTGTACAGCGATTTTTTATATGACGAAAATAATTAGTGGCTATTCGAAAATATATACAAGTCTACCTCTCCAAAGACTAGAGCCTAATTATACTTTTTCATACATATCCCTACTAATATTATAAATGCAAAAGTATCTCTGTCTGTCTGTCTGTTTGTCTGTTACGCTTTCACGCCTAAACCATTGAACTGATTTTAATGAAATTTGGTACAGACATAGAGTTGACCTTGAGAAAGAACATAAGATAGTTTTTATCCCAGACTTTTGAAAGGTTCTCTTGGAAACGCGGTATAACCGAACTCCACGCGAGCGAAGCTGTGGGCGGAAAGCTAGTATGTTTATAAAACTATAATTATGACATTAATTTCCACTCAATAATTTCTAGGGAGAAAGCTACGTGTAATAATTCTGAGGTATGCTGTCCAAGAAATAAGACTAGAACTGTTTCAACAATGCAGCCGATACCTTTAAACGGATGTGGCTTGAGCAACCCTGGGTCGATACCGTACCAAAAGCCTGCAGACCCTGGATTCGCAGCATTCGGGGAGTTCCCGTGGATGATAGCAGTCATCAAGTAACTATTGACTCATTATTATTTTAGGTTCTCAACACAGATACAACATTTCTGTAGTAATTTACCAGCAAAACCCGCAGCTTCGTAAAGGCTCGCGAGGTATTTTTATCTAGTAATAATTTATTAACAAAACAAAATAATAATAAACCAACAATGACGTTGTTTTTAAAATCTGTAGTGTGGTTATAAGCTCATAATGTATGGTTTGGGCCTTAATATAAATACATCTTACAAATTAATTAATAGCTGCATTATTAAAATATTCAGCTCAAAGGAACAAATAAAAATGATTTTAAGTTTGACATGAGCCCAATTATTAATATGCTTATTGACTGTAATAACTTATTTAAATTACTTATTTAGAAAGCTTCGTGAAAATCTGTTTATTAATTACTCTCTATGTAAAAAAACAATCGACATAAATATACTAATTATATATAAAGATAATAAAATATCACACAATGAAGCTTAGTAAAATTTTAACTTTTATTATAATCATAATAAAACGTTCCTAGAAAATTTCTTTTTATTGGAAGTAACAATGTTTTTTTAATTTATAAACACAACGGTAAATATTGTTCGTGCTTAGTAAATTATTTTAACCTTTATGTTAATTTTAAATATTATGTAAAATTATATTTAATTCTCAGACCATAGACCAAAATTTGTGTTGACAGTGCTAAAACAAATATTATTATATTTATTTATTATCAATTAACTTTTCATAACAGAAGGATGAGTGGTATCAGAGTTTTTGACGACAAATACGCAGCGGGAGGAGCTCTGATACATCCCAGCGTTGTAATTACAGCAGCCCATAAGGTCAAGGACTATGAACCACAAGAGGTCAGTATATATAAAGGTCAAATGTCAGTTAGTCAGTAGTGGCCTTGTGGTTAAAAGGCCCGGTTCATGCATGTAGGCGCGCGTTCGATCCTGGCAAGTACCAATATGATTTTTCCGAGTCATATGTACTTTCTGAGTATTTAGACATCACTGATTAAATCATTCCCAAAGATGTCAGGCAGGCGGCCGGTCGTAAAAAACAATTAGCCAAAACTATTCACAACATGTAAGACAGACCCTGGCTAAAAGCTGGGAAATTGACAGGTAGAAGGAGAAGATGAAGGTCAAATGTCAATTTAATGTCTAAAATAGCATTTCCGAAATTACGTTTCGTAAGTTAAAGTAATATTTATTATGCTATTTTAAATTTAATCTAATTTATTGAGAGCTTTTAATCTAAATGGTTTAAATGCATTTGGTAATATCCAGTTATTCTTTCGCCAAACTTCGAAATTAATGAAGAATTTAGTCATGAAACATATATATACGTATTGTCATATAACAAAGTCATCAGCCTATCAGCGCCCACTGCTGAGCTAGGCCTTTCTCACATGGAGAAGGTTTGAGCATTAATCACCACGCTTGTTGCTCAGGACGGGTTGGTGATTTCAAACTTATAATTGTGAAATTATAAAGTCCAGGTTTCCTCACGATGTTTTCCTTCACCGTAGGTCAGTGGTGTCTAAATAATCTCAGAAAGTACATATGACTCCGAAAAATCACATTGGTACTTGCCAGGTTTGAACCCGCGCCCTCAGCAACGAGAGGCGGACCCTTTTACCACTAGGCCACCACTGACTTTATAACAAAGTGATTTTTTAAATCTTTTTTTATACAAATATATTTGAGGATATCATCTAAGTTTATTTTTCGAGTCTTAGTCATTTACCAATTTCCTAAAGATGAAACTAAATCGTAATAAAAATTTTTACAGTATCAACTTTCTCACTTCATATCTTTCGTAGATTTATTTTCTTCAGACGAAATATTTTTTTTCCTGCAGTTTTTGTTTTTTGTTGTTTACAGTTGATGGCTCGAGCTGGTGAATACGACACTCGTTCCACATCAGAAATCTTCTCTCACCAAGAGAGAGGTGTCAGAAAAATTGTACCACATCAACAATTCTTCGAGGGTAACTTTTTCTATTAAGTCCATACTAGGTTTCACATTCACCATATATATATTACCATGTGGTATATCTTAATACAGTCTGAACTATCGATTGACTAGTCCGTGTATAGTCTAAATTCAGTCCGTAATTTATAAGAACTGAGAGCATAGTCAAAATAATATATAAAAATTATAGTCTTGTCTGGACAAAATCCTTTTTATCACAAGCTATTTCCGCTACTTCCCAAAAAATGTATGGTTGCTACGTGAATAATATAGATACTAGCTTTCCGCCCGCAGCTTCGCCCGCGTTGAGTTCGATTATATCGCGTTTCCAACAGAACCTTTCAAAAGTCTGGCATAAAAACTATTCTATGTTCTTTCTCAAGGTCAACTCTGTCTGTACCAAATTTCATTAAAATCAGTTCAGTGGTTTAGGCGTGAAAGCGTAACAGACAGACAGAGTTACTTTCGTATTTATAATATTAGTAGGGATTGTTTTATTTTTCAGTTCATGTCCACTACGACGTTTCGCTTCTCATATTATCGGCTCCATTTGATCTGATGGACGGTCCCCACATCGGGATCGCGTGTTTAGCATCACGTCTTCCTCCCCCCGGAACTATATGCTACAGCATGGGCTGGGGGCAAGATTTCCTGAACCAGGACAAAAACTCCGTCATTCTGAAGAAGGTGAATAATTTTTGGCTTTCGCGAGTATTCATTTAAATTAAACTGATTCATACGTGTATTTTATTGTTTTTAAAACTACATGCTCCCGACGTTTCGGTTACTTTGCAACAATGTCCGAAAATATTAGTTTCGTTTTAATTATTTCCATTCGAACATATCACGTGTATTACAAAGAGTGACTTGGTAGAATGTTTAAGCAATATTTCCCAAAAAACTGGCAGAATATTATTGGTTTTAAAATAAACCTAGCTTTTGGTGAACCAATTTTAGTTATTTTTCCATTTCAGGTGGAAGTGCCATTAGTGGATTCATCTTTATGCGAGCATCAGTATAAGAATACTAAGCTTGGCTCCCAGTTCCGTCTCCATAAGACCTTAACATGCGCGGGAGGTATTGAAGGCGTGGATACGTGCAAGGGAGATGGAGGCAGTCCTCTCGTGTGCCAGATACCGGTAAATAGTATATCTATATGTAAAAGAAAGTCGTGTTAGTTACACTATTTATAACTAAAAAACGGCTGTACGCATATGGTTGAAAATTGGACATTAGCAGTGGAAATTGGACAAATTCATGTCAGAATATAATAGGTAACAATTGATCTCCAAGTAATATATTTCAGATATGAACATAATAATTGTCAAGGACAGATTATTCTTCCTCGATACAAGTTAAATAGAGACTTAATATTGAAGAATTTGTTAATCTACATATATAAAATAGACAGTCGTGTTAGTTACACTTTTTATAACTCAAGAACGGATGTAGGGATATTGTTGAATATTGGTGGGGAGGTAGCTTAGAGCCAGGAAACGGATATGGGATATTTAATTCTGTTCGTCCAAAAAGAAACTGATTAATTTCCAATATCTATGTAGTTATTTACGGCCTCTAGAGCGGAATAGAGTTCGCCCGGTCAGATACATATATTACTAATTCCAAAATTAACGCGGACAAAGTCGCGAGCAAAAACTAATTTTGAATAAATATGGTCAAAGTTATTTTACATTTAAACCACTTACACACTTCAAGAACTACAAAGATAACAATTCATTCATTACGGCTACAAAAAGTACAAGCATTTGTTGAAAACTTATCTACTATTGTAGTTTCAAACATATTTTGACTAAATCTTTCAGAATACCCAGAGGTTCCAGGTGGTGGGTCTCGTGGCTTACGGCCTGGGATGTGGCACGACACTTCCAGGTGTTTATGTGAAGATACCAGAACTATTCGACTGGGTCGGCGAACAACTCACCTGGGCAAAATTCAATAGAACCTCTTTCGAATACACGCCGTAGGAAAACTACGATGCTTTAGTAAATCTTATGTAGAAAATCAATAAACGAATTCTAGAAGTGTGATATAAACAACCTCATAATAAAATAAGGACACAGTAATACAAAAAAAGGTTGGAGTTTTGACTAGATGTGGAAGAAAAATTATTTTATTCTTTATTAAAAAGGTATATTTACCTCAGACTTAGACTAGTCTATGGACAGTTTTTGACTGCCATTTGTCGGATTTTTTCTGACATATTTATATAAATGTTCAATGATTTCACGAAATTATGTTTTTCAAGGTCTAAAGATAAGAAAATCTAAGTTTCAAATCAGTTTTCACTCCTATAAGGCTATTTGTTCCAGTTACAACCATTTGATAATGTTTAAAATGTGATTCATCTCTTTAAAATTTTCTATTACCGTTTCTTAAGAAATTCCTTAAAAATCAACTAGATGGCGCTGTCATTAAAATATAAAAAACAATTTTTTAAGCGACAATGAAAAGAACTATGATGTAAAAATTAACGACATTTATTTATATCTCTATAATTTACTGTGAGTCAACGAATTTATTAAATAATGTATAAGTATAGTCAATTTACTCAAATTATAAGTCATGTTTAGCATAATTTTATAATATAAATACTTATTTACATAAGAAAAAGTGATTCTTAATAAATAGATAATTCACATAATATATTTCTTTTAATAATCTTAAGTAAGCTAGTGTACGAGCTACGCTCGACATAATTGCGTATTCATGTAAATACACACATCATCACTTTTGTTTCATTGCAAAAACTACGAAATACTGTAAATGCAGGCATCATCACTCTTATTCTGTTATAAAATCTTGATAACTTATAATTGAATTCAGTTCGCATTCGGTCAGCAAGTTCACCGGGCGTTCTCATCAATCAATCATATATATCATAATTCATAATATATCAAATTAATCAAACTAAGAAGCATTATCAATTTATATCATTTTATTAAGTGTACGAGTTACCAACTTCCCGTACAGCTGACAATCTATAAATACTAGACGTATATTTTTATTAAACATTTATTACAAGAATTAAACATTTATTACAACACCTAAATTCATTTTGCCTATTGCTCGTCGCGTTACAGAATTAGGTCAGACTACGACATTCTTATAAACCAAACAATTAATAGTGTATGTTTGTACGTCTGTTACCCTTTCATGCACAATCTACTGAATGGATTTTGATGAAACTTTACAATAATATAGATCATACTTCAGAATATTAATATCCAAGTACTGGCAGAAGTTTCTGTAGTAAATGTATTTATACGAAGTTATGTCACACTGCGGATAAATGGCGCTGGTCATAGCCATTCTCTATGTAAACATAATATTAATTCTCTGAACTAAATCCTAAAAACTAAAGGAAAAACATTTAAAAATAAAACACACACACTTTGTACAAATCACATATTATTCACTATTTACAACTCGTCCGTACAAAACATAAATTATAAAATAAATGGAGCACAACATTGTGTTACGCGGCTTTAAAACGGTTTAAACACCTATCTATAGATATCTATAGACATCTATATCTATAGATATACATGTTGAACCTTATACAGTTCTTATAGAAACTATTTGGTAAAATAAACGCCTAGATTTTTCACATACTCAATCACAATCATATCTACTAGATAAAATCTTCAATAAGTCATTGAAAAATTATATACATTTACATGCATATAACTAAGATGGCGGCGACGCCATTTTGCGCAATTCAACATGGCGGGTGGTTGAGCTGCCAATGTACCAACCAAAACAGTATTTTTAAAATAAAACCTATAGATATTTTAATTTGATTATTACTAAAGTCGCATCGAATTGTGTTCAGCAATTCCAGTCTAACATTAAACATAGCCTTTAGATATATAAAAAAAACAATATAATAGGTCCAAGTTGTCAAAAAAATTAGGTCAACGACCTTAAAACGACTCTTAAAAGTTCCCATATAGGCTACAAGTTCATATTGCTATTTGGAACATACATTTTGTACATTAAATTAGGAATTATTTGTGAAGAAAATAAACGCACTGAGCCCGAAGCAATATTTACACGCGCACAGCCTTCGCTGACGATCCTTATCAAACTAAACTTACAGCAAGTCGAATGTGTACAAATATCAGAAGTTAACAAATGTCATACATGTACGTGTACAGTAACGCAATTAATTGTGTGTACAAAATTTATTAGGTTGTACAATTACACGAGTTAATACTTGTACACATATACATATCGTCCGAGATAGTACAAATCCGCATAACTAGCATTAGATAATTCCGCGCATCTACATTGGAAGCAGATTATCAGAAGAATTTATTGATAAATGAAACACAAAAAAATTACTAATTGTGAAAAAAGGTCGTTAATATAGAATATATTTCAGCTCAAACTTTCTTATAAACGCGGAATTATCCAATGCTAGTAGTTACGCGGATTTGCACTATACCCGACGATAAGTCATTCTTGTGTACAACAGTTGTCATGTCATTGATTGACTCGCGTGTACAATGTCATGTGACGTGGCTGTGCTCCATCATCTGTACGGGCGCGGTGGAGGGGGTGGTGACGTCACTCTGCTATGACGTCATCATGTCAGTAACCGAGGTGTTCACGGAGCTGCCCTTGAGTAAATCATTGATGTCGCGCCGCAGCATAGATAGGTTCTGTGTGAATCTGTAATAAGAATTAATATATATAATACTAGCTGCGCCCCGCGGTGTTACCCACGCATTTCCGGGATGTAAAGTAGCCTATATGTTATATCTGGACGTCAGCATCCTGTGTACAAAATTTTATCAAAATCGATTCAGCCGTTTGAGCGTGAAGAAGTAACAAATATACACACACTCACAAACTTTCGCAATTATAATATTAGTAGGATTGTATATGAAACAATATTAAGTCTATTTGTTTCCTTATATTTAAGGGTTATAAATCGAATCCGGGACTTTTGGCATGACGATACATCCGCTTTAACATTTGAGCTATGATGCCTTGACTCTTATATAATGTTAAAGAATATACAGGGTGACTGGTGAATTACTATCAATATTTAAGGAGCATACTCGGTACATGATTCTTATTCGAATTATGTAAAAAAAATAGGCACTTAATTTTTGACAAAATTTCCGTATAAATAAATAAAGTGTTGACACGTTCCAAGTGTTCAAGTGTGGACGCGTGCGGCGGCGTGCTGATACAACACTACGTCACGACACGCGTATGTGTGAGTGTCAGTGTATACCTAATCTGTAGGGTGTTCACACGATGCGTAATTAATTACATAACTTTTGGTTAACTTTACTTAGAAGTTTATTAATATTTATGTTATATTAATTTTTATTTTGTCATATATGATCGTCAAATATCACGTCCTCAAATATCGATAGTACCAGTCACCCTGTATATTGAAAATCAGTACAAATAAAACCGGGGTTAATATATATATTCATCATCATCATCAGTCTATTAACCGACTGCTGAGTATAGACACTCTTCTCACATGGAGAAGGTTAGAGCATTAATCACCACGCTTGCTCAAGATGGTTTGGTGATTTCAAACTTATAATTTGTAATTATAAGTACAGGTTTCCTCACGATGTTTTCCATCATCTGTCAGTGGTGTCTAAATACTCTTATAAAGTACATATGACTCGGAAAAATCATTGGTACTTGCCAGGATCGAACCCGTGCCATTATGCATGAGATGACCTTTAACCTCTAGGCCATCATGACCTCTATATACATATAAATATATAGCATTTTCTTAGGACGCCTAGAAATAAATTCAATATTACCTGTCCCTATTCTTAGTGAGTAGATTCGGTTCAATCCCAGCCATAAGTCCGTTGAACCACTGAGCCAATTGCTGTTGCTTGTCAGCGGGCTGTTGAGATATAATTTGTTCTCGGAGACGTGAGAACTGTTCTTCGTTTAGAAGTACCAGCCCCAGCAGAGGTCTGGACATGGACCATTGGTTGCAGCAGTCCTCGAACATGATTAGATTCAACACCTGGAAATAAAACATGACTACATTTAACACCTGGAAATTTTTTACATTGATGGGCACATTTTTGGTTATCGAGTTAGTATGGATATTTTAAAGAATGCATGGATTATAAATAGTGATATTTATAGGAATTTGGCATATTTAAAATAATATTTGTTTGAAATGAAGTTGTATATATTTGTTGTGTATTAGTTATACTTGGTGGGTGTTGTTAAATAATATGATGTCAAGTATAATGTAGGTCATCATTTTATTATATTAGTTACTGTCTTTTTGTCTGGCTACTTAGGACTTTCAAAAGTCCTGGATAAAAACTATCCTATGTTCTTTCTCAAGGTTAACTCTATTTCATTAAAATCAGTTCAGTGGTTTAGGCGTGAAAGCGTAACAGACAGACAGACAGAGTTACTTTCGCATTTATAATATTAGTATATATATATATGTTCTTATTATACTACTCACAGTAGCCAATAGCTGTTGCATGATCTCAGGTCTTCGTTGTAACACTTCTATGAACATATTACTCTCAGGAACTTGTCTATTTCCGCCCTTGTTGTTAGCTGAAATATAACATACATATATTATAACCTGGATCTACTTACGAATCCACATTTTTATGTTCGGAGAATATTATAATAATTATATATTTTTTAATGAAACGGTTAAAGTTAAAAATACGGAAAAACTGAACTAAAATCCCATTCACATCTCATCTGTCCGTGATCACGGTTGGTGAAAAGTAGCTGAGACGTCGGGAGTATGTAGTAATCCGAAAAATATAAGTTTCATTTAAATGAACTAAAATTAATTCCTTATTGTTTTAGAGATCATCGTAGACAGACAGACAAAGTAACATTAATAAAGTACATTCTGTTATACTTATAAAGTAATCAAAATAATTAATTTTTGTTGGTATGGCTCGTGAAGTCATTATCAAATCATTAGTCGAAAAACCCTCTTTGGATAAATGTTTAATATTAAAAAATACAGTTGACTAGCTGACCCGGCAAACGTTGTTTTGACATATAAAAAAAATTTAGGGTTGTATGTATTTTTTAATGCCACACTATAAATAATAAAAGCAAAAATTTCATCCAAAAATTAAGGGTGAACAGCCCTTATGACTTAAGGGTATGAAAAATAGATGTATGCCGATTCTCAGACCTACTCAATATCCTCACAAAATTTAATGAACATCTGTCAAGCCGTTCCGGAGGAGTTCGGTAACTAACATTGTGATATGAGAATTTTATATAATTAATTTATTATGAACTTACTCTTCTGCACCAACTGTTTGAAGAGGTAGGTGACGATGTGGTCCAGCGTGGCGCAGCATCCGGTACATACGCTCGTGTCTACAGATATTATGGAAAATTTATATTATATAGATAACATTATATACATATAAAACTAACTAGCTTATAATGTATAATGATGAAGTAAAAAAATCACCCATGAAACAATATAACAGGAATAACTCATGCTTTATGATTTACTTTTTGTAAAAATATGTGTTATGGTTCATTACGTCATATGATATTAAATCATATCATATGATGTGTCCAACATAGACATACAATTATCATACTAATATTTTTTAAATATCTGCATATTATTGCATGTATGTGTATTGTTTGAATTCAACAAACTAGCAATGGTATTGTATAAGCTATTATTATTATATACTTTCGGGTGATTGTTAAATAATATTCTCATCACACTCATCATTATCATCACTCATCATTCTCATCACTCTCATCACATCTCATCACATCTCATCATTCTCATCACATCTCATCTAATCTCACCGAGCGCCGTAAGTCCCTCAGATATAGACGCCAGTATGTACAGAGCCGCGTCTGGCTGGAGCGAAGCAAGGAACGGCATGTGGTCTTGGGCGAGACGCTCCAACAACACGTAGTACGTCTGAGATAGCTTGGGATAGTCCTGGAGATATATGAGATATCATGAAATACCAGTGGATATTACTAGATATTAGTGGGTTTTACGGGATATTTCACGGTATTACAATATATTACAGGGTATTACAAGATACTACTGGGTATTACAAGATATTAGTGAGTTTTAGGGCATATTTCAAGGTATTACAAGATATTACCCTGGTAATATCCTGTGTATTACGAGAAATTACTAGGTGTTAAAAGAAATTAGTAGATTTTACGATATACTAAGCTGTTATTAACATAATAGGTATTTTTATTACCTAAAACAGTTTTTAAGTATATTATATAGTATAATATATTTGTATAACTCACCAATAGATCGCTCTGTGGTATACTGAGGAGGAGCTTCACGAACATGTTGAGGGCGTTGTCAAGAGCATCGTCGCCGTACAACCTGATATATATACATATATATAATTAAAACTTAACATGTTATATGTTTTATGCTTAAATGTCGAAAATATCACATAACGCCTTATGGTACCAATAAAACATTCATGAGGCGAAATTTCTGTTACGGCTCTAATGATTACATGACGCATTGTGGCTATCACAGAAAGACTAAATAGCAAAATATATTGTGGCTATTACAAGATATACGATCTGAACGCGATGAGGCTATAAAGAAAAGCCGTAATATATTTGATTGCTACGAATTACTTTTCGATATTTATCCTTTTAGGTTTAGGCTATAAACATTTTGGTAGATTTCCTTAAAAAATATTTCTTATTAGGACAAGGTGATCTACTAGGTCTGCCTTCGAAGAAGTTCTAAGAATGAATTTTATTTACTCTGGACAAGCCCAAGTCTTTTAGTAGGTTATAGAGAGATTTAGCTAGTATACCGCTATTTCCCAATTTATGTATATACTATCTTTCCGCCCGCAGCTTTGCCCGAATTCAGTTCGGTTATATCGCGTTTCCAAGAGAACCTTTCGAAAGTCTGGGATAAAAACTATCCTATGTTCTTTCTCAAGGTCAACTCTATCTCTGTACCAAATTTCATTAAAATCTGTTCAGTGGTTTAGGCGTGAAAGCGTAACAAACAGACAGAGTTACTTTCGCATTTATAATATTAGTAGGGTTATAAAATCTCCTATACCTGAATACTCCGAAGTTAGCGTAGTTCCCGCATAGAGCCGCTTTAAGTATTGAGAAACAAAGCGATATGCCTTTCAACTTCTTAGCGTACATCTGTTTCTTGGGAATTTCCAGTGTAGTTATTCTGCTGCCTGGAAATTAATATAATTACATAGAAAATTATAAAAAATAGCATTTTATATCTAGTCACATTATATTTGTGAAATCATTAAACACAAAATATATAAAAAAATCAACCAATAAACAAACGAATATAGTATTTAAATATTTATATGACTAGATATATTTTTTTTATAAAACATGTCATATAATTAAAATAATGTGAATATATTTCGTGTTATATGATCTTCTTCTTCTACCTGGCAATTTCCCAGCTTTAGCCAGGGTCTGACTTACATGTTGTGAATAGTTTTGGCTAATTGTTTTTACGACCGGACGCCTGCTTACATCAACCCTCTTAGGCAATGCATTAATCACTGTCTAAATACTCTTAGAAAGTACATATGACTCGGAACATCACAATGGTACTTGCTAGGGCCAGGATTGAACCCGCGCCCTCATGCATGAGAGGTGGGCCTTTAAACCACTAGGACACCACTGACTTAAATATGATACGATATGATATATAACACAATATTAATACAGTGGTGGCCTAGTGGTTAAAAGGTCCGCCTCTCATACACGAGGGCGCGGGTTCGATCCTGGACCGGGTAAGTACCAATGTGATTTTTCCGAATCATATGTACTTTCTAAAAGTAATTAGACATCACTGATTAATACATTTCCAAAGAGGGTTGATGTCAGGCAGGCGGCCGGTCGTAAAAACAATTAGCCAAAACTATTTACAACATGTAAGGCAGACCCTGGCTAAAGCTGGGAAATTGCCAGGTAGAAAAAGAAGTGATATTAATCAACGTTATAATCCTCACCGTAAGCGCATATAATGTTTGATAGTTCTCTAAACAGCAGTATTCCGTTGGGCGAGCTCACATCAAACTGCAGCCTTTGGTTTCTGTTCATGGCGAGCTCCGCGGCTAGTTTGAGTACGGGCGTGGTGACGGCCGGGTCGCTGAACCACACTTCCAGCCCGCGGAGGAGAAGCTTCATGTATACGGGGTAACTAGGAAATAGAGAAAAAAATATACATATACAGGGTGACTGGTGAATTACTATCAATATTCAAGGAGAATACTCGGTACATGATTCTCATTCGAATTATGTAAAAAAAATAGGTACTTAATTTTTGACCAAATTTATATAACCAAAATAAATAAATAAAGTGTGGACACGTTCCAAGTGTGGACGCGTGTGTGTGTGTGTATATACCTAATCTGTAGGGTGTTCACACGATGCGTAATTAATTACATAACTTTTGGTTAACTTTACTTAGAAGTTTATTAATATTTATGTTATTTTAATTTTTATTTTGTCATACATGATCGTCAAATATCAAAACTAACCATGTTCTTTCTCAAGGTTAACTCTATGTCTGTACCAAATTTCATTAAAATCAGTTCAGTGATTTAGGCATGAAAGCGTATTTTCTATTGTTTACCCCCCGCAACTCGCCTTGTGGGTGGAATTTCGTAAAATCCGTTCTTAGCTGACCTCTACTCGGGGAAAGGAATAATCCTACCAAATTTCAAGTCGCTACGCCTTATGGTTCCAGGGATATCGTGATGAGTCAATATATAGGTGGAAATCTTTTATATATATATATATATGTAGATGTGTATGTATGTATGTGTGTCGAAGTAAAGAAGCACTTTATCGTTTTTTAATATGGTGACGTCAGCATAACTGACGTCATCAACGTCTTTCTTCCAAACTGTCAAGCTCCTCAGGCTGTCGAAGGTAACCTTGGTTTTGGTTTGACGAATCTCTAATTATTAATACTGTAATGTTCTAATAGTACATTAATGTTATAAATTCTTTTAGATTTTTTTAACTTAGACGTATTTGTCAGATATTTTGTTAATTCTGTTTTTATATAAATAAATTAAATATTTAATTTGAACAGAACCTTTAATTGAATGCACCCGAAGTGACGTTAAAGGGATGATATTTGGTTTGTTCACTTTTACGAGGGAAAGTATTTGTCGACGCGATTCTTCGGTGTGTTCGTGACTTAAATTAAAGTTATTTTGGCTTAAGATAATAAGGCGTTATAGTTCTTTAAGTCAAGTTTGTTCCAGTTACGATTTTATTCATTATTTAAAAGTTGTAGGTGTATAACACATATATTTATTAGTGATTTTAACCGGATCATGTGTGTGTGTGTGTGTGTGTGTATGTATGTGTGTGTCCGTGTGTTATATACTAACATCCAATCAAACAGCATCATGTAAGTCGTCTTAGTGTTGAAAGCGAACGCCAGTCCCCGCAGGTCTCGAGCCACTCCTATGAGCGTCTTCTTAGCTTCTTCAGACGCGTACATAGAAGTGTCGCCCGGGTTTAAGAGACCCATAATATTTTCGAAGGCCGCTGAAATATATAAAGATATTATTTTGTAGTATATAAATAGATAAATGAAGAGATTTGACTTATTTAATTATTTAAGATTATTATATATCAGTCTTCTGGGTAGAACGATCATGAATTAATTGATTTAATAAGTGATAGCTGTCTACTTATATGACTGTCTCACTCACTCTCTTCGTGATTTTGATACAGACGAAGTAAAAAAATAATGTCTGTCTCACTCTAGCATAAGTCTAGTGCAAAATTCAATAACCAATCTATTACTGACTTATTAACATCTGCATCTAATCTAATTGATTCACTCAATCAATCGACATCAATCTTAATAGAATTTCACTCATATCATCACTCATAATAATCATTCATTCAGTCATTCACCGGAAAACTGCATAACGAAAGCTTCTCACCTGACCGACTCACCTGCTCAACTAATCAACATCAGTCTTAGTCGTACTCAGTCACATCTTCACTCATAATCATCAATATACTGATTCACTCATTCACTCACCAGACAAGAGGCGCAAAGGACCGACACAATCAACCAATTAACACCAGTCTTTGTTCCACTTCAGTCAAATCTTCACTCATAATCACTTATTCACTCATTCACTCACCGGACAGCGGCATCACGAATGCTGCGAACTTCTGTTCATCCTCTCCCAATTCCACCATGAGTAATCTCCCGAGCGCGGTGTACAGCATGCTCCTGCATCTCATCTCAGCGTTGCCAGCGCCAACACCCAGGAATGGGAAATGTTCAGCCTGTTATGTATTATATATATGATAAGAATATACTGGAAACAGCGGTTAATAAACTGATTTTGTTATGCTTCTTCTACCTGGCAATTTCACAGATTTAAGTCAGGGGCTGCTTTACATGCTGTGAATAGTTTTGACTAATTTTTTTTTACGACCGGCCGCCTGCTTGACATCAACCCTCTTTGAGAATGCATTAATCAGTGATGTCTCAATACTCTTAGAAAGTACATATGACTCGGAAAAATCACATGGGTACTTGCCAGGATTGAACCCACGTCCTCATGCATGAGAGGCGGGCCTTTTTAAACACTAGATCACCACTGACTTTATTTTGGTTATTCATCAAGCAAATACTTGTTTTCGATTTGTTATATGTAAGGAAATTATATTATAAATATATATTATACACAATAGATTGTGTAAGTCTTAGCCTACACACTTATCAGGTAAGCCTTATTTAATATGAGGCCAGTTCATAAAGTACGTCACACAAATTTTATCACTTTTGAACCCCTCTACCGTCCTTGACACACACACAGCTTCTCACATTTCTACAACCCCCCCCCCCCTTCTAATATGACGTCACCCATTTTGAATGCGCTCACAACGAGAACGCTAAACTATTAACATATTTATATAGATCAAGTTCATACATTTTAAAATTTTAAATTCACATCCAAGCTTTGCTATGACGTGACGTGACGTTACAAAAGTATTGATTTGTGTGACGACACAAAACTATTTATCCCCTCCTAAGCCCCTTATCACACTGTTGTGATACACTCCCTCCCTATTAATGATTGACGTACTTTATGTATGGCCTTTATTTATGCTTGCTTTATGCTTGTTATAAGCTATATCCTACATGCATTAGCTCACCGTGTGATGTGACAGCATGAATTGCACTTCTTCCAGCTTGACCAGCTTTCTCACGCAGGAGTACCCGCCGCTTAAATCGCTCAGCAAGGATAACGTCTTGCTGATTATGGCCTTTGAACCACCCCAGTACTTCAGATTTGTTATGCTGTAAGCAAAATATTTACTGATTCAAATATATATTATGATATGTGTTACGTACGTGCTACATATATGAAGTAAAAATTTAACATCGCGGCGACATCTTTGTATAGATAAAATACATAACGAGTGACGCCGCTGACTCCGCGGAACGAACACCAAACGTGTGAACCAGAAGATTCCTGATACACACAAGCTATGGAATGGTATTGCTATCATAACATCGGGTCAATCATGTAGTCTTAGGTATAGTTATATGTTTTAATATATAATTCTCATTATAATATACATATAAGTATGTTTCGTAGTTTTCCTGGCACCTCCGGTTGGCAACATATATAATTTATGACTAGGATATATATATTTTTTGCAATGTTATGTTTATACTAGCTTTCGCCCGCTACTTTAATTCGTATATAATTTGATTTTACTAGACAGCGGCGCCATCAATGATGCGTTATGACTTCATACAAACTATTCATAACTTATTCCTTTGAACAACACAAAATTGAGGAAAAAAACATATTTTACTCAATTCTAAAATTTGACCTATATTATTGCGAATTTACATACAAAAAACATTTTGAAGTAAAACTTCTTATGCAAATTTCAACAAGGTTGCGTTAAACGTTTAACGCTGAGGGATACAGAAAGAAATAAACACTAATGTAGAAAGTAGGAAAGATATTTAGAATGAGTCGGTAGATTTCAAGCACATGCGGTTGGTATTCTTGATATACACTTAAGTAATCAGTGTGAGCATCGTGACATTAGCTGAAAAACTAGCGTTTTCTTATAGAAGTGTAAACTAATTAATCCAGCACCAATTTCAAACCCAGCACTCACATCTTCCTCATGATGACACTCAGCAGCTGGCTCTCGTTGTTCAAACCCAGCACCTCACTGAGTCGTCCGTACACCTTGCTGTTCTTCTGCACCTGCTCGCCCACGTAGATCTTCCTGAATGCCTCGAAGAATGACATCATAGCCAGCTCTAATTTTTCACATCCACCCTGTAAGATAGATAGTATATATATAGTATTTACTTACTAAATGTTATTATAAATTATACGTGGTATATGTACTGAGATAAGAACGTTAACAGTTTTGTCTATTCAACTATTTTTCAATCTAATAAGGCCCCACGATACAGGTCTCATAGTGTGGGGTCCAAATATAATCAAAATTTTAAAATTTTTAAAACCATAATGCACCTCAACCAATGGAAAACATTGTACTAGTTTAAGTTTAAGAAGATTAATTGTGTCATATGTTAATCTATTATGTAAGCATTGGGTTTTTTCAATAAAGTTTATTATTATTATTAATCTCAGTAATCACTGTACTTTTTTTAAACGAGCTTCGTTATACATAGTTTATGTAAGGAATTATTTGGCTACTTTTTATATGATACATATAAAATAATATATAGCAGACAGCGCTATCAAAATTATAATCATACCAGGTTCATACTTAAACATCATACCCCACCATTATCCAACTCTGTAACCCAGGTATGAAAAATAATGATAGAAAGATACATATATAGCACGAAAGGAATGAATATAAAAATAGGTAAAAAACTTTTTAAGTTAAACGGTTTTACATGAAATATTTACATTAACATGGTTTTACATTTTGCAATGTTAAGATAAATGTACTAAAAACCCAAAAAATAATAAAATAGATACAGTCGTGGGAATTATAAACATATGCACAGACTAGACTAAAATAAAAGCGTGGGGCACGTCAATTGTATACAAATTATCGACTTAATGTGCTATAGAAGAATCGTTTAATTCGTCGTTAGGCAGTTGTTCGCAGACGGTGAGGAAATTACTTACAATTTTCTTGCTCATGGAAATTACAACTGCCTAATTATAGTGTAACATTATAAAACAGTGGTGGCCTAGTGGTTAAGGGGCCCGCCTCTCGTTGCCGAGGGCGCGGGTTCAAACCTGGCAAGTACCAATGTATGTGATTATTCGGAGTCATATGTACTTTCTGAGAGTATTTAGACATCACTGACATGCGGTGAAGGAAAACATCGTGAGGAAACCTGGACTTATAATTATAAATTTGAAATCACCAACCCGTCTTGAGGAAGCGTGGTGATTAATGCTCAAACCTTCTCCATGAGAGAAAGAGGCCTTGATCAGCAGTGGACTTCTGATAGGCTGATGACATTATAACCAACGATCTCATACTAACCGCAGCCAGCCTTGAATCCGTGAGATCCATCAATCTTAGCACCCTACAGACAAGCTCTCCGTCCATTGCGTCATTCTCCTCGCTCGTGTTAAGCGACGCTCTGCCGCCGATAGCCGCACCTATTATGTACACCAACCAGCTGAGTTGACCTGGAACAGAAAATATTATATGTTAGCTGCGCCCCGCGGTGGTTTCCGAGATTTCCGGGATGTAAAGTAGCCTGTGTTATTCCTGAACTGAACGAAATTGGGAGGGAGATATAATTTAGTGAAGATAGATAGTGTTACGGTTCGTATATTACTGTACCCCTACAGGGTACTTTCCCCAAAGGGCGAGAACAGTGCATAGCTATTTCATGAAATATATATATACTAGCTTTCCGCCCGCAGCTTCACCCGCGTCGAGTTCAGAAATATCGCGTTTCCAAAAGAACCTTTCAAAAGTCTTGAATAAAAACTATCCTATGTTCTTTCTCAAGATCAACAAATTTCATTAAAATCAGTTCAGTGGTTTAGGCGTGAAAGCGTAACAAACAGACAGTCAGACAGAGTAACTTTCGCATTTATAATATTAGTAGGGATATACATATATGTACCTTGTAAGACTAGTATTTGCCGCGGGTCCGTCTCCACGCTGTACGCGGCGGCCGCTTGGTCGAAGTGCGCGACCAGAAGTGTGCAGGTCTTGCCGTATTCACATCTGCCTATTACTGACACTTGTTCCAGCTGTTGCTGCACTGTGCCCACCTCTTCCAAGGGATCTTCCAGGCCTTCGCTACATGTTTAGGTAAGAAAATTATTAGTACATATATATAAAAAAGATTTTTTTATATGTATGTATGTAATCCAGACCTTCACTGAATGTATACATGAACAACTATATTAGTATACTAGAAGACCCGGCGAACTTCGTATCGCTCTATAATCAAGAAATATCTGTTAGGTTTTTTTATTTATATTTTTGAAGTTTACCTATTAAAGCCATAAATCTCCGTGTTTTGAAGGGCGACAGAATGATTGACATATTAGTTAGTTGTCAAATCTATTGTCAAAAAAACCGTTTGTATCAACAACTACTAATAAATTAAAAAAAACATTGTCCAGCGGACAAAATTGTGAATCTAAACCATTCCCAGATCCCCTTGAACACACACGAAAAATTTCCATCAAAATCGGTCCAGTCGTTTGAGAGAAGTTCAATGACATACACACTCACAGAAGAATTATATATATAAAGACATGTATTGAAATACAAGATTTTTTATATGTATGTATGTTTGTTGAGTTGTACCTTGAGTGAGAGTGATAATTAATGTTCAAACCTTCTCCATGAGAGAAGAGGCCTTACAGCAGTGGGCTCTGATAGGATGATGATGATGATGTATGTCTGTACATTTACTATACATACCTAACTTTGTTAGTATATACAAATGTATATGTAAGTTTTTGTATGTATGTACATAATATGTATGTATGTTTGTTGAGTTGTACCTTGAGTGAGAATGATGATTAATGCTCAAACCTGCTCCATGTGAGGAGAGGCCTTTCAACAGTGGGCTCTGATAGGATGATGATGATGATGATGTATGTCTGTACATTTACTTCTTCCTGGCAATTTCCTAGCTTTAGCCAGAGTCTGCCATTTACTATACTTACCTAACAAGTACAGGTACACTATCCAGTCTTGACGCTACATACGCCGCAGTTACTCCCGGCGCGTACACGTCTAGTAAATGTGGCTCTGACGCCTTCACGTAAGGCACAGAAGCGACCATGCGTTGCCACAAAGAAAGCAAGTAGTGAACGCTGTTTGGGGCGAATTGCCACACCTGGAAAGAAATAAAATGATATTTAAGTATTACATATATTAATGAAATAATTATTAACAGATTACTATGATTTTTTTTAAAACTAAGTACTAAAATCATTTCGATTACTTTGCAGCAACCGTGATCATTAAGACGAGATGAAAATGCGCGTACTTAGTTATCCGATAATATTAGTAATGATTTGTTTGAATTATTGTCTAAAAAACTGATTCTTTAGGATAAAGTCCTTTCCGTTCAGTTTACTTGTTAAAAATAATAAAATAACGAGTAGAAATCTGTAAATATGACTTTCATTTAAATGAATACTCTTTAAAGACTTAGATTTCATTATATAATCTATATCATTCATTAACATCTGATGATAATCTATTGAAGTTCCACAATCATCAATCAATCACTCAATCAATCAATCACTCATTCAGTCAATCAGTCAATCATTCACTCATTCACTCATTCACCGTACCTGCAGGCTCTGCACCGTGAACTTAGCGACTAGCTCGATGAGTCGCGGGTAGTTGTCGACCATGACTAGCTCGCCGAGCTGGTAGTTTGACTTGAGGCGCGCGAGCAGGCGGCAGAACTCGTGATAGTTGGTTGGGTCTGAGAGACCCTGGGGGGGAATGGGGGGTTAATATATATATAGGGTTAGAAACAATTAATATATTATATGATGAAATTATAATCAAAATCCTAGATAATATTTCAACTATCCATTATGTAAGAACAATATCTAAACATATATTTTGATTTATTATAAAACAATCTAACATAAAACTAAATAACTGTCTAACATATTTTTACAACATTTTTGGTATGTTAAAAAAATTGTTTTATATCCATAAATACCTGAGTATCTTCCAAAATCCTCATCACACCAGCTGCTAAACGATTCAGGAATTTAGCTCTCTCGCTATTACTGAACAGAGATCTTCTTACACTGGCCAGCTGTACTAAACACGCGAGCGATAATGATCCGGTTGACCTCACACCGTGGTATAGACTGAAGAATAACTCTAAAGTCCCAGGTTCTAGGAAAGTTGGCCTCCACGCTGTTGGTATCTACAACGAGACAAGATAAATTGTGTAAACAAACTTTATAAGCAGACTAGCTGCACCCCGCGGTGTTACCCGCGGATTTCCGGGATGTAAAGTAGCCTATGTGTTATTCCTGGACGTCAGCGTCTTGAATATAACATTTTATCAAAATCGATTCAGCCGTTTGAGTGTGAAGAAGTAACAAACATACGCACACACTCACAAACTTTCGCAATTATAATGTCAGTAGGATTATCTAAATTATTATGATTTATACAATCTATAGATATTTTCGTGAATATTTTCATCTAAAGGTGGCATTAGACTTGGCGTTTATTTGTTGTGTTCGGCCAAAAAGGACAATGTGGAAGATTTATTCGTCTTCATTTCACATATTTGAACATAAGACACATACTAATAAGCGAAATCGTAAAGACGTTGTTGGTATGCCAAGTGTGGATGTCGTGTTTGAGCTATTTGGATTACGGTCAAACATTTGGACAAATGCGGCGAATACGCAACGCCTAGTGAAGTGCCATCTTAAGTGATATCTAATAAATAAAGACAAAATATCCATATACTATTATAGCTATATACAAAAAACTCAGTAACTTTCCATTACGTTCATATATTTCCCACTATCTTTCCGCTTGCGGCTTCGCCCGCGTGGAGTTCGGTTATATCGCGTTTCCAAGAGAACCTTTCAAAAGTCCGGGATATAAACTATCCTATGTTCGTTCTCAAAGTCAACTCTGTTTGTACCAAAAGTTTGTACCAAAAGTGAAAGCGTAATAGACAGAGTTACTTTCGAATTTATAATATTAGTTTTGATACAACAATAAAAGTACATAATTAATACTTCTAGAATACTTTATTTATACAGAAAACGTTAAAAAATATATAATTTAAGTAATAACTGACCTGTACAGTACATAAATCATCGGAGCTCTCATCCGTAGTAGTGCCTATAAAGTCGAACGCTAGACAGTTGTGAGCCAGTCGTAGGAGCGCCGTGAGTAGGGTGTAGGGCTCCCCCATTGTCTCTAGGGCTTCGCGTCGGGCCGCCCCCAGTAGGGAACAGGAGAGACGGAACATCTCATATAATTGGGTGTCCCTAAAATTTTGGGATTTAGGGATTATTTTATAACATTCTCCATGTGAGAAGAGGCTTTTGCTCAGCAGTGGGCTCTGATAGGCTGATGATGATGAGTGATTATTTATAATCAGATCTAAGAATTTCGCCAGTATTCATTTTGATGAAACTAATATTTTTGGATTACTGCGTGATTTTGATATTATATTAAACTACATACTTTGTTTTTTAGTAATTGTAATATAAATAAATATTTTGTTTTTTAGTAATTGTTTAATTTATTACTACATAATTGTGAAAAAATTACCTTAATAGTCGTTAATATAGAAAATATTTCAGCTTAAACTTTCTTCTGATCTGCTTCCAATGTGGATACGCGGAATTATCCAATGGTAGTTACGCGGATTTGCACTATACCCGATGGTATGTATGTCTGTCCCATGTCAAAAAGCATAAACACAAGCCTACCTAAAACTAGAAGCTATCTTCCTCTGTTTAGCCAACGACCTCGCAGCATCCGCATCTGACAGCGCATTCATCTCTTGAACGAGACACGACAACAGCTGCACGCCCACACAACACAGTTCAGCGCCGCCCTGGTAATATTTTGGTAATATCAGTAATAATTGGTAATTTTACTTTAGGATTTTGGTAATTGCTAAGGTAAATTTCATTTAGTATCTTAAGACTTCGAATTTAACTATTTTAATAGAATAAACTACTTATTAAAGAGTAAACGACTTTTTGAGGATTTTCCTGATTTTCTAAGAAGCATATATATACTAAACTTCACAATAACCTAATTGTCATCAATCATTCCTAATTTTTTTTAATGAAATTAGGTAAGATTTACTAGACATTACAGATATAATATTTTATTTGGAAATGTAGGCTAAAAAGATTATATATAAAATAAGAGATAGGCGATTTAATAAATGTCAAAATGTCTACTCAATTCTCTTAAGGTCTACTAAGGTATCTTAAGGTCTACCGAGATCTACTAAGGTCTATTCAGGTTTACTGTCACCGACGGACGTCTCAAGTAAATCAAAATATATTAATATGTACCAAGTACTAATAAAACATATCAAATTCTACCAAAAACCGTAGTCTTTTAGAGTCTACTATGGTCTACTGAGATCTAGGAGGGTCTACTGTGTTTTCATACCTGCAAGAAACTGGATACATCGTTCATGACGTTGTGGAAAACATACTCCTCTTTAACCATGTCGAACCAACCAAGCTTTGTGATCCTTGCAAAGAGTGACACCAACGCCTGCAAATAATTATATATATGTACATAAAAGATAATAACTAAAAACTAAAAAAATTTGTACACTATTAAAAAGGGTTATGAACAAAAATTTGCCTTAGAATTTTTAGCCTTAGAAAATTACAAAAAAAATATTATAAAAGTTGAAGAAAATTACTGATAGTATGAACAAGTATACACATTTATTAACTAATTTATATGTTATGGGCCAAGCGATTAATCGGGCATTATTCATATGGCCCGAGCATATGAATAATTCCCAGTGCCTATTGGGCAGAATAATGTTAAGCATGTTTAATACTTTGAAATGAATACTTAGCTAAGTTTAGTTCATCTTTTTTTTGTATACTGAGGAATGTGCTCAACACATACCAAGCCTTTGAGGACTGGGTGTTGATTTTGTGGGGATGGTTAAGAAAAACCTTACATAATCTAAATTAACGCGTTAGTTTCCTGTCCCGAACTTTAGCGCACCACTTTTACCTTTCAAATTTACCTATTAATTGCCCAATAATCATGTAGCCATATTCATAATTCCCGGGCAATGAGATAAATAGATTGTAATTAGTCACTTGATCCGATATGCCCGGGCAGTATGAATAATTCCCGATTAATCACTTGGCCCATAACATATGCATAACAAGTTTAAACTACAACTATTATAGTTACAGATTATACTACTAACTGTAACGTATTATGTTAATCCTATATGTATAATAAAAATTAACATATAATATTGGCTAGTATGAGTCTAATTTATAGACATTAGTGTATTATTATTTTAAGCATGACTATATATGTAGTTACTTACCTGAACAACGAAGTTGGCCAACTTTGGCCGAGTGGCCAGATAGTTGAGGACATAGTTGCGAATGTCCAACCGCTGTTGCACAGACAGACTAGTTGTTGATCTGTAATATATAAGGAAATTATATATATATATATATATATGGAAATCTCTTTTTCGTTTCCGTTATTTCAAAGCAGTTGTTCGCAAACTTATTGTGAAACTACCCAATTTATAAAAACTAATATAGCTTATCAGGCCTTTATACAACATTCCCATTAATTAATGCCTTTTAGGATTGCAGCGCCCCTAAAGGAAACTTATCACACACTTTTAGAAAGGCTGTTCCATACAAACACTAAAAACATCTTGGACACTTTGAAAAAGGCAATTTTACACAAATACTAAGAAGTCTCTCTTGGAAATTATATAATTGCATGATATTCTTTCGACTCAAAATTCTACTATTTCTTATATATATCCTATAGAAGAAGAAGACATACATATAAATATATTTAATTTAATCTAATATTACCATTAATTCCTTGGTGCATTAAATACTAACCTGCTGACAAGCTTGGAGAGAGTTGTAGCTGCGAGTAGTTGAGAATAACTTGAATCAGCTCGCTCCAACAACGCCTGACATTTACTGAGAGCATCCGGTGACTCCTGAGAAATATAACCAAAATATATCAAATTTGGTTAGGAGAGAGAAGCTTGGACGGTGGAGGTGAGCGTTTAACGCGTTAGATAGAGCCTCTTAAACCTACACCTGGGTCACAAGTCCCAGTCACTGTTGAAGCTCCTCTCTACAACGATGGACCCGACACACGCAACGTGAATACATTGAATTTAAATGAAACTAATATTTTTCGGATTACGCTACTTTATTTTCGTAAAAAACTACATACTCCCGACGTTTCAGCTACTTTTCATGTATGTATGTCTGTCATTTGGTCTTGTTATTTATCACCATGGAATGATTAGAAGTTTCGTCTCAATTTAACCCCGCCTCTTCTCTCAATAACCAACGTACAAATAACATTTTAACCTAAGATTTGTTAGAGACATAACAATTTTTCATAAGGAATATTCTTTCTGTCTCAACTTAGTATTATTTTGAATTTTTTTTAGAGTTCAATGACCTTTTCATACATTTAACATATCTATGATATAACCGGAATCACTTGCACTATTAAAATTTTATCAAAATATAAGTAATTATCATACAATTTCAAAGAATGTCATATAATTGGAGAAGAATTAATGTATTAAATGTTTATTAATCTATTAAATGATTATGTTACAAATCTTTGACTTGAACAAAACAAAAGAAATTGACAGAATTTTTAAATTTATTACAAGGGTCACTCATATTATACAATTACACTTATGTAATTGAAATTATAAAAATATATATATTTATTTCGTGTTTTGGATCAGAGACAATTTTTTAAGTCAATAACTTAAAGATCTACTTTATATATTAGATACTTAAAGATATATGAGAGAATTCTAAAAGTAAAACATAGTTTCAATTTGCATCAAAATAAGAAATATTCACCTGACCAAAAGATACTATAATATATATATATAAATACTTTATCTAACCTGGAAATTGACAACGGTTATCTCAGCCTGATCCCGTAGATGAGGATCTTGAGATTCATACAGCTGCTTACAGAGATGCTCTATTCTAATCACCTCCTGGAATAATTATACACCTGGAATTAAAATCTATCGGTAATAATAACTGTACACCTGGAAGTTAAATCTTTCTGCTATGTATATATACAGGAGATATTAATCCTTATGAATTACACCTGGAATTAAAATCTATCGGTAATAATAACTGTACACCTGGGAATTAAGTCTTTCTGCTGTGTATATGTATAGGAGATACTAATGCTTATGAAATTACACCTTGAATTTAAATTCAAATTTATATCTTTTGAACATAAATAGATTTTGATCATTTCAATTAAATTCATTTTCTATTATAATTTTCATATACATATATAAATTGAACATTGCCTCAATCTAAAACATTAAATATATTTTCAACCAATTGTTTATTCTAGTGTAACAAAAACTATATATGCAATTTGATTAGTGATATATAACAACCCAAAAATTAAAAACATTACATACATATAATAATATATTTGTATGGCAGCATAAAATGCTGTTATAGAATGGATTTGTTTGAAAAAATAATGATTTTTATCTTTATAATATGTAATTTACTTGTTAATTTTTATTAACAGACTAAACCATAATATCATATAAGTAATAACAGTATAATATAGTATATATTATGTATATATTCGCCAAAAAACCTTTCATAAAACTACATCTGGGTAGATACATATATAGTCAGCATTGTTCTAGAACCTTATAGTAAATGAAGCATCAAAAGCCATTGCCTACGCCAAGTAAGCTTCATCATCACCATAAATGAAATCCGACTAATATAATTACAGATTTTATAAAACTAAAATTATATTAAATCATATATATTGAGTGATTTTTTATCGGTATGTATGTATATTAGTAATTGTGGTGGCCTAGAGGTTAAAGGACCTCCTCTCATACACTAGGGCCGGTTCGAAACCTAGCAAGTACCTATGTGATTTTTCTTAGTTATATGTACTTTATAAGAGAATTTAGACACCACTGACTGATGAATGAAAACATCATTAGGAAACCTGAATTTATAATTTCCAATTATAAGTTTGAAATCGCCAACCCTTCTTGAACAAGTGTGGTGATTAATGCTCTAACCTTCTCCATATTAGAAGAATTTGTTCAACAATGAGTAACAAACCCATAGGCTGATGATGATGATGAACAGAAATAAAACACATTTAATCCGATTTTCTTTTTTTCAGTACAAATGAATTTTACATATAGTATTTCCTTGATTATTTTTGTAATAATATTTATAAAGGTATTTGAATCTAGGTGATAACCTTATTACAAGTGTTAATATACTAAATAGAGATAATTTTAGTGACCGAGGTATAAGCTGAGCTGCATTTGTGTGAGTGCACACGGATAGTTTAGGTGTGATGTCAAATTTTTTAACCCCACATGTTTTTCTATGTTTAAACCGGTTTATACTGCTTTTACTCTGCCACACACTTTTACTTCACCCTTTGTACTGGTAGTAAAGTCAATTGTTGAGAACGCAAGATCCAGTTAAGAAGAATTTGTATAGTTTTTTCAACATTTTTATTAATTATTACATTTTGTCCATAACATTTCCATCTGGCCTTTTACAAGTTTTACTTATTATATTTCTAATCTAAAATATCTGTAGCCTTAAATATAATAAAATTTTATTCTAAAAGTTTTTTGTCTAACTCTACTTTTACTTTCACTCACACAAATGCAAAGCTCAGCTTAAATCTAACGGACTATACCAGTATTTCCTTCATATACCTTCGGTGATACCATGAATTAAATGTTCCGAGTATAATACTTTGAAACTGTCGGTAATGAGACAAGCGAACATATAACACATAGTAAAGAATTACTATGCCATCATGGATATTAAAACTTGTAGAATATCTGATTTGTATGAAATTAAAATGGTCATTGTAGGTGAAAATATAATTGTTAAATGCTTTACGGATAGTAATATTTTGTAAGTAATAGCAACGCTTAGCACAATATATATATAAGAAGGGAAGGAAGAGAATCCACCAGTTAAATATATAGTTTTAAGATTAAGGCAATGTTAAGAAACAATAGCTTAGTTAGCAAAGCATCTAGAATGTTGACTCCGGGAAGAAGCAGGTTGAAATCTTACTTGTGTCCACATATTTTCGATCCCATACATTGAATTTGTATTTTATTACTATAAATTATGAAAAATTTAAGTATTTCAACAAATTTTGCTATAAACATTTATATAAAAGTATTTGCAAATACCTTAATTTGATTGAGTATGTCATTATAAGAAATAAATTAGATAAAATGTACTTTTCTCTTCTAAATACTGTAACATTTTATGACAATACAAAATTGTTTTCGAAAATACTTTTATATACTCTCTTTGCGATATTTATAAGTATTTTTTTTTTATATATGTAAATGAGTTATTTATCAATAATTTTGAACGAGAAACTATTTTCAGACGATCATTTCGTTTATTGATGGAGTCTAAATCTTCATTGACACAATAATCATTTGATTAAACAAAAAAATATTGCTTATTTTAAATGTATTACATCGCACCGTTAGTATTTAACGAAAATATAACGAATAAAATTGAGTTCAAGTATTTAAAAACTACATTTTAATCATAATTTATGTAAATACAGCCATCGTATTTCAAGGGTAATCCAGTTGTCATGACCATTATAACCAAAGTGCCGGTAAATATATCATATGTAACGTAATTTCTAATAGTTTTTTCACGTTTTTAATATCAAGTATAAATATATAATTCAATATTGCAGTTAATTACACCCAATCTCACTTTAATACGCATCCCTAAGAGCTCGAAATACTGTCTTACAAAAACTTTATAACAAAGGGATGATGTATAATTTTATAATTATAATTATTTGTTGAATCACAAAATAGATTAGAATTAATTTTTTCGCCTATAATTATGTTAAAATAATGTATTTTTTTATAATATTTTGGTACTCACCTGTTCTTCAGCCATTTTTGTTATTTTCGTGCATTTGATATGACATTTCGTTTCACACAGCGTCAGAAAAGTCAAGATAATGAAATGGGTTTGTCATATTGTAATAATTGAAATAAAATAAATAATTAAAACATTTTATGATTTTATTTTATAATTTGGATGAAAAATATAATTTAATTTGTTTAATACACATCTATTTAAATATTGTTAAATTTTATTAAACCTACCTATAAATGGCGTTATTGATCTGATAAGCATAAATAAGTATTGGGTCGATATTTTATGTTTCATAATTACTTACGTACATTTTAATGGGAGAACTAATTAATGCAATAAAACTTTATTGTAAATTGGTATACTCCTTTTAACTAAAATCTATTTGTTAATAATAAATCATAAACTTATATACCCAACAAGATGATTAACAACTTGGGGGTTATAGTGATACATAGAAGAAAATTTATCAAATTTTTGAATTCGTTCTTTCATTTTGAAGCAAATTTGTATTAAGAAAATATTTAAAATACAAAATGATTAGATGTCTCCTTTAAAAATATAATTATCGGACGGTTACAAAATAACTAGAAACTTCCATTGTCACGAAGTATAATCTACGAATTTTCTACATTTTCTTTAATATAAGTACTTACATATGTTAATACTATAATGTGCGAGTATTTTTTATATAAAACGTGAAACCGCGTGGTTAATTTATTATTGAAAACTCGTGGTAAAGATTTTTTATGCTATGGCTTCATTCGGACTGGAATCGTGGAATATTTTGCCAATCTCAACGATTTTTTTAATTGGACGAATTATAATCTTGAGTATTGTGTGGAAACACGAATGATTTTGTCGAATGGAAGGAAGGCCTTTATTTAATTAACATATATTTTTTAAAGGAGACTTAGTCGTGGTAAATTTACTGTAATAGCTTAAAACCACTTTTATACAAATATAATAATTTAATATTATTTAAAATAATTTAATGCATAGGTATACAACTAATTGAATGTAAATAATAACTGGCTAGTTATTAATTTTTAGCTGAAAGAAGAAAACTTATAATAAAATAAAATGAATGTCACAAAAATTTAAAGTTATGATAGCATGTTTCTTGTAAATTATTAAATATATATATTTTTTCCAAAATGTTTCGGCTGAAACTATCTAAATTCAAACAGGCCTTCGCTGTTGCCATTTTACCAAGAATTCTTGTAAGGGAATTCAGACCCGTGAAGAAGAAGATAAATAATTGTAAGGTTTCTTTATGATTTTTCATGACCAAGTGTATTGTATACTTGAGATTCATTTATTCTGTGTATGCCTGGATACATTGGCATTCAAGGATTGTTCCATTCATGCCAATATCAAAAGTTTTCTGGCATTAAAGTATCGCATTCAAAAAATCTTGAATGGTGTATTCACCAGGTATACAAGGAAATAAATGAATAGTGATAGAAGTATTAGCTGTTTTTGCTAGACTTATTTTTTACCGTCTGGAATTAAATTTAAATATCGCATTTCAAACATCTGTTTATAAAACTCTCTTGTGTTACCAAAATTTTGAAGAAAATTCACCGAGTTTTGTCATCTGCGGTTCGAATATTCCATTCCATCCTTTACACAGTAGCATGAACGCAATAAGTCCTCTGATGCTGCAACCATTGTCTTACTCTTATGGCGTTGCACGGAGTTTTTAATATAGTTCTTGTAGTTAAAATCTACTAGTACATTGTAGTATTACGTAGTAGAATTACATATGGGACATATCCTTTGTTATGCAAAAATAATATACTTTAATAGCAAAATTGGTGTAATATTAAGTACATTTTAAGTATATAAATCTTTTTTTCACAGATACGTTTGATGTGTTCAATAAATTTGGTAAAAGCACGGATTCTGGATCCAAAGATGAAGTGACAGACAAGCAGAGGCAGATCATAGACAAGTGTTTCGGAGAACACGAGCCCGAGGGGAAGTACCAGGGAGAGGAAAAGGAGATAAGTAGATCCCCAGAAGCTGAATATGTTCGATGTTCTGAATGTAGACAGAACGAAGAAAAGGCTTCCTATGACGCATACAACGCTGAAGTACAAACTAATGAGGAAGCAGCTAGCGTTAAGGCGACAACGGCGAGGATTATAGATGAAGCATTAGCACAGAAAGTGGAAAAAATTGACGAGACACCCCACGTTGAAGCCAGTCCCAAGGATATTGAGGGTTTCAACTCAACACCAAAGGTCATGGGACACGACATTGAGTTCTTTGCTAATGAGAAAATCCAACAAATTGACCTGGACGATCTCGCCAAGCGCTGCGTCGGTGCCCCCATTGGTAATATAGACGAATTGCTGTTAAAAGAGATGAAAAATATGTCTCTTAAAAACTGCCAATCCGACTTGGATATGAATCTAGTTAGAGGACATTGCGTTGAAAAGTATTACAGTGGAATATTTGAACATTTGACGCAACAGTCGAAAACTTTAGATAAAACGGAGAAAAAGGATGGGAATGAGGTGACTAATCCCCTGGATTTGTTTTACGATAACAGCATCAGTCCGGAGAAAGAGTTAAAATCTGAAAGGATAACTCCACTGCATACTGATTCTCTCCATTTATTTACAATAGATGAAGGGTATAAAGATTTTAAAGAGACTGGTTTAATTCGCGACAGTTGTATGGATTTCACGACGGATGTCAAAGACACTTACTACAATCAGCCCGAAGTATTGACTCCGTACGGTGGCCCTGTTTTCCCTTTTTATGAGTATGGTACTAAGGAACCGATTATACTTGAACAATTTAAAGAAACAACTACAGCGACGGTTGCAGAAACTGGTTTAGCGTCTAATATTCCAGAAGCACAAGATATACATGTTGGGAAAGAAGATAGTATTGTAAGGGACATAGATCCGCTTCACAGGGATTTATCACGTGTAGTAGAACCATCGAAAGCAGAAAGACATGCAAAGGAAGAAGAGTTTAGTTATATCACAGACAAAATCGGAAAAATGACTCGAAAGGAGAAAACGCGACCAAAGGTATCAAGTATAGACGAATGTTCAGGTGAGAGCCCGTTTACAACAAGGAATCAAAGTTATCTTAAACTGAATGATATTTATCTAAATCCCAACCAAATTGGAACACTCGCTAAGGTCGAAATGCTAAAGCTGCTCTATTTGAACGCTAGTAAAGCTAGGAATTACCAATCACGACTATATTCGACACCATCAGAATTTTCAACTGGAGATGAAATGAATCAAGAGCAAAATTCTGCGATATCCGGTAGATTGGATCAAGAATTTTCCTCTAGAGAAGGGAACTCGGGTGTCGACTTGCCAACAAACTCTGCGATTTCCGCCAACCAAAATCCAGGGGAGTATTATACATTGAGCGACCTCCATGAATCTTTGAACTTTCTACATGAGCCATGGCCGACTTTGACTGCAGACTGCCACAATATTCATTCGGCATTATGGACTCCATTACACAAAAACGACGAATGTTACACACATGACTCAGACGATACTATACACGAATTAGGATACCCAATTGTGTTGCGAGATCCATTTTCTTACGTGTGTTCCGAGCAAGTCACCCCGCAGAAAACTGTATTGGATACCTTGAATGAACAAATATCATCTGCAACCGCTGACAAAATCACTTTCTCAGCGGATGCTGATGTCACAACAAAAACTGATGATGGTAGACCGCTGTCGGAGGTTTTGAAACAGATCCGGAATAAAAATCGTTTAGAGTTCTGCCGCAATCTTCTCCTGCAATGCGCTAAGCCGAACGCGAAAAAGCTTACGTGTTTTCCGCCCCTTGATAGAAGCAAGCCGAGAACTAACCTCTATCCTCGCCCATGCCAACCGAAACCCAAGGAGAAGCCAGACAATAAACCTGAGCCGTGTAGGCCTAAGAAAGATCCCTGCGCTAAATTTTTGCCATTCCTCTTTAGCACCCTCGTCAGATCCGAAATCGCAATAAACATTCAAGCAATGAAACCTCTCTACCATGTATGTGCTTACAAGACCATGGTGGCCGATGAAATTGTAGAACGGTTGCGCAATTTGTACAAGAGACTGCAATTCGTTAAATTCAATCGGGATATTAATTTTGCGAAAGATGCAAACTGTGCTAGAGATTTTGAGCCATGGATCCCGATACCTTCATGGCCAGTGCCGAAAGTTGAGAAAAAGAGGCCGTTCGTCTGTCCCAAAGAAGGATGCAAGCAGTTCCCTGTTCCTCAAACGAATCCTCCGAAGCAAAAACCCTGTCCCGGAATGCCCAGGAAGAGGTTCTCTTTCGCTGCCATCAACACACCTGAGATTCTAATCAACTAAAAATTCAAATTATGGCGACACCAAAACAGTTAGTGCCTTTCTATATAAATTTATTGTGAAACTATCAATTTAACTAATATAACGTAACTTAATTCTTGTAGTTTAAATAAAAAATTGTCCCAAAAAAATGTTCCTATTTTATAAATATAAAATCGTTCAAACGTCGAATTTTTATTTTTTTAGAAAATAGCTCACTCTGTACAAAAAAAACAACAAAGATAGCTATTGTACATTTTCCAGGGTATTATACCTATTATACATTTTTTATATTATATACCTATTATACATCTTTCAGGGTATATACGTCTAAAGAATTCAAATTGAACTATTGGCATTATTATCTATTTCCGAGATCATCTGTACCCTAATCACAAATCTTGCATCGACAAACAAAAGTTCGTTTTAAATTGATATAACAAAGTAATCATCTGGGTAGATTTGTAAAAGAAATATTATAAAACTGCCTGTTAACTTTTAAGATATAAATTCGCAATAAAGGAACGGTTTTCCAATTGGATTTGATTACAATAAAATGGCGTCATATAAAAGATATCGGGATATTTATTACAAAATTTCATAAAGTGTTTCCTTCATAGGAACGTACAAAAAATTATAACTTGATATAAAACCTTTCAATGTTTAAGGATTTTTGTTCACAAATTATGAAATCAATATCTTTTGAACGAACCATCTAAAAAGGGCGCACACAGACGTGACTATAATATTAAAATTATTTCACTTGCTAACAATCATCATTATGTAAAATGTATTTACTTTAACTAATCTTTGCAACAAAAGTATGTTCTTGGCGTGTAGCTAGCAAGTTCAGAATAATATTTTCATCAAGTACTCGATAATCACTCCTTTACTCAACATTTAGAAAAAAGCTTATCAAAACGAGTTTATTACTACTATCAAAAAACCTTTACAGAAGATTTCGTTACGGTTTTTCGAGAATAAAATTCTATATTAAAGAATATAGGGCTATATCAATAAATGTCCCAAGATATTGAGGTGGTAGAGCCTAGCTGTGGTCATGTTACTACAGCTCGAACATGTGCTGGCTCGACCGGGGAAGTACCACCCTCTCACTGAAGATCGGCGTCAAGTAGTCTTTAATAGGTGCGTTTCGTCCGATGAGTGAGAGAGACGGTTGCTCTTTCCCTTTCCTACCCTTTCCCCAATCAAAGGTAACACATTCGCAAATCGGCAAGACGGTACTACCTCAATCAGGTAGGCTATCTGCTATGTGCTCAGTTGCTTAAGTTACGGATGCGACGTGAAAATAATTTGAGACTGTCATCAATTCTTCTTAAAACTCATTAGTATTCATGATTATTGTTGAAAGTAAAACGAAATCAAACATTGTTTAAAAGGAAAATAGAACTATGTTTAAATCTTGGTATAAATATGACGTCTGGACGCACGGCGGCAGAGTTCAGTGAGTGCGGACCATTGAAGTATGTGATTATGAGGAACCTTCGAGAAATACAGGAGCATTAAGAACAATTGAACTTTCATTATAAAATATCAAGGAACGTTCTAGAAGAAGTGACATTTGTTACGTCAGCGAGGCTGGGGTTTCTCTCTTTAAAAACAACGAATTTGTAATAAATCTGAGATATATATTATTTACTAGTTTTTGCCCGCGACTTCGTCCGCGTTAGTTTGGTCAAGAGTAATATATGTAGGTATAGCTCACCAGGCGAACTCTATTCCGTCTTAGAGGCCATAAATAATCAGGTTTTTCCTGTTTCAATCGAACAGAATGATTGACATATTAGTTAGTTGTCAAATCTAATGTCAAAGAAAACGTTTGTATGGGAAATAGAAAAGGGCTGTTTTTATGGTTTTCCCCAGTAATGAATAAATTTTTTTCAGCTTTCAAACTTTCCCTGAAACTCCACGAACATTTCAAGACTAAGATAAGATAAATCCGTTCAGCCGGTCTCGAGTTTTAGTGACTTACGAACAGCAATTCATTTATATATACATATATAGATTAAATAAAACAATAATAAGGATATTCTTATATATTTTATTTAAGCCACATATATCCTAGGTTCGTAGCCCTCAGCCACAATCTTGTCATCGATCCAGGCCCTCATCTTGCTAACGTCCGCGTACACCCCGGGAGTACCATCTTCACCGCATCCAATACCCCACGATACAATACCCACTTGCTCATAACGATCCTTTTCGTACTGAAAAAACAATATTATAGTATCAATATAACATTTTTTCATTACTGAGATCCAAGACTTTTCTCTCTTATCTATATAAGAGGTCAAATCATGTCTGCCTTGATTACGATTGCAAAAAGTAACCGAAACGTCGGGAGTATATAGTTTTAAAAGTGATAAAGTAACGCGCAGTAATCCAAAAAAATGTATTAAAATGAAATTATTATTTTCGGATTTTATATTTTTGACTATAAACTAAAACTTCGAGAGTATGTAGTTTATGGTCTAAAATAGAAAATCCCATAAGTAGTAAATCCGAAAATATTAGTTTCATTTAATTGAGTACTCGCGAAAATCTTAGATCTCATTATGTATTAGCTTCCCTTAAATACTATCGATAAACCTTCATCCTGATAATTTTGGTTACTTTTGCATAAGTCTAAACATAAACATGAATCTAAAACATAAACATGAATCTAAGTCTAAACATAAACATGAATCTAAACATAAACATGAATCTAAATCTAAATGTATTTATCTATCCATTAAAAAAAACTTTGATTGATCAAACATCTATCAAGCTATATATATATTAATCAGTTCAGATATTCAAGCATTCAAATCACCAATTTCAAACCAACCATCTATAGAAATCATATAATACTTTCGCGAGTATTCATTTAAATGGAACTAATATTTTCGGATCACTACAATCACACCTCTCTGCCCGTAATTAAATTGCTGCAAAATAACTGAAACATCGGTAGTATGTACTTTAAAAAAACAAAAAAACGCGTACATACAAAAATATTACTTACATGTATATAATAATTCAATCTTAATACTATCAAACCAGTATCCCTACTAATATTATAAATGCGAAAGTAACTCTGTCTGTCTGTTACGCTTTCACGCCTAAACCACTGAACTGATTTTAATGAAATTTGGTACAGACAGAGTTGACCCTGAGAAAGAACACAGGATAGTTTTTATCACAGACTTTTGAAAGGTTCTCTTGGAAACGCGATATAACCGAACTCCACGCGGGCGAAGCTGCGGGGGGAAGCTAGTATAATATATGGAGAATTACCTCGACTGGACATACGAGTGGTGAGCCACCGTCTCCAGTGCAAGTATCTTGACCTTCACCGCCAGCACACATGAAGGACGAATGTAGCTCAAATAATCCCCCTAAACGAGTCTTGCGAAGAGCTTTCTGACATGTACTACGATCTACTATCGGCAATTCCCTCTGTTTAATAGATATATATAATGTTACATTCTTATATTGTACTTCTTACTGGCAATTTCCCAGCTTTAGCCATTGTCTGCCCTACATGTTGTTTATTTATTAGATCACAAACAAAATACACTCTAAAAACATTCCAGATAAATGAATAATAAATAAGACTAGTGGTATCTTACTTATAGGTAACAGCATGCAAAAAATAAAAGTTAAGCGACAAATTTGTTGTGAATAGTTTTGGCTATTTGTTTTTACGACCGGACGCCTGCCAGACATCAACCTACTTTGGGTTTTTCTTATACTTATATTGTACATGCATCTATTTTAGCGTGAGAAGACTTGCAATACTTTTTAATCTGCGTGTGGTCGTAATTTTCTCATTATGGTAACAAGAATGTCTCTCAATAAAATATTAATAATTCAAGAAATAACGATTATTATTTGATCAAACTATTTTAACAATATATACCTATTAATAGAAATAGAGCCCAAATAATATGCAAATTAATTCACGTGAATTTTTGCCATGCAAAAATAAGATAATATATTAATAATTACAGGCAGTTAACTCTGTTTGGTGAAAGAACATCGTGATGATGAAGTAGATATTGAAACAGAGCCCAAGTTATATGCAAATTTTATTCATACGAAAAAATTTGACCATGGTTGGACAAAATGAAATATTACGTCTTCAAGAGCAAGTTTTCAGTCTGATTTTTCGATAGTCCCAACAACTAAACTACTACACCGTTCTTATATGTTATTTAGAATATAAAGACAATTGGTCTATGACTAATGGACCTTCATATACTAGAAGTAACAAGATCGTATTTTTATTTAACTTATATCTTGTTTATATGTATTGAAAATCAATATAAACAAAAATACTATAGTTTTAGACCCATTTACTATCAATTAAACTATTATATCCAACAATTTTTCTCTGTTAATATGATAATATGAGTGGTGGCTTAGTGGTTTAAAGGCCTGCCTCTCATGCATGAGGACGCGGGTTCGATCCTGGCTGAAGTACCAATATGATTTTTCCGAGTCATATGTACTTTTTGAGAGTATTTAGACATCACTAACAGACGGTGAAGGAAAACATCGCGATGAAACCTGGACTTACAATTTCACAATTATAAGTTTGAAATCACCAACCCGTCTTGAGCAAACGTGATTAATGTATTCCCAAAGAGGGTTGATGTTAGTCGTAAAAACAATTAGCCAAAAATATTTACAACATGTAAGGCACACCCTGGCTAAAGCTGGGAAATTGCCAGGTAGTAGAAATATGACCTAGAGTTATGTACCATACTAACCTTTTTCAATATAACCTGGTATTTCCCATCCTTTCCAAACTGGTCTTTACCCCAGCCGGTCGCAAAGCAGTTTGTACCTGGTCTTGGGAGCTGTCTCTCAGCCGGAAGACAAACTAAACCCACGTTAGGCGCCAGTTGCATTGGCGCGGATAAAAATAATAGAGCCACGTCGTAGAATTGAGTATCTGTTGGACATTGAAGATACATACATTAATGTTACGTTGTTTCAATGATTTTAGTCACTTAAATGAACTTAAAAGGTTAAGCTCTTTAGATATCTTCTTGCCATAAATTAATATATGTATTATGTATGTATTTTAATTTCTTCAATATTTTTTGGTGATAGGTTTTATAATTAGTGTGTTATTAATTTAAGACACTTTTGTAGTTATTAGTGTTATAATTAAAATATCGTTATATTTCAGTTTGATGAATACATTATGTTGTAAGAAATTGTTATGGAAAAAAATTTTTTCTTGGTCATGTTGTCAAATGGTCATGAATTAATATTTTCTCCAAATTATATGACTTGCAATAATAAAAACTGTTAATCAATGTCTTTAATTTATTTTTTTAGAATATTAAAGTGCTTAAATTGTTTTTCAAATTTAGTATTTAGTTGGGCTAAAATCATTCAAATTCCAATTCACTCCAAGATATTTCTAGTCGAATAATATATAATGACTCACGTTTGTTGTAATCCTTGTGAACCTTGACCTTAGCCACATCCCTTTCCTGGTAAGGGTATATTTCGTGTCTGGTCTGAGTGTCCCATTCACCAGCTCGTACGCGCAGCTTCTGCGGCTTGTACACGTAGTGAGCAGCTGTTAGTACCACGCTCGGATGTATTAGAGAACCACCTCCGACGTATATGTTGAGAGCTTCGCTGTTTGGATCGTTGGGATTTACTTCTTCACGTCTGTAAATAAATAAATAAATGAATAAATAAATAAATAAATTATTTCTCATTCTTCTTCTTGTACCTGGCAATTTCCTAGGTATTATTGCTCATATATGGGTTTATTTTATTGGTATTCGATCACTATTTATTCATTTATGTATAAAGGGATTTTTTTTGTTGTTTAAAGGATTTTTTATCTATATGTTTTTTGATATTCTATATAGAAGATTTTATAGCTGTTTGTTTGAAAGGTAAAGGATTTAAATTGGACAAAGAATGAGTATAATGAAATTATGCTGAAGAATTTAAGGAAGAAAAGTATTAGAAGTTATTTTTCTTATATTATCTTTTTGAGAATATAAGATACTAGCTTTCCGCCCGCAGCTTCACCCGCGTGGTTTTCGGTTATATCGCGTTGCCGAGAAAACTATTCAAAAGTTCTTTCTCAAGGTCAACTCTATGTCTGTACCTAATTTCATTAAAATCAGTTCAGTGGTTTAGGCGTGAAAGCATAACAGACAGACAGACAGAGTTACTTTCGCATTTATAATATTAGTAGGGATTACTTCAAAAGGGCGATCATCCAAGGAAATTCGCCAAATTTCGTCTCATGGTTCACGTCTCCTGTCGTTTTGAAACCAACGCCGTCAGGGTTTCTCCAGCCGCAGTCTTTATGCTATGGTAATAATAGATTTATTTAAATAAGTCTAAATATACACTTATATAGTTGGTAGTATTTAACTTGGCAAGGCATTTAGTGGGGGTAAGTCAGTTCATGTACTTAGTGCAACAAAAACTGGTCACTTTGATGAGTATAAATAACAAAAATTTTATAGTAACAATGTGACCAATTTAAGTGCTCGCAAGTATACTTAAGAACAAACATACAATCATGGGCTCGAAATTGTGAAGTGTCATTTCCATCGTCCCACATGAGACCTATGATACCTAAAATCGCATTTTGTTTATCTATCGTCTTTTGCCAAGTTATTTACAGAATATTATAATTTCATATATATTTTTAGCACAAATTTAAATTATCACAAATATTTTTAACACAAGCATACTGCAACTAAATTCCAAATAAATATATGTATATAAATGGAATAGTTAAGCGACAAAAGCGTGATTGGAATCTGTATTCCATGGAATATTTCGTAGCTTTATAAATAAGCTTGTTATTTTAACTTCTCAGTCATCATCATCATCATCCTATCAGAGCCCACTACTTAGCAAAGGTCTTTTCTCACATGGAGAAGGTTTGAGCATTAATCACCACGCTTGCTCAAGACGGGTTGGTAATTACAAACTTATAATTTGAAATTGTAAGTCCAGGTTTCCTCACGATGTTTTCCTTCACCGTTTGTAAGTGGTGTCTAAATACTCTTATAAAGTACATATGACTTGGAAAAATCACATTGGTACTTGTCAGGATCGAACCCGTGCCTTCATGCATGAGAGGCGGGCCTTTAACCACTAGGCCACCACTGACTTACTTCTCAGTTATTAAATTATTTTTTTGGAAGTTTTTATCTAAAACTGCTAATCTTACCACAGGAGGCGGTGGAGGTGTGACAACATCTTCAGGATCCTTCTTGTTCGGTAGTTCACAGCACACGTCCAAATAGAACTCGCATTGACCGGTTTTCATTCTGTAATATTAAATATTACCTATATAGTTCTGATCAGTTTATATATTTGAGCTACTAGGAGAAGCAATTAGCTTTTTTTGTGGCTTAGAATTCGCTTTTTTGTGGCTTAACTCAAAAAAAGATCTCATTGCAATTTGAGTGAAACGAACTTTTGCGTTTTTTGGCCCTAAAGTTATAACAAATGGTCATATCTAATATTTTTTCTATAAAAAACACCTCAGATAAACTAGACTATCAAACAAAAATAGCTCAATCCAATCGTAATTTCGTTTGCCGACATTAATTCTGGATGAATCCGTTCGCTTCACTCAAATGTATTAGCAAGTGCTTTCAAAAGGTTCATTAGGGAAAAATTAAACTTAAAATTTTTGGTGTTAGTACCTTAGTAAGTTCAAATCATTACAGAAAACTGTTCATGGTTTTACCTAAATATAACTTAATCTAAGAAAAGCAGTAATATCCCTACTAATATTATAAATGCGAACTCTGTCTGTCTGTTACGCTTTCACGCTTAAACCATTGAACTGATTTTAATGAAATTTGGTACAGACAGAGTTGACCTTGAGAAAGAACATAGGATAGTTTTTATCCCAGACTTTTGAAAGGTTCTCTTGGAAACGCGATAGTAGTAGTAGTATATAATAAACATTTGTTTCACCTTATATCTATAACGTCGGCGCCATCCGTCACTATAGTATTATTTTCATTGCACAGATAGTATATGACGCATTCGCCGGGTCTCTCGTCCTTGGTCACACAGGATTTTGGCCCGGAACCTGCAAAAATATAAAAATACCTTACAAAAAAAACACAAACTACCTCACCTATTCTTCTTCTTCTGTCTGCCTTACATGTTGTGAATAGTTTTGGCTAATTGTTTTTACGACCGGCCGCCTGCCTGACATCAACCCTCTTTTGTTAATCAAAATAATAAGTGATGTCTAAATAGTCTTAGAAAGTACATATGGCTCGGAAAAATCACACTGGTACTTGCCCGGGCCAGGATCGAACCCGCGCCCTCATGCATGACAGGCGGGCCTTTAGCCGCTAGGTTACCACTGACTATACTACTATACTATTACTATTATAAACGGGAAATGTTGTACTTATGAATGGGTGTATGTTTGTTACACTGTTACGTAGAAAGTAGAAACTACTAAATTGATTTTGATGAAACTTCACAATAATATATATTATGTCTCAGAATGATGTATAATTAGTCTCGGTATCACGTGCTAATCCCTTTGTATCAACACATAACAGTTGTACTGCTTGGTTATTATATGTATTGTTTTAAAACTATACAGTTCTCTCTGAACGCAAATTTTATGTTCACGCGAACGGAGTTGCGGGCAAAAAGTAGTATGTATATATAATATATAACTTATAACATTTACTTAAAATAAAAATCATATTTGTATAGTTTTATACAAAGAAAAATCAGATTAAATACACTTTTATTTCTAGATTTTAAAACATTTTGAAATTTTTACTATAAGAAAGTTTCTCACCTGGGCTCACGTTAGTCTTTGGTGGTTTGTCGAATATCTCACCAAGAATCGAATCGAGGTCGCCGCTGTTTTGTGTGTTTACCAAAACTATACATGCTGTGATAATCAGTAGTTTGTACATCTGGAAACAAAGAAAAACATAAAACTTAAACAGACTTGTCAATGATCATCATCATGATCTTACTAGCCCACTGTTGAGCAAAGGCTTATTCTCACATGGAGAAGGTTTGAGCATTAATCATCACGCTTGCTCAAGACGGGTTGGTGATTTCAAACTTATAATTTGAATAAGTCCAGGTTTCCTCACGATGTTTTCCTTCATCTGTCAGTGGTGTCTAAATACTCTTAGAAAGTACATATGACTCGGAAAAACAATTAGTACTTGCCAGGTTTCGAACCCGCGCCCTCATGTATAAGAGGCGGGCCTTTAACCTCTAGGAAACCACGATTTTTTTATCCTTAATACAAGTTGGCGTTACAATACTAAATACAGATAATTTAAAGAACATTTATATCTATTATGTAGATATTAAAATACAAGAAACTATGTGTATGCTAAGTTTGTTTACTGAATCCATATATAATAAAGATTTTCTTCTTTTACCTGGCAATTTCCCAGCTTTAACCAGGGTCTGCCTTACATGTTGTGAATAGACTTGCTTAATGGTTTTTACGACTGGCCGCCTGCCTGATATCAACCCTCTGTGGGAATGCATTAATATATATAATAAAGATATTCTAAAGCTGAAGAGTTTGTTTGTTTGTTTGAAAGCGCTAATCTCCGAAACTACTGGTTCGAATTGAATAGTTCTTTTTGTGTTGGATAGTCCAGTTATCGAGGAAGGCTGTGGGCTATAAAACATCACGCTACGACGAATAGGAGCAAAGATATAGTGGTAAATGTGCAAAAAACGGGAGAAGTTATTTCATCTTTGAAGCCTTCCGTTGCGTGCGCCGTGAAAACGGTTCAACATACACAAAAAATATGTATTAAAGAATAATAGCTCTTTTAATGATCTAAAAAACAGTTCGCGACAGTATATGTCTATCTTTTAAGATTAACTCACAAAAACCGTTTTTATGGTACCTAATTTGGTCGAAATAATTTTATAAAATCTTTATTCAAATAAACAAATAAATATGTTGTAGGTTAAGAGTACTTCATTGTGAATTAAAAAAAAAACATAGGTTTTATCCTGAAAACTCTACGGGAACTCGACCATTCCGAAAACCCCACAAGAACGGGAACTATGTATGTGGGAAGTCACTACTCCACGCGGACGGAGTTGCGGCAAAAGCTAGTATATAATAAAGATATTTGTCCGTAACTTATATTTTATACAAGCGTACAAATTAATTGATATTTATTTCCTTTCCGTTATTCCTTTTCTGATGTATGGGACTTTTAATCTATTTTTATTTTAACTTCAGAAACATAGAAAATACCACCGTATAAGATTGTCAGTTTACGAGAAATTAACGTACATACAAACACATGTGTAATATTTAAACACAGGACCCATATTTTGTGTAACAAGTCTTCATTTCGGGTCGTTAGTTAAGAAAAACCGTTTATAAAATGCGTTAAATGTGTAAAACGATTATAGATTTATTTTCATGAATCTTAAATTGACCGCGACAATACAAGTGTTTCAATTGAAAAATAAATATATATATAAACTAGCTTTCCGCCCGCAGCTTCGCCCGCGTGGAGTTCGGTTATATCGCGTTACCAAGAGAACCTTTCAAAAGTCTGGGATAAAAACTATCCTATGTTCTTTATCAAGGTCAACTCTATCTCTGTACCAAATTTCATTAAAATCAGTTCAGTGGTTTAAGCGTGAAAGCGTAACAGACAGACAACAGAGTTACTTCCATGTGAGATGAGGCCTTTGCTCAGCAGTGGGCTCTGTATCTGATAGGCTGATGACGATATAAATAAATAAACGAGGAGTCGCAAGTAAGAACTAGTATTATATATATATATATATATATATATATATATATATATATATATATATATATATATATATATATATATGTGTGTGTGTGCATATACAGGGTGACTGGTGAGTTACTATCGATACTTGAGGACGTGATATTTGACGTACATATATGACAAAATAAAAATTAATATAACATAAATATTAATAAACTTCTAAGTAAAGTTAACCAAAAGTTATGTAATTAATTACGCATCGAGTGAACACCCTACAGATTAGGTAAACACACACACACACACACACGCGTGTGGCGGCGTAGTGTTGTATCAGCACGCCGCCGCACGCGTCCACACTTGGAACACTTGGAACGTGCCCACGCTTTATTTATTTAGACGGAAATTTAGTCAAAAATTAAGTACCTATTTTTTTTTACATAATTCGAATGAGAATCATGTACCGAGTATTCTCCTTTAATATTGATAGTAATTCACCAGTCACCCTGTATATATATATATATATATATATATATATATATATATATATATATATATATATATATATATATATATATGTTTTACATAAAACACAAACAAGTCTCTATAGCTGACGTAAGTCATTATATGACAATAATAACTTAAGGAAATCCCGCAGAACATATGAAATGAATTTGATTGTTGCTAAGTTGAAGTTAAATAGTATTGAAGACGATTTTATAAGCAATATATATTATTGTAGATAATTACAAAGTTTAGAGGCATTTATATTTCCTTTATGTTCTTACTTGATTACGTAAAACATTTAAATTGAATGAAACTTAGTTTTTTGGGTAATACGTGCTTTTTATTATTCTATATCTACATACACCCGACGTTTCAGTTACTTTACAACCGTGATCATGAAGACGAGATGAAATTGAAATAACCGAAATTTCGTGATCAAGTACATGTAAAAAAAGCGTAGTATACGAAAATATTAGTTTCATTTAAATGTACACGCAAAAATCTTACAATCATTACATTTAAATTATTTTTCCTCAAGAAACTTAAGTATATATTATAACTAGCTGATACCCACGACTTTGTCTACGTAAAAAAAAGTAGCCTTAGTTACTCCTTATTACATCAGCTACCTGCCAGTAAAAGTCCCATCACAATCGGTTCAGCCTTTTCAGAGATTAGCCGGAAAAAGCAGACAGACAAAAATTATAAAAAATGTTACTTTGGTGTATGTACCGTATACATATTTATATGCGTGTAGTGAAAAACTGTTATTTCAATATTACAAACTGATACTCTAATTTTATTTATTTCTATTTAATTTATATATTTTATTTTATTTATTTGTTATATATTATAATTCTAAACGACTCAGATTTCAATACATCTTCTACAAAAAAAAACGAAGCACATTAGTGCATACCATCAATTAGTGATTAGTTGATTACCTACTAAGATCTACCGGTAGAAAAAAACGATTTTTTTATAATTGACAATTACTTCAAATATACGTTTATTTGAATATAATTATGTTTCAAGGTTAAACCATCTCAATTAATAAACGATTAAGTCAGTGGTGGCCTAGTGGTTAAAAAGGCTAGCCTCTCATGCATGAGGACGCGGGATCGATCCTGGCCCGGTTGAGTACCAATGTGATTTTCCCGAGTCATATGTACTTTATAAGAGTATTTAGACATCACTGATTAATGCATTCCCAAAGAGGGTTGATGTCAGGCAGGCGGCCGGTCGTAAAAACAATTAGCCAAAACTATTCACAATATGTAAGGCAGACCCTGGCTTAAGATGGGAAATTGCCAGGAAGAAGAAGAAACGCGAAAAGATTCGTATGTCGTATTATTGCAAACTTGTACTATAGGTAAAGATTTAAATTTAAATATTATGTACTTGGTATGACAAAATAATGTTGGATTTGTAATCTTTCGATATTTTAATAATGTTATCGAGACATAATATTAAAATGCACTTTAGATAAATCTTTTAAAATACTTATAAAACTAATTTCAGTATATAAAGTTACAAAATGTCAGCTTAAAATAATATTCACAAAGTAAGAAAAGTTGATTTTAAATCTCCTACCTGCTAACGTATTTATAAACATCGATATTATCATTCAATACTTATAAACAATAAAAGATTTATATTAAAATACGTAATTATAACTTAATTTTAGATAAAATAATGTTATTATACCTTATATATTAAATATATCACAATATGCACATGTCTTCACTTAACCGACACTTAAACAAGACTGAACTGGTCATAGGTCGTTTTCTATCATCTATCATCTATGGTTTTATTTTGACTTTAATCACACCACAGATAAAATAATGACGCCGTCCAAATATCAATTAAAACCTATTAAAAACCAATTAAATTGGTAATAATTCGATAATAAAAATTGATTTCGTAATTATTATTATGCATTCAAATTGATTTTACGGAGTTTTTAATACAAATAGCCTTGAAATAATTAGCAACGTTATGTTATATTAACGCGACTAGCGCAAACATCTGACATTAAAAAAACAACATGACAGTATTTACATTAAAGTATATATTGTTTTATTTATTTTCCTTATCACTATTAATCAACATATATATGTTATAAGTTGTTATTTGTACCTACATATAAAATAAATTATGTTTTATTTATTCGTAAAAACAAAATACAAACTCGTTTGAAAAAATGTGTGCGTAAGGGGTGAAAAGGGACATTGTTTTTAAGACTCCTTGGTTAATTTTACATCATAATACAATTGAAAATTATACAGATAATATAATTATATTGCAATAATGTCTACAAACAATAATAACAAAGAAAACTTATAAAAATTACTCAAAAAAACTCCTAGTGATCTCAATTTGTAGCAAAGCAATATATAATTTTAATTTTTACGTCTTTTAGATGCGAAATTCTTTTAAAATTATATATAGATATTTGTGCTAGCAAGCTATTTGACTAGCTTACCTGTTTAATTTCAAAGGTCAAGTAGTTGTTACTCAAATGGTAGGCGAAGGTTAATTCTGTTGACAAGTTGTAATGACCTCGGGGAATTCAGACGAGGATAATGATGTAGCATTATATATAGAGGAAAACGTTAAATAAAGATTTGATTTGTTTAATGAGACAAGTTAATGAGATTTTTTTTTTATTAAATATGTCTATTTAATTCAATATAAAGATATATTTCAAAATGTATATGTTAGGGACATTTAAAAGATTAAATGACAAATAATTGTATGATAGTATCGGTGAATAGAATTTAAAACGATCTGTTTTTTGTCACGACACAAACTTGTGGTTAGGGAACGTAAATAAGGAAAAATAAACATAAATCTATACATATACTAGTTTTTCCCCGCGACTTCGTCCGCGTTAACTTCGTATTTTTTCTTTACGTTTTACGTATTTTTACTTTTACGATCGAACAGAAAATTCCTGGAAATTTCCCAGCATTAGCCAGGGTCTGCCTTACATGTTGTGAATAGTTTTGGCTAATCGTTTTTACGACCAGCCACCTGAAAAACAGCAGCTCTCTTTGGGATTGCATTAATCAGTGATGTCTAAATATTATTATAAAGTACATACTTATGACTCGGAAAAATCACATTGGTAGTTGCCAGGACCTGGATCGAACCCGCGCCCTCGTGAATGAGAGGCGGGCCTTTTGACCACTAAGCCACCACTGACATTGGGTATGTGTGAGTAATTAAGTACGTAGTATTATATTGTATGTGTGAGTATAGCTTTTTTAATCAAATGGTTAGATAGACCAAGGTTAATTTGAAACAGTTTTTTTTTTAACTTTGTTTACGTTTTTTCATGCTTTATTTTGTAGATTTTGTCTGTATCAATAATTTACTTATATTTTGTAGGAATCTGTCAGTTTGTTACATTAAGTTCAATAGTGGAATTAAAATTCTTACACACTACGTACGAAGTTTCCCGTTTTACATTCTATAGCCAAAATAATACTACTTCCAAGGAAGCCCTAGTAGGTTTTTTTCAAATTTGGTTAGGTAGAGGAGCTTGGACGGTGGAGGTGAGCGTTTAACGCGTTAGACTATTTAATTTGAAGGACAGCTGTATAACTCTTTACCTCTAAGTGTTGTCAATTCAAAATCTCTAAATATATTTAAAAAACGATTAAGATGATACATTAGATGATTTCACTGATCTTTTTAATATCACTACTGTTTATTATTTGTAATATCTTAATTGTAGTTATAATTTTTAAAATTTCCTTTGTAAGCGAACTCTGTTCTTTTATGAAATACACTTCTTTAAACCTTAGATAGGGTCCCTTAAACCTACACCTGGGTCGCTAGTCCCAGTCACTGTTGAAGCTCCTCTCACTACAACGATGGACCCGACACACGCACGGTGAATACATTGAATGATGAGAGGTTTCGTCTCATAATGAGAGGATTTATAAATGAAATTTGAAACTTGTTGTAAGAATACAATTAATATGTAGCCACATTTATCGTTTAAAAAACTAATACTCTTATAACATTGACCTTTTCAAAATTCTGTCAGATAATAACTTAATGGGTTGTCATTTTTTGTTAGAATTCGTGTTTTTGATTATTTTTTTGTTAAATGTCTACTAAATTACAAAATATTGATTGAAATGCGACTTTGATTGCCTTTGAAGTATGCAGTTTATAATCAAAAATAAAAAATCGAGTAGTAATTCCGAAAATATTAGTTTCATTTATCTAAAATTTCATTCGAATCGGTGTAGTTAGACGAGCTTAATACATTACTGCCTATTGTGTCAGTATACATATTTTAATTTTCTATATCCTTAATTAAATTCTCACAAAAAACTTTAACAGAACCGTTTTGACGTTATTTTTTAATGAACAATAACACTAGTTTACAGTATATCTGTTGCCAATGAAATTTTAATTGTTGTTGATTAGATATGTTATGCCATTTCCAAAAATGTAATTAGAATATTTTTATCAGCTCTAGTTTTTGAGTTTTAGCTTTACAGGAATAAAACAGAAAAAACACGTTATTACTGAGAAAAACTACTAAAAGAAACATATTTAATCGTTAAGTTCTAGAAAACTGCGTTTTAAAGCTCTTCTCTGATGTGTAGACTTTGGAAAATGACGTATCAGAGATCAGCAATAGTCAGACATCATATTCGTATACCAGAAACTCTGATAGCGCTCTTCCGTGATGCTTAAGTTTTGATGCATACGCTCCCCCTGCTCCTCACTCATAGAGCTGTCAATGAATAAACGCCAGTCGTTGGTTAGTATTGTTTCAAGCAGATTTTTATCAATAAGTTTTTAATGTCTGAACAAAAGGTAAAATCCATTTTCTTCGGAAAAATAACATCGTAATTCTTTCTCTCTTGTACGATAAAAACTTATTTTAGTGTCCGAGGAAAGCAATTTTTTTTTTCTTTGAGCCTTGATGCTAGCAATTATGAAGCTTGTTTTGATAGATATAAATCTCTAACAAGATCATCTAACTCATTTTTAGTAAAGCATTTTGACTCTTTGGATACACCTTCAAATTCGCATCATTTTGTGATGTTCTTGGTCTTTTCATGTCTTGTTCTATGGGTTCTGATACTTTTGTAGGAACTGAACAGATAGGTTAACGCTTCTGCACTGGACGTTGAACACAACTAGTACTGGGGTACAGCCATTTAGCTCGATTTTTAGTGTTTAAACCGTTTATGTTCACTCTACAAAAATAAGAGTCTTCGAGATGATTTTGTGGTTCTCGCCGAATAGTCCGTGTTCCAAATTTAAAGATAGTTCTTTTACCATTTTTCAATAATCTTAAATATACCACACACCTTTTACAAACACAATTTGACGCCTAAGACTTGTCATTTTCATCCAGGAGCATCCCAAAATACTTAAAATAGGTATTTTTCACCAACGGTGATATAACTTTTCTACAGTATTTAAAGACATATTGTCCGCAAATATATCAAAAATGATCTGGATTGTTCAAACAACATCTCCTTGAACTGCTCATGACGAAAAACTTTTGATATTTATCTTAAAACACTAAAATGCGACTGTTATCAATTTATTTATAAGCTTCAATGACAAAAACCAGAAACAAAATAACTAGAGCTGCTAAAGAAATTTTGAAAGTATTTTTGACATTAACAAATCATCAGTGAACAATATCAACCATAAAATTTGCGGCAACAAACAAAAAGTTAAATTTTGTAAACTAGTGTAATAATTTATAACTCTTATTAAGTTTCCATTTCACCAAAGAGTTTCTTTATGAAATATTTTTGACAATTGTGAAGAAAAAAGTTCTGTCAGACGATGGGCCCTTAGTGATATATTTGGTATACCAAGAACTAATATCTCATGATGAAGCGTTCTGTGATTACGAAGCTGCTAACATCCACGAGGTTTAAGAGGATCTGCCACGGGCTGGTGTCGGATCATCAGTATATGTTGACCGCTAGGCCCCAACAAGCTGTTCCGCCAGGTTGTATAGAGCCAAGAAAGCTAAAGTATAAAAACAAATACACTCATATAGTCCATTTGTCTAATTTAATTTACTGCGAAGAGACGAAACCTCTCATTCCATGTATTCACGGTGCGTGTGTCGGGTCCATAATTGTAGTGAGAGGAGCTTCAACAGTGACTGTGACTTGTGACCCAGGTGTAGGTTTAAGGGGCCCCTATCTAACGCGTTTAACGCTCACCTCCACCGTCCAAGCTCCTCTCTCTAACCAAATATGAAAAGATCTACTACATAGGGCTGTCTTCTAAGTACGCGATGTACATGTTACTTGTTTAATTATTGCGTGATTGATTAAAAGATGAAATCTCGCTACAACCATATTTATTTATTGTTGATCATTTATAAAATTTGTTGGATAAATCCATAGTATTAACTTTATAACTCTCAGAACAAGTAAATATAAGACGCTGTAATTGTTTTGTAAAACTTCTAAATAATGGAAATTCATTAAATTCAAATTTGCCGCGCTTCGCAGTTCGCGCGTTTGTAACTTGTCGGCCAGAGACGCGTCCGGCGTCACTATTTCACTAATGGCGAATTATGTTTAAGTTTTTGTGCACTTTATGATTATTACAACGTGTAGAGAAATTAACTAAGGGATACAGTTGAGGATGTGATATTAGTGGACTTTAATGTCGTTGCATTGTATTTCAGGTAAAGTGTAATTGTCATAATTAAACGATAATTGTTATAATATTGTAAAGGCGTGTCCAGTAAAATAAATCTTTGTATTTTCAGAGAAACAAATTGTGGTTTGCTTTGAGTGCCCTTGATAATATTTCTTATAAAACGACATTTTTGTAAACTAAAAGAAGATGGACCGGCTGCAATTTGAGTTTACGATGATAATTGATAGCCTCAAATTGAGGGCAAACCTAACCTCAATAACTGCAGAAGAAGGAAAATGCAAGATTTCGATATAGGAGACAGTGTATATGTAGAAAGTGGAAATAGACTGAACAGAAAAACATTAGACGATTAAAAATAGATTTCAAGATAATAGAGAAAATATCAAACTCCATTTATAAGATTGACATTGGCAATAGAAAAACAGAATCAACTTTATTCCACGTATCAAAATAAATCTTTGTATCTCAGAGAAAAATTTCGTTTGCTTTGAATGCCCTTGATAATATCTCTTACATATATATTTATTATTTAACGTAAAATATTTTTAAATGAATTATATAGGGTTGTAACTTGAGGTTTCTGGAAAACTACGAAACTTAGTTATACATATGTATATTATAATAAGAATTACATATTAAAACTTATAACCTACACCTAAGACTACATGATTGACCCGATGTTATGATAGCAATACCATTCCATAGCTTGTGTGTATCAGGAATCTTCTGGTTCACACGCTTGGTGTTCGTTCCGCGGAGTCAGCGGCGTCACTCGTTATATATTTTATCTATACAACAAAACTTTTGTTTTTTTTTTTGAGAGAATGTTGTTTATTAAAGTTTTTGTGGCATAATATTCTTAGTTTTTATTACTAATATATTTTTGTTTTCCAGATGCTACCAACGACCAAGCATGTCGTCTGAATCGTCTCTCAGCCATAATTGAGATCTACTCCATTCCAGAGGCTCGCAGCCTAAACTTTCTTTAGCAATGAAATATATAGGAATTTATAGACATACTTTAAAAACATGAAATAGCAAGATAAACGCTATTCAAAACTGTTATGTTACTAATATTATTGTGTCGTATTCGAAATTTCCTTGAACCAAAAAATGCTTGGGAGAGTTTAAATAAAGGAAAATAGTTTTAAAGTTTATTTATTTTGGTGTTTATAAAATACAAAAGCTAGACAGATTTGGCTAGAGCTTGGGACTTGGCGATCACGTCTTCTATGGTGCCCACCATGTAGAAAGCAGCTTCGGGAATGTGGTCCAATTCACCCATCAGAATCTTGGAATAAAAAGAATCTATATATATATTTGATTTCATACTAAAATATTATAAGGAATTCTTCTTCTGGCTCTAAAGACCTTTTGTCCACTTGATATGGGCCTATTATTTTATTATTTTTAAAGCTACAAACGCCTGAGGTTTTGGTTATTTTGAAGCAACCGTTAACATGAACAGACGAGATGTGATTATGCGTAATCCGAAAAATATTAGTTTCATTTAAATGAATACTTGCGATAGTTTTACATCTCATTAATATGGGTCATTATTTTTATCATTCAAAAATATAAAGAGTTCACATTAACTTTAGTTAGATAACCTATCAGTTAAGTCATTTCTTAAAAACAAATTGCGAAATAAAGATTACCCTTTTAAATCCTTTAATGGTCTCCTCCAGTTTAACCATCTTCCCGATGTGACCTGTAAACACTTCTGCCACCTGGAAAATAACAAATAATTCCATTGAAAAATAGTATTAATCACGTATAAACTAACAAATAAATAAAAAAGCTTGCATTTCTCATATATTTTGAGGATAAATGATTGTTAGACATCACTGATGAATGGAATTCCAAAAGAGGGTTGATGTCAGGCAGGCGGACAGTCGTAAAAAAAAATTAGCCAAAACTATTCACAACATGTAAGTTATAATATTCCATCATTATTTATTAAAAAGGATATTATTAAGCTGGGAAAATTGTGATGTAGAAGAAGATAAATTATTGCCAGTACGAGTACATTATTTATCGCTATTTGTTAATATTTCTATTACCTACTATTATTAATAATTCTAGTGTTAGTACTTAATTAAAGTTAGAATATTATACAAAAGTGTGAGAACTCTTTTTATAGGTAAAGGCTCCCTCCAGATTTTTGTTTTTTTTCTTATTATTCTTCATTGTTTATTTTATTATTCAAACTCTTTATTTACTTTGTTGTTCTTCAATATTATTACCAACCCGTCTTACCACTAGGCCTATTATGTCATGTTTAATTTTATTGAGGGCTTCATTTAAGCAAGCGTTCCTACGATGAAAGTGATTTGACGTTATATGTCATTATACAAGTTTATTTATTAAATTGTTTGTTTAGTTTCTGTTTCCATTTGGAGTGTTTCTCTCTCACCCGCGGTGACCGGCCGTGTTGAGAGATGAGGAAGGGCTGTTGTTTATTTGTAGATTGCTGTCCACCATATTTTTCATAATGGCATTGTAAGGTTGGTTTTTTCATCAGGCAGTTTCCTAAGTTGTTGGATCTATTGACCTCCTTGGTTCGTTTTTCCTTTTTATCTTTACAGCTTGGTGACGATTATTTTGGTGACTCTGAAATTGCTCTTTTTATTGTTCTCCGAAGTCTGGTTTTATTAGGTGTGGTCTTGTTCTGTATTATTACTATTTTATCGTGTTTAATAATTGCTAGTCTTCCTTGTTTTCGTTCTTTATTAACTTGAACTTGAAGTTGATTGCCTTTGTTTAGAACCTCGAGGAGAAAATCTCCTTTAATGTAAAATGGTGTATGCTCAAGCTTCTGTTAGTTTTTTTTTTGTATTTTTATTTTTAGTCCCCTAGTGGTTTATGTCATTACAATGGGTCTAACTTTTTCGCCCTTTTTTCCTAACCTGCTGACATTTTCTATGTTGTTTTGGTCACATTGAATGTTCAGAATATTGTTGACAATATCAAGAATTTTTTTTTCTGTAGCTCGAAGTAATTTCTATCTTGCCTTAAATATAAGAAGATTTCTTTTCTTATAGTCCTCTCAAAATTGTTTATTTCCAGTGACTGCATTTCCATTTTTTGTTCCAGTATCTCGTTTTTTGTTTCCAGACTTTTGAATTTTCATTTATATTACTATTGATAGTATTTTTGATATCCTCCTTCATATCCTGCATGTCGATTTTTTGTTCTCTTATCTCCCCCTGCATAACTTTTAACAAGTTTTTTATATCTTCCATTTCGCTTAAAAATATAATAGTAAGCAGTTTCTTGATTAAGATAATATTTAATAGAAGTGCCCTCTTGTGGCGAGTGGTGGTACTACTACGACTTGTCGATTGCGTTTTGAGTTTAGCTACCCGCTAATAGATGTCGCTAGTACGTCAACTAAGTGAGCCGTTTTCCGTTAGCCGTTTGATTTGATGTTTTTCAGTCGATCTGGATGAGATTCAGCTGGTTTTTTGATAATGAGTAATTATTTACGAGTTAGAAACAGAGAGCCGATGTGAACAGTCTCACAGTCAGTCTACCCTCTCATTAATCATGTATACTAGTATTAAAATAATTTGAGACTGCCAAATAGTTTTGATGCAACAATTAACTGTCTCCAACTATATACCAAACGTTGACATTAACAAAATATTCCACGACTCCAGTGCGAATGAAGCCTTAGCATAAAAATAAAAAAGGCTTTTATAGCAACAGATTAATAATAATCTCACAGTCGTTTGTATCGAGCTGATTCTACCAGGGAAAAATATTAATTATTAATTTTATCTTTAGTTGCATTTGTATGTAATTTAAAACAAATTTAAGTAGAAGTTAATAACTACCAACCATTTATTCCATCTATAATCACTAGCCAACCTATTCTCGTAAAAACATTTACCAGCTAACATTGAAGTGTACCAACCTGGAAGGGTTGTGATAGAAACCTCTGTATCTTCCTCGCCCTCGCAACAGTCAGCTTATCATCTTCAGACAGTTCATCCATGCCCAAGATGGCGATGATGTCTTGTAACGACTTGTAGTCCTTGAATAAAGAAAATTTATAATGTTAGACATCATTAAGAAGAAGAAACGTTTTATTTCCTTGGTGATATGACTTGGATTTCATTCGAAAGATATGTACTATCGAAAATTTTAGATATCCTTTTGTAATTCATATTTATCTTCTTTAAAACAAACTCACGCTTGACAAAACCTACAACCATATCTGAGAACTAGCTTTAATAGTAATCAGAAAAAACAAAGGATTAATAAACGATTCCGTAAGCAAAAACCTAATAAAAGATGTAGAGAGGAGCTTGGACGGTGGAGGTGTGCGTTTATTCGCGTTAGATAGTGGTCCCTTAAACCTACACCTGGGTCACAAGTCCCAGTCACTGTTAAAGCTCCTCTCACTACAACGATGGACCCGACACACGCACCGTGAATACATTGAATGATGAGAGGTTTCGTCTCGTCTTATACCTGTAATATCTTCTGCACGCCTCTCGCCACTCCATAATGCTCAGCTCCAATGATATTTGGGTCCATAACTCTTGATGTAGAGTCTAATGGATCCACGGCTGGGTACACACCAAGCTCGGCGATAGCACGAGACAGTACTGTAGTGGCGTCGAGATGAGCGAAGGTGGTGGCTGGTGCTGGGTCAGTTAGATCATCAGCTGGCACATACACCGCCTGATAAAAAATAAAGTTTGAATAAACGAACAGAGAATTCTTGTCAATAATTTTACAGGCGCTTTTCAGGTATAGAAAAAGTTATTGTTCAATACATTAAGAAATGGCATGTCTGAAAAGAGTTTATTAATGGTTGATACTAGACTAAGTTGCACTGAATTTGACTAGCACTAATCAACATAAAGTTTGTTCAAAGTCTGTATGTTTTGTTGGGCGAAGGAGAACAATAAAGACGAAAATTTAGCAAGAAAACTTTGCCTCTTTTTCACAAAATTCAATAGTTTTATCTCTGAGAGTAGCTCACCTCTTCTCAAGATATAAAATTTACCTGAACACTAGTTATAGATCCAGTCTTCGTAGTCGTGATTCTCTCTTGCATGGTGCCCATGTCAGTAGCGAGGGTCGGCTGGTAGCCCACAGCGGATGGTATACGACCCAGCAACGCTGATACCTGAAAACATTATAAATATTATAAGTTGAGTATTATGTAAGATACCTAAAAAGGTTAAATAAGATATCAATATAAATATATAAAAACACATGTTTAATAAGAAATTCTTCAATTCTACAACTAGATAGTTACATTATTCGATCATTATGTATTAATTATTTATAAAAAACACATGTACAGTTTAGAGTCAAAATATTTTCATAGTGCTTGGGTTTGGATATTAAGTTTATATTGTTTTATGTATACAGGGTGACTGGTGAATTACTATCAATATTTAAGGAGAATACTCGGTACATGATTCTCATTCGAATTATGTAAAAAAAATAGGCACTTAATTTTTGACAAAATTTCCGTATAAATAAATAAAGTGTTGACACGTTCCAAGTGTTCCAAGTGTGGACGCGTGCGGCGGCGTGCTGATACAACACCACGCCCCCTCACGCGTATGTGTGAGTGTGTGTGTATACCTAATCTGTAGGGTGTTCACACGATGCGTAATTAATTACATAACTTTTGGTTAACTTTACTTAGAAGTTTATTAATTTTTGTTATATTAATTTTTATTTTGTCATATATGATCGTCAAATATCACGTCCTCAAGTATCGATAGTATTTCACCAGTCACCCTGTATATTGAAGCAAAAATAAAGGCATCTGTAGCGTCATTAAAGCTGACGACACTCTTTTTAAAAACAGTAAAGTGGTTCTAACTGCTATATATATAAATATTTATCCCAATAACGGTCAAGTAAATAGATCAGTTAGTTAAATACTACTAGGATTCGTCTCTCAAAAGCTTCTGTCTAGTACTGCTATGTCAGCACAAATAAACATCTTACGAGATTAGGATATTTGTCTTATGCAATGCTCAGATATTAAATTATTTGAGGAAAACAGCATGAGATTGATCTTAGAAGTGTGTTATGGGACAGGTGATGATGATAATGATTTTGGAACTAATTATGTAGTGTGCTTTTTGCAGCAAGCAGAGGTTCGAGAAAAGCTACGAAACTTAATTATATATATTATAATAAGAATTACATATTAAAACTTATAACCTACACTTAAGACTACATGATTGACCCGATGTTATGATAGCAATACCATTCCATAGCTTGTGTGGTATCAGGAATCTTCTGGTTCACTCGGCTTGGTGTTTTTGTAGTCAGCAACATCACTCGTTACATATTTTATTCATACAACGATATTTTCCCCGCTATGTTGATTCATTTTTAATATGCGTACATAAACTCACCTCGGAACCAGCTTGAGTGAATCTGAAGATGTTATCAACAAACAGCAGTACATCCTGTCCTTCCTTGTCCCTGAAGTGTTCAGCGAGGGTCAGTCCAGTGAGGGCGACACGAGCCCTTGCACCGGGTGGCTCGTTCATCTGACCGTACACTAGCGCCACCTTGTGGAGGTAATTTTTTAAGTTGCATTAACAATTGGATTTGTGATGGTATGAATGTTTTGCCATTTTATTTTATTATTGAGTACTATAATAGAATTAGGACTGTAATAGGAACAAAAATACAGAGATTTTTTTTCTTGTAATAGCAGTGAGAATCATAATAATAAATCAGGTATTTATCAAATCAATAGTCAATTAATGCTATATATGTTTACTATAACGTATTCTGTCTTATCCAAAGTACGTTTACTTAGCATTCACTGGTTCTTATAAAAGTTTATAATGGCATAATTTGATGTATAAAAAATTCCTAAACCACACAAGAATAATTTAAAATAAAGCAAGAATTGTTTTGGATTACTTTTACTAAAATTATTTAAGATGAATATTGATGCAAAAACAAAGCTTATAGTGTAGAACAGATTTCTGAGATGTAAACAAATAAATAACAATTTGCTTGAACAGGAGAATTAAAATATTAATAGAGTGTTGGACCAACTTATAGATTGGCTTAGAGAATATTGTAGAATGTTCTCGACATTTAGTGGCAGCGCCATCTCATGACGAGTGGACGAACTATTAGTCTTACGAGAAGCGACACACAAATGATTTTAAATAAACTGCGATTATAATAATGTTAATATTTGTGTTTTCTTTTAAATACAGTGTTTATATGGCTTATCAAATTCTAGCTTGTTACAATAATGTTTATTGACTCTTCATGAGAAAGACGCATTTCGAATTGAGACGAAACTTCTCATCATTCAATGTATTCACGGTGCGTGTGTCGGGTCCATCGTTGTATTGAGAGGAGCTTCAACAGTGACTGGGACTTGTGACCCAGGTGTAATATATAGGAATAAATACTGAATTTTTAGATCTTTGATTGAATTGCATTTAACTTGGGTTAATTTTTTGTGGAGCGTCCCTAGAATAATTAAAATAACCTGTGTATGTGTATTATTCAGATTATAGTCTTTTTCAAATAATTAAACGTATACAACTATTATACGTCATATAAAAAATTTATTAGACTAAAATCTTTTTAAAAGAACACCTACTTAAATATACATATATACCCAAAAATATATGAACGTTACGTTTGCAATACAGTTTTGATCTTTGAAAATTAACAAGTACTTTAAATTATTAAATCATAATACTAGTTTTTCTCCGCGACTTCGTCCGCGTTACTTTCGGCATTATTAATATAGGTATATCTGACTGGGCGAACTGTCCTAGAGGTCGTAATTAACCAGATATTGTAGTTTATTAAGATTTTTTTTCTGTTTCGATCAATCACAATTAAATATTCTATGTCCTTTCTACATAATATGTTCTAATCTATCTCTCTACCAATTTTCAACCATATACCTACAGCCGTTCTTGAGTTATAAATAGTGTAACTAACACGACTTTATACAAATATATATATTGATATATACATACTTTTGATGACTTATAATCTTCTTTTATAACACCACCGACTTTCATCTCATTGTATAGATCATTACCTTCCCGGGTCCGTTCGCCGACTCCAGCGAATACCTATTAAATTATTCATATAAGAAGATTTCAATATTGTCAAAGAAATTTATTACGACCATACACGCTGCGGTCTACCGGAGAGGAAATCTGTGCAGGTATGCCTGTGCAGGTTAACCAAACAATGGTAGTATTAAAAAACTGCACAGGTCTATTCTCACACACATTTCTACCTGCACAGGTGGACCTTTCCGGTAGACCGTAGCGTTTGTTAGTAATAGGACAATATTTGTACCGAAAATCCACCGTGAGCTTTGGCAACGTTATTGATGAGTTCCATGATCAGGACAGTTTTTCCGACACCAGCGCCACCGAATAGACCGATTTTACCACCTGCATGTCATAAACAAAACTCAATATACATGTAAATATTCTTAGGAAAAACGGTATAGATTTGATCATTGGCCACTTGAATTTAGACAAGAAATATCTCTATAATCATTTTTCTTAGGAAAAACATCATTTTTTACTTGAATGTTTGACAAGATCCTTATATCCTTATATCCAATATCCTTATATTTATCTTATTATCCTTTATATTTCTGTCAATCAAAGTCTAAATTCACTTTATTCTTGCAAATAACGCCTTTTAAAAGATACATCTAGACATTTCTTGGGCGTCTGATTCAAATAACAAATCTATATTATTGATATTTTGAAGTTCAGAAACAATAAGTGAGAATAAACAATTGTATACATACCCTAGGTAAATCAAAAACAAAATTAAACAAAATCGTTTCAGGAAAATTCTCATGTACAATGACTTAGTAAAATTAATGTTTGTTTGTCGAGATCATTATGTTTTAAATGGACATAGTCTTGCAATTTATGCCATTCTAACTTCTGAATACTTAACAAGTAATATTAAAGTATATCCTGAACTTATTGATTCTTTATCTCTTATATAAATAGAGGTTTCACAAAGTTTATTCAGAAATAATTTTTTTCGTATATTATTTCTTTACCCGATACATAGATAGGAAAAAAGTTTATCGATAAAGGCATTTCGCGATTATTCATTGAAATAAAAGTAATATTTTCGGTTTACTACGCGTTTTTTATTTTAAACCACATACTATCTTCATAAAAATCTTTATTTCGTCTGTCCGTGATCACGGTTGCTGGAAAGTAACCGAAACCTTCGGAGTATGTAGTTAAAATAAATAAAAAACGCTTAGTACACCCGAAAATATCAGTTTTGTTTCATAATATCTTTATAATATTCAGTTACCTTTAACGTAAGGGGCTAGAAGATCAACAACTTTGATGCCAGTCACCAATATTTCTTGTTCCACGGACATCTCCACGAAAGGCGGGGCGTCCGCGTGGATAGGAGCAAACTGATCAGTTGCTATGGGACCACGCTCGTCTAAAATATTACAAAAGTGCAATAGAATCTTGTTCCAGATATTTCCACATCCAGAGATGTTGTTGGGATTAATTCTGAATCTCTCCAAAAATATGTCCGTAGCTAATAAACTAATTAGTCATAATATGCTGATGATTACGATCATAGACAGTGTAAAAATTCGAAAGTTATTGGTAATTTCTGATCAATTTTGAAGCTGTTTTCATATTGCAATGAAAGGAAAATCAGCAGAGCTCAATTATCTAATTTAGTTTATATTATAATAAGAATTTTTTATCGTATACTTATGTCAGTAATTAGGGTATACAATGATTTAAGGATCAAGGGAAGAATATATGAATTAATTGGTTGTCATTCTTTCATCCAAAAACAACAAAATTTGGTAAGAAACAAATTAATATTCACAGTCATTTATCATTAATTTTAGAATTAGTATAATATGTATAGCTGACCGGGCGAACTCTTTTTCGCCCTAGAGGCCATAAATAACCAGATATTAGAATTTATTAAGTATTTTCTTTTTTGATTGAACAGAATTAAATATCCTATTTCCGTCTCCTGGTTCTAATCTATCTCTCCTCTAATTTTCAACCAAATCCCTACATCTGTTCTTGAGTCATAAATAGTGTAACTAACACGACTTTCTTTTATATATATAGATATAGATAATTTTATTCACCTATTGGCTCCCCGATGACGTTAATAATTCTGCCCAAAGTTGGTTCTCCCACGGGAATGGTGATGGGAGCTCCAGTGTCCACTATCGGCTGCCCTCTGACCAAACCTTCTGTACCATCCATGGCGATTGTACGACACGTGCTTTCACCAAGATGTTGGGCGACTTCCAGTATTAAACGAGGCTCTAGATTAATAAATAATGTATATTATAACTCAAACTACCCATTATTAAAAAAGATTATAAAAAATATTACGGATACACTCACAATCGAAATAAAATGTATTATATGTTATATTATTCCATTCGAACCAGTAGTTTCGGAGATTAGCGAGTTCAAACAAATAAACAAACAAACTCTTCCGCTTTATAATATTAGTATAGATATCAAAAAGAATTAAGTATAAAAAGTACAAAATGTCAAAACAAAATTCAGTAAACTTCGTTTTAATATAGCAAAAAATTAGAATATGTTAGGATATATCTGACTTTAAGAGAATCTAAAGTATATAAGTATTTAAAAATACTCTTGTGCTATAAATAATTTTTGCTAAGTAAAAGAAAATCATAAACAAAATTTAATGCTAAACTTACTTCTTCCGGGCACTTCTAGTGCGTTGAGTATTGGCGGGAGATTCTTCTCAAACTTCACATCGACAACAGCTCCGATAACTACAAATTAATATCAATAATTTAAATATATTAGTTTAAAAATACTACTACACTACTATTAGAAAAATAAAACGTTAAAAAGTAAACCTTGTTTTACTTGATGAAATCAGTTTTCATGAATATTGTATTATTTTTTATTGCCATTTTACTGTGTTAAATTCTTATTAGTAATATTCGAGTCGAGGTCGATACCATAACCACGTTCACACAGACAAAATAATCTGTTTCGGATAATCAAGCTTTTAACTTGAATTATGCGACATCGCAAATAAGTAAAATACATAAAATGTTCTTAGCGAATATTATTCTAGCGTTTCGCGAGTTTTATTCATTTAAATGACACTAATATTTTTCGGATATAGTACGCGTGATTTATTTTTGTAAAAAGCTACATACTCCCGACGTTTCAGCTACTTTTCAGCAACCGTGATCACGGGCAGGTGAAATGTGACCGCGTAGTATATTTTAAAAATATTAGCTTCATTTAAAGGAAAATAGTTACTGTAGTCATTTCATTCTCATATACATCCTACTAATATTATAATTGCGAAAGTTTGTGAGTGTGTGTGCATGTTTGTTACTTCTTCACGCTCAAACGGCTGAGCCGATTTTGATAAAATTTTGTATACAGGAAGCTGACGTCCAGGAATAACTCATAGGCTACTTTACATCCCAGAAATCTCGGAAATCCTCGGGTAACACCGCGGGGAACAGCTAGTAATAGGTACATAAAAGTATAGTCTCGTAAAATTTTGGATCAATAAGACAATTTAATTTAATTGTAAGCCAATATTCTACCAGCTATAATGGTTCCTTGGGAGCCAGCGGTGGCAGATTTCGGAGGTTCCCCGGTTCCACTGGGAGCACTATCTTTATCTTTATCTCCAATCTTGGAACACACATCATCCGCTGCCACTGACGTGGTTGAGAACTGGAGAAGTATATGAATAGCAATCAGGTCATTAGTAATAAAGATGTAGTTTCTATGTCTCCTTATAATCTACTCAACATCTGGTCCCCGAGTTTTCCTCGGTATTTAGGTATTATTAGTATATATTTTGTGTGTTTTTTATTTCGTTTAGGCATTTACAAGTGAACACGTTTAGAGGACACAAAACAATATAAATCAACAATGAATTTCTTAGTCTTAAACCTCAAACACTTATTGACTTCCTGGTACTTAACAACGCCATCTGCTGTTGTGTCGTTAAAGGAATAAGTAAAAGCAATTAGCAAAAAGTAGTATTACCATTCGCCAATAGATGTCAGGAAGAGTCATATTTGAAACTCATTTTTTTTCATATAATCACATTTTCTAAAAACTATTCCTAGCTAAATCGATTTATCGCCCTTGAAACCCACTGTACACAAAATTTCATGAATTGCTCATTTAAATATATAAGATTTATTTACATATATACCAAAAGCAAAAATAGTCACATTATTATGAGATAAGACTCTATTTTTAAATATATATATATATAGTATTTTATTATTAAATACCACACACTCCCGATGACTAGACGACATCTCGTCTGCCCGTGATCACGGTTGCTTTAAAGTAACCGAAACTTCGGGAACATATAGTTTTTTTAAAATAATAACATACGCGTAGTAATACGAATAATATTAGTTTCATTTAGTTAGATTATAAAAGGAAATGAGAGAAAGAAGTGTCTACGAGAAACACTTTTGATAGAAAAAATGAGAAAAGAAATATGGTAATACTCACATTCGCCGATGGTACTCTCAAAAACGTACAAGCTCCTAATCGCACTGATTTCAAGGCGAGCTGACCATCCCTTTCTTTTTTATTATCCTCATTCACAAATTCCACTTTCTTCTCACTTTCCTTGATCTTCTTAGCTTCTGATACATGCTTTTCTTCTGTATTTGTAGTAATTAACCGGGAAACAGTGCTTGGGAAGCGGAAATCTGAAATTATAGATAATGATAACCAAGTTTTAGTAAAAAATTCCTTTTTAACTTCAAGATATATAAAGTCAAATTAATTTTTCAACTACCCGTTAATTTCCAACAGATAAATCATTAATTGATTGTTATATTTAAGTATGAAAAAAATCTACTTTAAATATAAAATATTATACCAAAAACTTACAAGATTTCTTCGACAAAAATAGCCTATTCGTAAAATTGTTGATGCCCTTCATTTTTTCTTCACAAAAACTTTGACAACTTGTTACGTCATTTTATTTAATATTTTTTAAGATGTCAAAAACCTTTGAGGTTTTATTATATAGTTGGACGTTATTTTCGAGTAAAACATATTACTTACTAGGCCTATAAATTCATTTTTTATAGTCTAGCAATGTTTAACTAGCAGTAAGAAAAAGATTTACGAGTAAAAGTCAAGTTAATTATCAAATAGATTTTATTAAATGATAAAATTTTTATGTCCCTTCATGATGATTTCCTCAACTAAATATTTTAAGGAAATTCAAAAACGGTTTCACCAGCTTCCTCAAGATTTTATATTGCTTGTAATTTATTCGAAATGAAGGTAGTTCATTGCATTTTCTGGTAAAACCAAAGGTCAATAACCTCTTGAATTATTCTTGCAAGAAATATTTTTGCTCGAAATCCTTCAAGGACATCCTGTTTTAGTTTTAGGCTTACAAGGCATGGCCTTGCAAGGACAATCTGTCTTAGTTTCTGTCTTGCAAGGACTCTCTGTTTTTGTCTTGCACGGATTTTCAATTTTAGGTTTGCAGGAAGTATCCTTTTTAGGTTTGCAAGGATTTTCCGTTTTAGTTTTGCAAGGATTTTCCGTTTTTGGCTTGCAAGGAACAATCTTGCAGGGTTCTTGATTTTGCAGTGCCGATGAAGTTGAGAACTTAAAACAAAAAACGCAGTTAAAGCCTAGACTGTGAAAAAATTCTGATTTAGACCTCTATAAAAACATATATAAATTATCCTATGTACAATACATTTCTTATAAATATATTGATTCTTACAATTTTATTTTGCTATATAAATAACTCAACGACTTCAAACCTACTCATAAGTATATTTGACTACTAAGATCATCAATATATTTGGGCATATATATGTAATTATGATTATTACTATTCTGCTTAACTTTCATATTTTTGATTTAATTACTAGTTTATGCACGCGACTACGTCCGCGTTTATTTCGGAATTAGTAATAAATGTATAGCTGACCGGACGAACTCTATTGCTTCTTAAAGACATTAGATATTGAGATTTTGTATTTGATCAACTTTTTTTTCCTTTCAATCGGATATAAAGTATCCTATGTGCTTTCTATATTCTAATCTATCTCTCAACCAATTTTCAACCATTTCCGTACATCTATTCTTGAGTTATAAATAGTGTAACTAACACGACTTTCTTTTATATATGTAAAGATATTATAGACATGTTTTTATTAAACATACTTTAGCTGTTGGCATTTTAGTGAAGGGTCTTCTCATGAATTTGTCTGATTTGAGAGTTATTTCGGTTGGTCTAACCCTTTTGTTTCTCAAATTTGTAAATTTTAAGCTATTTATATCCTTTTCTGGCACAGATTTATTTGTGTTTCGACTATTTCCATCTGTGACTTTCTGTGTGGAGTAACGATCTGCAAAACAAAATATCAAATATGTACATATGTATATGCCTCTAGTGGCCATAGGCGCGGGTTTGATCCTGGAAAGTAACAATGTGATTTTTTCGAGTCATATGTACTTTATAAGAGTATTTAGACACCACTGACAGACGGTGAAGGAAAACATCGTAAGGAAACCTGGACTTATAGTTTCACAATTATAAGTTCAAAACACCAAGCCGTCTTGAGCAAGCGTAGTGATTAATGCTCAAACCTTCTGCATGTGTGAAGAGGCCTTACAGCAATAGGCTCTGATAGGCTGATGACGACTACGATATATATCGGTTTAATTGCTCTTAAAAGTTTATTGCCATGGGAATTGTATATATAAGAAATTATATAAATTAATGACTCATATTTTTGGGGATGTTAGAACTATAAAAATCTACAAGGAAAACTATGACAGGTGGATATTTTTGTTTATATTATTGATTAGTTATTATTGATTAATTATTTGTCTAAGTAATTTGTTCACTAAATATTTTTTATGCCATGGCTTCACTGAAATTGTGGAATATTTTGTAGAATATTGTGATGCGAAGTCCAGACTTGTAAGCCAATGTTTGTGATCAAAATATCAAGACATTTATTTATTATAATTTAAAAATAATTAACTTACAATGAATTTGTTTTATCAAACCGTTAGATATGTTCCTTATTCTGTACATTTTAATTTTTTTATATCAAAAAATGTATATTTTACAGAAATTTTGGTTGGTTGACTTGGTTGTTTAAAATATGGCCTAAAAATTTTCGTCAGTCCATCTCATTGCTCAGACTGCGTCAGATGAAGCATAATTATATTTCTGGAACCATAGATATTATAATTTATAGACGATATACGACCAAAGAGTATTTATATTGATAAAGTAAGAAAATTTCAGATTCAAAGAAAATCATGAAAAAATACAGTTGTCTTATAAAGCCAATTCTTTTAAATCAAACTAGAACAAATTAATTATTAACTTAAAGCAGAACACCTTCAACAAGTTAAATACAATCTGCAAAGACAAATACTTTCCCGCTTGTTACGCACGCGATTCATATTAAGAAATAGATGAACATCGCCGGGGCGATATCGTTGTATGGATAAAATATACAACGAGTGACGCCGCTGACTCCGCGGAACGAACACCAAGCGTGTGAACCAGAAGATTCCTGATACACACAAGCTATGGAATGGTATTGCTATCATAACATCGGGTCAATCATGTAGTCTTAGGTGTAGGTTATAAGTTTTAATATGTAATTCTTATTATAATACACATATAAGTAAATTTCGTAGTTTTCCTGGAACCTCCTGTTGCCACCCTATATAATTCGCGTAAAAGTGAACAAACCAAATGTCATCGCTTTAGAATTAATTAAATTTTATGACTTATTTTAATTAATTATAATACTGAATCATTGTAATTCTGTATCAACTTGTATTTGTTAACTATAAAGACAGGTTTCAGCCATTTTGTAACCCATTACTGGAAGTAACTCTATTGAAAATCAAGACTGAATTCGTATCTCGAACTCTCTTTAAAACTTTACAACGTAATTTTTAGTGTTCAAATATTTTTCGCCTATATTAAGAGTGCTTTATTTTTTTAAAATTACATACTCCCTACGTTTCGGCTACTTTTCATTATTCAAATTAATAAACCGATGGAGCTAGATTATAAATAATAAGACCAACTGACAGACATTCACATCTCGTCTGTCCGTGATCACGGTTGCTGAAAAGTGACCGAAAGGTCAGGAGTATGTAGTTTTTTACGAAAATAAAGCATGCGTAGTATATCCGAAATATATTAGTTTCATTTAAATGAATACTCGCGAAAATCTTAGATCTCATTTAAGTATTCGTCTGACTACGATCTTAAACTTTAGCAGCTTTAAAGAATTCTTGCAATTGTAATGTTACAATAGAATCTCGTAGTCTTGTTAAGCCTATTACTAGTCTCTTAGTACTAGTTTTGCTCTCAGTTTACCTGACACTGAAATCTTTACATAATATTATTTATTGAACACGATACATTGATTTAAGAGAAGTAAACTGGAATATTTTTTAAATTTCTTCACTGAATTCCTCTATCTATATATGTATAAAAGAAAGTCGTGTTAGTTACACTATTTATAACTCAAGAACGACTGTAGGATTTGACTGGAAATTGTTGGGGAGATAGCTTAGAACAAGGGAAAGACATTCGATACTTTTAAATTCGTACGACGAAAAAAATAAAAAAATGGTATTAAAATCCATAATCTGTTTATTTACTGCCTCTAAATCAGAATAGTTTAGTTGTGTAATAGTTTAGTTAGTATGTGTTGCCTGGTCAGCAACACATTTCTTATTATGAAACTAACGCAAAACAAAACAAAAACTAGTTTGTTATAATTAATTATTATTCATATAAATATTACTGTGTCTGTTTAAATTTTAATTAATAAACGTTTGAAGTTTTAATTCCAATAGAATATAGAAATGAGAGAAACTATTCAAAAACCAATATATGTATTTCAACTAATAATAATATTTAAAAGTTAAAAAAACATTTACGTTTCAGGAAAATGTATAGACAATTATTATTTTGGTATTAATTTAATAATTTATATCCAAGTATTGGAATGACTCATTATCAAAGGCCTCTTCTCACATGGAGAAGGTTAGAGCATTAATCACAACGCTTGCTCAAAACGGATTGGTGATTCCAAAATTATAATTTGATATTATAAGTCCATGTTTCCTCACGATGTTTTCCTTCATCAGTCAGTGGTGTCCTGGTCCGGGCAAGTACCAATGTGATTTTTCCGAGTTATATGTACTTTAAGAGTATTTAGACATCACTGATTAATGCTGATTCCCGAAGAGGGTTGATGTCAGGCAGGCGGCCGGTCGTATAAACAAGAGCCAAAACTATTCAAAACATGTAAGGCAGAACCTGGCTATTGCTGGGAAATTGCCAGGTAGAAGAAGAAGAAGTCAGTGGTGTCTCAATACTCTTAGAAAGTACATATGACTCGGAAAAATCACATTGGTACTTGCCAAGATCGAACCAGCGCCGTCGTGCATGAGAAGCTGACCTTAACCTCCAGTCAGTTATGACTTAGTAATTACGAGTATAAAATCAAAATTCTGGCTTATTTTAAGCGCCTGTCTACAATAGACGGACAAGGTTAAATCAAAGTTTCCTACAATTAAAATCAATAATATTTTTCATCAACATCTGGTAACAGTTCCAACATCAAAAAGAAAATCATGATTAAAATATTTAAAATAAATTATCCCAATTAAGTATTTAAGCAAACGCGTTCATTCCAACGTCTATTATTTATATATACCAAGCATAATTTTTCCTCTATAATCTTAATTTTTATTCCAAATTACACAAAATTGTAACTACGACTTAGCTTATTTTTCAGCCAAAAACCTCAATCTAAGAATATATTTGGAGTTTTTTTCACTTCATTATTGGAGGGGAAACAAACTCATGTTTTTTTAGGATAACTTGTAACTTTAATTTCAGCCAAAAACCCTTAGTCTGCGAAAGATTTTTCTAGAGATTTTTTCATTTCATTATTGGAGAGAAAAATTACTATTTTTGTCATATGTTATAGTTTACCTTGAGCTAACTCAATCGTTTTCAGGTTTTTGGTTCTGGAAATCATTAAAAATAGATTTATAATTTAAATACCTCGGGGTTTTAGGTACGGCGTTGCAATCTGCTGTAACAATTACGAGGTTTGAGTCGAATTGTGGGAAGCATCACCTGGTGTACGGTGAGCGACACAAGTTGTGGTAAGAATTAAATATTCAAATTAAAATGCTTACCCTATGTTAAAGTGTACACTACATACGACGAGTTTTAAGTATTAACGTAGAACAATGAATGTAAAACGGAAAATGCTTAGTAAGTAGTGCGGTAATAAAATCTTGTGGTTATCGTAAAAAAATCATTGTATGTAACTGAATGGAAATCATTATTATTGGTTATTTTAATTAAATTGGTACAGGAATATGGGACTTTGAAAGTGGTAGAACCTAGCTGTGGTCAAGTTACTACAGCTCGAACATGGTCTATCTCGACCGTAAGTACCACCCTCTCACAGGAGATCGGCGTGAAGTAGTCTTTAATGGCTGCGTTTCGTCCGATGAGTGAGAGAGACGGTTGCCCTGTCTCTTTCCCTCCCTTTCCTCTCTCTTCAACAATCAAGGTTGGCAAAGTAACAACAACATCTCTTTTGTTACAGATATCCATGGGCGAAGGTATACATGGGCGAAGGTTCCATCAAGTAGGCCGTCTGCTTAGTTAAACCTTTATCATAAAAACAAATAATTGTACTTGATAAAGTTTAAATCTCTATGGTTCCTTATTAATTTGTTATACTACTTATTTTACGAAATTACTGTCTTGATAAATAATTATCATGACTAGAAATAACATATCTATCAGAGATCATAATATTATGTTGCTATATGTATATAACAATATATTTGACAAATATAAATTCCAACGAAATTTCGTAAATTCAAAAATTTTATAATTTTGTAAACAAACGTTTTACGAGATGATAACGGCCGTGACATTTTTTGTCCGTTTAGAAAATTAAAATCAAAGAAAAGTAAATATTTTTGTCTAAATATAAAATACTTCTAATTAAAAATACAGGGTGACTGGTGAATTACTATCAATATTTAAGGAGCATACTCGGTACATGATTCTCATTCGAATTATGTAAAAAAAAATAGGTACTTAATTTTTGACCAAATTTCCGTATAAAGAAATAAAGTGTGGACACGTTCCAAGTGTTCCAAGTGTGGACGCGTGCGGCGGCGTTCTGATACAACACTACGCCGCCGCCGCGTCTGTGTGAGTGTGTGTATACCTAATCTGTAGGGTGTTCATACGATGCGTAATTAATTACATAACTTTTGGTTAACTTTACTTAGAAGTTTATTAATATTTATGTTATATTAATTTTTATTTTGTCATATATGATCGTCAAATATCACGTCCTCAAATATCGATAGTAATTCACCAGTCACCCTGTATAATTTATACATATTTCATATATTATTGTTCTATGTAAAAAAGTATGTCCAAATACTTAACGTAACATTTACTGTGGATATATATTTTTTTCATTATCATCATATAGAATAATAATAGTTTTTTTAATCAAAAAAAGAATATAGGTTTACATGTTTTTCCGTGTTTATTATTATTAAAATAAATCATTACATTATTATTTTGATTCTAAACTACAGTCGCCCACCGTATCTCAACCCTTCCAATAATCGAGTCATCATCGCGTCAAATCTACAGCACGTGAAACGAACTTTCTTTTAAGTATTTTATAATTATTTTCACTATACATATATACTTATAAACATTATAATACTAGTTTTTGTCCGCTACTTCGTCCGCGTTAATTTCGGCATTATTAATATATGTATAGCTGACCAGGGAACTCTATTCTGACCTAGAGACCGTAAATAACCAGATATTGGAATTTATTCAGTATTTTTTTCTTTTTGAGCAGATTGAACAGAATTAAATATCCTATGTCCGTCTCCTTGTTCTAATCTATCTCTCCACCAATTTTCATCCATATCCGTACAGTCGTTCTTGAGTTATAAATAGTGTAACTAACACGACTTTCTTTTATATATACCTATATATACAGTTTAGACTACAAACCCAACAAATCCTACTAAATATTTTAATCTCAATCAACTTTTAACACACGAATAGAACTGATTTAATATATATATACATACTATCATTTTCACCCAACATCACCCGTGTTTAGTTAGTGCTTCAAAAACTATCCACTATCATTCTCCATAGTTACATCTATATTTATGTTCAATTTCACTGAAATCGCTTCAGCCGTTCAGCTGCGCAAAGGTTACGTACAGACAGAAATATTAAGAAACTTTATCACTGGTGTGCAGACGAAATGCCCGTGATCACGGTTGCTCATAATTATGTAACGTCGGGAGTATGTAGTTTGTTCTTCTTCCTGGCAATTTCCCAGATTTAGCCAGGGTCTGCCTTACATGTTGTGAATAGTTTTGGCTAATTGTTTTTACGACCGGCCGCCTGGTTACATCAACCCTCTTTGGGAATGCATTAATCAGTGATGTCTAAATACTCTTACAAGGACATATGACTCGGAAAAATCACATCGGTACTTGCCAGGATTGAACCCGCGCCCTCATGCATGAGAGGCGGACCTTTTAACCACTAGGCCACCACTGACTAATGTACTCGTATGTAGTTTGCTAATATAATACAATACGTGTAGTAATCCAAATAATATTAGTTTCATTTAAATGAATACTGTGTACTGAATGCCGGACGAAGTGTTTGATGAAAAAACGTTTGTGATTTTTAGGAGGAAACTATTGGGTTATTGTAGGGAGCACTTGGATTAACCAATCTTGAGTTGTATGGTTCGTTGCTACTGTACTGAATTGTTGTTTAAATTGAATTATGTATTACATCTCATTCTAGTGAACATTGTTCTTTATGAGAGATAAGTAAAGTTCTTTAACCACGAATACTCGCGAAAGTCTTAGATCTCATTATTTAAAACTAATTAAGTGTTTCTTCGACCTTCCGCCTATAGTTACAATGACTTATTCGTAGTTTAATAATAAAATGTTAAAATATCTAAGATTTTCGTGTACACATTTAAATTCAACTTTTTTTAGATACTACGCGTTTATTATTTACTTTCATCTTGTCTCGTGATCACGGTTGCTGTAAAGTAACCGAAGGATCAGGAGTATGTAGTATCAATTCATTCTTAAAACGTACTTCGAAAGCAGCCCTAGTAGTTCATTTCAAATTTGGTAGAGAAAGGAGCTTCTATGGTGGAGGTGAGCGTTTAACGCGTTAGATAGGGACCTCTTAAACCTACACCTGGGTCACAAGTCCCAGTCACTGTTGAAGCTCCTCTCACTACAACGATGGACCCGACACACGCACCGTGAATACATTGAATGATGATAGGTTTCAGTAGTTTTTGCGTGTTTAACGCACGTAGTAACCTTGAACTATCAGTAGAGCATATTTCAGTCATTTTGGTTTATAAAAAGCATATGCATTAAATTGGCTTAATGTGTAGTCATGTACGGGTCTTGGAGATCATATATTCTGATGAAGAAGAATACTTTGATGAGGAATGATTACTTTGAAGATCTTTTCGCTTAATCAATTGACCGAAAGTCATTTTTGTTATATTTTGACGAATATTTGCATGTTTCTGGGCTTTTTTGTAATAATTTTTGGTATTAATGTATGTTTTTCATTTCTTAGAACAAATACAGCGATCTTTTTTTCTAGTTGAAGTTTTCATTATCGGAGCCTGAGTTGTAATGATTTAAAAACTCTTACAAGTTTACTGATTATATACCTAAGTAAATTGATAAAGGAATTTGACTGAATTTTAAGAACCCTTTAATTAATTTTTATATACCTATCGAAGATTTTATTTCAATATATTCATAATAGTTTTCGTCAGCCATATTTGACAGCTTCTACATACTTTTTTTTCTCATTGTGACAACCTACAAGTTACATACATCCGAAATAAATATAAATCTTATATAATAAATAATTATTTAATTAATATTATTGTAAATATTTTTTTTATATAATTTTGTTATTTCAATATATTCTGTATGTAATATATCGATTTTTCTGTCACAAGATTGTTACATTTACAACGTGTGAAGAACAATTATGAAGACGCCATGTTTGTTTTAGGTTCTTTATAGTGTACAATTATTTATTTTTTTAATTCTATTACATAGAAATTACAAAAGAAATTTTATTTGAGATATTTATTTTGTTTTAAATTGATAATATTTTGAGTTTAATTTTTCGTTATTATTGAATTGTAATGTTTTGTAAAATATGAATTTATGAATTATCAAACTGGTAATATTATTTAATATGTAAAGAATATAATGTAATTAAATTACAGTTAATATTTTTTAATCCCCATTGTAAAATAAAATCAAATCTCGACGTAAAAAGCACCCACTCATACTAATGACACTTCATTAATAATTTCCCATGCATTGTTACAGAGCCATTACACACGAAGGGCGTTCCTCGACCAATCAGGGACGTGGAAATTACCTAACGATTACAAAATCAGCCAATCGCTGAACGGGAAATGTTATATAAGTTTTTCCAACTGAAGACATTAGTTCAAAGGTTGTTTGTTGTGTGAACGTATAAAAAAAATATAAACGAATTACATCTAATATTTGAATAAAATTTTAGGATATTTTCTTCATTTATGATAAAAAACAATCAATTTTAATTTAACCTGTGATATATTCCAAATCACGACTTGCTTTCATCAGTTCTTAAACAAATGATAGGAGATAAAATTCAAAATAATATTAGTGTATCAGTGAAACAAAAAAACAAAACAAATTTAAAATATAAAACCTTTTTGATATAAACAAAAGTACTGGCACAATAAAAAAAACATATTGGCAGAACAGTCCTGGCACAAAAGAAAAAATTATTGGCTGAATAAAAAAAAAACTGTTATAAATTTCAAAAATGGAAAACGTGTACGGGTTCGACGCTACATGCAGTCCGCACAGCGCGCTCACCGCGTTGAGACTTCTACGGAGCTACAACCACTTCGTAGTGCCTCCCGGTAACATAATACATATTATTATATTGCAATAATTAATTATAGTATAAGTCGTTTAAGTATATTTATTTGAATAAAACTGTTCACACAATATCATCAATAAAATATTAAGTAATAAAAAATAAGTGTGCCCTATTTAAAAATTACTTAGTTATTCCTTACGAGTATCGAATTAAACTAATACAGTTATAACAAGTATAATAAAAAAAATTGCTTTATAATTAAACTGAAAACTTTGACAGTCACATTGACAGTGACAGTTGACATTTAAAACACTGCAACTACTTCTACCTGGCAATTTCCCAGCTATAGCCAGGGTCTGCCTTACTTGTTGTGAATAGTTTTTGACTATTTGTTTTTACGACCGGCCGCCTGCCTGACGTCAACCCTCTTTTGGGAATCAACATTAATCAGTGATGTCTAAATACTCTTAGAAAGTACATATGATTCGTAAAAATCACATTGGTACTTGCCCGGGCCAGGATCGAACCCGCGCCCCCGGCGACGAGAGGCGGGCCCTTTAACCACTGAGCCACCACTGACAAACATTTAAAACACTGCAACTGACAGATAAAAAAAATATACATACTCCTTAATATCTAGTCGCGACCTTATTCACTCACAAATCCTTCTTTATATACCTCAATTAAATAAACACTTGACTTTAACTCAATGTTTAAAGAAATTCAGAGAACGGAATTGAAATATTATAAGTACAAACATATCTGAAATATTACCAAATAATAAAATACAATAAATGTTCAACCATTAAATGCTTCAAAATTATTTACTCTCTTTAATTTAATACTCATAATATTTCATGAGTTCTCATATAAATATACTTTATATATTTTAACTGAAAAGAAAATAAATAATATTTTTTTTAATTGTCAAGCCAGATATGTATATCATCTCACATGAAGAAGGTTTGAGCATTAATCACCACGCTCGCTCAAGACGGGTTGGTGATTTCAAACTTATAATTTGAAATTATAAGTCCAGGTTTCCTCACGATGTTTTCTTTCATAGAGGCAGTAAATAAATAGATTTTTCATTTGATTTACTTATTTTATTTTATGGTCGAACGGATTGTAAAGTATCCTATGTCCTTTCTATGTTCTAATCTATCTCTCCACCAATTTTCAACCAAAACCGTACAGTCGTTCTTGAGTTATAAATAGTGTATTTAACATGACTTTCTTTTATATAAAAATTTGTTAGTTCCTTTATGTCTTAACAAATATTCTTAAAAAGATTTTTACAATATATTTCTTCATTAATTCATTATTTTATATTCTTACTAGCTTTCCGCCCTCGCTTCGCCCGCGTGGAGTTCAGTTATATCGCGTTTCCAAGAGAACCTTTCAAAAGTCTGGGATAAAAACTATACTTTGTTCTTTCTCAAGGTGAACTCTATGTCTGTACCGAATTTCATCAAAATCACTTCATTTGTTTAGGCGTGAAAGCTTAACAGACAGACAGACAGAGTAAATTTCGCATTTATAATATTAGTAAGGATTTAATTTATCTATTACGTCACATCTAAGAGAATAAGTTATTTTTTCTTACTAATTGTTTCAGTAGTTCTTAATCTTGTAGTAACTATAAACTACGATTTTATCTGTAACCCAAACTTGCTATTAAATTACCCTCAAATCATAGAAACTTCTAGAATTTAATATGGTCTATCAACCAATACGTAAAACTAAAGCTATCTATATAAATTTATTTACGAAATCTCTCATCATTCAATGTATTCACGGTGCGTGTGTCGGGTCCATCGTTGTAGTGAGAGGAGCTTCAACAGTGACTGGGACTTGTGACCCAGGTGTAGGTTTAAGGGACCCTATCTAACGTGTTAAACGCTCACCTCCACTACTAATACACTTTTAAACTTTCAGTACTTAAGTCAGTCACTAATAGTAAGATTATAATTATATTTCATACTATGAAACAACTTAATAATCAGTATCGAAATTAAACGTAAATATGACTAATATTATTTTGATTATTACGCGTATTTTACTATTAAAAACTGCATACTAACTGCCATACTACATCTCGTCTTAATAAGATTTTAAATTGCTGAAAAGTAACCGAAACTTCGGGAGTATCATCATCCTGTCAGAGCCCACTGCTGAGCCTCTTCTCACATGGAGAAGGTTTGAGCATTAATCACCACGCTTGCTCAAGACGGGTTGGTGATTTCAAACTTATAATTGTGAAATAAAAGTCCATATTCCTCACGATGTTTTCCTTCATATATCAATGATGTCTAAATACTCTTAGAAAATACATATGACTCGGTACAAACACATTAGTAAGTACTTGCCAGGATCGAACCGCGCGCACGAGAGGCGGACCTTTAACCACTAGACCACCACTGACTGACTGTATGTAGTTTTAAAATAATAAAATATTGGTAGTAATACGAATAATATTAGTTTCATTTAAATGTTTTAAATTAAACAAACATATTATGAACTTTCGTAAACAAAATACGTTTAACAAAATAAAGGTGTCATAAAAACTTTAAAACTATAAAAAAACGTATTTATTCAAGAGGGGTTGAAATTAATAACTAAAATTGACAAGCGTCAGGTCAATATAAGGGAGCGCGACCACGATTGACCCCTTTTAATGGGGTTGTAACACCTATTTAATTATGAAGCTCAAACCAATGTTTCCTATATCGATTTCGATGAAACTCATACAGTTTTAACATTCGATTTTCGAGAAATGTATACTGAGGCTAAAATTTTAGTGCTATTTACATAATTTCTGCAAAAATATGTTATGTATGTATTTAAAATTTATTTCTGCAGTTTAAGTATCGCCAATTACGAAAAGAATTATATAGTAAAAAAATAAAAAATAAAATAATTTTATTTCAATAGTGTGAACAATCTTTACACGTAGTTACACTATTTATGTTTCAGGAGCCTTAAGGGTTATACCGAAAATTGATGGAGAGATAACTTAGAACCAGGAAAAACACATAAGATACTTTCTATGTAAAATAGATAACAACAAAATCTTATTATTTACTGCCTTTCAGGAGAAACAGAATTACCCCAGTCATTTCATGTTTTTGAAAGTAATGCAGACGAAGTCGCGGGCAAAAACTAGCATAATATATATTTGATATTCTTATAAAAAATCATGTTCCTATATTTACAATTACGTAATTATTAATTAAAAAAAAAGCTAATAAAATACACCCTAAAATCCTATCAAACTACTACATTGCTTATTTAATTCTTTCCAAAATTATCATAATATTCTGATATTTTTTTATCTTCTTCTACCTGGCAATTTCCCAGCATTAGCCAGGGTCTGCCTTACGAGTTGTGAATACTTTTGGCTAATTGTTTTTACGACCGGCTGCCTGCTTGACATCAACCCTCTTCGGGAATGCATTAATCAGTGATGTCTAAATACTCTTAAGTACATATGACTCGGAAAAATCACATTGGTACTTGCCAGGATCGAACCCGCGCCCTCATGCATGCGAGGCCCTTTAACCACTAGGCCACCACTGATCATATTAATTTATCCTGCTAATATTATAATTGCGAAAGTTTGTGACTGTGTGTGTATGTTTGTTACTACTTCACGCTCAAACGGCTGAACCGATTTTGATAAAATTTTGTATACAGGAAGATGACTTCAATTAATATCATATAGGCTATACTTTAAATGATATGTATTAATACAAAAAAATCTGTTTTTTATTTGATCATTACAACACGCATTTATCTATACACCTGTCATCTATACATCTGTTAGATCACACGGCCAGGTGGAAAAGAACTTTAATTTGGTTGCACCCTTTACATTACATGTTTTGTTTACCTAATTCAAGTTTTTTTTATAAATACACTAGAAGACCCGGCGAACTTCGTATCGCCCTATAATCAAGAAATATCTATTACGTTCTTTTATTTATATTTTTGGAGTTTACCTGTAAGCCATAAATCTCCGTGTTTTGAAGTGCGACAGAATGATTGACATATTAGTTAGTTGTCAAGTCTAATGTCAAAAAAAACGTTTGTATGGGAAATAGAAAAGTGTTGTTTTTATGGTTTTCCCAGTAATGAATCAATTTTTTTCAGTTTTTAAACCTTTCCTGAACCTCCACGAACATTTCAAGACTAAGATAAGATAAATCCGTTCAGCTGTTCTCGAGTTTTAGCGAGACTAAGGAACAGCAATCCATTTATATATATAGAAGATATACTGCCATTCCATCTTGAGCAAGCGTGGTGATTAATGCTCTAATCTTCTCCATGTGAGGAGGATTTTGCTCAGCAGTGGGCTCTGATAGGATGATGATGATTTAGTTGCTTTTTTTAATTAAGAATTACGTATTTATAATCTTTCTGCAGCTATGAAAATGTGCTATATGTTCCAACTTATATCTTTTTGTATTCTCTATCGCATTGTCAAAGTTATATTAGATTTGGTTCATCATCATAAATCCTTCAAATATTTAATTAATATTTATTACAACAACAGTAGTCTTTCGTTTATTTGACTTATTTTTAACTAACCGTTACCCGTGACTCTTTCTGTTTAAGAAAAAACAAAAATGTTTAATACATACATACATTATGAATATTACCTTGTATATATACATATAATTAATGAGATCTAAGTGTTTCACGAGTATTCATTTAAATGAAACTAATATTTTTCATATATACTACGCGTGCTTTATTTTTATAAAAAACTACATACTCAAGACGTTTCGGTTACTTTTCTACAACCGAAATTACGAGCAGACGAGATGTGTATTTATAATTATTTCTTCAGTAATAGATAATAGTCGTATTATGACTTAGACTTTGACGAATAAAAATAAACAAAGAAATGAAACTGTATCATCTGTCTAATATTATACTAATACCTTATAATTCAATATATATATGTATGTCTGTCATAATTTTTGTCTTATCCTTGTTCCGTTTAATCTCGGAAACTTATTTTAAGCTATAAATGATGACCACCTTTAATGAAGCGTGAACATTTCCATGGGGTGGGAAAGCCAAAGTTCAGAACTGGTATGATGTAGAAAGCCCCCATGATGAACTGTCTTTTGTATGGTTACTCCAAGTTTTGCATCTGTACTGTATACGGAGTGGTGGCCTAGTGGTTAAAGATCCCCCTCTCGTGCTTGAGGGCGTGGGTTCGATCCTGGCAAGTACCAATGTGATTTTTCCGAGTTATATGTACTTTATAAGAGTATTTAGACACCACTGACTGATGAAGGAAAACCTCGTGAGGAAACCTGGACTTATAATTTCACAATAATAAGATTGAAATCACCAACCCGTCTTGAGCAATCGTGGTGATTAATGCTCAAACCTTTTCCATGTGAGAAGAGGCCTTACAGCAGTGGGCCCTGATAGGCTGATGATGATGACTACATACGGAGCTTTAAAAGTTTTCAATTCAGAAATCTCACATTATATGTATGGTTAGGTAGAGAGGAGCTTGTACAGTGGAAGTGAGCGTTTAACGTTAGATAGGGTCCCTTAAACCTACACCTGGGTCACAAGTCCCAGTCACTGTTGAAGCTCCTCTCTCTACAACGATGGACCCGACACACGCACCGTGAATATATAGAATGATGAGAGGATTCGTGTCTTAACTTATTATTGGACGTTAAACGGGAAACGTAACGTATGTAGTGTGAATACAAACTTATAATAAGGTATTGATGAGTAAGGTAATTACAGGCAAGGTGCCCGCCAGGTGCTTTACCCCATACAGTCGCGTACACAAGTGTTAATAAAATAATAGTTTTAATGGTTATAATTAAAAATATATATATGTTTTTATATTTTTTTGACTGTCTGTGTATTTGTTCCTATTAATAACTGAAAAGGCTGGAACTATTTTGATGTGACTCTACTGGGATAACAAATGAAGTGATCTGTTCCGTCAAAGATTTTGCAGTTTTAATTGTAAATATTAAAGTTTTGTTTATAATAAAATTTAAATTAAAGTCTATAGATGTTTTATATGTAATATTGGATACAAATTTATTTAATTTATTGATCTGTATGACCTATGTTTGTTTAACTAAAAAATATTGAGCGAAAATCTTATAAAACTTGCTCAGTACCATTCTATGTATTTCATGTTTCATAACAAATTCCTCCAAAATGCTATAGAACAATATCCAAAAAGTAATATACTAAGTTGTTTATAATTTATTAATATAATTATACTAGTTTTTACTCCTTACGTCGTCCGTGTAACTATCATAAAATTTATATCAGTGGTGTTCTAGTGCTTAAAAGGGTCCGCCTCTCGTGCACGAGGGCGCGGGTTCGATCCTGGCAAGTACCAATGTGATGTTTTCGAGTCATATGTACTTTCAAAGAGCATTTAGACATCACTGACAGATGAAGGAAAATATCGTGAGGAAACCTGGACTTATAATTTCACGATTATAAGTTTGAAATCACCAACCCGTCTTGAGCAAGCGTGGTGATTAATGCTCAAACCTTCTCCATGTGAGGAGAGGCCTTACAGCAGTGGGCTCTGATAGGCTGATGATGATGTATAATGTGTTAAAACAATATATATGATAACCAATGATCAGTGACATCTACTTTCTGTATCGTAATTAATACTGTTTAAGGCGATAAGCCTCAATTTTGAACTTGAAATATGCCTAAGGAAGATACGTGTGAACGTTGTAATAGTTTATTGGTAACTAATATTTAAAATTTTAGTAGTTAAGTAGACTATATCACATATACACACATAATTATGAATAATAATAATATGTATTAACTGTTAATAGGGCGAGCCAATTATCTATTTGATACGTCTCATCTTTGACAAAAACAATGCAACTATTTTCTCTGAACCAATAGTAAATATGAGGAATTTCATATTAAATTATATCCTATGTCTTTATCAGATATCCAAGCTATATTACTGTTAAGTTTCATCCAAATATGTTTAGTCATTTTTGAGTTATAGAGCAACAAACATCGTCACAAAGTTGTTTATTTAGGTATAACACTTTCTTTAGCGACTTCTTCCTGGCAATTTCGCAGCTTTAGCCAGATTCTGCCTTACATGTTGTGAATAGTTTCGGCTAATTGTTTGTACGACGGGCTGGTTACATCAACCCTCTTTGGGAACACTTTCTTTAGCGACTGTACTCGTGAAATATAAATGGCCCGGTTGATCGGGGTCGCGTGCCCCTAATCGGTGGACAGCGGGGAGATCGCTAATTGTTTACGAAAATATTAGTTTTTCACATTATAACACTTTTAATATTATAGAAGCAAATATTGTTTGTATCCTGTTATTTGGACATTTGTAACACATAATAAATCTTGTTTTATTCAGCCTATACTAATGTCAAAGAGGTTGGATAGCTATAATTATTGTTTGAGTTTAAAGGAGATCGAAAGTATTGCATACAATTCTGGGCCCTCAATGTAAAGACATGAAAATAGTATTAATTAAAAGGTTCAAAATTAAGAGTTTCTTCATTGAAAATTCTATAGAAATTGACAATCAGATAGCTGAGGTATTGGAGGTTTAGTAAAAGTGAGGTTATATTGCATAATCTTTAAGAATTAGATGAATACACGTAAAAGTATGTGATAAATAATAATTTTATTTAGAAGGGAATATCTGATAAGTCATAACAAGGCAATAAAGACTCAAAGACATACAGTTATACGTAACAAGTAAGGAATTCTACGAAAAACAGGAGGAATGAACTATGTGATAAAATTCATAAAATAAAACAAATAATTTTAATAGAATATTTTATTCCTCTTCAATAATAATTAAAATATCGACTTGCAACACATATTTATGTACGAAAACTGTCAATTCTGCGTATATAGTGAGATGCAAACTCAGAGTGAACATAATGATATAAATATTTTAATGGTTTTATAAGTCTTAAATAATTATAATACACTTTCTACTTCATGTAACTTAGTACGAAAGATATCAGGGCTTACCATGAGTTCGTTAAACTAAAAACGTAAAGTAACCATTCCTTCATCGATATCGTTACATAGATACTATAACTAACGAAGGTTTTTTTAATAAAATACTCCATACTATCTGTATTTAGGTAAAGAACAAACGTTTACAATACGATATAGAGAGAAACACTCGCTTTTGTAAACTACACTAGCTTTCCGCCCACAGCTTCGCCCACGTGGAGTTCGGTTATATCGCGTTTCCAAGAGAACCTTTCAAAAGTATGGGATAAAAACTATCCTATGTTCTTTCTCAAAGTGAACTCTATCTCTGTACCAAATTTCATTAAAATCAGTTCAGTGGTTTAGGCGTGAAAGCGTAACAGACAGGCAGACAGACAGAGTTACTTTCTCATTTATAATATTAGTAGGGATACTCGTTTTTGCCCCGACTTTGTACAGTCAAATATATAAAGGTTTTTGTTAGATACGCGGATAGGGTCGGACAATGAAAGGATCGCTGGCTAATCACGCACTGCTTTATTGAACGATTATTACACTATATATATGGGTGGTCGCAGCCACGCCCGAACTAATTATTTATACATACCTACATATGTAACAGTTTTCTTGGAATACTGTAAATCTTCTTCTACCTGGCAATTTCCCAGCTTTAGCCTGGGTCTGCCCTAAATGTGGATACTTTTGGCTAGTTGTTTTTACGACGGGCCGCCTGCCTGACATCAACCCTCTTTTTGGGAATAAATAATCAGTGATCTCTAAATACTCCTAGAAGTACATATAACTTGGAAAAATCACGTTGGTACTTGCCGGGATCGAACCCGCGCCCTCACGTATGAGAGACGGGCCTTTTAACCACTAGGCCACCACTGACTTAATACTATATACATATACAGGGTGACTGGTGAATTACTATCAATATTTAAGGAGCATACTCGGTACATGATTCTCATTCGAATTATGTATAAAAAATAGGTACTTAATTTTTGACCAAATTTCCGTATAAATAAATAAAGTGTGTACACGTTCCAAGTGTTCCAAATGTGGACGCGTGCGGCGGCGTGCTGATACAACACTACGCCGCCGCCGCGTCTGTGTGAGTGTGTGTGTATACCTAATCTGTAGGGTGTTCACACGATGCGTAATTAATTACGCAACTTTTGGTTAACTTTACTTAGAAGTTTATTAATATTTATGTTATATTAATTTTTATTTTGTCATATATGATCGTCAAATATCACGTCCTCAAATATCGATAGTAATTCACCAGTCACCCTGTATAAGACATTTGTTTTGTCTTGTATACCCAGAAGCTCGTGGGATGGTACCACTCCTGACCGCTCTACCACCGCCGTGTCTACCAGCATACTGTCACCACCTACCACTATCATCACCACGTAAGTATTAACAAAACCACTAATTCACTCATTTAAATGAAACTAATATTTTCGGATTTTACTTCGCGTATTTATTTTTGATTATAAACTACATACTCCCGACATTTCGGATACTTTTCAGCAACCGTGATCACGGTCAGACGAGATGTGGCGAAGTAAAATCCGAAAATATTAGTTTCATTTAAATGAGTACTCGCGAAAATCTTATATCTCATTAAACGCATTATACACATAGTCTTCAAATATTAGGAAAGTTATTTGAGTCTTGACTTTTCCTTACAATAGTTTTTTCAATTTCAATATTATTTCAATTTAAATTATAATCATAATTAATTGATTTCACTTAAAATTTTCGTATATTGCATATTTTTATACAAAACAACTACTTAATTCCTCACATGTAAAATGGGGACAAATTATTTTGGTCCCAAAGAAAATTTAATTGGAAGAAGATTCTAAAAAGATATTTCTTTGATTATTGGTACACCAGCTTTTGGGAATGAATCGACGAATAGCGTCAGCTCATTGCAAGAAGACGGCAGACGTCGTGGCGAGAAAAGACCGATACCTAGCGAACTGAAAGACGAGAAGTACTTCGAAAGACGAAGAAGAAACAATCAAGCCGCGAAGAAGAGTAGAGATGCTAGAAGAATGAGGGAAGATCAGGTTGTATAGCATAAAATATTATAATTAATTTATGTATACAGGGTGACTGGTGAATTACTATCAATATTTAAGGAGAATACTCGGTACATGATTCTCATTCGAATTATGTAAAAAAAATAGGTACTTAAATTTTGACCAAATTTCCGTATAAATAAATAAAGTGTTGACACGTTCCAAGTGTTCCAAGTGTGGACGCGTATGTGTGTGTGTGTGTGTATACCTAATCTGTAGGGGGTTCACACGAAGCGTAATTAATTACATAACTTTTGGTTAACTTAACTTAGAAGTTTATTAATATTTATGTTATATTAATTTTTATTTTGTCATATATGATCGTCAAATATCACGTCCTCAAGTATCGATAGTAATTCACCAGTCAACCTGTATATACCAGCTGACCCGGCAAACGTTGTTTTGCCATATAAAAAATAGGGGTTGGTGATAAAAAAGTAAAAATTTTGGGTTGTACTCATATGTATTTTTAATGCTACATTACGAAAAAATAAAAAAAAATATTAAGGGTGAACAACCGTTATGACGTAGGGGTATGAAAGATAGATGTTGGTCGATTCTCAAACCTACTCAATATGCTCACAAAATTTCATCAAAATCGGTCCAGCCGTTTCGTAGGAGTTCTCTGTCTAACACCGCGACACGAGATCTTTATATATAAGATATAATATACATGAGTGGGAACATAATTTTATTACAATTTACGTATTCGTTTTATTTCTTCATATGTATATACTATATACATATATAGCGTAGGTTCTTCTAAAATGTAGGTATATATAAAAGAAAGTCGTGTTAGTTACACTATTTATTTTCAAGAACGACTGTACGGATATGATTGAAAATTGATGGAAAGATAGCTTAGAACATAGAAAGGACATAGAATATTTAATTCTGTTCGATCGAAACAGAAAAAAACTTAATAAACTCCAATATCTGGTTATTTACGGCCTCTAGGCCGGAATTAACGCGAACGAAATCGCGGGCAAAAGCTAGTATTACAACAAGTACGTAATTTTTTGTTTGTTTCTTTTATTTAACAAATTTAGATCGCATGGAGGGCTTGCGTGTTGGAACAAGAGAACGCGTCACTCCGCGCCCACGTGGCCGCGCTCACGCAGGAGACACGGGCGTTGAGGGCGCTGCTGGCTAGGGATGAAGCGCCCACGTCGACCACGGACTAGATATAACATCACCTTACACATACAATAGATAAACATGAATAGTTTTCAATTAATATACCTTGGAATACACGAAACTTGCCGTGTTGATTTCAACGAAAAAAATGTGGTTACGATACATTTTATTTACTTTCAGCATAAATAAATCTCATACACTTAAGTATAAAGTATCTCAAACAGACAAATCAATATATATATATATATATATATATATATATATATATACAGGGTGACTGGTGAATTACTATCGATATTTGAGGACGTGATATTTGACGATCATATATGACAAAATAAAAATTAATATAACATAAATATTAATAAACTTCTAAGTAAAGTTAACCAAAAGCTATGTAATTAATTACGCATCGTGTGAACACCCTACAGATTAGATATACACTGACACTCACACATACGCGTTTCGTGACGTAGTGTTGTATCAGCACGCCGCCGCACGCGTCCACACTTAAACACTTGGAACGTGTCAACACTTTACTTATTTATACGGAAATTTGGTCAAAAATTAAGTGCCTATTTTTTTTACATAATTCGAATGAGAATCATGTACCGAGTATGCTCCTTAAATATTGATAGTAATTCACCAGTCACCCTGTATATATGAACAAGTCATAAACAAAAAAAAATAAGAAAGTTTAATCAAAAATGGACACTAAACGATTAAACTTGTATGCCAGAAGCACTTAAGTAAAAATAAGTCAAAAATGCCTTACATCATTATGAAGGAGATCTGATACATTTACACAGCTGGAAAACATAGCAAACATAGCTAAGAACAACCACAAGGAAACTGACTTTCAAATGTAAAAAACAACATCAAAATCGGTCTATCCGTTTGAGAACTACGATAATACATACACAGTCACTATTAGTACTCTTGTAATACTCTTTTGTAAATTAATAATTAATTAATTTTGCTATATTTTTCTTAAATGTATATAATTAAGCAATAATTTTAATCTGTGATATTTGTTTACGAATTTGTTTTTTAATTTAATGTGCAATTTATGTTATCTATATGTCATATGTCAAAATTACTGACATATGACATATGACATATAGATACATTTGACAGTTTGTATTTTTTCACCTCGAAAAAAGGTTTTAGTTAAAAATGTTTAAGTGAGTAATAAACAAAAAGTATATATGGAATTACTGTTAACTTTTCGTTAAATTTATTTTTAATGTCATTAAAACATACATATTTAGTTTCTTATTTTCAATTTAATATATTGTTATTTATGACTTATATACATTTTATTTTATCCCAATATCTGTGGCTAATTTTCATTTACAAAACCTAAATTTATTCTATCTTTGATAAAACATACGAGTATTAAGGAAAATCTGAAAACAACACATATCTTCTTCTTCCTGGCAATTTCCCAGGTATAGCCAGGGTTTGCCTTACATGTTGTGAATAGTTTTGGCTAATTGTTTTTACGACCGGCCGCCTGCCTGACATCAACACTCTTTGGAAACTGAAAACAACAAATGTATGTGTTTCTTAGCAAATTCGCTTTGAAAGTACAGTACTATTATGACAATTTCGTATCTTCACACTACATACGAAGTTTAAATCACAGTATCAATGTGAATAAGAGACGAAACCTCTCATCATTCAATGTATTCACGGTGCGTGTGTCAGGTCCATCGTTGTAGTGAGAGGAGCTTCAACAGTGCCTGGGACTTGTGACCCAGGTGTAGGTTTAATATATATAGAGAGACGAAACCTCTCATCATTCAATGTATTCACGGTGCGTGTGTCGGGTCCATCGTTGTAGTGAGAGGAGCTTCAACAGTGACTGTGACTTGTGACCCAGGTGTAGGTTTAATATATATAGAGAGACGAAACCTCTCATCATTCAATCTATTCACGGTGCGTGTGTCGGGTCTATCGTTGTAGAGAGAGGAGCTTCAACAGTGACTGGGACTTGTGACCCAGGTGTAGGTTCCAGGGGTCCCTATCTAACGCGTTAAACGCTCACCTCCACTATACAAGCTCCTCTCTCCTAACCAAATTTCAAAACACTTTATATGTAGTGTGATGATATAATATTTTACTTAGATTATTATCATTCTTTGGTTAATGATTGTTTTTCATACTAAATTACCTCGTAGTACACATTCGTGTATATGTATATACAGGGTGACTGGTGAATTACTATCGATACTTGAGGACGTGATATTTGACGATCATATATGACAAAATAAAAATTAATATAACATAAATATTGATAAACTTCTAAGTAAAGTTAACCAAAAGTTATGTAATTAATTACGCATCGTATGAACACCCTACAGATTAGGTATACACACACACACACACTCACGCGCGGCGGCGTGTTGTTGTTATCAGCACGCCGCCGCACGCGTCCACACTTGGAACACTTGGAACGTGTACACACTTTATTTATTTATACGGAAATTTGGTCAAAAATTAAGTACCTATTTTTTTTACGTAATTCGAATGAGAATCATGTACCGAGTATGCTCCTTAAATATTTATAGTAATTCACCAGTCACCCTGTATATTAGTCAATATCTCATTATGCTTACTAATCCTTTCTGTCCATTTAAAGGTGGCACTTTACTTGGCGTTTATTTGTTGTGTTCGGCCAAATAAGACAATGTAGAGGATTTATTCGTCTTCATTTGACATATTTGCACAAATAAGACACATACACAAATAAGATAATCGTAAAGACGTGTTGACATGCCAAGTGTGGATGTCGTGTTTGCGATATTTGGACTACGAACATTTGGACAAATGCGGCGAATACGCCACGCCAAATGAAGTGCCACCTAAATATTTAACCAACAGTAAACTCCTAAAAATATTTTCTCATTCAAAATCATGAAATATTAATATTTAAATGAAACTAATATTATTTGGATTACTATTCGTCTTTTGTTATTTTCATCTCGTCTTAGTGATCACGGTTGCTGAAACGTCGGGAGTATGTAGTTTTTACAATGATAAAATACGCATACAAATCCAAATAATATTAGTTTCATTTAAATGAACACTCACGATAATCTTAGATCTCATTTAGTATTTATTTTATATAAATTAGAAATAACATTGTATAGTAAAATTAATTTTTGTTTAATTCTAGCGTAACTCGTCCGTTTTGTTAATGTTGCCATAGTTAAAAAAAGTAAATTATTACAAAGAATAAATTATATTAAAAAATAGAGGACTTTTTATTTTAATCATTACCAGATTATCCACACATATCGTTCCAATCCAATTGAGAAATTTGTGAAAGATTACTAATTATTAAACTATGTTCAATATTTTACCTTTTTTAAATATTGTAAATAAACACATAAAATCACTCAATAGAATATACAATTTAAAAGAGTGTCTGTCTTTAAGTCTTTTAAAAATATATATAGGTAATAATTTTTTAGATTTTCGTTAATATTTCAGAGTAAATTTGTCTTATAAATTACATTTTTGTATTGTTTTTCATCAACCGTAATCACTGAAAGACAAAATCATACTCGACAATATATATAACCTTCCGGCAGGGTCGCGAGGCAAGCAGTCGAAATACCGCGGCCCTGCCTAGGTGGCGTGGAAGAGGAACACCCAGGGGTTTTAGTGGGTCTATACCCCACATAACCCGGTCAAGTCCCCGCTCGGCCGGGTATCTGTGAGCGGATATCCCCTGGGAAAACAAAAAAAATATATATATATAACCTTTTGTCTTGTTATTGATAATTTATTACTAATGTTTTCTTAATTAATTAGCTATTTCTAAACACTAAATTGTGGGGTATTTTAAATAAAAAATATAGGGAAATATTGATAATTAAGCCAGTATATACGAATTACAAATCATAGCTGTGCAGTACCACCTTATGAAGAAAATTGGTAACATTAATATCAATGTTACATACTAGATGGCAGTAGTAGCGATCGGTGCAAAATAATTGTACACATTTAAAAGTAATTTCTAGTTTTTCTTGTATTTAATTATAAAAAGATATTTTATTAATAAGAATTAGATAAAATTTTACACAAAAAGTTAGTAAAAGATTACATAACAATTACATTTTATTTTGTGATTCCTTATTAGTTACTTATCTATAAATTTCAGCCAATCACAAATCAGTTTCACTCTCAATCAGATAAATCAACCAATGGTAAGACCGTATCACTAAAATTTAAAACGAGAACGTTCTATGTCGCAAGTTACGTGAGAGCAGGACCAACGGCGCGGCATTTTCCGTGTGGCAAGAATTTAGTTAGATTGTGTGCGAAAAATTAAAAAAAAATATATATTCTTTCAAAGAATTGCGTCATCCACATGGTTTGAGCTGGGATTGAATATTCGGGAATAATTTAGAAAATATAAAAATAATACAATAATGTTGACCGCGACGCGTGTGGTTAGCCGAAAGGCGTTAGAGTGCTCCGGTACCGAATTCTACACACACAGAAATTTCTCCACATTCCTCAGAAGTGTAAGTAACCATTTTATTTTCAAAAACGAATGAAAATCTCGTGTCAAATATTAATACACGTCAATATATATAATGATTTTTCAGTTTTATCTCATGGAAATTCTTTGTTTGCTCAACGTAACCCGGGCCATGTGCATCCAATTTTTTTTTTATAATCATCGTATGAGTGTATTTTATAAGTATCGCATTCCTCATTTTCCAGACCGCAGCCCCCACAGTACCTATTTACCAACGCCATGTACAACACAGGCACAAGTAAGTATTTTAATTCATTTCTAACCTAAAAGCGACCTTTGCTATCGAGATTTGAGAAGCTCACTTAAAACATAACTTGAAAATAACTAAAACTTATTTTAGACGGAATATTAAGTATTGCACAACTTTATATTCACCATTGTCATCTTGCCAATCTCTCAACAGTAGAATACTCATTTATATTATTTACTGAAATAAGAAATTAAAATTAACTCAAGAACTAAATATATACAAGACACCTTTGCTAAGTCAAACAGATACATAGCATGTCTATTTAATTTTTAATTATCAAACATGATATTATAATTACAAAAAAAAATAACTTATATATATGTATTTGAAGATTATTCAATTGATTTACTCCACCTTCTAGATCCGAGGGTGTTAGGGGTGCAGTTATCGGCATTGACTTGGGCACAACCAATTCTTGTGTGGCCGTCATGGAAGGAAAGACTCCAAAGGTAAGTCCTAAATACCTAGCTATTTCAGAACTGACTGTAATAATATGTTAGCTTCTGTAACTAGTACAGATTTCTTCCAGAAATAGTCAAAAATTCAGTAATTAAACAAAAATACATGATTAGGTATTAAAAATCATATTAACGGGCCATATTTTGTTATAAATTGTTCAATATTTGACCGGCAAATATATCTACTCACAAACCCACCAAATTCTCATAGAATTTCCAATTTAATAAGTTACAAATGTATTAAACAAGTTTATTCATATACAAAAATAACATAATTGCATTTAAAAAATGTGTCTTTTACCCTTAACAGTTTTTAAACTTGTAAACAAAAGTTTTAAACTTACCACTTGTTTGTTTTGCTAAACAGTATTTATACTTATTAATGAATACTTTCTAACTACATATTGAGTATAAAGATTCAAATATAAATATAATAATATTAAAAAATACATAACTAAAATGTTTTTAACACACCTCTCAACAATCATTTAAATTTAAAATAAAAAATTGATATTAATTCGCCTTGACATAGCTATAGAGTATAAAAATATTCATATATTCAAAATCTAATGATTTTTATTTAAATTCTGCTCGAAACAATACATTTTTACTTATAGTAAAGTTTGATCGTAGATTTTACATTTTAGTGGAGATAAAATAATATTTTTATAGATAAGTATAACATATTTTAGTAAAATTTATGTAATAATTTCATTATATTGAAATAAGATACAATTATTACAAATTTTTGTATGTCTTATTTGTGTAATACTAACATTTGACTGCTGATCTGCTCGTACATTTTGTTTCAACAATCTATATTGAAAATTTCTATCTCTGGACGCTTTAAAGGACAAAACATATATTTTCATGAAAAGATAGTTGAAAACAGTGGCCGGTTCATTGAGATGTAATTATTATCAGAAATGAAATTCAATTCTATTTAAGAACGGAGTAATCATGGTCAGTTGCTTTGTTTACAAAATTGTAAATTTCTGTTGAAATCCTTATTAATATTATAAATGCGAAAGTAACTCTGTCTGTCTGTTAGCCTTTCACGCCTAAACCATTGAACTGATTTTAATGAAATTTGGTACAGAAATAGAGTTGACCTTCAGAAAGAACATAAGATAGTTTTTATCCCAGACTTTTGAAAGGTTCTCTTGGAGACGCGATATAACCGAACTCCACGCGGGCGAAGCTGCGGGCGGAAAGCTAGTGGACTATATATACATGCATCGTCGATCGGTCTCACACCCGTGTGTGCAGTCCTTTGCAGCGATGCTATAACACAGGAGTGACACCAGCGGGTCGCGACTAGTGTCGTGGACTCTCCAGATATCACTCTACATTAATACTATATTAATAACGAATACATTAATATTTAAACTTTAATAAACCAAATTTTATATACATATAGGTATATGTATTCTAATTATTTATGCTTATAATTAAAAACCAAGTTAAATTATCAAAGAAAATCTATCCAATATAATTTCAAACACAAATATATCAATAGCTTCTAATACATGGGTGTCTAAACTTGATGGGACTTGGTGCCATTGAAAATAACTAAATATATTGGTGAGCTACAAAATGTTAATAAAATTATGGGTAATAATAGTATAATGATTATTATCAGTACTATCTTTCCGCCCGCAGCTTCACCCGCATGGAGTTCGGTTATATAGCGTTTCCAACAGAACCTTTCAGAAGTCTGGGATAAAAACTACACTATGTTCTTTCTCAAGGTCAACTCTGTCTGTACTAAATTTCATTAAAATCAGTTCAGTGGTTTAGGCGTGAAAGCATAACAGACAGACAGAGTTACTTTCGCATTTATAATATTAGTAGGGAAGTTATGGGTAATAATATCACTATTATTACCAGTATTTGATCATTAATGTATTTAAACAACGATAAAAAAGATTCTACGAGCCACAATAAAACATTTGATGCCTATTTTAATACATTACTTGTTATATACAGGTAGTAGAAAACACAGAGGGTTCAAGAACAACGCCTTCCCATGTAGCGTTTAGCAAGGAAGGTGAAAGGTTGGTGGGTATGCCGGCCAAGAGACAGGCTGTGACCAACAGCGGTAACACCTTCTACGCTACCAAGAGACTGATCGGAAGAAGATTTGATGATCCCGAAGTACAGAAAGATATGAAGAATCTGTCATACAAAGTTGTCAAAGCATCAAACGGTGATGCCTGGGTACAAGGTTAGTGAAAGCAACTATGAATCTTATAAGAAAATTATATTTTTTTGGTTGGGATATCTTTAGACCTATCTTGGGATATTTATCTCTTGTGTGACTTGCGAGTAATGAGATTGTGTTACATTCATGATGTTCAACAGATATATCTCGAGATTTACTTGTATTATTTAATTAAATATATGAATACTTTTTATTTTAGTATTTTTACATTCGACATATGTATGTAAAAACCAAAATAATATTGTACATGTATTTCTTAGTAAGAAAATTGCTATTGATAGTCGTTTTCTATGTATTTGGCTTAATTTACCCAACAGTCCATTACTTAAGTAGGCCGGTTAAGATTTATCTTTTAATATTTGACAAATATAATGAAAATTTTGACCGGTACAAAAAAATTTAGGATTCTGTGTTCTAACATATATTTATGCTATATAATTAGTAAGTCTCATTTGAATAATTTTTCTGGAATAAATAATAATTTATATTATGCAAATTCTCAAATTAAGTTAATATTCAACACATTGTTAGTAAATAATATTAATTAAATCTACAAATACTTACATATTATCCTTACTAATATTATAAATGCGAAAGTAACTCTGTCTGTCTGTTACGCTTTCACGCTTAAACCACTGAACTGATTTTAATGAAATTCGGTACAGAGATAGAGTTGACCTTGAGAAAGAACATAGGATAGTTTTTAACCCAGACTTTTGAAAGGTTCTCTTGGAAACGCGATATAACCGAACTCCACGCGGGCGAAGCTGCGGGCGGAAAGCTAGTAATTTAAATTATGGAAATTCACAAATTAAGTTAATATTCGACACATTGTCAGTATGTAAATAACATCAATTAAATCTACAAATACCTAATAAAGATGTTTATCAATTCCAGGCAGCGATGGCAAGGTATACTCTCCGAGTCAGATCGGTGCCTTTGTACTGATGAAGATGAGGGAGACAGCCGAAGCCTATCTCAACACTAATGTGAAGAACGCAGTGGTCACAGTACCAGCATACTTCAACGATTCCCAAAGACAAGCCACCAAAGATGCCGGTAAGAAGAAAAATATATTATATGAGAAAAACTTCAAAGAAAATCTCAAAAAAATATTCAAAATCTGTAAAGATCTGATGACTGTATATATATATAGTAGGGGATAGTGCAAATCAGATAATTCCGCGTTTATATGTCTTCTACCTGGCGATATCCCAGCTTTAGCCAGGGTCTGCCTGACATATTGTAAATAGTTTTGGCTAATTGTTTTTACGACCGGCTGCCTGCCTGACATCAACCCTTTTTGGGAACCCTCCGCGTATCTATATGTATGTCTAAATAATTATTAATTCTAAAAAAATTACTTAACAAGTCGTTAATATAGTAAATATTATAGCTGAAACTTTCTTCTGATCTCCTTCTAATGTAGATACGCGGTATTATCCAATGCTAGTTACGAGGATTTGCACTATGCCCGACGATATACATACATAGGTGATTTAAAGTCGCTTAATAATTAATTCAGATCTAAATATATTTTGTTAAAACTTTCTTTGTATTATTGGTATGGGAAACGATAGTATTTTAGGAACAAAATTATTTAAATATATATATATTTATACATGCATCGTCGATCGGTCTCACACCAGTGTGTGCAATCCTTTGCAGCGATGCTATAACACAGGAGTGACACCAGCGGGTCGCGACTAGTGTCGTGGACTCTCCAGATATCACTCTACATTATTATATTAATAACTATTTCATTAATATTTAAACTCTAATAACCTTAATTTATATACATATACAGGGTGACTGGTGAATTACTATCAATATTTAAGGAGCATACTCGGTACATGATTCTCATTCGAATTATGTAAAAAAAATAGGTACTTAATTTTTGACCAAATTTCCGTATAAATAAATAAAGTGTGTACACGTTTCAAGTGTTCCAAGTGTGGACGCGTGCGGCGGCGTGCTGATACAACAAGACGCCGCCGCCGCGCGAGTGTGTGTGTGTGTGTCTATACCTAATCTGTAGGGTGTTCATACGATGCGTAATTAATTACATCACTTTTGGTTAACTTTACTTAGAAGTTTATTAATACATATTTATGTTATATTAATTTTTATTTTGTCATATATGATCGTCAAATATAACGTCCTCAAATATCGATAGTAATTCACCAGTCACCCTGTATACTATGTTGTCTAGATATGTATGCTTATAATGTAAAACTAAGCTAAATTCTCATCAATAATCTACATAAATATTAAATTTACTAGTAATTTAACCCGGTTTTTCATACAAATCTTTCATTTATAGGTCAAATCGCCGGTCTGAATGTACTCCGCGTGATCAACGAGCCTACAGCAGCAGCCCTGGCCTACGGAATGGACAAAACCGACGACAAAATGTTAGTTTGAAAGATAATATAAGATAAGATAGGAACAGTTAAATATGTCTTATATTTTATTAAATGCTGGCAGACGTGTATATGTGGTTATGTAACACTCAAATATACATATATAAAAGAAAATTGTGTTAATTACACTATTTACAACTCAAGAACGGCTGTAGGGATATGGTTGAAAAATGGTGGAGAAATAGCTTAGAACAAGGAGACGGACATAGGATATTTAATTCTGTTTGATCAAAACAGAAAGAAAACTTTATAAATTCCAATATCTACTTATTTACGGTCTCTAAGGCGGAATAAAGTTCGCCTATCAGCTAATACATAGATTACTAATGCCGAAATTTACGCGGACGAAGTCGCGGGCAAAAACTAGTATATCTATAATGTTTGGGCCCCAACCACGAGTTTGCATCATAAAACGAAATACATATAGTTTGACGTATTTCATTCATATACTGTGATACTGTTAAGATTTTCGAAGTTGTAACTCGAAACTGCCTGTACTTAGTTTGGTTAGGCAAAACTGATGGTAAGCTTAAATTTTCTTCCCTCTGTTAGAAATTGTGAATTATACTTACAAACATTGTTAGAATATAAATTGAACCAACTTTACAAATTATACAGTTTGTATTTTACTATTTATAAGCTTTCCGCCCGCAGCTTCGCCCGCGTCGAGTTCGGTTATATCGCGTTTCCAAGAGAACCTTTCAAAAGTCTAGAATAAAAAATATCCTATGTTCTTTCTCAATGTCATCTCTATCTATGTACCAAGTTTCATTAAAATCAGTATAGTGGTTTAGGCGTGAAAGCGCAATAGACAGACAGACAGAGTTACTTTCGCATTTATAATATTAGTAGGGATACCTGTTCTTACACACAACCATTTAAGAAGATTTTTTTTTATACTTAGACCTATTTTTATATATTGCATAAATTATGGACTATAATAATGCAATTATTATAATTAACTAAAATGTCCATATAATTAAATTTATCACTTTTTTATGTACTTTATATGTATATTTATATACATATATATTATTTCCAGCATCGCTGTATATGATCTGGGAGGTGGTACCTTCGATATATCTGTACTCGAGATACAGAAGGGTGTGTTTGAAGTTAAGTCGACCAACGGAGACACATTACTCGGTGGAGAGGACTTTGATAATGTTATTGTCAATTTCCTGGTAGATGAATTCAAACGTGATGTAAGTATATAAAATATATTTTCATATAGAATCTATCTATAAACTTAAATTCAATTATTACATAGGATTATTGCGATTTTTGTTACCCCAACCCTATGAGATAAAATAACTTGGTTGTAATCATACATTTGAAAATTATCTACATACTCGAAAGTATATTGTATTAGTTTCATTTAAACTTTATATGAAACTAATATATATTCAATTTTTAAATGAAAGTACATTATATATTTTCGGGTTTACTATGTACGTGTTTTTTGTTATTTTAAATAACATATTGTCGTGATGAAAATCCTTATCTCGTTTGTCCGTGATCGTGGTTGCTGCAGAGTAACCGAAACGTCGGGAGTGTAGTTAAAATAATAAAAAACGCGTAGTAATAGGAAAATATTAGTTTTGAATTAGCATATCGCCTTTAAAAGTATAATTTTTACATTATAAAATGTCAAATATTATGCCTCTCTCACACTCTTTCATGAAGAAAATGTATTAAATTTATCAAAATAACAAAATACAAGAATAAAATATGTCTACTAGAATGTCATTACGAAAAAACAAATCTTGCCAAAATATTTATTTGGTATTCGGCCGAATAGCGAATACCAAAAAAAATATCCGAATACCGAACAAAAGTACACGAATAATCGTGACAATTCTAGTATATATATGATTATAGATAAAACATAAATAATATCAACTCTATATTTATTTGTATATTACAGCAAGGTCTGGACATCCGTAAAGACGCAATGGCCATGCAGAGACTAAAGGAGGCCGCTGAGAAGGCCAAGATTGAACTCTCTGGCTCGCTACAGACGGACATCAACCTGCCGTACCTCACTATGGATTCATCGGGACCAAAACACATGAATCTCAAGGTATATACACATATATTTAACATGATATTAATATATGAACTATATTTTGACCTTAAGTCATATATAGAGATATTATTTATATTAAATGTATTGATTTAATCAAATAAACAACACACACACACAATACATTAATCCCTGAACATTCCTCAATGTGTGTGTCAATGTGGAGACATTGAATTTTCCATAATAATTATTTATTGTTTAAAGCATAACTTCTACTAATTCAGATGACTAATGGTCTGAATTGTACAGAGTTGTGCTAGATTGATACAAGGTATACCACCGATTGTTCCTACATGAACAATTGGCCAAAATGTCTAGTCACATTCAACATATTAATTAATGAACTATGTATGTATAAAGCAAGCATATATATATATACTTGTAAATCATCGCCTAGATCAATCATGAAATACAAAGTCTATTTACATAATTTATCTTGTCTCATTGGACGTAAAATATTTCAGATGACACGTTCCAAGCTAGAATCATTAGTTGAGGGTCTCATCAAAAGGACAGTGAGTCCGTGCCAGAAGGCCCTTCAGGATGCCGAGGTGGCTCGAGCTGATGTCGGAGAGGTTCTGCTTGTGGGAGGAATGACCAGGATGCCAAAGGTGAGGTCCGAAGGGCTCAGATATAATGACATTTAGTATAGTACTTTTTATGTTAACACCTGTAAATGTAGAACAATGTTACATGTACTCTTTTTGTAATTATTTAAATAAATAAATAAATGTAAGCGGATGAATATTTATATATATATAGACGGTCGAATCTCGATAGCTCGACTAAACGGTATTTTCGAGATACATAGGATTTAACTTTTATAATTTCGACTTAAAAATCACTTTTTCTAAGTATATTTTTCGACTTTTAGAAGTAAAATTTAAATTAAATTCCGTTTTGAGTTTTACGGTACACATGCCTTTTATTAAACATAGTACATACAAGTATATATTAATGTAACACTTACGAAGTCTGATTACTGAAATTCTCGAACTCTGCTCTCTAAATACTGAAAAAAATAATTAATACCTCGCCGGGATGTATGTTTTTGTTTAAGTTACTAAGTCTGATTCGAGATACCGCGTATTTAGGGTTCAGCGGAAGGGAAAAGTGTATTTTATCAATTTATTAAGGATGTCCGAGTTATGGAGATTCCTATATAACTTTATATACAAAAGAAAGTCGTGTTAGTTATACTATTTATAACTCAAGAACGACTGTACGGATATGGATGATAATTGATGGAGAGATAGATTAGAACAATGAAAAGGATATATAGGATACTTTTCATGCGATTCAAAAATAAAATAAATTGATAAAATCCAAAATCTTATCTACTATCTTTAAAGAATAGAGTTTGCTCTTTTAGCTATATATTTTATAATTATGAAATTATTGCGGATAAAGGCAAAAGCTAGTAAGATATGTACTGAGGAGTGCACTGAGCAAGGCGCCTTAGCCATGTGGCCGAGGAGCCTACAGTAGTGCAATATCAACAAGAGGACATATTCCCCGATGATGTCTCTACGTTTTCGGGTTATAATCCATCTGACAAGCAAAAATTTACGTTTTTCCACTATATACTACATATATCATAATTGAGATATAATAGAAAATATAAAATATTTTTTTCATTCAAACCAACTTCACACTCTATTCTGATGCTCCAAAGTTTGAATTCCATTCATGTCAAAGATTTTTATTTTATTCTTCTCATACATATTAGTTGAAGAATTTTTGCCATAAAAACTATTATAGGAATCTTCATATGTAATGATTATTATATTTTTAATAATTAGATATCAAAGTTCAGGTATTAAAAACCTTTAATTCACATTCCAGGTCCAGCAAACCGTTCAAGAGATCTTCGGTAGGGCTCCGTCCCGAGCTGTGAACCCTGATGAGGCCGTGGCCGTGGGGGCTGCGGTCCAGGGCGGAGTGCTAGCTGGTGACGTCACTGACATCCTGCTCCTCGACGTGACACCCTTATCATTGGGCATTGAGACACTCGGTGGAGTGTTCACTAAACTTATCACAAGGAACACAACCATACCCACCAAGAAGAGTCAGGTGTTCTCAACAGGTTGGCTATACATAGTACATACTAGTTTAGGTTCATGGCTTTGTCTAGGTTTAGTTTATTATGTATGGGTTAAATTTATATGATTGCCAACACTGTGTATTCCCTACAGTACCATTATTTTGTAATACATACATATTTGAATTGACTGAATTGTGATAGAAATTACAATATATCAATTATTAGATTTGATTGAAATCAGTCTAGTAATTTTTGTGTTAAAGAACAACAGACACCATACATTGTCACAAACTTTAGCATTCATAATATTAGTAAGTTCTTTATCGATTCTAATAAAGTTGGGTTCTGTTTAAAGTCATGTACATTTAAGTATGTTTTTAAAGTGAAATCAGAAAAAGGCATTCTAATACAATCTTTCACTAGAAATCTTAATAAAATTATACATTTCTTGTTAAGATATATCAGAATTAAAAGAAAATATCACAGAAATACTTAAATTGTTTTATATACATGCATCGTCGATCGGTCTCACACCAGTGTGTGCAGTCCTTTGCAGCGATGCTATAACACAGGAGTGACACCAGCGGGTCGCGACTAGTGTTGTGGACTCTCCAGATATCACTCTACATTAATACTATATTAATAACTAATACATTAATATTTAAAACGCAAATATATCAAATTTTATATATAATATATTTATATTTATTTCTCAGCCGCTGACGGGCAAACCCAGGTTGAGATCAAAGTGCATCAGGGTGAACGTGAGATGGCCTCGGACAACAAGCTGTTGGGGCAGTTCTCATTGGTTGGTATACCACCCGCGCCGAGAGGAGTGCCGCAGATTGAGGTCACGTTTGATATTGATGCTAACGGGATAGTGCATGTGTCGGCCAGGGACAAGGGAACCGGCAAGGAGCAGCAGAGTGAGTGAGAAGTATTATATTTTATTTATTATTAGATCACCAACAAAATACACTCAAAAAACATTCCAGATAAATGAATAAAAAAAAAATAAAAGTAGTGGTATCTTAATTAAAGGTGATAACATGCACAAAGTAAAGAGTTAAGCGACAACAAGCAGAAAATAAGAAAAAGCTAATTAAATAACAAACAACAATTTAAAATAATAAAAAAAACACAAGTACACTACCAATCTAAACTAAATAATTCTGAGTATATAAAAATAATATTTTATTTTTAAATTTCTTAATATTACCAAAAATATCCAAATCTTTGTCTCTGCTCATTGAATTATAGGCACTCATAAATCTTAATTCAATCTTAAATATTGATTATTATATGATAATGAACCGAATAATATTGATTGATAGTCGATGCTTTAATGACTGTCATATAAATAAGTGATAAAAAACTCCTAGTAACCAAGATGTTAACTTAATCTTCCAGTCGTGATCCAATCATCGGGCGGTCTATCCAAAGACGAGATCGAGAACATGGTGAAGGCAGCGGAACAGTTCGCAGCGGCTGATAAGACGAGGAGGGAGCGAGTGGAGGCTTGCAACCAGGCCGAGGGAGTGTTACACGACACGGAGACCAAGATGGACGAATACAAGGCGCAGCTACCGCAGGATGAGGTAAAGAAGGGGGAGGAGTGTAGTATAGTATAGTGGGGGAATTATGAGGATAGGTGGTTTACTAGAGAGGGTTGAATGAACAAGCAAATAGAACTTATTAGATATCTGATGTCATAGCAAAGACGAATTTAGAGTGTATGGGAAGTGGCAGAAATATTTATAAATTTATAATTATACTATATGAGACTAGACTACGCTATATGAGACTAGATTACACTATATGAGTCTATACTATGTTCTATGAGTCTAGACATCTATACATTTGACTTAACTGTACAAAATGAACCAAAAATCCAAAATGTCTCGGCTTGATCAATATATAGTTATTATATAAAGCTAGGTGTCACTGTATGTTAGTTGCGCCCGTTCTAAACCTGTTTAGCTATTGCGATGCAGGCAAAGCCGGGCGCTAAAGTACTGGCTCTAGACGTCATGCTCTACTTTATGGTTAGAGACGATTTATAAAGCCCACAAGTTATTTAAAATATAAAGAAAATGTCTAGATATAAAAAAGTAAGACTGAAATTAGAAAAAACTTTTTCAGACTGAACAGTTTTAAGTTTTAACCAAAATAATGAAACATAGATACTCAGATACTATTATATATATGTTTATAACCTCTAAGATAAAATATTCACTAACCATAATGTTTTCTTATATCATTGAACTATGACATAAAATTTATATAATTAAATTTAATTATTATTAAATTTTACCCTTAATTTTAACAAACATACCCTTAAAATACAATTTCAATTCTTTTACACTTCAAATTACTTGTAATTGCGGTAATTTCAATACATATATATAGTAATGAAGTCAGTGGTGGCTCAGTGGTTAAAGGGCCCGCCTCTCGTCGCCGAGGGCGCGGGTTCGATCCTGGCCCGGACAAGTACCAATGTGATTTTTCCGAATCATATGTACTTTCTAAGAGTATTTAGACATCACTGATTAATGTTGATTCCCAAAAGAGGGTTGATGTCAGGCAGGCGGCCGGTCGTAAAAACAAATAGCCAAAAACATTTCACAACTTGTAAGGCAGACCCTGGCTACAGCTGGGAAATTGCCAGGTAGAAGAAGATATATAGTAATGATATTTAAATAAATTTAATAATGTTTCCAGTGTGACAAGCTTCGTGAAGAAATGGCCAAGTTGAGAGATCTGCTCGCTCAGAAGGATTCCGTTGAACCAGAACCTGTTAGACAAGCTACTGCATCCTTACAGCAAGCTAGTCTCAAGCTGTTCGAGCAAGCATACAAGAAGGTAATATATATATACATATGTATATGTGTTTGTTACACTAACTCCTAAACTAATGATGCGATGACAACATGAGTATATATGTACTGTGTTTTATAAAAATATGAAGAGAATTCATATTGTTATACATAACTATACTTTTAAAAATGTGGTTTTGGTGTAAGAATTATTTGGAAATTAGCTTGATAATATTGTATGAAAAAATTATGGTTATTGGCTCATATAGACATTATAAGTAGGTTGTTGATACAATTGAATACAACATTCTGGCGGGAGTAGGTTCGATTCCATATATGTATGTTATTATACACAAGCACTTCTTTGAGCCGTCGTGTTCATAATATAATTCGTCGGTCAGCGAACGTGCGATATTAAGCGATGAGACTGATGTAGACACTACCTATAGTGTCGACTGTCCGTCTGTTCGTACATACACACACACACACATACATACATTAACACGCGCACACACATATATGTATATAAAATATGTTCACTAGCCTTGACAAACTTAATTAATAAAATTAATACCCTTACATACCAATTTATCATATTTATATAAGAACAAAAGACTTAAAAGTAGTGTGTATATAAATTATTCCTAGTTTAGTTATAAAAACCACTTTGTCCCTAAATCAGGCTTCATTGGTGATAAATATATTTAAAATGACTGAAATAGTTGACGGACCAAATTGATTGTCTTCACAAGAGATTGTGTAGATTGGATAAAGTATTGTACTTGTATTTTAAGCTATTTACAATAAAAATTAATGAAAAGGATAATAATTAGGAGTTAGATTGAAATATACAGCTAAAAGATTATAAAATAATATTGATTATATTTTAATGTTTCCCAGATGGCAGCCGAGCGTGAAGGACAGTCTCAAACTCAGTCCCAGACTGAGACAGATGAAAAGAAAGAAGAGAAGAAGAATTAAAAGAAGAATTAAGACTCGAGAGAGTCAAGTCTAGCTTTAGTAGATATTAAAATTCCTAGTAGATGTTTGATCTATTCAACGGAAAGCACTTGTGGTGCGTTCAATACAAATTTTTGTTATATCGTTTCTAAGTAACCGATGTGTGTGTTGTATGTGTTCGATACAAACCGAGTGCATTTATGAGTTAATATGTCCCGTAGTAGAAAATGTTAATTTTATTATATATTATATATAATTAGTTTGTTTTTTTTCTCTAGTAGGCTGTACAAAGTATTATTGTAAGCGAGTTATCCGAACGCACTCATTGACTCGGTGTATGTATTACATATATATATTTGAATGTATGAAGTGAAATTGTATGTGGTTAATAGTTTAGATAATTATATTATTTAAAAAAAATATGGCTGTTTGATTTGGAGGGGGAAATATTGGGTGAGATTTTGTTATTTTGAATTAATATGTCAAAGACATGTTAATAGTTAAAAAGAAAATTACTTTGATGTTTGTAAGAATTATTAACTTCAAATGTAATTCTTTGATAATTCCAAATTTTTAAGGAACAATCTTTATACATATTTCTCTGGGTTGTAGGTAAAAACTTCGAGATTAGTTTCAAAACTCAATAAAAATATTTTAGTCTATTTGATAATACAAATTAAAGTTCTTGACTATCTTATAAGGACTTAGCCTTCCTTAAAGAAAAGAGATTTATATTTGAAATGAGAATAGTAGGTATGAAGAGGATCTTCAACATCTCTTATTAACTTTTTAAGGTGATATTAAGGGGTTATCCCAAAACTGCTCGACACATGAAGACAGAAGTAAAAATAAGTTGTAAGATTACTACAACATCTTATTAGTCCGGTCATATTAGACCAAAAAAAAGAGTAAAGTAATTAAGTCTGTAGATAATTTTATGATCTACAATTTTTGTCTAAGACATTTTTTATGATAAAATTTACGGTTTTGCTGAGAATCGCGAAAAACTCATTTTGTTTACCTACTTTTGACATTGAATAGTTTTTTCCTTATAGGGGAAAGATGGGGAACTTTCAAATTATTTTTTTGTCAAAGATTTTCTTGGTGGGCATTTAGGTAACTTCGAATGTCTAATTTGACCAGAATATATATTGGTAAATATATATGATGATGATGTGTGTATGTCACTTCTAAACGGCTAGACCAGGTTGAATGAATCGTTTGTATGCATTTGTGGTGCCTCCGATTGTATAGATTCACAAACCAGCCTGACAGATGGCGCTGAAATGTATCTAAGTAGGTACATATTTAAAATGAAAAGCCTGCAACGTAGTTTACTATATGTATTGTTTTAACACAATATACATTTCTCTGTGAGGGCGACTTTAATGTCCAAACTGATGGAGTAGCGGATAAAAACTAAAAAATAGGCATGTTTTGTATATATTTTTTATTTGGTATCAGGAATTTATAGTTGAAGTTAAAGTACAGCGTTACCAATAAAATGTTTTGTCCATCAATCTCCCTTTCATTTACAATTCGAAAGTGAATGATCTCCAAATATAGCGTCATCATAATATATCTTCTACAAGTAACAAGCTATTTGCTGAATTAGGACCCATTTTTTATGTTAATGCTTCATTAGCACTGGAATCGTGGCATATTTCGCCAATTATATCGTTTTTTTTTGTTGGACGATTTAAAATCTTGGGTACTGTGTGGAGAAAACACGACGGAGTTTGTCAAATGGTATAAAGACAGTTATTCCATAATTATTATTGTTACTACTTTAAAAGAAAACTAGAATTATTAACAAAAATCAAGCAATTTTAATTTTAAACATGAAACAAGTATAAAAAACGAAATTTAAACAAATCAATAATTTTATTGAGTTACTCAATTTATTTAATAATGTTTCATATTATTGAACTCGATACCAATAAGAACAATCTTACAACTGCTGTTAATAACAGTTTATAACTATCAAAAAATATTTTAGTTCACTTTTTCATTAATATTATTAATTCATATATGTACCTAACTAAATATTTAAATTTCGTTTCGATTATTCTAAAAATTCTTTTATTTTGACATTTACATTAGCGCCAAATAAGACAAACGTCACAGATAACTATTTTGCAGTCATAGTATCATAGAGGATTGAGCTTTTGGACAGAATAAAAAACAATTAATATAAAGAAATATATTATTAATTAAGTAATCATATATTTATTTAATGTCCGGCCTCAGCGGCAATCACCAGCGGCTTGCCGTGTTGGTCATCATATCTGTTGTTCGCACGAAGATTGTACATAGAAACTACACCGTAAGTAAGAATGCCGATACAAAACGCCGTCACCATCAGCCCGGCTAGTATGGGAGCGTTGAAGTACGGCCCGCAGTTGATAGACTTGCCGAATTTACCGCTATTATTAGCATTACGTCGGTAATCGTCTATACCACTATCATCCCTTTGGCTACGGTCACTAGCTGACGATTCATCATCATCCAAACTTTCACCCTTATCATCATCCTTTAAGAAATTATTCTTGAAGGGTTGGATCTGAAAAAAAATTTACATTAGCCTATTTAATATTCTCCTCGCTCCTAAATTCTCTTCAAGTTCTCTAGCTAAATGTACAAATACTCTTTAAAGCACAAAAGATACTAGAAATAAAATAATATGCAATGCTAATATACAAAGGAAGCATTTTAATAAAACAAATACAAAATCTTGCTCCTCATTCGCCTTCTTCTAGCAAAATATACCATTACTTTCCAAAGCTAAGCTACACTAATCAAAGAAATCAGAAGTATTCATGACTATGGTAGAACATTGACCTGGTAATGTGATATAGTAAGCGCACTGCCGTCTCTCAAATTAACCAACACGATCGGCTCACTGCAAGTGTAGGACCAAGACCAAGGCGCGCCCGCACGTAAGGAAGTTCGACCAACTTCCTCTCCACCTTCCAAAAGAGCCACGCTCTCTTGGATTCAAGAAATAGTCTTTAGTACCAGCTTGGTTAAATCCCTACTAATATTATAAATGCGAAAGTAACTCTGTCTGTGTCTGTTGCGCTTTAACGTCTAAACCACTGAACTGATTTTAATGAAATTTGGTACTGAGATTGAGTTTTATCCCAGACTTTTGAAAGGTTCTCTTGGAAACGCGATATAACTGAACTCCACGCGGGCGAAGCTGCGGACGGAAAGGTTACATATAAAATTCTCGTGTCACAATGTTCGTTCTCGTACTCCTCCGAAACGGCTGGACCGATTCTCATGAAATTTTTTAAGCATATTGAGTAGGTGTGAGAATCGGCCAACATCTACTTTTCATACCCCTAAATGATAAGGGTTGTTCACCTCTAATTTTTTTTTAATTATTAGACGAAATTTTTTGTTTTTATTTTTTTATAGTTATAGAAATGGCATTAGAAAATACATACAACCATAAATTTATACTTTTTGATCACCAACCCCTATTTTTTTTATATGGCAAAACAACGTTTGCCAGGTCAACTATATATTACTAGTTTTTGCCCGCGACTTCGTCTACGTTAATTTTCGAATTAGAAATGTATAGCTAAGCGGGGTAATATTTCTCCTTAAAGACAGTACTTAGATAAGAATTTGGATTCAATCTTTTTTTTTTGTTCAATCGGATAAAAAGTTTTTAACCAAACCCGTCCAGACGTTCTTGAGTTATAGTGCAATTAACACGACTTTCTTTTATAAATACCACTAGTTTTCACCCGCGACTTTGTCCGCGGTGATTTCGAAATTACTAATATATAGCTAACTGGGCGAACAATATTCCGACCCAGATATTGGGATTTATTAAGTATATTCTTCTTTTTCGATCGAACAGAATAAAATATCCTATGTCCGTCTCCTGGTTCTAATCTATCTCTCCACCAATTTTCATCCATATCCGTACAGCCGTTCTCGAGTTATAAATGTTGTAACTAACACGACTTTTTTTCTATTTACCGACTATCCAACGTTCTTTTTGGAAATCAAACGTAAACTCCAACTCGAAGTCTGTGTACGCCATTCTAGTGATGAGCTGATCCTTCTGCCAAGACTCTTCAGTCACCAGCGGGATCTGACTGAACATGGAACGTCGGTTGCCAATCGTGGAGTAGACACCTTAGATCAAAATTGATAGTGAGATCTAAGATTTTAGAAAACTAATAGTTTTCGGATCTACAAAGCGACTTTATTATTGCAAAAACTACATAGTCCCAACGTTTCGGTTACTTTACAGCAGCCGTGATCACGGGCAGACGAGATGTGAATGCGAAAATACTTCTACATTTACTTCTTATTGCTCTATATTCTAAGGTCTAGACTAGCTGTAGTCAAATTACTATATCTCAAACATGGGCTAGCTCGAAGTGCGATCTTTTGGCCACGTTTAGTATTTAAAAAACTCAAACCACTAATCTATTATGTTAATATAAAAAAAATCGTGCTTGTATGAATCCAAAACTATGATGAAAACTTTGTTGGAACTTACTTAAAAAGTTACAACAATTTATACATACCAATAAATCTAAAAAGAGCTCCAGAACTTGAAATTGTAACGCCAGGATGTCTATGGATCGGATAAGTCTTGACAGATTTAAAATTAATCTTTTCAACCATAACCGGATTAACTTTACCGGTATAAAAACCTATTATCGGTTTCTTAGCTATCTGGTGCATCACTAGCAGTACTTCCTTCATAGACAAATCGTGCCCTTTCAACTTACTAGCTCTGCTCTCGTTTTTGTTATCTTTGAAATAGATGTAGTAGTAATCTAATCTGTGGTCGTATAAATTTAATTGCGCATTTCCATCAGATAAATAAAATATATTAACATCCTTAGGTGGGAATTTCCTTTTCAGAGTATTATACGGCTGAGATACCGCTGGCAGATATTTCACTTGTTTTTCCTTTAAACCTAGACCCAAGTGGTAGAAGGGAGAGCCATATTTATCTTTAACACTAATATCTTCAGAGCAAAACGAGTCTTCAACAAATATTATTATAATGCGGCTAAGTCTCATTGCGTCGTCGACTATTTTTGAGAAATCCGAAGATTTCATTTTATCAAAAGGATTGCCTTTTTCATTTACGTTCTTTAGTTGTTTATCGTAATCCAATATAAATACTGGAGTAGTATCGCGTTCAGCACGTACTGAACTTAATAATAAGAAATAAATAGCCAACTTAGACATTTTTACTTACTTTTACTAATGACTAATGACAATATATATTTCACCACATGATTTTGTTTTTTTCAAGTAGAAGAATTATTTTTCTATAAAAAATATGTGTTTATGGACAGTATTTCACATATAAATATAGAGCCCATTTATAAGAAAAATTAATGAATTATTAAATAAAATACACTATGTACAATTAAGATAAAATGCAGCTATTTATAATATTGCAATCTAGTTGACGTAAAAATGTCTTCAAATATAGACAAATAAAGAATAAATATATATTATTTTATTATTAATTTTTAACATGGTTACATTTTAATTAGAAATTTTTAATTTACTTTTAAAATACATAAACAAGAAATGTTACCATAATATTACAGTTAGGTACCATAGTTTTTATAGACAACATAGAGAGGCGTCAAAGTAAATCATATGATCACTTCTTCACATGACCGATGTCTGACTGCCATCGCCCATTTTTCTACTTTTTATGACAAATTTCGGGCTTTAAGTTACTAAGTAATAGTCCGTCACTTCAAATAGTTTATAAAAATGGCGTTTTGCCGTTTAGTTTTTCCTATATTAGTGCTAAGTGTTGTGTCCTGCGTCGCCAACCTGCAGGTGCCTGTATTTCTGTGGGGTGATTTGAAAACATCTATAAAATCGAATCCTCTCGTCAGCGTTACTGAGAGCGAGTTCGAGGATACTCTGAAACAAGAGATCAAGGACCATTTTACGGTGATTTTCGTCGATGAATCTCTTTCTGTTGAAGATTTTTCACGCAAAAATGACGACGGCGAAACAGCATTCCCATATCTGCATGCTAACATCGGTAACTCCGTATACTTACCAGCAGTCAATAATCCGATAGAAGCTTTGGACAATTTAGCGGACCCGGAAAAGGTGGATCGTGTCAAACTAACCGAAAATGGACTGTCCGCTGAATTTGAGCCTGAAAGTGTTAAAATTCTGTTCATAACTCTGAAAGACGCGCGCGTTGGTGAATCAAGGACCAGCTTGCTACGAAGACACAATGATTTTATGGAAGAAATGTTCACTAAACTCCAAAATCAATATGGAAATGTCGTTGCCATTTACACCGCTGATTTTCCATCCTGGGTCGTCCCGGAGAGCCATTCACGAGTCCGTCGTCAAGCCGAACCTTTAGCCCTTAACCAGTACTCAATCAACGGCCTCAAACTGTACGTCCAAGACCTCATCCTCTCGGACAACGGCGAGAAAACACATTTGAACACCGTTTCAAGCCAGAGCTCGACTTTCAACGGCTCGGACATGCTAACAACCATCGGCTTTGGAGAAAACACGTTGACCTTGAGGTTTTTACAGAAAATGGGCTACTGGTATTTCAGTGAGTATACTTAGTAATAAGCTATTTTGACTAATTTATCACTAACACACCAGAAATTGTCTAAACATTCAATTTGCCAAATAAACTGAGTATAATAAATTAATATATTAGTTAAAAATAGGCATATCCTGGTTTTGTGGCTTGTTAATGAAAATTTTTTTTCAAATAGCATGATAATGAAAATATACTTTTCATTATTTTGATACACATAATTATTTTTCTATTAAATATGTTATATGATTATATAAGACCGAGAAAAAAATATATGAAGAAAATCTTGTTTTCTGAACTTGGAAAGAAATTTACATATTTATGGAGATTTGTTGCCAAAAATTACATAATTATTACAAAGTAGTAACTCTAGTTACAAGATATATTGTAGTTTGATAGCTTACAAGAATAGTAGTATTTTATTGTTGTAGAAGTATGATGTATTATTACTCACAAAATTCTAATTTCATTAATACCATAGCACATGACAATACTTTCTAAACATTATAAATTATTTCACATATTTTTAATAATATTCAATTATTAATAAAATAAATGTTAATAAAGTATTTGCTACATGTATTTTCAATTGAGTTACTATCAACCAGAATTTTTCTTATTTGTACATTATTTACCGAGCAATATTCAAAATATGACCAAGTTATCCATACTAAAGGAAACTAATATTTTTATAATGTACTACGCGATTTTTATTTTTTTGATTATAAACTACATACTCCCGACGTTTCGTCTTCATGATCACGGTTGCTGTAAAGTAATCGAAACATCGAGAGTATGTATTTTATAATCAAAAATAAAAATCTCGCAGTAAATTCGAAAAATATTCGTTTCATTTAAATGAATACTCCCAAAAATCTAGATCTCATTGTCCATACTAATCTTATTTTTCATATTAATCCAGGAACGGTTACCGTAGAACAGAAGTCACAGCCAAATGTCTCCGAAGTGCTTTACCCTATAGAAGAAGTGTACTCATACTTGGATATGTCCTACCGATGCGGGCAAGATGTTATATTCACCAACAGAAATTACACCAATTTTTACAGCCTTACATTTACAAATATGAAGGTGAGTTAAAATATACTAATTCTTTTCAGAAAACATTCATTCAAAGAGAATTTTTAGTTTTAAAGAGAATGAATTTTAATAAATGAAACTAATATTTTCGGATTTTTGATTTTGAAAATAACCAGACCAACCGACAGACACATCTCGTCTGCCCGTGATCACGGTTGCTGTAAAGTAGCCGAAACTTCGGGAGTATGTAGTTTATAATCAAAAAAAAAACGCGAAGTAAAATCCGAAAATATTAGTTTCATTTAAATGAGCACTCGCGAAAACTTAGATCTCAATAACTTTAATTAAATTTTATTTTGTTTCAAGGTGCAACCGTTCTTCAAAGATACAAATAGCTCGATAGTATTCGGTGAATCGGTAAATTGCGTTGGTTTCTTCAGTGTACCTATTTGGTCAGGGCTTTTCGTGGTTTTCATTCTCCTAGCGATCACCTTCTACGGTATTCTGATGATGATGGACATCCGCACCATGGACCGCTTCGACGACCCCAAAGGAAAAACCATAACTATAAACGCTAATGAGTAATCTATTCGATAAACCACTGGGCGAAATCGCCCGCCATTTTAACATAGTTGTCATATATAGCTCAAGTATTTATCATAACAGCCCAAAACGCTTTATAAATGTTTTGATGAGAAATTTATTCCTTAATAATCGATTTTGAATGAAAATAATTATGTATCGTTTAAAACGCAACATGGTAGTATAAAATAATATTAAAAGAACAATATTTACGTACTTTTTTGGTGCGAAAAAGTGCGTACATGTATGCGGTACTGCTGTATCAGAATGAGACGGCGATATATCCGTCTCTTTCTGACCTTAAATGTCAAACTTTCGATTTTTACTTGTAATGAAATGAAAAATATTTAAATGAAATATGGCTGTAAGTTTATATATTATATTGTAATACTATATAGTAGTACCCCATCCGTGTAAAAAGCTTCCTAATTATGGCCTTATGTCAAGTCTGATATTGTTACAACGACAAACAATAACTCCGAGCTTCAATGGCGTAGTATAATGAAATGAGTGCCCTCCATGCTAGTGCCAATAAAACAACAATTCGTATAGGGATCTATAAGTGACCTTCGTTTTAGGGCCGCGGCGTTTTCACCGGTAATTTATTTATAATATTTTTGTTTTGTTAATAACGTATATTGCCGCGGCCCTGATATTTCTCGCGAGCAGAATCGGCACAGACAATAATTGGCGCGAAAACGAAATGGCTGTCGGCATTTGCTCGCGGGAGGTAATAGTTTAAGCGAAATTATGTAACAAATATTTAAAAATCGATGTAAATAATTTTGTTTTTTCAATCATTTTTATTCCATTTCTTTTTTAATGTGTATTAAATCGGTTTGTTTTTTTGTTCTTACACAATATTTTTTGAAGTATTTTCTTCTTAGACGTTGAATGTTAGATTGATTATAGTTTAAGAAATAAAGCTTACGTATGTTCCAAGTGGTTTTTAATTTTACCCCTTTAAATATATACACACACACACACACGTACCTACATACATACATACATAATATTTGTCTACAAAAATTTACAATAAGGTTTTTGTCTATTTTCTTAATTATCTCTAAAGAATTTCTACATGTAACAAAGAATTTTTGTTTTAAATAAATGTATCCAGAATTTAATTTGCACATATAGAATGTAATTATAGATTAAATGTCATTTAACTATTACCACATCTGAAATTTTATGTTAATAAGTATATAGGTATATTGTCTACAAATAATATATTTTAAATTAATGATTTTCTTGTCTTTCCGTCCTTGCCGTATCCGATCAACCTACTAGTCACACAAATACTAAAAAAGAATAAATTAGGTATACTTTTTAAGTGAGGATTTAAATAAAAAATCTGATATTTTTTGCAAACTTTTGTAGTTTATACGCACTAAAGATAATATAGATATATATTTTAACTTTATAACGATATAATAGGTCATAATATAATAATATCTACACAAAAAGCTATTACAAATCTAGTTACACTTCTCCGCAAGAGATGGCGCCATTACTATTTTTGCTTCTTGAAATGGCTAAGTACATTATTTTTATTTAGTTGCTTAATGTTTTAAAACCTTTGAATGGGTTTTGGTAAAACATACATGTATAGATTTTATTTAATATAAGCATATGTCAGTTATAAATTAAAACTCTTGATTCATGACAAAGGCTTTCGCTATTTTCAATACGAACTACTCGTTTAGTTTATCAATAATTTTAATAATTGACGCCTAAATGTATTTTTACTTTTACAGCTAGTTTATATTTACAAACCAGCTCGGCAGATGGCACTGCACTCTGTATCTAGCTTATATTAAAGAAAAGTTTTTAATAATTATGTACTCTGGGAGATCTGAAAATCATTATTTTATTTACAGAAAATTGATATTAAACTACGAAAAGTATTAAAATTAAATTGAAAGAATATTTTCAAAACGATGTCGAATGTCATTTCATCAAAAGGGACATGATTATTTTATCCAAAAATGGTATGTACTGCAAGTAAGATACTTATATTTTTTTACCGTCGAAAAATAGAGATTTCAACGAAAAATTTTTTAAATCTTTTTATTACCTACAACTTTGCCATGTTACATTTTTCATTAGGACTTTTAGTTTTGCAGGAAATCGGGAAAACCCATTTTTAGCCTTAAATACCCATACTCTTCCCAACCTCAGATGGCCCGTAAATTATTTTTCCATTAACTTTTATAATATTCCCGTCCTTTTCTAATGGGTTTCATCCTACTATATTTTTTTCTGTTTTAAAAGTTATCGTGACTGGTATTTATAAAATATTTGGATATTTGGAAATTTTATCAATAAAAACAATTAATTTATAATTACTTTTTAAGAAAAAATAACTTTCTATACAACATTTTATAAAATAAATCGAATTAAGCCGCGAGTTTGACGGCACTTAAAATGTTGCTGAAACATACATAAGTCAAGGGCATTTTAGTGTCCAAGGAGGTTTTAATTCTTACAAGGCATTGTACTCACTGCACCAACATACGCCAGTAACAGGAAATTGTAGCTATGTTAAAAAGAAAATCGTGAGTTCTGTCACATAATGTAATTATATCTACAATAGTAATTTCTCTTCTTAGAAATACGATAATTATTACAAAAAGAGACGGTTATTTACCGTTTTCTAAGAAATATTTGATTAAGATTATAATTTAAACATTACTAGAGCCATCTTATTAAATATGGCTTTGTTTGTATATATTTTTACGAGATGAATAAAGATTTTAAGACTGAATTTCAGAAAAATAAACAATATCTTGTCTTAGTAGTAATTTGTGGATTTATTAATACGGATAGAGAATTCAAGTTTCTTTAAAATTTATAAAATTCGACCAATGCATGTACATACTTTATGTTTAGTATGAGTTTTCGTCACCTACAATTACGAACTGTTATTCTTTTCCAATTAAAAAAAAACTACAAGTTTCATGAATGTAATACTATTAACTACTAAAACAATTAAAAAACATAACTTACTCTTCCCACGTGGTTAAATACCTAAGAAAGGCAGAAAATGAGTAAACAAGAAAAACCATATTCGTAATAAAGTACCTACTGTTTCATTTCTATGTATTGTACTGAAAATTTTATTGACGTGTGACTACTACTACTAGGAATTACAACTAGGTATATCTAGTGTTTAAAGAGATGAATTGATTCAAGCATATTTGTTAAAACGATATATTTATTTTCAAATCTTTATATATAAAAGAAAGTCGTGTTAGTTTCACTGTTTATAACTTAAGAGCGGCTGTACGGGTTTGAATGAAAATTTGCGGAGAGATAACTTAGAATATAGAAAAGACAAAGGATACTTTACATCCGATTGAAAATGAAAAAAAATAAGTTGACCTAATCCAGAATATTCTTCCAGTCTTTAAGGAATAGAGTTCGCCTAATCGGATATACATGTTTTATTATGAAACTAACTCTCTACCTCATCGGATGAAACGCATCCATTAAAGACTACTTCACGCCGATCTTCTGTGAGAGGGTGGTACTTCCCTGATCGAGCCAGCACATGTTCGAGCTGCAGTAACTGACCACAGCTAGGCTCTACTTTGAGCATTCGAACTTTACAAAATTCGGGGATAAATGATATATTGTCTTATGTAAATTATTTATTTATTGTATTACAATTTTAATATTTTAGTGAAAAGTAAATTCATTGTGTCTATTGAAACTTATTAACATCTTTATCTTATGGTAAACGAAATAATTTTCGTACTGACTAAATACGGATAATTAAAGGTTTCTGTTGTACAAAAAATTATATTTATGACTTGTAGCAAAATAAAGTTTAGAGGGAATATATTAATTACAAATTCAAAGATATGTAATGATGCTTCATTCACTGTCTGTCCTTGAGATCCCCAATATGTAGAAACACGTTTATCCAGTCATGTTTAACGTCTTATTTCAGATCAAATTTTACTTTGCAAAGGCAATTATTGACTTTGTTAAGCAAGAGCAAGCTGAAATGGAGGAAAAAATACAAAATTTTACTGTTTCAAGTTAGAGAGACTTGGAAGTTGACGAAGAAGCTTCTGGAAATGTGCCAGGTCCTTTTGAATGATTTTTAAGTTTATAGTTACTATATTAATTTGTATTTTTAATTTACAATAATTATTGTATATTAGACGATATTTATGTATAATTTTAAAATGTTTTTTTATTATTCTACTCTATAATAATTCCTATTTATCAAAATGTATTTATGTAATAAAAGGTAATGTCCATAAAAAACTGTCATAAAGAATTGAAATAAAAAAAAATAAAGTTCCGATGTTTTTTTTGACCAAGGCTGCAAGTATGAGCAAAAGATTTCTTTGTGAAAATATCAAATAAATGTTATTTAATCATTTACAAAAAGGTTTTAACAGTTTTAAGAATTTGGAAATAAAAGCAAATTTCATATTTGCTCCATACATATTATTTTTCTTCCGCTAAAGTAAGCATTTTCATAAAAACTGCTAGAACAAATGTTGCTAGGTGTTAATTTATATGTACGTATAATTTTTTTCAGCTTCAAATACTGACTTTATGTTATAATTCCACCAAAGTCGATTTTGTTACCACTGTCCGTCGGGAGTATGTTGTTTAAAATAATAATTCGTAGTAACCAGAAAATATTAGTTACATTTGAATGGATACTCGCGAAAGTCTTATAGATCTCATTATTTGATCTAATCATGAAATCTGTGATTTTATAATTAAATTATAATTTTTAAATATCTACCTATGTATTCTCTATTCGTAAGAAGCCTCCTTACTTTATCTTAATTTTTTTCACACATCCATATTATTTTTTATTGCAATAACGTATTCCATTATGCCTCTATATTAACCTACGTCCCTTGTTTACTAATCTTCAACGGGATTCACCGCGCCGAGAACAGGAAAATGTATATTTTTCCTCATATGAACATAAAAAATTAAAAATCCACTTCGCCAGGTGAATAATTTATGATGCGAGGATGAACTAATAAAGTAGTTGCCTGTTTGTTATTCCCCTTGCATCACTTTAAAAGATTTAGAAGATATTTTTAATCGTATTGGTTTTAGTCAATATTTTCTCTATTATTTCCTATCTGTTTTATTATATTAAAAAGATATAAAAAATATTTCTCTAGTTATAAATAAACTTGTAATTTCAATTAGTTTCTCATTTTTTTTTCTTTTATAGGTATGTTCGTAGCGTAAAAAATCTTATGACTTAACCGGCTTTAAAGGCACTGTCACCCGCAGATAACAGATATAAAAATTATCTAGTTAGACTGCTCATATGTTAGAAAATTAACTAGGTACTATTATGTACAAATAAATTAGAATTTCCTTACGAAAACTTTACCCATATTTTCTATAATAATTAGGTATTTTACTTATTTTTTGTTTACTTCCATCTCGTGTAGGTTATTACCAACTACAGTTCAAGGTCAGAGGTCATTAGATTAAAATCTACTAACATAATATTGTTTATTCTAAAGAACTTTCCCTGTTTAGTCTAAATAATGAATTCCCATTCGTTTCGCGACAAGCAAGGAGGTTTATTAATTATTATTCCTCCAAAGAGGTTTGATGTTTACCAAAGATTAAATAGAATTCGATTTGAACCAATCAAGCCCTGAATTGGAGTTGGCAGAATAAATATTAAGTAAATTATGTAATTTTTATTAATTGAAAAGTATTATCTATTCTCTATTAATGATCCTTAAAAATATTATATAAAATATTTTGACGAGGAATAAAATTATCTCGCATGTTAAGTGTATATCTGTTAAAACTTTGACAATATTTTCAAGAACAAATAATCTAGATATTAGGATTTTAATTTTAGTAGTATTTTTTAAAATCAAATAAGGCTTCATTCGTACTGGAATCGTTTAATATTTTCCCAATTTTGACGTTTTTATTTGTTGGAAGAATTATAATCTTGCGTACTGTGTGGAAATAGGAAGACTTCATTTAATCATTATACCTAATTATTATTAAAAGAATACTAGTAATATTTTTAGCGCCTATGACAACATAAACTAGTAATTTTATAAGATTAATTATTAAAATTATCACACGATAGATTTCACGTCGTGTCAAATGAGATGAATTTTGACGTTTTCCTTGTGACCAGTAACGCGTGAACACGATGCACCAGATACATAAATAAAACAAAAAACAGTTTTGTATTCTTTATTAATATAATGATGATCCCGGGAATGCTGTGACCTCAAAAATTCTGGATAGGATTCACTTATTGCTAGCTATATACGAAAAAATTTTATAACACTACAGTCTACAAAAGATTATATATATCTACATTTTCAAGATATACCTAGTTACTTACATATAATCTTCAATACAGCTGCCATAGTATAACATTGTAAAACTTAACTATTAATACCATATACTTTTAATACACAAAAATGTCTTAAAATTTCTAGTAATACAAAAATGGTGAAAAATAAGAGAAAATACTATAGAAATATACGGAACTCACCTTTTTAGCACAACTTTTATACCTAGCATTAATTAATTACAATTTTAATATGTTTTTCGAATACACTAACCTGAAATTCAGAATCGTAATTTTTCTTATAGATTTGAACGTAATTGTATATAAGAATAAATAAAATTGTCAACACACAGACGTTAATACACACAAAACAGCTTTTAATACACATATAGGTATAATAAATTTATATCGCGGATGAGTACGGACACTCCTATATAAAGAGCATTTGAGCATTCCGTGACATCTTGTGAAAAGAGTTCCCGCCAATACAAGGTGCGAGCGTTGGTACAGATAATTTTATATTAATTTTAAAAATTATTTAATATATTTTCATTAATTAGTTTTTTTATATAAGAAAAATTATATTTAAAAATTCATATTATTTAATTTTAGATAATGATGTCGCGATTTTTAACGTATTTTCTGGCTGTATGCGTCGTGATATGCTCAGGTAAGCTTACCAAAGATTATTTGTTTTAATTTTTAATTAATAACTTTATAATTTAATTTGTTATTATTTAATAATTATGTTTATTAAATAATATAACATAATATATTTTTCAGGCGCAAAACTGCCTCTGCAAGACGGTCAAGTATTAAAAGAGGCGCCAGAGGAAGTCATATTCAGAGCTGACAAGCCAGAATTAGTTCTGGAATGTTCTACTGAAGACAAAAGTCAAGCACCCATACGGTAAATATTAAATAAATTATTTTATATTTCAAAATAAATGCATATTTGTTAGAACTGAATTTAAATTATAAAAAATATTAGTATGTTTTTAGATTACAGTAATATTTTACAAATATATAATATGTACGAGAATTAATTATGTTTAAAACTTAATATAGGTATACCTGGTTTAAAAACGGCCAGAAATTCGAACCAACTGGTGACGTGAGCCAAAGAGATAATGAAGGGACGCTTGTATTCAAAAATCCCAAGAAAGACGACGAAGGAAAATATCAGTGCCTCGCTCAAACAGACGCCGGTACAGCCAGCACAAGGATTATTAACGTAAAACTGGCTTTTATCGACAAACCAATAATAAAACAGCAAAAACACAAGCCTATTGAAGGTAAAACTTACCAACTGGACTGCGAAATACCAAACAGCTATCCCAAGCCCGAAATACAATGGATTTTCCAATCATTATCTGACCCAAGCATATCAAGGAACATTCTAGATAAAAGAATAACTCTAGCACCTAATGGAGTGCTGTATTTCTCGAATATAACAAAAGAAGATACTAGTTCTGAGCATAAATATGTTTGTGTGGCTAAAACATTATCTGGTGATGAAGTGGTTCTGGCTGAACACGTAATTGAAGATGTGACTCCTAGCAGTGGAACAGACAATGAGCTGGTGCAACAATACGTCAGTAGCAACGTGATTGGCCATGTCGGAAAAGTTACTATGATTTACTGCATATATGGCGGGACGTGAGTATAAATTAATATTATAAATGCGAAAGTAACTCTATCTGTTTGTTACGCTTTCACGCTTAAACCACTGAACTGATTTTAATGAAATTTGGTACAGACATAGAGTTGACCTTGAGAAAGAACATAGGATAGTTTTTATACCCGACTTTTGAAAGGTTCTCTTGGAAACGCGATATAACCGAACTACACGCGGGCGAAGCTGCGGGTGGAAAGCTAGTATATATTTAATTGTTTATTCACGTTCTTCTTCTTCCTGGAAATTTCCCAGCTTTAGCCAGGGTCTGCCCGATATGTTGTAATAGTTTTGGCTAATTGTTTTTACGACCGGCCGCCTGTCTGACATCAACCCTCTTTGAGAATTACATTATACGCGTTACTATAGATTATTTGAATAAGGATGGTCAAAAAACTATTATTTTCTTGATTCCCAGTTATCAAAATCGTCACAGAATTTAAATAATTTGCATTTCATTGTACCTTGTACATTATTAAACTAGTTTTATTACTTAAAATTAAAAAATCTATAAATTTTGTTTAAAAAAAATCTTTTATTCAGAAGCGATTATTTAAAAGAATCGATTCTTGAAATTGATTAATCGAGTCTGAGAATCGAAATATCAAAAAAAGGAATCGGAATCGAGAATCGATTCTACAGTTTAAGTTTCCTTCCCTATTATTGAATGAAATTTTGAAATTATATATGTATGGAAATATCAAAATAAAATAAAGTTGACAATTAGTTTAAGAAAACGGTACGTCGTTTGGTGATAGAGAAAAAATAATAATTAATGAATTAATTTTTCTCAATATTTGTTGTTAAAATAAAAAAAAAAAATACGATTTAAGTACATTAAATATATAATAATTTTAATAATACATAAACAAATTTACGTTCAGAAACCTAACACTCTTGTTACGCAGACAAAATAAATAAATATATACATACATATATATATGTATATATACATATACATATTTATATATATATATATATATATATATATATATATATATATATATATATATATATATATATATATATAAATTATTTACAATTATTCTTATAATAGTTAACTTAACGACTCCGTTATCTTTTTAACGGCGTTTTTATGGAAAAAAATACTAAACACCATTAATGTATTGGCATATAAAAAATATATTTGTTTTATGAGCGTAAAATACGTTATATGAAATTGTACAAAGCTTTGTCGCTATGGCATTTATTGCTTTTAAAAACCATAAATAAACCATTACGAATTTTTTAAATGTAATTTCCTACATATTATAAAAATAACGTCATTTTTTATTATTATTCTTCTACCTGGCAATTTCCTAGCTTTAGCCAGGGTCTGCCAACGTATTTTTAAACATATGTATATTTCAAACGCTTTAACGATTATTTTTTGTCATCCGTCAAACTAGTTTTAATTTAATAAGACAAAATTGATTTTTTTGTCTCGTTTCTACTTTTCTGTAGGAAAAATTATTAATTAGGTATTAGCTTTCCGCCCGCAGCTTCGCCCGCGTGGAGTTCGGTTATATCACGTTTCCAAGAGAACCTTTCAAAAGTCTGAGACAAAATCTATTCCATGTTCTTTCTCAAGGTAAACTCTATCTCTGTACCAAATTTCATTAAAATCAGTTCATTGGTTTAGGCGTGAAAGTGTAACAGACAGACAGAGTTACTTTCGCATTTATAATATTAGTAGGGATTTTAAATATTATCACTACTTTGATATAAATAAATTCATTATGTCTATATTTGTACGAAAATACAATTTAATATATTGTTTAAAATCAATACTTATATTAAATATTATTTCATTGATAGTCTAATATAAAGTTTGAAGTAACAATAATTTCTATGACCACGCGTTGTGTTTTTTAGCACATACGAAAAATTTACAAATATTACTATATAGACAAATTCGCGGGTAAAAACTAAACACATAATTAAATATACCGCTTTTTGATTACTTCCGTTTCTGTTTACTAGCACATGAAATGTCAAGTAACTAATAAATACTTAAAAATTACTAAAAAACAATAGGTACATAGTTTAATATAGAGAAAAATTTCCAACAAAATGTCCGCATTCATATTTTTATAGTTTTATTTTTTATACAAATTCCACGTGTTTATTACGATCTAAATGGTTTTAAGTCCATAAAAACATTTGATGCGACTTTGACATACAAACAATATATACAGGGTGACTGGTGAATTACTATCAATATTTAAGGAGAATACTCGGTACATGATTCTCATTCGAATTATTTAAAAAAATAGGTACTTAATTTTTGACAAAATTTCCGTATAAATAAATAAAGCGTTGACACGTTCCAAGTGTTCCAAGTGTGGACGCGTGCGGTGGCGTGCTGATACAACAACAGGCCGCCGTCCGCGTATGTGTGAGTGAGTGTAAACCTAATCTGTAGGGTGTGCACACGATGCGTAATTAATTGCATAACTTTTGGTTAACTTTACTTAGAAGTTTATTAATATTTATGTTATATTAATTTTTATTTTGTCATATATGATTGTCAAATATCACGTCCTCAAGTATCGATAGTAATTCACCAGTCACCCTGTATATAGCTACAATTATATATATATATATATATATATAAAGGTAGATAAGAGTTATTCCCAAAGAGGGTTGGTGTCAGGCAGGTGTCCGGTCGTAAAAAACATTTAGACAAAACTATTCACAACATGTAAGCAGACCCTGGCTAAAGCTGGGAAATTGACAGGTAGAAGATATAAAGGTAGATTATTATAAATTTATTTAAAACTTTAATTCTTTAGTAAAATCGAAATGTGGCAACATATAAACAGAAAAAACACTAAGGCTCAAAAGGACTCGCCTAACTAGAGCCGTAAAAACATTTACGAAAAAAAAAATCTGCGACCACATTCAATATTGAATCCATCAAAAATACATACACAACATTAATATAATTTAATAAATTAAACATTAGCTACAACAAATTCTTTAAAAAACATTTTTTAATTAATTTTATTTTCATAATTAGTCCTCTAGCTCATCCCGACTGGTATAAAGACGGAAAAAACGTAAACAACAACCCGAAAGATCGTATCACAAGATACAATAGAACAGCTGGTAAGAGGCTGCTCATCAAAGAAACCTGGACTGAGGATGAAGGGAACTACACATGCATAGTTGACAATGAGCTTGGAAAACCACAGGAGCACACCATCAGTCTGAGCATCGTCAGTAAGTATACGAAATTATTATTATACTAGCTGTTACTCGACTTCGAGTATAACAAAAGAAAAAATTCTTTTCAGAGCACCATGCGTCCTGAATCCCGCTTGCTATTATTTTAAAATAATAACTTTCAATTATTGAAATTTTTGGAATGAAATCGCAATATAAATGAAAGATTTAACACATAAAATCTAAGATCGATTAATTTATTCCATCAACGAAAGAGTCCTGATTTCTTAACAACTGCTTATATGTATATAGTTATTCCTGCAATATATACAGGGTGACTGGTGAATTACTATCGATACTTGAGGACGTGATATTTGACGATCATATATGACAAAATAAAAATTAATATAACATAAATATTAATAAACTTCTAAGTAAAGTTAACCAAAAGTTGTGTAATTAATTACGCACTGTGTAACCACCCTACAGATTAGGTATACACACACACTCACACATACGCGCGCGCGGCGTGGTGTTGTATCAGCACGCCGCCGCACGCGTCCACACTTGGAACACTTGGAACGTGTCAACACTTTATTTATTTATACGGAAATTTTGTCAAAAATTAAGTGCCTATTTTGTTTACATAATTCGAATGAGAATCATGTACCGAGTATTCTCCTTAAATATTGATAGTAATTCACCAGTCACCCTGTATATTAGTTAGTTTATGTCATCTAGAATAATTGTTTTTGTACGTCTGTCAAGATAGATTAATAACTTCATTAAAGTACAACGCCATATAATTCAGTTTACATTGAGAATAACTTGCGGTGTACAAGATCAAATATTGTACATATTTCAGTTTACAATATAAAAAAAAGTGTCAAATAGGAATTAAAACACGAAAGGCGAAATGATTTTAATTAAATTTTTATTGTTTCTTTAAGACAAACTTTATTAACATTAATTAAATCACAATTGATTGCCCGTATGCGTTTGAGAAACACACGTTCCCTCTCGCTATTTCTCTTTTTCCTCACTCCTAGAAGCGTTAAATATTAACGCAACCTAGTAAAAATTAACATAAGAAGTTTCACTTCAAAAATTTTGACAAATTATACTCAAATTAACAGTGTATATTGTATTATAGGTGCACCACAGTTCACTAAGAAATCGGAGCCAAAAGAAAGCATTACATCAGGCAAAGACGTGACTATACCTTGTCAAGTAGCTGCCATTCCAGCCGCGAAAATAACATGGACTTACAACGCTAAGAAATTACCTGAAAACAACAAAATTGTGATTTCACAAACAACGCAAGGCAATATCACGGTTGCTGATTTGACCATAAAAAATGTTCAAAATACCGACACCGGATATTACGGATGCAGCGCCACGAACGAATATGGCGATAATTACGCCGAAACTCTGCTGATCGTTCAGTAATTTTATTTTATATTCAGTGTATTTTGTAACCTAATCATTAATAAATATGTAATCTATAAATAATGGAATTTTCTTTTGTTTGTAATACAACTGTTCGATAAATAAATATATGTATATAGTTATTGAAAACGTTTAGGAACTTAAAGTACATACATTTAAAATAAACATATATAACTTATAAAATAGATGTTGAGCAAAGGCCTCTTCTCACATGGAGAAGTTTAGAGCATTAACCACCACGCTTGCTCAAGACGGTTGGTGGTTGGTGATTGGTGGTGGTGGGTTGGTGATTATAAACTTATAATTGTGAAATTATGAGTCCAGGTTTCTTCACGGTGTTTTCTTTCATCTGTACGTGATGTCTAAATACTCTTATAAAGTACATATGACTCGGAAAAATCACATTGGTACACGTTTCGAATCCCATATTAATTTATAATATAATTATTTTCTAGAACTTGTATATATTATTGAAATGTTTTTACCACTTTAAAATATATGCTTTATATTGAAATTTAATTTTTAATTGTTTTTAATTATTATTTTACCAATCATTATTTTATTCTTATTAATTTATTACTTTCAAAGCAAAACTTTAAAAAAATCTTCTTGTAACAATGACATATTTACATTGATACCTACCGATACTTTGACGTGAGACATATTTTGACAAATTACAACGCGTACAACCTATAAATTAAAAAATATACAAATATAGACAGTTTACATATTAAATAATAATGTTTTTCTTATATTTATTAAGTATACTATCGCTTGTAATACAAGCTGTATTTATAACGCTAGCAATTGGTGAGTAACAGTCATAATAAAATAAGTTTTCTGATCTTAATGTATCTAACACATTATTACGGGATATTGGCAAGAGTCGGGTACCTATTTAAAATAACTTTTTTGCTTACCTAAACTATATATCTATAAATTGTATAAGAAATTACAAGTAAAATCTTTTAGTTGTTTAAAACATTTTCTGACTATTATAAACAGAAGCGTAAATAAATTTATATATTATTTATTTATTTCAGCCGCTGGATTATTCTATCTCGCAGAATTAGTTGAAGAGTACACGGTTACAGCGAAATATATAATATCCTGGACAATAATTGTAAGTAAATAAAACATGAAGACTTAAAATTTTCACTTACATTCAATCTTTTGAGGTCTAACATAGAGAACTTAATATTAAAATTGTATACTTTGTTTTTTTTGTTGTTATTCCCAAAGAGGGTTGATGTCAGGCAGGTGGCTGATCGTAAAAACAATTAGCCAAAACTATTTACAACATGTAAGGCAGACCCTGGCTATAGCTGGAAAATTGCCAGGAAGAAGAGAGAATTTAACAATAATTATATACTTTGTTGAATCAATACAAATTAAAATTATCTTATTGCTCGTCAATTGTTCTTTAGATACTTTTCTCATGTACTTTTTTACAAATTTTCAAATTATTAATCATTTCTTTCCAGGCAACGGCAGCAATTCACATAGGTTTAATAATATTCGAGGATATACCGTTATACTTCAATGCTTTGGGACTTTTCCAACAATTACTACATGGTCTTCTATTGAGAGATTTCCCCGTCGTGAAAGTGATGAGTCTGTCGTTTATCACAGGAGTTGCTAGCTTAATTCTCCATCATTACCTCGCTTTTAAGTATTTCGGAGAAGTGTACTACAGTTTTTCGGAGGTATGTATGTATATTACAAAATATTTACGCTATTCCAAGATCAGATAGCATTATATAGAGAAAATTAAAGAATATTCTCCTTATTTCTATGTGAAACAAGTTGTAATATATATAAATGATAATATTTTGCATATATATGTCTGGAAAGTGACAATTAGTATGGCTATTACATTTAAAAATACATATAGTGTTGGTACATCATATTTATATACTACTGTACTGATTTGAAAACTTGTTTTATGTAAAACATTTTTTAAATTAGACAAGTATATTTACTAAAAAACTTTTCAACTCACCCCTAATCATGGTGGCTGCAAAGTAACCAAAACTTCGGGAGTATATAGTTTAAAATGATAAAATATTACATAGTAGTCTGAAACTATTAGTTTTATTTAAATGTATACTCACAAAAGTTTAAAATCATATTGACTACACTTACTCTAACTTTGTATTGACATACTCCATACTGACTAGTGATAGTTTTTCATTCATAAATCTCACATTATACTATTAATGAGATCTGAGATTTTCGACAGTCATTTAAATGAAACTAATATGTTGCAGATATACTACGCTACTTTATTTTTGATAAAAACTATATACTCCTGTGAGGTTTGCTGTAAAGTAACCGAAACTTCAAGAGTATGTAGTTTTAATCAAAAATAAAGTCGCTTATATTCGCAAAATATTAGTTTCATTATACTATTAATGTGTATAATGAGAAATTTAAATATTTTCATATGCAATCATACAGTCTTGTGCTAATCATACTGATATCTTTTCCAGGTGCTAGCATACTTCACTCTATGTTTATGGGTTGTCCCATTCGCTCTGTTTGTGTCGCTGTCTGCAAACGACAATGTACTGCCCACGACGGGTGAAAGGATACATTTACTCGGCAAGTTACTTTATTTACTGTAATATATATCACTCAGTGATGGCCTAGTGCTTAAAAGGTCCGCCTCTCATACATGAGGACACGGGTTCGATCCTGGCAAGTACCAATGTCATTTTTCCGAGTCATATATACTTTATGAGAGTATTTAGTCATCACTGATTAATGCATTCCCAAAGTGGGTTGATGTCAGGCAGGCGGCCGGTCGTAAAATCAATTAGCCAAAACTATTCACAACATGTAAGGTGGTCTGGCTAAAAGCTGGGAAATTGCCTGGTATAAGAAGGACGATTTTATATATAAATTTCTTTATAAAGAAGTAAAATTCTATTGTATGACAATACTAGATATATCCTAGTATAAGTACAATTTACTAAGTTAGAATAAAATTTATGTATGTGTCCAGTTATATTTTATTTTTTATATACAATAATTGTTAATATATTAAACTACAGATAAAGTCGCGAGTAACAGCTAGTATATTATAATTTATCTGAATTTTTCACAAAACTAATGTACTAGTGGCAATCTAAAGCATTGATTTTTGTTTCAACAGATGACGATAATGTTGTTACCGATTACCTATCAAGAAAATCAAAGAAGTACAGCCTGCTCTCCTTCTTCAGCTTCGCAAAGGAATCTATATTACCGCAGAGGAATAAAAAGGCTTTCTGAATAATATAATGTAATGTATATATATGTAAATATTATAACTAGTGGGGCTTGGAGTATTTGAAGTGCTAGCTGTTTGAATTGACGCTAGATGGCGCTGGTTAAGGAAAATTTTTGTACCAATAGATGGCACTGTTATGAATTCGGGATCATTTCTGTTCTAAATGTCATAGAAAGAAGACATGATTCGATAAATTCTATTTATTTATAAATTTTCTTGCTTTTGATCTTATTTTTTGTTACAATTATCTTATATATGACTGTCAAATACCCGCAAAATTATTACTGAAGATAATTCTTGTGAATTAATATGAGTTTTTTCTATTAATTTTCTATGATTATTATAACAAGAGAAATAAACTAAAAAGTGCCTTTTCATCTACGTGTATTTAACCTGGAAAGCAAATAAGATTTGAATATGAAAACATTGATAGCGCAAATGTTAAAGAAATGTAAAATTTTTGTGAGTAACTTTCGTTTTATCTAGTCATATAAGTTGTAAATAGTTTTTGTTTATTAATTTATTTTGTAATTAGCTCAATTTATATTTATAATACATGTTGTGATTTACGACTTTACACGACTGCGAGGAAATGAAATACTCTGTATATAGTGATTTGTATGTGATCAATAAATTTTTGAATTAAAATTGTTTACTTTTTGTTGAATGTTGAATAAAAATAGGGCGTATGCACTTTAGACCTTTAAGTACTGACTTTAATTGCTTTTTTAATAGTTTCTAAAGTGGAAAATATGAAATACAAGTTTTTATTTGGTCTCTTTAAATTCACTAAAATATACGAAAGAAAAATATAATGTAGCCAAAATTTCTTTTGTCATATAACCTTGAGAATAAAATAACATATTTATTTTGAAATATTTAAATATTTTATCAGTCATTGTTTAATCAAAGTATATTATTTTTTTCTGATAGATGCTAACTCCCAAAAAATGAAATGATGGAACCAATACTAATGTTATGGCAGAAATTTTTATTATATTTAACAAATAGATTAAAGCTACAAATAAATATAATACATCGTTCTTCGTAGGCAGCCCTAGTAGGTTCTTTTCAAACTTAGTAAGGTAGAGAGTGGAGCTTGGACGGTGTAGGTGAGCGTTTAACGCGCCATAGATAGGGGTCCCTTAAACCTACACCTAGGTCACAAGTCCCAGTCACTGTTGAAGCTCCTCTCACTACAATTACGGATCCGGCACACGCAGGTGGAATGCTGAGAGGTTTCGTCTCTAATATCGAATAACAAGTGTCGAATATCAGTGGCAAATTAAAGCTAATCAGTCTTCTTTATCATTGTGAGAATGATGTACTCTTATATGGGATTTTAGGCTCGTGAATTGAACGAAGGCTTTGTCGCAGTCCTTGCAAGCGTACCGTTTGTCATTTGTGTGTATTCGCCTGTGAAATTCTAGAGTTTTCTTCCTTTGAAAGCATTTCTCGCATATTTCGCACTGAAATGGTCTTGTGTCGTCGTGTTTCACTTTGTGTTTTGTTAACTGATCCTTGTTGAATACTTTGAAGCCGCAAATTTCGCAGGTGAAGAATTTTTCTTTGACGTGCACCCTCAATTTGTGTTCCACCAGCCTGCTTTTAAGGAAAAACAGCTTAGAGCATGCGTCGCATGAAAACTTTTTGCTGCTATCATTGTGTACGATAGCCAAATGCTGACGCCTCTTGTATTTGGTGTCTAATATTTCTGGACACTTCGGGCACTTGCATTTCTCATCGGCTTTTCCATCGCTGTCCATCGAATTTAAGCTCTTATGGACTCTGATGTGGCTGCGTAAATTTCGTTTCGCTATGAAGCCTTGACCGCAACTATCACATAGAAATCGATTCGTTTTAGCGTGGTATTTATTCATATGTATCAAAAGTGGTCCAAAAAATCTGAAACTTTGTCCACATTCGAGACAGTTGAGACCATCGTCGGATAATTTGAAAGAGAAGAAGTTATCATGAGACTGACCCTCAAACTTAAATTCATGTTTTTCAGTGACATGTTGTAAGAATTCTGATAAAGTCGGAACAGGCTTTGGGCACAGTTTACAAGAAATATCCGATATATCTAGCTTTATTATTGAAGTGGGAACCAAATCTTTCACTAAATTATCTAATTTAGCTTCAAAATGCTCCTCTTTGTTGTGTTCTTTAAGTTTTGAACAGTCCACGAAGGAACAACAGCAGAAAAAACACAAAAACTTATTAGCGGCCCATCTGAAGGGCATAATAGTTGAGCAATTAAGAATTGCTGTCAATATTTTTGTAATGTGCTGTTTTATCTGTGACTTTACAAGGCGCTCCTTTTGATTCTCTGAAATAGAAGACATGAATAAGTACTTGAAGATTAAATTCTAATGTTTTACTCTTTTTTAAGGCTACGCCTAATATTAGTAATCATTAAATATTATTTATATTCATAATCATTTGTAACACAAAATATTAAGTTTTATATTTAATTGCATAATCTTTCTATGATTGTATTCAAGAATTTTTGGATAAAAGATAAACAAAGAAATGAGAAAGTCACCAAAACTATGAAAATAAATGTCTGAAATAATATTTTCAACTACAGATACCACTAATCTTGAATAATATTAATTTCTTAACAAAAATAAAACTCTAGGACATAACCAATAATAATTTATTCAATTTCTGTGATTCTTAATGTAATGTCTCATCATGTATCTCTGGCATTTGAACATTTTATCGCATCCCTTGCATTTCACGTGCCTCCCGGGATTATGTTTACCCATATGGCTGTGCAATTCCCTGACACTGAACGATCTCCACCCGCATATATCACAAACAGCGTTTTTTTCCTTCAAATGAGTATCCCTAACATGCCGGAGCAAAATACTCTGGAATATAAAAGACCTTGTACAGTAGGAACATTTGATTCTGTCTCGATTGTGCATTTCAGCCATGTGGTTTGATCTTTTGTAATGCGTCGGGAAGTACTCATAACATCTGAGACACTTGTATCTCTTTCCATGGACGTCGCGCATGTGATTCTTCAGACTGCCGTAATTCAATTTAATATCGCATTCCGTGCATTTTATGTTGTTATCCAGATATTGATCACTGACGTGTTCACAGAAGTCGTTGTAACTGGAGAATTCTTTGTTGCATTTGAAGCAGAAGGAGTTAAAGCAATCTTTATGATACTTCTTCATGTGGGTTACAAGATGATTGAAAGTTTTGAAGCTGACTTCGCAGAAAATACAAGTCGGGCCTGCATTTAGTTTTATAGGTATCATACTAATGCCGATGTTTCTATTAAAATCGATGCCATGTTCTTTGATAAGATGGTTGATCAGTTGGAATATATCACTCAAATTTGTTTCACATATATTGCATGATATCTCCGAAACATCAACGTAGAGTAATGGCTCACAGTAATTCTTAAGAACATCTTTCACATCGTCATTGCTGTGTGTGCCTTGGTGGTATTTTAGTTTTTCCGGTTTGTTGAACATTTCGTAGCAAAAGAAGCATCTAAAACAGCTCCAAAGCCATCTGAAGGGCATTATTGTGGAATTTTGAAGTATACCTATCGTGTTTTTCCTCTTTTCCTCCATTGAATAAGACTCCTTTTTCTTTGGTGCTAGAGATTCCTCTGTATCTTCCTTTTGAGATTTTTTTTTATCTGGATCATTCACTTTCAAACTTCCTGCAATTAAAATATCTTCTTAGCTTCGAAATCTTTATTTTGATTACAGTTATTTTAATAAGCGTTTTAATAAAATTGCGGCCAGAGATAACGACTTGACTATTCATCAGAAAGTCATTAGAAAATGTTATCAATATTATTAGTATTAAGAAAATTTATTAAGGAGAAGTTTTCATTAAATATATGTATAATTTTGAGTTAAAATAGGCTAGATTATATATTTTTGTAACAATTTAATTGGTAAACTCATTCATGAAAAATGTGTTTCTTGTGTATATTATTGATATGTTGCCTCATGGTCTTCTTCGTTCTAAAGAATTCAATGCATGTTGGATATATGAAATTTCTGTCATTGGTAAGCTTCCTCAAGAGTTTGTTTAAAAGTATCAACGCCATCCGCAGATGCTGCACGTGAAAATTTGTTCCTGCAAATAGCTTTCTCTGAAATGGCGCATCTTGCTACTTCAATGCAGTAAAAATCGAGGACAACCAGAACACTTGATTTGCTCCCTGCATTTGTGTATCAACATAACGTGCTTTAATCGTATGAACTCTTTCCAACTGCTCCAGACATTTCAAACGTTTACATTTGTGATTTATATCTTATATGAGTTCGGAGTTAGTCCCTACTGAATATTTTCACCCAAATAAAGTATAAACATTTTATTTTTATGTACCGTTTTCACGTGCTAATGGATGTATTTTGCATTCCTGATACTCTCTACGTAGACATACCAGATCACATCCGACCAGTCTTGTGAATTTTGTTTGAGTGCACCAATAAATGGCTTTGATGTATTATTTAAAACATCAAACGAAACGTAATTACAATGCAATATAGTAGTGTCATAAGTATAACTAATAATTTGTATTCTTGAGTGTGTGATAAAATAAAGTTTGTTGTCACTAAGAATTCAAACTGATTCAACGTGTTTTAATAGGTTATCGGCCCAGAAATATTTCCAAGTGTGTAATTTTGTACTAGAACTGATAATAGGACTATAAAGTAACTAGTGACAATCGTTTTGTGGCAGAAATTTGTGTTAGACTAATAGAAATGGCTATAACTCTTATATAACCAGTGTGCCAAAGTTGAAGGGAGAATTTACTTGTACTCGAAGGTAAACTGAATTGCATCAAGACCGAAAGTGCTGAAGTAGCCGCGGACGATCCAGTAACGAAGGCGAAACTAGTTCTAACCATTGATCCCTCATTATACATACACATTAAAGATGCTAGAAATACAAAAGATTTGTGGTTTAAATTGAAGCAAATATTCGATGACTGTGGATTCTCTAGAAGAATAACCCTATTAAGAAATTTAATATCTATACGTCTTGAAAATTGTGACTCAATGACAAGCTACGTGACTCAAATTATTGTAACCGGACAAAAGCTATCAGGCACTGGATTTAATGTAAATGATGAGTGGATTGGCTGTTTGATGTTGTCGGAATTGCCGGATAAATATTTCCCCATGATCATGGCGATCGAACATTCTGGAATCGCCACATGGCCGGAAATGATTTAGACACAAATAATGCATTGTTCACTAGAAGGCATCACTTTAGTCAAAGAGAACGCAACCATAAACCTAGCAACTCGAACAAAAATGTCGAAACGTCATATGTCAGAAATGTCAATGTAGTCAACAATAACAAACGAAAAATAATTAGGTGCTATCGTTGTAAACAGGTCGGACATTACAAAAATCAATGTACTCAAGAGCAGAATACCAAAGTCAGGAATACTAACGTTTCTTCAGCTGTGTTTCTGAGCGGAAACTTTAGTAAAAATGATTGGTATTTGGATTCCGGAGCCAGTGTACATATGACAAATGAAGTAAACAGTGTCAGAAATAGATCCAACGAAACGAGTATTAAGGAGATTATAGCTGCTAATCGGTGTGCTATGCCAGTGTTATGCTCGGGAAGTGTTGACATCGTGACCATTACTCCCAGAAATAAATACCAAATTACAATTAGTTAGCTATGAACTTGATATCGGTCAGTAAGCTCATTCAAAATGGTAACAGCGTAAACTTCACATAGAATAGTGGAACAAGAAAGGAGAATTGGTTGCTGTGGCTGAATTAATTGATGGTGTGTACAAAGTTAACACAGAAAATCGACATTGTTTACATCAACATCTGCTGTCAGTAGTGAAGTGTGGCACACAAGATTAGGTCACCTGAACAGCAATGACTTGAATGAAGGAAGGTGCAGTCACGGGTATGGATTACAAGGACCAAGCTGTTTTTAACAAAAGCATGTGTTGTTTGTTGTGAAGGGAAGCAATCAAGTTTGTCTTTCAACCACATAGGTAACCAAAGTACTGAGACATTGCATACTGTTCATGCTCATCTATGTGGCCCGATGGAGACTACTTCAGGAAGCTGAACAGGAGAAAGAACAAGATATAAATAAAACAGAAAGACGACCCCCAGAACGGTTTGGATATTCAAATTTATGCACTTCATCGAATGAGAAGCTGATTGATCCAGTCACTGTTCAAGAGGCTCTTCAGAGTTCATGTCGAGATAATTGGATTGTGGCTATGAATGAAGAACTCCAAGCGTTTAAAGAAAATAATGCGTGGACTGAGGTGGACAAAGTGACGTCTGATAAAACAATAATACACTGCAAGTGGGTATTCGAAACAAAGTTAGAAAGTGATAACAGTGTTCGTTATAGAGCTTGTCTTGTGGCAAAAGGGTTTACTCAAAAACCAGGTGTAGATTATGATGAGACATTTTCTCCGGTGGTGCGTCACTCTACCCTTAGAATGTTATTTGCCTTATCTGTACAGTTAGACTTAAATATTACACATCTAGATGTTAAAACTGCCTTCTTAAACTATGATATCAAAGAGGACATATATATGGCTTCACCATGTATGTATTTAAATAATAAAATTGTTAAATTAAATAAAGCTATATATGGCTTGAAGCAGTCAGCTAGATCATGGTATGAAAAGGTTGATAATTGTTAAGACATCTAGAGCCATGTGTATTTACAAAATTTAAGAATAATGTAAAAATTATAATAGCCTTGTATGTTGATGATTTCTCTAAATTCTCAAATGAAAAGGTGGAGATTGATAATTTAATTGCTGTATTTAGTGCTAAATTTAGTATTAAAAATTTAGGAGAAGTACAACAATGTTTAGGTATGAGAGTAAAAATTGATAAAAATTCAAATGTTGTTATGTACTTTAGATCAGGAACATTATGTAAATCAATTGTTAGATAAGTTTAATATGTTATATTGCAAAGAAGCTAATACACCAATGGAATATAATTTGGAGTTAGATGATGATGATAGCGAAATCCAATATCAACAACTTATTTGTAGTCTTATGTATTTGTCAGTGTTGACACGACCTGACATAGCCTATATTATAAGTTTTTTGAGTCAATTTTGTAAATGTTATAATAAATTTCACTGGGAATATGCTAAGCGCATTAGATATTTGAAGCGAACCAAACATTTTTGTTTAATATGTAAAAGGGACAGCTGAACTAAATGGTTTTGTAGATGCTGATTGGGCAAGCAATTGCATTGATCGTAGATCATATACAGGTTACTGTTTTGTTATGTCCGGGGCAGCTGTTTCTTGGGAGAGTAGGAAGCAAAGGACTGTGGCCTTTTCATGCATGGAAGCTGAGTATATGTCAATAGCGGAAGCTTGTAAAGAAGCCATGTACCTCAGATCTTTGCAATGTGAAATTACTAATCACATTTATCCTATAGTTTTGTATAATGATAGTCAAAGTGCTCAAAAGCTGGCAACTAATTATAGTTTAAAAAGAAAGAGCAAACACATAGATATCAAATACCATTTTGTAAAAGATGCTGTCAAAGATAAAATTGTTATTTTAAAATATTTGCAAACAAATGAGATGCCAGCTGATATATTAACTAAGGCTCTTAGTTCATCTAAACTGTAATTATATATATTTTGTTTGATGCAGTGGGGGTGTTGATATTATTTAATACATCAAACGAAACGTAATTACAATGCAATAAAGTGTCATAAGTATAACTAATAATTTGTATTCTTGAGGGTGTAATAAAGTTTGTTGTCACTAAGAATTCAAACTGATTCAACGTGTTTTAATATAATAACAAAATATCATCCCTAAACAAGTATCCTAATTGAGATAAAATTTTCCAAGATAAGACGATCGACTTGTTCTTAGATGTCTAGAGACTTTTGGACAAAGTATACGAGTAAGAAATGTCTACTGTAACTTTAGGTTCCAAAATGCTTTTTGTAGCACGAATTACTTCAAAAGATGCATTTTTATTTCCTCCGATTGCTTAAGAACTTCTTAGTACTATAAAAAGCTGTAAGACGTCGTCAAGCATATAAATGGTATGATGGTTGAATTGGTCACAGTTATTATTATATTATTTCTGATTGAAATAAGTTTTTATTAGACATTTTTAGAATATTTATTTTTAAATCTTTACTGTCACTATTTAGAGTGATTTTAATTTTATTTAATTTTTTTTTTCCTATACGGTTTTCTCCTGAAATTAAAATCTATTCATGTATTCGTTGTACATTATCTAGCTTTGTTAATCGTTTTAGTTTTTATAGGCAACCTGAATCCATAAACTTATACCAAATAAGAGATTTTTAATTGTTTTCGACGAGATTTGTCTTAATGTTATTTGTTTACGAACTTCTTAAACCATGATTTAATCAAAATAAATCAGTTTTAAACCTTAACAATTATATTAAACAATGATAGTCATTGTTAAGCATTAAGTTCTATTCTAGATCGTGTGTGAGATTTAAGTAATGTTTTTCAGTATTAATAAAGGTAAATTTACACTGAAAATTGTACTTATTGAAGTTAGTAGTAATAAAAATAAGTTAAATTTCTGTAACATTAGTAACAAAATTGTTTAATATTGAAATACCCATATACAAAATTGTTTAATAATATTGAAGAGCTGGTCGTCTTAAATAACTGGACCAATAATAACCAAAGATAAATTGGTACTACTAGGAAACTGGCTTTTAATGAAAAAAAATACAAGAAATCAAATGATAGGATCAAAATTACATCATTTTTCTTCTAGGTTAGGGGTTTTGAAAAATATTTATAAAAATAAACAAAAAACGATTTAAGTAAAGCTTATATATTATGTGTAGAAATAATGTGCAACGATTAATAAACTATAATAACTATTAATATTCAATGCCCTACATATGGATGCTGTTCGAACATGATCGGTTGGTCCATCGTCTTATGCATCCGAGCGAAATGTGCCCTCATAATCTTCTTAGTGGTGAAAGCTTTGTCACAGGCGTCGCATTTAAAATTCTTCTCGCCGCTGTGTTTGTACATGTGATTCTTTAGGCGATGGGAATTGAAAGCCTTCCAGCCACAAACACCGCATATATGGTTCCTGACTTTAAGATGAGTGTCTCTTAGATGAGTCATCATCATGCTACGGAATACGAAGGTTTTTGGACAGTGAATGCACTTTATTTCCTGCCGATTCTTATGTTCGGTAGCCATATGCCTCGAACGTTTGTAATGACTCTGGAAGGTCTGCGAACAGACGAGACATTTGTACTTTTTGTCCATGTCGTGTTGATTTTTTTGGTGTGTCTTCAATTTTGAACGCGTCTCGAACTTCTCGCCACACTCCGGACACAATAAGCCAGTATTTTCGTGAACAGTTTTGACATGTAGCCGTAATAAGTTCGCGTCCTTGAACCTCTGTCCACACACGTCACACAGAATAGCCGATATACCCTTATGATCTTTATTTGTGTGATGCAATAGAGGTCCAAAAGTATAAAAGCTAGCCCCACAAGCTAGGCAATTCACCGCGAAATTGTCCAACTTAAATGCTACCATACAAACTCCCACGTCCTTATTGTAATTAACTTCATGTTTTGCGACTAAATGATCGATCAAATCATATAAGTCTGTTACATTTTCCGGGCATAGCTTGCAAGCTAAATTCGATATATCTACATATACGACCGGTTCCCAGTAATTGTTCATAGCTTGTTCTTTGACGTCGTTTCCTATATGCATGTGCTGATGATTCTTCAAGTCAGAGGATTCTTGGAATATGTCGTAGCAATAGAAGCATCTATAGGAACTCTTCAGCCATCTGAACGGCATCACGGTAGACTTTAACAAGACTTGAAGAACGTTGTTTCTCATAATTTTCCTTTTATCCTTAGCCGTTAGTGAGGGTTTTGCTGATGTTATGAGCGCATCGTTGAAGATCTCACTATCATCACGGACAGCCTTCTGGCCACCCCTAGGTTCGCCTGCAAGGAAAGCTTGCGTTGTAAATTTATTTCTGATAATTCTAACTAGAGGCAGCCAGAAAGTGTCACTCGCATGCATCTTGATTAAATAAAGTATTGATAAATATATCCCTTCGTAAGTTGATTAAATTTAAGTGTACTGAAATACATGAGGTAAACTTTATAAGGTTTAATAAGATCGATTATAAAATAGATAAAGTAACCTGGTGTTAAGAGAACAAAAACTCACGATAAATTACAAATTTTTTGTTAAAATCTGAAAGTAGCCTCGACTCTTAGGTGTTATTTTAATTATACGATATTCAAAAGTATTATCAAATATGTAATTGGGTAAATATAATATTTGATTTGATTTAATTAGTATTTGATGCTCTAATTTGGTCTCTAGACCAATTATACCCGATTAAAAGTATTATTAAGTTGAAAAGGAACTTCATTCCTTTAACTATATTATCATATATACATCCTTTTATTAACTTGTTTATAAACGTCTAAGTGATGAAAAGATTTAGATAAATTAAAAAATTTATTAAAAAAGTCAATGCTAAATAATGAAATAGATAAAACATATATCATTTGTAAATAAATAAATAACTCCACTCCTAGACTTTGTCACTAAATAAATTAAATATTGCATCATTATATAAAGAAACTAATGTAATCGACTAGAATTGTAATGAGATCTGAACTATTTATAAATATGACTAATTGTATTGGCTGTAATAGTGCACTTCTTTTTCGTGTTTATCCAGGCCTTCCAAGTCCACGAAGCCGTAGCGACACCAACGACAAACACGCCCAGTGCTACCGGTATGTACCTTCATATGCGCCCTCAAATTACTTGACCTTCCAAATCTTTTATCACATATGCTACATACATAATTCTTTTCTCCGTAATGCCTACGTTTGTGCAATTTTATCATCCATTTGATCCCCGTCTTATAATCGCATAGATCGCATTCGAATCTCGCGTCTGAATGCATTGATTGTACATGCAAAACTAGAGCTCCTTTTGTCGTGCATATTTTTGGACAATGCTCGCATTTTATTCTGTACTTTTCCACATTATGCACTTTCCCCATGTGAACTTTGACCTGGTATTTGTTTTGGAAGGTTGCACTGCATAGATTACACTCAACGTGCCTGTGAATTCCGTGGATTCTCTGTTTATGCTTTTCTACTTTGTGAAACGCGTCGAACACTTTCTCGCATATCCTGCAACGGTATCCAACATGACTGTTGCTGATGTGTCGCTTCAGTCTAACCTGATCTACGAATCCAAGACCGCATATTTGACATATATATGAATGAAATATATGCTGTTTGTACATATGTCCTAATATTGACGTAAAATTATCATATCTTTCGGGGCATAAAACGCATTGTAGGATATTTTTGTTCAGATTGAATGGGAACACGCAACCTCCTATGGAATTGTCATAATCTTCTCCGTGTACTGCAACAATATGAGTGATTAGATCTTCTACGTTTGAGAGAGGTACGTTGCAAATTTTGCAACCTATATCAGTAATATCAATCTTAACTGGTACATCTTTGGATATCACTCTTTGGGGTATGAAGAGTTCCAAATCCACACTACTATGATTGACCCTTGTATGCTCTTTGAGAGTATCGCAATCCTTCATTTGTTTACCACAATAAAAGCATTTAAAACCGCGTGTGTTCCAATGAAAAGGTATGACTCTTCCGTATCGAAGAAGTGTCAGAATATTCCTCCGTATATTGGAAAGCCGTTCCAGGAATGTCTCTTGGTATTCTCTCTTGATTCGCATTCCTGGAAAGAGATTTGATGTTTTACGTTTCGTAGATATACACATTTATACTAGTGTCTGAACAAGACGTGAAATAAAAAAAATAAATAAATACAAAAACATTTATTTATATTATTTAAACTTTGACAAATATTTACAAAAAAAGTTTGCCAATAGACTTATGATTCTGTACATATATTTTGTAATTTTATTCGATCCTATCTACACCGTCAAGTTCAGAACCGAAAATTATTTGAAATTCACTTTCATCCACTTCATCCGCCATATTGACTCCTTGCTCCAATTCATATTGAGGATGCCTTGTCCTGAAGTGAATCCTTAGATTGGGCCGATGTGCGAACTCCTTCCCACAGACCGTACAAACATATTTCTTTTGCCCAGTATGTATAACCATATGAGAATTCAAGTAGCTCTTTTTAGAAAACTTCTTCCCGCATACAGAGCAAATAAACTTTTTATCACCATTGTGTTTCAACATGTGCAGCTTCACGTCATAGGGACCGAAGAATCTGTCACCACAAATCTGACATTCTACATTTTTTTCCCGCAAATGAACCCGTCTCATGTGTCGAGACATGATGCTGTCTTGTGGAAACACCTTTGGACAATATGGGCATTTAATTTTTAGTTCCTCAACACCATGCACATTCGCCAAATGAAGCTTCTTAAAGTACGGACTTTTGAATGTTTCTGGACAATGAGGGCATGTGGACAAGTTGATCATATGTACATTCTTTTCGTGAAGCATCTTTTTCGATAACGTTGATAGATTTATACCACACTGGTCGCAGGTATATCCGCCCTCTCTGTGATAGTAACGATTGTGCATTTTCAAATGATTTTCGCCCTGGAAACTAGTTCCACACACATCACAAATATAATCATGGGCTAGATGATGTTTATTTGCGTGTCTAAGTAAATATTCGAAGAAGACAAATTTTATATTACATACAGGACATGTTGGCTGATCTTTGTCGAGTTTAAAGGGTAATAGACAGTTCGGAACACTGACATCATATTCTGCATCGTGCGCTATTATAAGATGATTGATCAGCTGTTCCAGGCTGCTGATTTTTTTGTTGCAGAGCTTACAACAGATATCGGTAACATCAATTTTGACTGCAGCATCTCTATTCCTATTATTTTTGGTCCTATCGTACACAACGAGCTCCAAATTCGCAAACTGATGAACCTTCGCGGTATGCTCTCTTAGAACGTCCGGATCTTTTATAGGTTCTGAACAATAAAAGCATCTATATCTCCCCTTATACCATGTAAATGGGGTTACGTTACTGTATTGTAAAACATATTCGACATTACGTCGTTTTAGTAATAACTTACGGACCATTTCAGTTTTCTTATATTTGTCCTCCACTGTGCTCAATTTTGCACCTGCAAATAAACGAGGGTAGCTTTTACTAAATGTCCTGTTAAGTGTTCTTGGGTTAATCTTCTTCGAATATTTCTAGTAAATTGCGATCCTTAAGTTTGAACAAATGTAGGCTGGTCCATTGCAACATTGTAAAAATATTAAGTTACGAATTCTAGAGATTATTACATTCTGTGCAGTATAAAAGCAAAATATGAGGCAAATGAGACACTGTACGTTTACAAATATGGCATTTATTTCTGAATTAAAAAAGAAATATACATTATTAGAGAAGAAATGAGATAGTATTTCATTGAGTTTAAATTATTAAGACTTATAGGCGTTTCTACGTTAGGAACATCAGAAAATTATACAGATAAACTTAAATCTAAAAAATATACATAAAAATCGCCATAAATTTCCTGCTAGAGAAACGAAACAATACTGGAAATTGGCCAGAGAAGTAAAATCAGTCTACACTTAATTTTAGACGAATAAATTACACTAAAAACTCTATTGAGACTTAATAATACAAAATATAACTTAATACAGATGCGAGCTTCTAAAAAGAAATGACACCAACATTTAAATTTCATACATAAAATGAGTATTATTATTATAAATAAAATTATTGTAAATTAAGACGGCCAAAGATTTTGGTTACTTCTTATTAATATAACAATTGTTCGCTTATGGAGGTATGTGCAACATTTTTATGTACAAGAGTACTTATTGACAACTTCTGTCTTTTATCAGTCAACTTTGTAGCTTTAAAGATACAAATATATAGTAAAAATTCTATACATGTCCGTATTTCTTGTGCATCTCCTTATGGGAGCTCAAATTACTTCTCCTCAAGAAAGTCTTGCCGCAAACCTCGCAACTAAATTTTCGTTCCCCTTTATGTTTGACCATATGCATTCTTAGAAGGTAGTTGTCAAAGAATTTCTCATTACACACAGAACATTGGACGTTTTTCTCTTTCAAATGAGTCCGCCTTACATGATCCTTCATAAAGGAATTCCTAGTAAACATTCTGTCGCAATACGTACACTTGTGGCCTATATCGTGTACTTTAATTAGATGTTTTTGTTTGTGATACTGAGATTGAAATCTTTCTGGACATTTGGGACATTTGTAATCTTTCGCGTCGTGTGATTTAGCTTTATGCCGTCCTAAACACCATTGATTTTTAAACTTCATTCCACAAACATCGCATTCACAGTCACCGGTATGTGCATAAGTAATATGAACTTTGAGATTTGATACGTTTTTGAAACTGCGACCGCAAAAATCACATATTCTGTTATTATTACTGTGCTCCGAGTTTATATGTCTCAAAAGAATGCCGAAATAACGAAAAACGTTCGGACAGATTGGGCATGGAATGTTATCTTTTATAATACGAAACGGTTCAAAGCATTTTATTGTTTTATCGTACAGTGCTAAGTGTTTGGACGTTAAATGTTGTATGAGGTCGTCTAAATCTGATATTGATTGGTAACAAATCTTACACGATAAAGTCGATATATCAATTTTGACTGTGATTCTTTCACCTTTACAATTTTTAATGCATTTCTCTTTTAAATCACAAATTGGGTGATCGGCTAGAACGTGAACCTTAAGTTCATCAAATTCGACAAAATATTTGGAACAAAAAAAGCAAGAGAATTTTGCAAAAAACTTAAAAGGAATCGCCGTTGACATATTAAGAACGCATTGTATATTTTTTCTTATTTGCATTACATTTTGTTTTTTATTCGGCTGTAATGGATTTTCGTAGGGGAATATCGAAGCTGTAATCAATTCCTTTTTCAACTTACATTTCTTCATATGCTGTTTCATACCTTGAGATGATTGGCACTCTTTCGAACAGTATACACACAGTTTTTGAGTTTCGTCGTTCGGATGATCAAGTTTTATATGTTTCTGTAATAACACGTATGATGGAAACCTAACTTCACATATCTTACATTTCCTATAGTGAACTGTATTCGAATGTTTTTTACGCAGTACGTTTGTATCGAAAACCTCTGAACACTCCTCGCATGGATAGCCACCTTCACGATGATATTGTCGTATATGCAACGCTAAATCTCTTTTTTTATTAAAAGAAGATCCACAATTGTCACACGCAAAAGTATTTACCGAATGCACTATATTTATATGATTTATAAGATATCCAAAATAACTGAATTGTTTGTCACACATTTGACATTTGCAATCACTGAGTCTGTATTCTCGGTATGGTATATCAATATTTCTTTCGTAATCCATTTCATGTTTTCCGATCAAATGATCTAAAATCTCGTTCAAATTTGAAAATGGCTCGTAACATATTTCACAGACTATTTCTGATACGTCAATTTTTATTTCTATATTGTTTCCTTTTATAATTTTAAGCGCGTAATCCGTAGTGTTACATAGGCCGTGTGATTTTGTATGTTTTTTTAAATCTGAATAAATGCTATAGTTCTGTCCGCAATAGAAACATAGATATCTCCCACGCCATTTGAAAGGTATTATTGTGGTGTTGTTGAACAATATTTGCAAGTTTCTCCTCCTCCGCTCAGAGGTACAGTGGTCGTACGGCCTTTGATCTGTGAACAAATTTCTCTTGCTAGAATCTTCTCATTAAAATTTCACAATCTTTGTTAATGTACATGTGTTAGGTTTGAATTTGGTTTGAATTTTTAATATGCGACGCCATGTGTCCTCTTAAATTTTTCTTCCACAGAAACTTTTTCCCACAGATATCACAATGGTAGTTCCTTTCGCCGTAATGTTTCACCATGTGCACCTTTAAGCGCTGAGCGTCAAAGAATCGCTCGCTACACACAGTACACTCCACATTCTTTTCTTTTAGATGAGTGCGTCTTATATGATTGACCATGAATGAGTTTCTTGTGAAAAGTTTGTTACAATGCATGCATTTATGTCCCGAGGCATGCGCATCGATTTTATGTCTTTGCATTTCATATACTGACGTAAATCTTTCATCGCACTCAGAGCATTCTACAATTTTATTCCCATGAACTCTACCTAAATGGGTTTGTAAGTAATTGTTGGACGTAAAGGTCAAATCGCATTTGAGACATTTGAAATTGGCAACCCTATGTCTTCTTGAGACATGAGCTCGCAAATTCGGCAAATTCCGGAAAGACAAACCGCAATGGACGCATATGTTTTTATTGTCCGAATGAAGTTTTGCAACATGATTTAGCAAAGTCCTAAAATATCTGAACAATTCATCACAAAACGGACAAGGAAAATTATCTTTGACTAGTTTGTAAGCTTGCAAGTTGTTTGGTATGCTTTTGTCGTAATATATTTTATGTTCATTTATCATATGATCTATCAACGCATCTAAATTATCTATTTTCACCGTACATATCTTACATGACAACAATGAAATATCAACTTTAATACCACCGTCATGCCTATTCCTCAGCTTCATGGATTTTATTTCGGTAGTACAAAACGGGTGCTCGGAACTGGAATGTACTTTCAGTTGTTCACAGTCATCAAAATCTTTTGGACAATAGAAACACCTAAATCTGCTCATGAAATATTTAAATGGTACCGCTGTTGATGTGTTCAGAATGCACGCTATGTTGTTCCTTATTGCCTTAACGTTTGGCTTATTGTAGTTTTGGGAGGTGATAGTTTCATGCATATTAGTTATTTTCTTTAAATTTGAAATTGAGTCATCATTTTTTTCATTGATATCGGAATCTATACAAAATTTATCTCCGCTTACAGTTTTATCCGACAATAGGGAATCCGATCCGTTCTGACGATTTTTACTTCTAGTTTCACAAGAAAGATTATGTTTTATTAGCTGCGAATTATTTCGAAAACTTTTACAGCATATTTTACATATATACTCAGCAAGTGATTCGGACTTTTTATTTAAATTCCTATCACAATTCAGCGGTATAACCTGCTTGGGGTGATCTCTATCAACGTGAGATATCAAGGAATTTATGGAATCAAATATCAAATCACAAAAGAAACAGCTCGAGTCTTTCAGTTTGTATGGCACTAGTGGTAAAGTATCGGTCGTATTAAAAACTACGTTAAGGCAACTCCTCAAATGTTCCAATATCAAACAAATACTTTTACATGATATATTACAAATGTCACAAAATATGTTTGATATATCTACTTTTATCCTTCTATTCACGTCTACTGAAATGTTATGTTTATTTTCTATGCAGTAATTTTTCGTATGCTTTTTTAGTTCGTCGTAATCTTCAATTTTCTCACCGCAATAGAAGCAAGCGTATTTACCGATCCAAATGAAAGGTATCACGGAAGTATTTTGAAACAATAATCGTAGATTTTCCTCAATCATACCATACCTCTCTATGGTTGTAGGTTTATCTGAAAAGAAACATTCTTATGTTTCAGTATTTCTTAATTTTTATAGTTTTGATATCAGATAAGTATCACAAAGCCTAGGATTCTCCAACATCAATACTTTTACTGTGTAAAGCCATGTGACCTCTTAGATTCTTTTTCCATAGGAACTGTTTACCGCATACATCACAATGAAAGTTCCTCTCCCCATTGTGCTTTACCATATGAGTTTTTAAGCGTTGCATATCAAAAAACCTCTCAGAACAGACTTGGCATTCGACATTCTTTTCTTTCAAATGAGTCCTTTTCACGTGATCTATCATGAAACAGTTTGAAGTAAATAACTTCCCACAATATGGACACTTATGTCCGGAACTGTGCATGTTGATCATGTGCCTTTGCATAGCATAATTCGACGAGAACTTATCATTACATTCGGGACAATCGAAAACTTTTACGCCGTGAATTCTTCCGAGATGAGTTTGTAAATATTTATTGGAGGAAAATTCTAAATGACACCTATTACACTTGTAGCTGCCAGTGGTCCTATGATGATTAGCAATGTGTACTCTTAAATTTGGTAAATTACGAAATGATTTCCCACAATGCATACATATATTTTTATTATCAGTGTGTACCTGGCCTACGTGTTTTAGCAGTGTACTAAAATGTGTGTAAATTTGATTGCACATTGGACATGGATAATTATTCTTTACTAATTTGAAGGGCTGTATGTTGCTATCAATGTTTTTATCGTAGGACGCTTTGTGCTCGGAAACGAGATGATCAAGTAAGGTATCAAAACATGAAAAATTTTCAAAACACATCTTGCAAGATAGGAGTGATATATCTATTTTTATAGAACCCTCTTGTCTATTTCTGAGTCTCATACACTTAAAATTAACATCACAAACGGGATGTTCAACAACCGTGTGTTCTCGGAGTTCTTGGCAGTCAGAAAAGTTTTTAGTGCAGTAAAAACATCTAAATCTGCTCATGAAATATTTAAACGGTATCGCTGTCGACATATTGAGGATACAAGCTATATTATTCCTTATAAGTACTACTGAAGGTTTCCTTTCCTCGTCATCTATTATGAAAGTTCTCTGTTCCGACTTATTGACACTTTTAACAGTACATTTAGCCGCGTGTCTCAGAAATCCTAGCCTCGTTCTCATCGACTTTAGACAAAACCCACATTTCAAAGCCTCATTAGCGTGCTCCACTTTCATATGTTTTAATCTCCGTTTTTGAGTGGAAAACTGCACGAAACAGATATTGCAAATTGCGTGCGATTTCAATTTATGCTCTTGAAGTGCTGCGTATGAATTGAAATTTGAACAGCATTTCAAACACTTATAGCTACTTTTATGCTTAAATCTCATATGTGCATCTAAATTCCCCTTCTTATTAAAGGTCTGGTTGCATACATCACAACTTAAATTCTGATTTAAATGATCATTACTTACGTGAGCAACCAATTTGCTAATAAGCTTAAATTTTTGATTCTCACAAAGGAGACAGCGTAAATCTTTAAGTCTATACGTAGAGATTAATAGCTTGACATCTCTGTTGTACGAAAGTTTATGTTCGTCAATTAAATGCGTAACAATTTCATCTACATTCGAGTAACGTGTATTGCAAATCTCACAAATCACTTCAGACACATCCACTTTGACCTCAGCTTCATCTGTTTTAATCAATTTTATAGCACGATCTAGTTCCGTGCAAGGACCGTGAGCTTTGGTGTGTTTCTTTAAATCATCGTAAACGGGGATTTCCTCGCCACAATAAAAACATCTGCATTTACCGCGACATTTAAATGGAATAACCGTCGTATTGTTAAACAAGATCAGTAGATTCTGTCGCCTCAACGCATTAGGACTTAGATTTTTTGTAGTTCCTTTTTCATCTGAAAATAAATTATCTTCAATGTAATACGTATTCATTAAATATCACAACTTAAGATATGGGACATAATTTGGGATTGACCCTGGACTGTTAGTTTTTTCACTATATTCTTGCTTATACTTTATCAATTTCGTTCATGGGAAGCGAGATGCCCTCGCAAGTTCTTTTTCCACAGAAACTTCTTTCCGCATATATCACAATGATAATTTCTTGCACCAACATGTTTTACCATGTGCACTTTTAGCAGAGCTATATCAAAAAACCTGTCTTTACATACTGGACATTCCACGTTTTTTTCCTTTAAATGCGATCTTCTTACGTGATTCCTCATATGTGAATTTAGAGTAAATAGTTTGCCGCAATGTGAGCACTTATGCCCTGAACCGTGAGCCGATACTAAATGTCTACGCATTAAGTGTTGTGTGATAAATTTTTCGTTACATTGGACACATTTGAAGTTCTTAGTACCATGGACGTTGGCTTTGTGACGCGCCAATTTCTCCAAGTTCCAAAAATCTTTTTTACATTCCGGACACGTGCAGGCTTTGCGTCTATGATATCTTGATATATGGGCCCTATAGTTCGAGTGTCCCCTAAAAGTTACACCACAATATACGCATACTATATTATTATTGCTGTGATGTTCGTTCATGTGTTCGAGTAGTTTTTTGAAGTAACCAAAATAACTATCTGGACATATCGGACAGGGTATATTTTCTTTGCTTATTTTAAAAATTTGGACGCATTCAACGCTATTATCATAATTCGCACCGTGTTTTGCTACTATATGGTCTATTAAGTCTATCAAATCCATGAGTTTCTCGTAACAAATCCTACAAGTGAGATTTGTTATTTCAATTTTAACTATGAGATCTCTGCCTTTAATTTTCTTCATAGCCGCGCAATCTTGATCGAATTTTTCATGATATTTCGACGTGTGCTCTCTAAGGACATCAAAATCGGAACAATCTTTAGAGCAATAGAAACAACGGAATGTATTCTTGAAAAACTTAAACGGTAACGCAGAAGACATTTTTAAAATGCACGCAACATTCTGTCGTACTTTAAACGTTTTGGTGCCTCTAAACTTTGAGGATTCAGTTTTTCTATCAATTCTGCATTTCGTCAAGTGCATTCTATAGCCTAATTTGGATGTAAGCGTCTTTAAACATTCGGGACATTGGAAACTATACTTTTTCTTCACGTTTTCATTTTCAATATTGAATATGGTATAACTATGTATTTTGTTTATATGACTCACGAAGTCACACACATTCATTAAATCTATATCACATTCAAAACATTTCAAATCAATAATTCTATACATTTGTATACATTTCATACGAGAACTTGAATATCTATGCACTGACACTAAATGCTTTATCAACTGTTTGTAAGAATCGAAACATAAGTCACAAGTTTCACAATTAGTTACAGATATATCTACTTTCAGAGAATTTTGGTTGAATATATCAAAAAAATCTACTATAGCCGATGTTTCGTGTGATTTTGTGTGCTTTTTCAAATCGTTGTACTCTAATTTCAAGTTACAATAAACACAAGAAAGGCCTTCGCGACATTCGAACGGTATAATACTTGTGTTGCTAAATATAATTTGTAGATTTTGTCGCTGCCTCCTCGTTAATCCAGATATTTTCTGTTTGCAATCTGAAAGCAAACGACTATACTGTATGCGATTTTTATTTCCATACACACTTTAGTATCCCTAATATGGTTTCATTAGTCTATTCATTAATATTTTGTTTCTTTGGCCGTGTTAGAGACTTAACACTAAATAGTTATTTAAACCCGTATATTTTTAATTGTGTTTTATCATTTATGGTACAGCATTATGCTTGTTGTGCCTAGCCATATGAGTTCTCAAGCTCTTCCTCCAATAAAATCGTTCGCCACACATATCGCAATGAAAATTCTTCTCCCCGCTATGTTTGACCATATGACGCCGCAACAGAATATTGTTAAAGAACTTCATATTGCAAATTGAACATTCTACATTCTTCTCTTTCAAATGCGTCCTACGTATATGATCGCGCATAAATGAATTCCGTGTAAACAGTTTACCGCAATACGAGCATTTGTGGCCAGAATCATGAGCTTCTATCAGATGCTTCTGCCTCAGATATTGAGTGGCGAAAGATTCTGAACATTTAGGACACTTTGCCGCTTTTACGCCATGAGCTTTCGCCATATGCATGTACAGCCTAGAGGGTATATTGCAATCCGCGCCGCATATGTTGCATTTGAATCTACCGTCCCTATGATGTCTCCATATATGAACGCGTAGATTTTGATCTCTACGAAAAGTCTGCCCGCAGTACACACATATAATATTGTTATCTGTATGTTTATTGTTAACGTGTTTGAGTAACGTGCCAAAGAATCGGAAAACCTCGGTTGGACAGCTAGGGCAAGCCATATGATCTTTTATGAGTTTGTAAGGTTGGAGGCAAGTAGTGATAGATTTATCGTAATTAGCTTCGTGTTTTAATATAAGATGATCCAACAAAACGTCTAAATTATCCATCGTTTCAAAGCATACCTTACAAGCTAAGCTGGAAATATCAATTTTCACACAAGCTACGGATTCCCTACATTTTCTAATACACTTTTCTTTGACATCGCAAATAGGATGCTCGATTATGGTATGCTCTCGCATTGAATCCGAATCGGCGAAGTCTTTGGAACAGTAGAAGCAGTTAAATTTATTTTTGTAGAAATTAAACGGTATAGCTGTCGACATGTTTATAACTATAACGATGTTTTCACGGATTTGTTTGACACTCGGTCGTTTTATCTCTTCCTGATCAATTTCAAGATCGCATTCCTCCTTTTTGATCGCAATATCAAATATATCGCCTTTACATTTCCTTGAGTGCATTTTAAGGCCTTGTTTAGTATGAAAGTCTTTGTAGCACGCATCACATTGGAGTGATCCGTTATCCGGATGTTCCAATTCTATATGCCTCTGTTTAAGAATAGCTGACGGCAGTCTTAGCTGGCAAATGTTGCATCTAGTAAAATGTCGATTACTTCTATGTTTTCGCAAAATATTTAAAGAACTAAAGCTCTGTGGACAAACATCGCACTTGTATCCACCGTCGCGATGATAGTTTTTTATGTGGGAGAATAAATCTCTTTTCTTATTGAATTTCTGTTCGCATTTGTCGCATATAAGACAGTTTTTAGGATGGTGATTATTAACGTGGGACACTAAGTAACCGAAATACGCGAACTTCTCTTTACAAATCAAACAGCTTAGGTCCATTAAGCGATATTCCTCAATCGCCATTTCTACATTTCTATCGTACTCCAATTTATGTTTCACGCAAAGATGATCCAATATATCGTCCAGAATTTTAAATTCTTCATTGCAAACCTCGCAACAAATATCTGACACGTCAATTTTAATCTCCATATTCTTCCCACCCTTTAAAACTTTCAGCGAATGATCGTCAGTTGAACAAGGCCCATGTGACTTTGTATGTTTACGTAATTCTGAATACTCGGTTATATTTTTACTGCAATAAAAACATAGATATTTTCCTCTCCATTTAAATGGTATAACTGTTGTGTTATTAAACAACATCTGAAGATTCTTTCTCCTACGCATCGACGACGATTGACAGCCTTTTTGATTTTTACCTGAAAAATATTATGAACTGTAAATGTACCCTCGTTTCAAATAAAATTATACGAAAATATAAAGATAAAAAAAATCCAGGGTACATTTAAAGTCATTCCACCTAAACCTTATATTTTTTTAGACCTAATCGACGATTAACGAGATATAATTTATGTCAAAATCAGTAACAATAGATAATTATACCTAAAAGGCCTATTTTTCATTCAGAATGATGGACTTTCATGTGTAAACGCAAGCTGTTATGTTGCACGAACGCATGATCACATATAGCGCACGCATGTTTTCTGTCGTTGTGATGTATTCTCACGTGATCTCTCAAAGTCTGTTTCCTTGCGTAGGACTTCTTACATACATCGCATTTATGGACCTTTTCTCCTATATGTTTGATCATGTGCTTCTGGACGTGAGTTCGTGAAAAGAATCTCTGTTCGCAGAGACTGCAAGAGAAATTCTTCTCCCTAACATGAACTTCCTTCATGTGAGACCACATTTTACTGGCTATATGGAACTTTTTACCACATACAGGGCAATTGGTGACCGATATTGCAACATTGTGAACGGAACTATGATGTAATTTACGCAACGAATAGTTATTGAAAGTCTGCGAGCAGAAATTGCATCTTATAATACGTCTTTTATTATGTACTGAGGATTCATGATTAGTTTTCTGGGTTAGAGAATCGAAATTTTCCATACAAACAGCACATTGGAAACCGGAGCCGTGACTCCTTATGTGGCAACGCAGTCTGTCTTTATTGAGGAAAGACTTGCCGCATACATCACACACGAAGTTACCGTAATGCTCATTCATGTGCTGATTCAATTTGATGAAATATTGGAAATCCTTCATACAGATAGCGCAAACGTATTTATCTTCATACAATTTGTAAGGAATCAGTCCGTAGTCGTGACCATCATAGAACGACTTTTCATGAACCGTCCTCAAATGTTCGATTAAATCATCTAGATTATCAAAATCATCATTACACTTGCGGCATCCCAAATCTGATATATCAATTTTGACCTTCTCATCACTTTTTAAATACGAAACAGCTGATTTAACATTAGAATCTTTGTGCCCATCACTAGTATGATTTTTCAGGGTTTGAATGGATTTGAAACTCCGATGGCAATAGAAACACAAATAGCTGTGGCGATGCCATTTAAATGGCATTACTTTTGAACATTCCAGGACCGTAATAGCGTTCAGTTTCACTAGCCTATTAAGTTTCGTTGCTGTCAAGGACTTACTCAATGCCTCGGACGCCGTCTTTGGCATTGAACCTAGAATATTAAATTCGTTCTGTTCAATAATATTTTTCCTGGCGGAATGTTTGCATTCAGATAGTTTCATAGGTTTTGTTCCAGCATTTTTTTTAGTGTTTTATGTCAGTATATTGTATAGAAATATTTATTGTATTTCTTAAATTTCGATTAAATAATTATTATTGACGACGTGATAAGAAAACGATAATTATGGATACCCTAATTGACTACCTAACAAATATACGAACAAATAAGGCATATTAAAATATTTCTCCAATAAAATTAATCATGTTTTGTGACAAAAAAGGCATTATCTTCATATATATAGTAACACTACTGATTATAATAAATTTAAATACAAAGAATTTAATTTAGACATAAAATGGATAATTCTTTTTAATTTCAAACCAAAGAAAATATTTAAAATAACTAGATATATTAAATAACTGTATGACTGTGATGAAGACTTATATTGAACCATTAGAATAAAAATATATATATTCGGGGATAGTACAAATTCGCGTAACTAGCATTGTATAATTCCGCGTATTTACATTGGAAGCAGATTATCAAAAGAAAGTTTGAGATTAAATATTTACTAAAATAACGACTTTTAAGATATTTTTTCACAATTAGTTATAAATTAAACACTAAATAATATATTTTTTCTTTCAACCATATCTGTACAGTCGTTCTCGAGTTATAAATAGTGTAACTAACACGACTTTCTTTTATATATATAAACATATAAATCTTCATCACAGATCAATACAGACACACATATAAAATTAAAACTCACCTTTTGATTTAGTTTTTAATTTGACATCAATTTTTTTCTTCTCATTTTTCACAGTCTTTTTTGGTCTACCTCGTTTTGCTACTGGTAATGTTGCTACTGTAATGTCTTCTGATACTGAAGGTGCTGCCAATTCATTGAGTGGTATATCTGTAATGAGAAGTAATATTGTTTAAACTCTTCTCATCATTATATTCGCGGTGCGGGTGTTGGCAAAATCACATTGGTACCTGCCAGGTTTCGAACCCGCGCCCTCATGTATGAGAGGCGGGCATTTAACCACTAGGTGACCACAACTTTTTTGTTATAGTGAATACCTAATCTCAGTTTGAGCCTAATAGATTTTTTCACTGACAGATAGCATATATATAAAGATACTACTTAGGATAGTTTTCTTTGAGAAAATTTATTTATATTCATTCATAAAAAAGTCTTTGCAGACAGATTATTTTTGATTTCGACTACTTCAGATAATCTTCTGAAGCGCCCAGGGTAGAATGAACAAAGGTGCCTCTAAGAAATCGGACTTTGTTGACTAAGACAAGCATATTGGTACATTTTATCACAATATTATTAATACCAAAATAAACACCAAGTTATAATTCACTCTACAGAGAACTCTCTTAGATTACAATATAAATTAACCACAGATAACACAACTATAGACATCTTACTTTCTTTACTATATCCCTACTAATATTATAAATGAGAAAGTAACTCTGTCTATCTGTCTGTTACGCTTTCACGCCTAAACCACTGAACTGATTTTAATGAAATTTGGTACAGACATAGAGTTGATCTTGAGAGAGAACATAGGATAGTTTTTATCCCAGACTTTTGAAAAATTCTCTTGGAAACACGATATAACCGAACTCCACGCGGGCGAAGCTGCGGGTGGAAAGCTAGTAACTCTATATTTATATGACCATACCATCATAATCGACGTCCTCATCAAGATATTCAATCTCTGCTTCATCGGCTGCCGTTTCCTGAGTCTCCGACTTCATCTGTTCTGGATACAGCAGTACTGGAATATCAATAGTACAAAATGTATATATATATTCAACGATTTATACAGAACAGTTCATTTCCAACAGTATTAAGTCAGATATATTAACTTAAGAGTTAGTAAAAATATTAATTAAAATCTCAATATTTACAATATTTCCTTCAAGATAGACACAATTTCTAATTTCTTATATATATATGGCCCTCATTAAATACAATGACAATAAGATAAATTACTTATAATCAAAAGAAGCCTAGTTTTCATTATACATATTTTTTCTTTAACAATATTAATGTAACATTATTACCATTATCCAAATATTTTGATGCCCTGGTCGTTTACCTTAGCTATAAAGTTCAAAACAGATGATGAACATATATTTTAATGATTAATACTATTTGTAAGGAAATTGATACTATTATTATTAAATACCTTTAGTTTTAAACGCTCCACGACCGACCATATCAATAAACTTCTTTTCCGAGTCCAGAACTTGTTTTTTAAAATTACATGCATCTCTAAGTCTTGTGATGCACACTTCACAGATTAATCGGTTGGGGCCGTTCGGACCTTCGATGTGCTGGGATATCTGTGTGGTTAAGGAATAATATTAAAGGCTGATACATTTGACTTCATAAGTATGTTAAGCCAGAAAAATTTGCAACTTTTCAATGTATATTACTATATTCAATTTACATTTCTCTATAACTCTTTATTAATTGATTAAAGCCATAGTGATTTACACTACTTAGAACGCCCTTAAATCATGCTCAGATGTACATAAGTTAAAATAAGAAAATTTTAATTATGAAGATGAACCGTAGCAATAGATTTGATTTATTGCAATATACTTTGGTGGATATATTATTTAATATAATATTTTCAATATTTTTTTTACTATTAAGGTTTTATGTCATACATTTTGATATAATAGTTTTTTTTAAGAATAAACAATTGTATTATCAAAACAATGTGTATAGTTGTTCTATTAAGTAAAAGACATCTGGCTTGATTTAAACTCATTATAATTAATATTGAGTAAAATATGTTCCGTCAATTTAAATAAAGTTCATATAAACTCGAAACTATATTTTTAATAACTGTAATGCAATAAATATCTAGGATTTTAACTTCTCTATTTTGAAATTAATATTTTGCTATATTTTCCATAAGCCTTTGATTACTAAATAAAGATTGTTAATTCTAATAAGTCTGAAAATTTTATTTATTATAAATTTATTTTCAAATCGCTAATTTTTAATTCAAAATACACAAACAATGGAATGAAGCCAATTATTATGGGTTTCTTATGCAGTCGGAAAAAACTACTTACAATTATTATTTCATGATTCTAAATTTAATATTATTTATATTTCAGGATGATTAGTGTTTAATAACTTTGTAATGATTTATTTCTAACTTACGCTAACATCAAAGCACTCCAATAACATATCAGCGTATACTTCTGTTTCATCCATCCATGGATACTCAGTGCCCAAGTCCTTATAACATCCTTCAGACAAACAACACCGGCACAAACCCGGCGTGTCTTTGACGACGATTTCGTCGAATTCCATTTTTATTTCAACACATAACAGTTACTAAATAAATTACACGGCGAAATTGAATTCAACCGAGCATCGATCGCATCATAGCGACGCCATTTTGTCCTCTATCCTTGAGGAATATGGGATAGGTGTCATTCAGAAAAATTACCTAGGTACATACATATTTTGGATAAATATTTTTCACAATTAAATCCAAAAAAAAATATATAAAATATATTATATATTTACAATATATTACGGAAGGAATATAATGTAATAAAACCATAAGTTTATTCGTTTACTTTGGATAATAAAATGATTTTTTAAATATTTATTACACAATTTCAAAAAACACTAGATACATATGAAGGATTATTTAAATAAATATAATTATTGTTAGGTACTGTGATAACATAGACTGCGTCTAATAAAGAAATAAACGTCAATCCTCAAATAATTTTGCTACATCTATAATGGCCTTTATTTATGGTACATATTATTTCAATAAGATACTTCGTTTAAGTCTTGTTTATTAAATTAAATAATAATATGGAAGGTGCTGGTCTTTGTCGCTGCTGCCTATCAGATGGTGCTAATAGAGATATAAATACTCCCTACACTTGGTTAGAAAAACAAGAAATATACATAAATATGCTACAAGAATGTTTTAATATCACAGTGAGTTATTAATAACTTTACACAAGTTTTAATTTTATTTTAATATGTACAAGAAATTTAAAAAATTCTTATTATATACGAGTATCATATATAAATGAAAAGTCAATGAAGGAGATTTAAATACGTTTAAAAGACTTAATAAAAGGGAATTAAAAAATCGAAATAATTTATATTTCAGCTAAATACAAAAGCGATGTCTAATCTAATTTGTGAAGTATGTGTAAAGAGTCTTCGGGATGCTCACCATTTCAGACAAAAGGTTCTATATTCCGAGGAACAATTAATGAAAAGAATAACTGAAATCGAAACAAGTGAGTAGATTGATTTGTTTTAAAAATAATTTGAATTTAACATAATTTAGTTCAGGAATACTCATTTTTATATATAATGAGATCTAAGATTTTTGCAAATATTCATTTAAATGAAAGTAATATTTTTTGGGATGTACTACGCGATTTTTATATTTGGTTATAAACTACATACTCCCGACGTTTATATTTACGTGCTCCGATTTCATCTCTATCTTGCAAGATTTCCAAATTAATGACTTTTTGAAGTTTTCTAACATAAAAACACAAATTCATTTATAATGCTGTGAAAATTTTAATTTATGTATTTAATTTCTTATTCAAACTTGAATGTTTTCAGATAAGAAGCTGTTGGTAGTCAAATCCGAGCCGATAGAGACTGATGACAATGATTCCGACAACTACTTCCTAGCCAGCACCAGTGGGTATATATTATTAATTTCGCTTGTATTTAGATTTTTCTTTCTGGGATATAAAGTAGCCTATGTGTTATTCCTGGACGTCAGCTTCCTGTATACAAAATTTTATCAAAATCGGTTCAGCCGTTTGAGCGTGAAGAAGTAACAAACATACACACACACTCATAAACTTTCGCAATTATTATTTTGATATATTATTAGTAGGATATATTAGAATTTTAGATTTATATCCTATATTAGAATGTACTTCCATAGTATTATAATATGTTTATTAGCAATTATGATACAGTATTTATTTAGTAATTTTTTTTATTAATAATATATGAATTCTGATATTTGAAGAATAAGGCTAAAAAAATATTTTTGATTTAAGAATTCTTATCGAGCTTACCGAACTTCATTGGTGTAACATAACGGTTTCAAATAAGTTAAACATTTGTAAGAAATAATACTTTTGTATATAAAATTAAGTTAAGTTTCAAGTTAATTATAATGATCTTACAAAATTTTTCTTAATATTATGTTAGTGGTTTCAGAATAATTGAGTAATTTATGTTTTTTCAGTCAAAAATGAATCGCCATCACCCATACAGAAGATTGTGAGGAAAGTTAACATAAAAAGCAAGAAGAAGGAGCATTTACAGAAGAATTTAAAGAATTTGGTCAACAAATTGGCTATAAGTAAGTAATGATTATTTTGATTGATCTCTGAAGATGCAGCATCTCGTATTTCTTAATGGTCAAGTGTGAGATGAAACTCAGAAGAATATACAGGGTGACTGGGCAATTACTATCAATATTTAAGGAGAATACTCGGTACATGATTCTCATTGGAATTATGTAAAAAAAATAGGTACTTAATTTTTGACCAAATTTCCGTATAAATAAATAGTGTGGACACGTTCCAAGTGTTCCAAGTGTGGACGCGTGCGGCGGCGTGCTGATACAACACCACGCCGCCGCACGCTTGTGTGTGTGTGTGTGTGTGTGTGTACCTAATCCGTAGGGTGTTCACACGATGCGTAATTAATTACATAACTTTTGGTTAACTTTACTGAGAAGTTTATTAATATTTATGTTATATTAATTTTTATTTTGTCATATATGATCGTCAAATATCACGTCCTCAAGTATCGATAGTAATTCACCAGTCACCCTGTATATATATATACTAGCTGACCCGGCAAACGTTGTTTTGCCATATAAAAAAATAGGGATTGACGATAAAAAAGTAAAAATGTTGGGTTGCATGTATTTTTTAATGCTATATTATAAAAATATAAAAACAAAAATTCGTAGGAAAAAAAAAAGGGTGAACAATCCTCATGATTTAGGGGTATGACAAATAAATGTTGACCGATTCTCAGAACTACTCAATATGCTCATAAAATTCGGTCATCAAAATCGGTCCGCTTCGTAGGAGTTTTCTGTCTAACACCGCGACACGATAATTTTATATATAATTTTTTTTTTATTGTTTATCTATCTGTTTGTTTGTTCAATCTTATCTCTGAAACGGTTAGACTGATTTTGATAGGACTTTTACTATTAAATAGCTCAAGTAATAAGCAGTAACAAGGGATACTTATACTTTAAAAATATTATTTACTTTAATCAATATAGTTATTTGAAATAAAACAGTTTTTTGGTATTATACATTTGATATAATTCACCATTACAGATAGCTGTGACAAGAAACAAATGAAGAAGGACATTAAAGTTATGAAAGGCAGGAAATTGACTATTAAAAAGGATATAGAGATTAATCTGACATTCACTAATACTAGATTGACACAGGATAAGCAAAAACACAGAGAGAACTTGCTAACAATATTGAAATATTCAAATGCAACACCCTTCAAAGATAAGTCTCTGCTCGGCTTCATCTGTGGATATTGTAACGCTTCATACCCTGATCCGACGGATTTGAAGAATCACACGGATTTGGATCATATTAAAGAGCGTCTGGATTTCAAATCTTCATTTGATATGACAGAATATAATGTGAAATTAGATGTGGTCAACTTGATGTGTACGTTGTGCGATGAAAAAATGGAAAATTTGTTCAAATTAAGGGATCATTTGATTAAGATACACAATAAAGTCTTCCATAGAGATATTAAAGATCATTTGTTGCAATTTAAGCTGAAGAAAGGTGATGTATTCGACTGTGCGTTGTGTCCTTCAACTTATGAGACATTTAAAATGTTGAAGCAACACATGAATAAGCATTACTGTAATTATAGTTGCAGTAAATGCGAGAATTCATTCGCAACCAAACGCTCACTGAATACGCACCAAACGACTCACGAGGAAGGCAGTTTTAAATGCGATCATTGTGACAAAATATTCTCAACCAAAACCAAAAAGCAATACCATGAGAAAACTAAGCATTTGGGTGCAAGAAATATAAGTAATTGTCCCTATTGTGATGTACCGTTCAGGAGTTACTACCAAAGAAACCAGCATCTCGTAAAAGTACACAATTCCGAAGCCCAATACAAATGCAATGTATGCAGTAAAGGTTATATATTAAAATCACTTCTCATGTGTCACATAAAGAAGAATCATTTGATGGAAAGGAACTGCCAATGCACGGAATGCGGCTACAAGTTCTTCAGCAAGAAAGCTTTAAAGGCACATATGATAAAGCACAGCGGTGAAAGAAAATTTATATGCGAAGTTTGCCACAAGTCGTATGCGAGGAAATACACGTTACGAGAGCATATGAGAATACACAACGATGATAGGAGGTTCAAATGCGATATATGTGGTACGGCTTTCATACAGAAATGCAGCTTGAAATCACATTTATTATCCCATCACGGTATTAGTTTAGCTGCGAGCGATATACCTATATCGTGAGAATTGTATATAATAAAGATATTTAAATGACATTTGACATTTTATTTGACAATTGACATTTTAATTGACATAAAAACATGACAAATCTGGTAGTGCGTTTGGTTTAAGCTGAGCTTTGCATTTGTGTGAGTGCACACGGATAGTGTAGATGTGATGTCAAATTTTTGAATGCGACATACTTTTCTAGTTTTGAACCGGTTTATTCTGCTGCTACTCCGCCCCGCACCTTCCGCACTTCATCGTTTGTACTGGTAGCAACGTCAAATGGATTCTAACTAAGAATAGAAACTAAGAAAACGAAACTTTGTGTAATTTAAATAGTTATTTTAAAGACATTAATGACAAAAAATATAGGAAGAATTTGTAAAACTTTTTTTTTACATTTTGAATAAATAATACTGTTTATTTTTCTTCCCGTAATATTAATTTTATTTTAAATCTAGAATAACTCTAGCAATTAGGTTATGGATCTATTTAATATATAATAAAATTTCATTCTAATAGTTTTTTGTCTCACTCTACTTTTACTCACACGAAAGCAAAGCTCAGCTTAAGTCTAAACAAAAAAAGGTGCATATTATGTAGACAAATAATATGTTGATTAATAGACAAAAAATCTATAGTTTGTTGTTACCTTATCTAATCTTGTATCTTTAAAGGAACAATTCTTGTATATCGATATACAGGGTGACTGGTGAATTACTATCAATATTTAAGGAGATTACTCGGTACATGATTCTCATTCGAATTATGTAAAAAAAATAGGTGCTTAATTTTTGACCAAATATCCGTATAAATAAATAAAGTGTGGACACGTTCCAAGTGTGGACGTGTGCGGCGGCGTGCTGGTACAACACTACGCCGCCGCACGCGCGCGTGTGTGTGTGTATACCTTAGCTGTAGGGTGTTCACACGATGCGTAATTAATTACATAACTTTTGGTTAACTTTACTTAGAAGTTTATTAATATTTATGTTATATTAATTTTTATTTTGTCATAGGTATATGATCGTCAAATATCACGTCCTCAAGTATCGATAGTAATTCACCAGTCACCCTGTACAATTCTTGTATATCGAACTTTATCAAAAACGGTTCAGCTGTTTGAGCGCGAAGAAGTAACAAACATACACGCACACTCACAAACATTCGCAATTATAATATTAGTAGGAAGTAGGATGTTCATTAATTAAACAAAAACATCTGGTTAGCGAGCTTTGCTCGGTATTTAGGAATTATTAGTTTTATTATTAGGAATTATGTATTAGTATGTAATCATTAATCATTCAGCAAAAAGTAGTATTACTATTCGCCAAAAGATGTCAGGAAGAGTCATATTTTAAACGACTCCTTTTATTTTATCATTAATAAAATAATATTTTTTAAAAATGATGCCTAACTAGACCGATTTATCGCCCCAAAATATGGGGGCATATGCTAAATTTCATGAAAATCGTTGGAGTCCGAGAGTTCCGAGATTTCAAATATTTATACAAGAATTGCTCATATAAAGATATAAGATATAGTTCTTCTGTTTGGGTGTTTGGAATATATATTATACAAAATGTAGTCTGTAATCAATCTAAAACTATAACTGCCATGAATTCAAATATGTGATTTAAAACAAAGTATTATTATCACACACACTATTATCCATTTTTGGGAACTACTCACGCCAGTTAATTCCATGGCACCATTTTTATCATTACTTTTTAAGATTTAATTTATTTAAAACCGGGGAGGATAACAAGAATAACACAAGATATATATTAAAAAAACATTTAATGTCAAATCTATGTACAAAAGAAAATCTATCGCTTTATTTATATACAGAAAGAAAACTTCATTATAACTTAAACTCAATATTTTAAAATCACTTACTACAGCGCCATCTGTGACCGTCGTTATACAACAAATATTTATTGCACTAAAAATAATTAATATATCATATTGTATATAAAAATTAATATTTTATAATTTAATTTAGTCCATTAGATAAAAAAAATTAATCACAATCATAAAAAAGATTGAAGATTAATAAGGATTACAGAAAGGAAAAAAGTTCATAGATTTTATAAGAGAAAATTGATGAAACAAATATGTTTACAGCTTCGCTTTACACTACGGACGAAGTGTTTCCCGTCTTTTATTTAATAATAAATAATAAAAACTGTTAAAAATAATGTCCTTAGTAAAAGTTTTAGTGTTTAACGTCATATCGTCAGTTCGACGTATTTCGATCGGGACTCATAGCTTATTCGTATTTGAGAAAAGTGAGTAAGATTTAACCTGTCAATATATAGTTAAAAAGAACGTTTACTAAGGTTATTTGTGATTTAAAATAGTTTATGGTATGCAGTTTGTAGTTATTCTACCTTGAAGTGGTTGTGTATAAAATGTTATACAATGGTTGTGTACAAAAATACATTACATGTAATGTGTAAAAGTGTAAGTGTATTTTTTATAGTTTCTTTTACACTTTTGTAACTAAAAGCCACAAAAACTTAAAAATAACTAAAATATCATGTTAAAAATGTCACACTTGCAGTTACATTGAACGAAAACTTTGTGTACACTGAAAATTACTCGGCTGTGTACAAAATACAGGCGGAATTCATACTTGAAATGTTGAATATGAACAAGTAAGTACTTGTTAACTTTTGTTAAGTAAGTGTACATTTTATGAACGCAACTTACTCAACTGTACAAAAATTTGTACACAGAAAAATACTCGACCGTGTACAAAAGTGACTACGGGCTCAGCTTACTCGAGCTCTCGAACTCTGATAGAGTAAGTCCGTGGTTTGACAGCATGTGACTTTTCAAACTACACTTTTGTACAAACGCCAAGCCGCATACACCGCATTTGAAGCGCCTATCATTATTATGTATCCGCATATGCTCTCGTAAAGTCTTCTTCCTTGCATATGCTTTATGACAAACGGTGCATTTAAATACTCTTTCCCCATTATGTTTTATCATATGCTCATCCAAGCTCTGTTTGATAAAGAATCCTTGCCCACATTCACTGCATATATGATTTCTCTCCATAAGGTGTACTTTTTTGATATGTGACGTCAATTTGGATTTTAATATGAAGGATTTGTCGCATATATTGCATTTGTATGTAGCTGCTGCTATGTTATGCTCGTTGAACATGTGACGATTTCGTTGATAGTAACTCGTGAATGATTTGTCACAATGCGGACAATTCGTTGTGTATCTTGCATTCGTATTATGTGTATATTTTTCGTGGCACATTTTCCGTACATGAGTACCAAAAACTTTGTCGCAATAACTGCACTTGAATGTGCCTATCTCGTGTGTGCGTTGGTGATTTTTTAATCGGTGCTTATTTATGAAGCCCAGATCGCAAATATCACAAATGTAGTTCCGATAATGACCGTTCATATGTTGGAGGAGCATTTTGAAGGTCTCGAATGTGGAATTGCATAGCGCGCAGTCCAATAAATCACTGTCTGATAGTTTAAATTCCAATATATAGTCGTATACGTCCGGATAGAATTTTATATCGTGCTCAAGAGTTAGATGCTTTTTGAGATTTGTTATAGTATCTATTTCAGTATCACAAATATTGCATTTAAGTTCGGATATATCCATTTTTATGGATAGATTGCTTTTATCCAAACGCTTGTTGTAGTTTAAATCGTCTGATTTATGTATTTTTTTGGTATGCGTTCTCAGATCATCTGGATTTTGGTAAGTTTCTTTGCAATACGCGCAAACTATCCCGGCTAGTGTCTTATTCGAGAATGGGGTACAGTTTGAGTATTTGAGTATTTTTTCAACGTTCTGGCAATGTTTCTTGTTCTCGCTAACCATACATATATCGGTTGTAACCGAGTCGTTCAGTTGTTCTATTTGAGTCAGCGTACGTAGAGATAATTTCAGTGGCGATTTAATTTTAATTGTTTTGCTTTTGCGATCTGAAATTAAGGAAAAAACGAATTAATTACATGAAATCTTTAAATTTACCAATTCAATGGCCTATGATTGCATTATTGATGGAATAAAAGTAATTGAGAGCAATTTTAAACCAAATTATATCTGATCTTGTAATTTAAGTCGATACCAAAAAACAAAGAGACATTTAATAATATTAATCCTGGATTTTGAAACTATACGGGGTGACTGGTGAATTACTATCGATATTTGAGGACGTGATATTTGACGATCATATATGACAAAATAAAAATTAATATAACATAAATATTAATAAACTTCTAAGTAAACTTAACCAAAAGTTATGTAATTAATTACGCATCGTGTGAACACCCTACAGATTAGGTATACACACACACACACACACTCGCGCGCGGCGGCGTGTTGTTGTATCAGCACGCCGCCTCACGCGTCCACACTTGGAACACTTGGAACGTGTACACACTTTATTTATTTATACGGAAATTTGGTCAAAAATTAAGTACCTATTTTTTTTACATAATTCGAATGAGAATCATGTACCGAGTATGCTCCTTAAATATTGATAGTAATTCACCAGTCACCCTGTATATTGGGAACGAAATTTGGGCCTATACAATATTTTTCCCACTCACCTCTACTTTCTTCTATAGTCAGTCTTTTCTTATTGTTCTTTTTCTTACAACTTTTTCTTTTCATAGTCACATCATCTAGACCCAACATCTCAGCGATTTTCTCATCTTCTTTTAGATCCTCAAAATCTGACACTTCTTCTTTCAATTCTGGAATGAGAACTTTCAATGTTAGGACAAACTTTCAATTACGTTTGTAATAGAATATATGAGCAAAAATATATTAATTTAGATTTGATTTTACAATTTCTTTACCAAGTAATCTAAACGCATTACAGCTGATAATTGTAACGCGATATCTAAGATATAGCAGGTTCGAATCCTGCTCTTGTAAACATTTTCAACTATATTTTTTATTTTCATATTAAATTGAGTCAAGGCAGAAGAAGACTAATACAGTGATTTCCACGTGACATTAATGTCACTTGAATAACAATCGGCAGAATTATTTTTCTCCAAAGAGCCATATATATAGAAATTCAAGGAGCCATATATTTTCACTCATACTATTTATTTGCTTTGAAGTAAATATATACAAATATGTATAAACGTAGTAATATATAAGCGAAAATAAAACCATATATAAAATATAAAGATGTTTGTTTACAGAGTAGCTAGATTATAGGAAATTAATCTAGACATTATAGTGATCAAAAGTCTACAAGTCACATTATGTACTTGCCTTAATAAATAACAAAACTAAAGTAGAATAAATGAAAAAGCCCTGAAATACATTGTCTAAAATACTATTAAAAAATTTTGATTTTCTCAGTATTAGAACTAGCTTTTTACAAATATTCATCAAAATCGTTTAAATATTTTCTAAAATATAATTTATAATCCCTACTTAATATTATAAATGCGAAAGTAACTCTGTTTGTCTGTTACGCTTTCACGCCTAAACCACTGAACTGATTTTAATGAAATTTGGTACAGAGATAGAGTTCACCTTGAGAAAGAACATAGGATAGTTAACATAGTTTTTATCCCAGACTTTTGAAAGGTTCTCTTGGAAACGCGATATAACGATTCAACTTTAAGCTTTTTTAACTTGGAATATTTCTAATGAGATTTTTGAAACAAGGGTAGTTTAAAATTTCATATATTTTCACTCACCTAGGAAGTATATGCCATTTTCATTTTCCTCCATATCCGAGTATTCCATTTTGATCTTTGGGACGTCTTCATCTGAAAAATACAATAGATTTTCATATAGAAAACGTGGAAATTAAATCAGAAATATTAGTATAACTAGTTTTCAAGAGAACTTCTCAAAAGACTGGGATAAAAACTATCCTATGTTCTTTCTCAAGGTCAAATTTATCTTTGTATCAAATTTCATTAAAATCAGCTCAGTGGTTTAGACGTGAAAGTGAAACAGACAGACAAAGTTACTTTCGCATTTATAATATTAGTAGGGATGGTGTTAGTGACATCATGGCAAATATTTTTGCGAAGTAGGTAATAGTTAGACGCAGATTCATATGGTCATATAATATTGTAATCTTGAATAAAAGTCTATAGTACATATTCAATACATTTTAATTATAATAAAGACAGATGCACACTTTAAAGATGGTCCAACGAGACATGATAAATAACGTAAACAAACCTAAATATATATGAAGGTAAGAAAATTTTTATCTGTCTTTCTGTTCTAAGTAAAATTTAATTGGACCGATTTTGATAATTCTAACAGTTAAAATAATGATCAAATTGACATAATATATTAGCCATGATCATGGTTGTTTCAAAGTAACCGAAACGTCAAGAGCATGTAGTTTAAAATAATAAAATACTTATAGTAATCCGAAAAATATTAGTTTCATTTAAATGAATACCCATAAAAGTCTAAGTTCTAATATATATGACCAGCTATTCATCTTACCCTTAACAGCATCGTCGAGCATCTTCATCTGTAGCTCGGCCTGGCATCTCATGACTTGCTGCTTAAAGTCGCAAGCATCCCGAAGCCTTGATATACAAACCTCGCATATACCATTATCGGACTCACAAGTCTCTAACATGAGCTGAAAATATGAAATACATAGATAAAAATCTTTTATCTTTTACATATATCTTTATCTTTTCTTTCTTTAGTAAATATAAAAGCTATAATGATAAAATAAGAATATTTTTTTTTCATAAAAAGTATTAAAAGTTTTTCTGTACAAACTTATAAGATTATTCTTATTATGTATTTATTTTGAAAAATTACTGAAACAAGGAAACAAAATAATATACATATTTAGGGAATAATTAACTTAATTTTCATACTTATTAGTAATAAAAGTTAGTATGAATCTTCTTCTACCTGGCCATTTTCCAGTTTTAGCCAGTTTCCAAACATATAACTATGTTTATAAAAAATTCTAATAGGTTCAGTAGTTCTTGTGTAACATAGTAACAGATATTCTTCACACTAACTTTTATTCCCAAAGAGGTTTGATATCAGGCAGGCGGCCGGTCGTAAAAACAATTAGCCAAAACTATTCATAACATATAAAGCAGAGCCTGTCTAAAGCTGAGAAATTGCCAGGTAGAAGATATATATATGAGTTAAATTGTTTAATTTTATGTTAATGATATATGAAAATTATTGTAACTTAAAATTATGTGATACATATTTATTTTAAGATATTAGTTACTTATATACCATTTTTTATGTATTTCTTTACTTGCATGGTGTTAAAAAAGATAGATGGAATATTTAAAGTTTGGTTTAGTAATTAACTTGCCATGATCAAGAACCGAAAATATATCAGAGTATACTTTGACCCGAATGTGACTCAATGACCTGATGTTTCAACCCCACAATTTTATTTACACTCTACTAGTATTTTCATTTTTACAAAAATATGAATAATACGCGATAAGGTCGCAAATAAAAAAATATTAAAAAGCGTCGCAAAATAAAATAAAAAGATAAAAATAAATGTTATTCCTACATATTAAATTCATTCCTACGTTTTTAGACAATTATATTATAGTTAATTGTATTGAAGCGAAGATCTAACATCATACATCCAACTCTATGTCATTTAATAAAAACAATGAAGCAATCAATTATAATATTTACATGTATCTCAAAACATTCCTTGAGCATATCCCCGTATACTTCTGTCTTGCCGAGGCATGTGTATAGTGATTTTAGGTCCTTGTCCGGAGGCCGCGCCAGGCAGCACCGGCACGACGAGCTCCCGTTCATAGGTATATATTAATTTGTAAATAATAAATGTAGAAAAGTCTGAGAAAATACAGACCTTCAGTTTTATTTTTTTTTATTGTGACATTGACAAGCGTTCAGCGAAGTATTGCCAGGTAGTGTTCATAGCCATTGTATTGTGTATCATAAAAATATATCTATTTTGTAAATATATTAAGAATATTATAATATATTACGCTATTTTACTTAAAATTTTATATTTACATATAAAAAAAGTGCAAAAACTTGTTTGTACAGTAATTTCCAAACGCAACCTTTGCCGCTTGGTCAGAAAATGGCGGAGCTTCGATCTCGTAGCGTCGATTGCTACTCTATTTTATTAAAATGAATGGGCTCCAAGAATTAATGTTGGTGATATAAAAAACAGAAAATATGGAGCAAAACATAAGTGACGGTATGTGCCGGTGTTGTGCATCAGAAGGTAGATTTAAGGACTTTCAAACAACATACCATTGGATGGGCAAAGAAGAAGTGTATTCAAAAATGTTAAAGGATTGTTTTGATATAACTGTGAGTATATAAAAAAAATAAAAATTAAAATTAAAAATACAATAATATTAATTTAATATTTTCTAATAACAAACAAATGATTTGTCGTATTTGTGTTATACGCGATTGCAATCGTAAACAATGTTTTGTTTTCATACAATATACTTAAAATAACTACAAGTTACTTTTTCTCTCATTTAATATATACATAATTAGAGAAAAAAATAAAAATTATTTGATATGGCGGACTTTGTATTGACCGGCGCAGTAAAACTGACGAAATGACAAATTCAATAAATGCATAAAGCTTAATTAAAAACAATGCAACTGAGAATTTTTTTTAGATAAAAATAATAATTTTGTTATAAATATTTAGGATTATGCATCTATTTCTATATTTAACACTATTTTTGTATTTTTTTCCTTCGTCAATATTACTAGAAAAATTATAATAATTAAACACAATTTACACTCAAAATCTCATTATCTTGCGTAAATCAGTCATTTTACGAAATAAACTTTAAAATATTGTATACCACTCAAGATTCGTATTATAATATATAACTCACTTATCAAACCTTTATTAGAATATCTTGTTGTTTGGGGAAGTGCATCTAAAAGTAGTATAAAGGATCTTCATATTTCGCAAAATAAATTACTAAAAACATTGTTCCATCTAGATTATCACATGTCAACTAAAGAATTATATAAACATACAAATGAATTATCAATTAACCAGTTATACAAATATAAAACATGCATATTAATTAGAAAAATACTTACGGAAACAATACACACACAAATAACATTTAAAACTAAAACATATAAACATTACACGAGACAAACACAAACTTGTATTACCCAAGACCAGGACCAAATATGGAATTAAAAGTATACAGTTTGAGGGAGAGAAACTACAGTGCACCCCCGGTAATCTGGCCCCTGTCTAATCCGGCACCCCCCGTAATCCGACATGATCTATTATTTATTATTGAATACATATTTTGTATTCGCTAATGCATGATTAAAAAGTTACAACTTGTACGCATCATCACTACATATTGTGCTCGACGCGTAGGGTATTGTTTTGATTCTGATTGCTTAGTTGGAATTTGAATTTGTACTTCAGAGTACATATGTATGTATATATAATATGTAAATAATTTTATAATTGAATCTGTAATTTGTTTGATTTCAAGGTTCTCTTTTGTAACAAAAAAAAAACGAACTATAGGGGGTTTTAGTCTTAGTACTCTATAATCGAAGGAATTCGATAGTTCGACACTGCCCTGCAAAATGTTTGTCGGACTACCGGGGGTCCACTGTATATAATGGCTTGCCTGATGAAGTGTTTGATGAAAAAACATTTGCAATTTTTAAAAGGAAACTATTGGGTTATTATAGGGAGCACTTGGATTAACCGTTCTTGAGTTGTATGGTTCGTTGCTACTGTACTGAATTGTTGTTTGAAATTATGTATTACATCTCATTCAAGTGAACATTGTTCTTTATGAGAAATAAATTAAGTTCTTCTATAACCACAAATATTTATATGTACATGTAGTAGTTTCATCAGAATTAGAAATAATATTTTCATAATTCATTTTTTAACAATGTAAAATCTGGCCAGACTGAGAATAATCTTGAATTACTTGATTGCTATAGCTCTAGAATCGGTTAATGAAATCTAATACTTTCTTGAGTATTCATTTAAATGAAACTAATATTTCGGATATACAATGTGGTTAATTTTGTAAAAAACTACATAATCTAGACATGTCGGCTACTTTTCAGCAACCGTGATCATGGGCAGATGAGATGTATATATCTGAAAAATATTACTTTCATCTAGACTCGGTTGTTATATATGTTCTTATATTTATAACTATTTTAAATTTCAAATACAGACCATGTTATTAAGATACAATTTAACAAGCATAATTCTTATACAAAATACTTAGAATATAATATTTTCCTACACAAATATATTCTTGATGAAACTCCATTCTATTTATTGTAAACTAGCTTTTGCCGCGACTCCGTCCGCGTGGAATAGTGACTTACGGCAGATTTTTGGTTCTTCCCACATAGTTCCCATTCTTGTGGGGTTTTCGGAATGGTCGAGTTCCCGTAGAATTTTCAGGATAAAACTTATGTTTTTTTTATTCACAATGAAGTACTCTTAACCAACAACATATTTATTTGTTTATTTGAATAAAGATTAATATTATTATGTTGATACAACTTAAACAAATTATTTCGACCTAATTAGGTACCATAAAAACGGTTTTTGTGAGTTAATCTTAAAAGATAGACATATACTGTCCCGTACTGTTTTTTAGATCATTAAAAGAGCTATTATTCTTTAATACATATTTTTTGTGTATCTTGAACCGTTTTCACGGCGCACGCAACGGAAGGCTTCAAAGATGAAATAATTTCTCCCGTTTTTTACACATTTACCACTATATCTTTGCTCATATTGGTCGTAGCGTGATGTTATATAGCCTAAAGCCTTCCTCGATAACTGGACTATCCAACACAAAAAGAATTATTCAATTCGAACCAGTAGTTTCGGAGATTAGCGCTTTCAAACAAACAAACAAACAAACAAACTCTTCAGCTTTATAATATTAGTATAGATGTATATGTCAAGTAAAGGGTCGAGAAACCTGAATGAAAGCTGCAGATGCCGGAACAATAATATAGTTTAAGAAACAATTTAACATACATACATACATATATTAGATAGGCAGGCAGGCATGCAGACCCTGGCTAAAGCTGGGAGGTTGCCAGGAAGAAGATAAGACGTACATACAGTGGCGGCCGGTGGGTAATCGAACCGGTGGTGCACTTTACTAAAATATTAAAATTAGAAAATGCCACAAAACATAACGAGATGTCAATCACGGCTCAATTCGTCATACATCGGGTGCTCTCGGTAACCTTCGGTCGCTCGTGCGGCGCTCGAGAACCGACTCATTACTCGGTACATTTCTATGAACTATCTTTTGTTTCACGCGTCAGGCGTATTAATGCGTATCTCATACAACATGTATTAGCAGTCCTCGTGCACTCGCCGAAGCGCACGAGATATTAGTTTAGTAAAGCGCTCAAACTTTTTGACTATAATTAGGCAATTTAGTTTTTTATACGTTTTATATGTTTAAAAAATAAATATTAAAATGGTAATTTAAAAATAAAGATGAAGTAATATTTTGTAATTTTTAAATCTTTTGAATTGGTGGTTCAGCGCACGAGTGCACTTAAGGTACAGCCGCCACTGCGTACATACATATATTATACAATAATAAAAAATTTCAAGCCATTAAGAAAAACCTATTTTTCAAATCATTTGAGAGAAAATTCATTAACTTAGGTTATAGTTTAACAAAAACAATTAGTGAAATAATATACATATATACAAGCTTTCCGCCCGCAGCTTCGCGCGCTTGGAGTACGGTTATATCGTGTTTCCAAGAGAACCTTTCAAAAGTCTGAGAAAAAAAATATAATACGTTTTTTCTAAAGGTCAACTCTATCTCTGTACCAAATTTCATTAAAATCAGTTCAGTGGTTTAGGCGTGAAAGCGTAACAGACAGTCAGACAGACAGAGTTACTTTCGCATTTATAAAGTTGCCTATGTGTTATTCCTGGACGCCAGCTTCCTGTATACAAAATTTTATCAAAATCAATTCAGCCGTTTGTGCATGAAGAAGTAACAAACATACACACACACTCACAAACTTTCGCAATTATAATATTAGTAGGATATACAAGGAATACATGAAATAAGTTTTAAAGATATTTCATTAATGATACAAATGTATAATTAAAGTTTTAACTAACTAATGTGAGACTATACTGTGGTAGTCATATGTTTAGGGTCCTGAACGGTATAATTCAATAGTCTTCAGATAAAGATATGAGAATTCCACATACAGTTACTATTATTGCTCGCTAATTCATCTGCGTTAACTTCAGAATTAGTAATATATGTATATCTAACTGGGCGAATTATTCTGGCCTAGAAGCCATGAATAACCAGTTATTGGAATTTATTAAGTATTTTTTTTGTTTTTCGATTGGACAGAATTAAATATCATATGTCCGTCTCCTGGTTCTAATCTATCTCCCCACCAATTTTCAACCCTATACCTAAAGCCATTCTTGAGTTATAAATAGTGTAACTAACACGACTTTATATATGTATATTTGTATTATAAAGAACTGAGGACTGTGAGAGAGTTGAATTTCAATTCCATGTGATATGTTCTTCCTCATTATAATTTAATGGCTTCTAAATCTAGGGATTCCAATATGAAGTGTATTTAACAATATATTATTTTTGTACACCATTAAACAATTCTATAAGTGATTTAATTTATTTTGAAATGATATAAGCATTTCATATTTTAAGCTAAGATAATATCTTTTATACACCACTTTATCTTACACTGTAAGAAGTGACTCTTAATACAAGACCAACTCTATCATACACCAATGTGTATTTTAGTGTATGAAATGACTCTTAAGACCGCTTCTTTAATTCTGGTACATATCAATTAATCCTCGTTTTCCACCAGTTGTCTACCTCGGAGGTGATCAGTAACGGTGGTATATGCGAGGTCTGCATCACTCAGCTCCGGAATGCATTGAACTTCAAGCGTCAGGTCCAAGTGACCGAGGACAGGTTCAAGAAAATGGTCCACGAGACCGTTTTTAAATGTGAGTTTGTATTATGTTGTTCTATTTAGTGTTGAGTTGAGATAATTTTTTATATAAATGTTTAAGGTTATTTTTAATATAGTGAAAATGTAAAGATATTTTGATTTTAACAAATATATATTGAATAACGTCTGTACGTAATCAAAATAGTGATCCTACCATCAAGGTTAATGACCTTTAGTTCATTTGAATTCAACAATAACTGATTCATTAATAAAATGTTATGGCATTTTATTTAAAAACTTAAATGAATACAGTCCTAATTTCGAGTTATATATACAGATTATTACTATTTTTGCGACTTTTTTAAAACAAATTTAGGTAGAGGTTTCGTAATATAAATTTATTTATATGTATATTATAGTATAATTTCTTTTTGTTTTCTCTCCAGCAAATACGATCAAACTCGAGGTTTCGAGAGGCGATGAGGAGTCTGATAATGAAGAATCAGATAAATTATCAGGTGAGCCTATTGTGTCATTATTTTAATTGTGGTTTTAGAAATGTTACTAAGTTTTACGTTACCAGAGTTTAAATGAACAAAAATAATAAAAATTAATAACTATGACCGAAAAATGGGTATACTTTGGGCGATTTTTTAAGTTTTTCTCAAATGCCGTTTATCTTTCAAACTGTATGTGATAGATTTTTTTCATGATGGTTACGATCAATCTTGTGACCCAGTTTCGGTTTGACGTTGAGTTCTGACACCCTGTATATACAGGGTGACTGGTGAATTACTATCGATATTTGAGGACGTGATATTTGACGATCATATATGACAAAATAAAAATTAATATAACATAAATATTAATAAACTTCAAGTAAAGTTAACCAAAAGTTATGTAATTAATTACGCATCGTGTGAACACCCTACAGATTAGGTATACACACACACTCACACATACGCGCGCGGCGGCGTGTTGTTGTATCAGCACGCCGCCGTACGCGTCCACACTTGGAACACTTGGAATGTGTACACACTTTATATATTTATACGGAAATTTGGTCAAAAATTAAGTACCTATTTTTTTTTTACATAATTCGAATGAGAATCATGTACCGAGTATGCTCCTTAAATATTGATAGTAATTCACCAGTCACCCTGTATATATATAATAATTTAATTACATCATTCTAAATATAATATAGTAAAAATTGCGACATTTTTCTCCAATTAACCATAAAAATACTTAATTCTTCAAAATTCTATACTAATAAAATAATTTCTTTCAGATTACGAAGTCGCTATCAAAGAGGAGAAAGAAGATGAGAAGCCCAAGAAGCGCCAGCCTAAAGCGACTACCTCCAAGATGAAGAAGGCCAAAACGGAAGGGGAACCTTCAAAACGTAAGTTAACATATGTGTATATATATATGGGTTTGTAATCACGAACAAATATACAATCTTGCTAACTATTCCTCAAGGTCACTATAGACACGATGGCTCAGTGGTCAAAATGACTGTAAATGTCGCGGGTTCAAATTTTTTTATATATATTTTCATTTGAATAATTATAATTATTCTGTATATAATTTTATTTGTTCTCGTGAATACAAGCCCAATGTATGTGTTGTTTTAATGTTTGAATATGCTACCGTTACATTAAAATATTGTATATATATCTTCAATTAAGGAGATTTTCAAAATACTTCTCAAATATATTATGACTGCACTTATTGTTTTTCATATATATGTCTATGAAGTACATACCAAATTATTGCAAAAATAACAACATATATAATATTTGGATATAAAAAAATGATAACAGTGGCATTTTCATTATATTTCTCTTAATAGATTCTGTTTTAAAGACAGCGTTGCAAATGTTTTTTTATTTATACATATGTATTATGTGTTATTTTTTGAGGGTAGGTTGTGTATGGGGAAGCATTTCATCCTATTTTTCTGTAGCTTCTAAGCTTGGATGGTTGTTAGTTTTTTGTTTTTAATTTTGTGATCAAACTTTAAATAAATATATACATTTTAGGTAATAATTATTATCAATCATTACTTATTTCTTTGATATTATTATAAGTTTTACAAGAAATCTTCTCTGTACTTTGATTTTAGATTTTTTCAAACTGAAACTAGTAATTTTTAAGTCACGCCTTATACCTTGAACATCGTGTGATTATAAATAATGCAATTCTATATTATAAATTGCTAGCTTTCGCCCGCGTCTCCGCCCGTATGGATTTATCTTTCGAAGTAATAGTGACCTATGTAATGGGTTAGCATGTAAAAGAGATATTTTCTGTCGAATTGATATTAGTATGGCAATAGCTTTCATTTCTCTAGATCGTTTTATAATTATTATAATGCAATATTTGCTTTTTTCATTAAAAAAACGGTCATTACTGATCTTTGTCCGAATATGATAAATTATCACCAAAAAATACACGTAAAAAACATATATATGCATATATCTCGGTTTTCGAAGTGTCCTATGTTGTTCTGATTTTTATTATACAATAAATAAATTTATTACAAACTAGCTTTCCGCCCGCGTCGAGTTCGGTTATATCGTGTTTCCAAGAGAACCTTTCAAAAGTCTGGGATAAAAACTATCCTATGTTCTTTATTAACGTCAACTCTATCTCTGTAGTCTGTACCAAATTTCATTAAAATCAGTTCAGTGGTTTAGACGTGAAAACGTAACAGACAGACAGAGTTACTTTCGAATTTATAATATTAGTAGAAATGGTAGTGATTATTCATTCCTTTCAATACGTCTCATATATGAGTACAAACTCAAATTACTTGAAAACACACAAAGTATACTCAAATCGTGGAAGAATTATTATTATAAAATATATATTAACATGAACAAAATATAGGAAATAAATATAAGTTTTAATCCATCGATCAAATAATTTATGAGTAGTTTGAGAGTCAACGTAATTAGCCAAAAATGTATAGCAACTGTTTTACGTCTCATATAGTCTGGATATAAGCAAAAATTTAATTAAATAGTTATTAAACAGTACTTGATATGATTTTAAACAATTTTAGGTAAATAATAGTGTTTTAGAAATATAAATGATTCATTTCTTTGAGCTATTGGTTTCTATGCAATCTTGTAGACTTATCGTAAGAAATTTCACCATTCAATATTTTTTACATACATATATAACAATTTTTAGACGTCTATAAAATAATATAATTTTGTGACGCTGTCAATATTTCTAAATTAGATTTTGTTCAGTTTCTTTTAATCTTTTCTCTCTATTGTTGTTTTAAAAAATATTTTTTCAATAATTAAGTGAATCTATTATATTTCAAAGTGTATGGATATTGTGGATTTTGATGGTGAGTAAAATTTTCAAAGTTATTGATGAAATAAATATTTAAATATCAGAAACTTTAGCAAACGTTATTTGAGAGATTATACCATACTTTTATTAAACTTCAGAATATAATGATGGTCAACACATTGAATATTGTTGTGCTAATAGGTAAAAAACGGTTCAATTTTAATATTACAATAGGTATAAATGTAAGGATAGTTAAAAAAATATCATCAAAAAATAAAAATGTGATCATGATTAAAATATACGGCAATAATTTTGTATGGTTAGAAATACGAGATTTCGTTTTGATAACTTTGAATATATAGGTTTATTACGGTACCACGAAAGATATTGTCAAACTACCCGCGATTTATCAATTCCATAACTAACTTATGTTCGGTAGAAATATCACGGAAATAACCTTTTTGGGATACTATGCTCTTTCCCGGTTACTTTACATCAACCGTGATCACGTACAGACGAGATGAAAGTGTCTAGTTTAGATCATGTAGATATAAAATAATTAAAGTCGTTTGTTACCTAAAAACTTAGTTTCATTTAAATGTATATACAAAAATCTTATATATAACGGATATATTTCACGTTAAATTTGAAAATAGGAGATGTGAAGGTAGGCGATTTAAATTGTTATTTATAAATATGTATTGGAAATATTAGCATTTATAGTAATTTTAAATATGCGGTAGAAATTATGTGTTAGGAATTATTTATTACTCAGCTTAGCCAATTTATCATGACATTTAAATAAGTTTCTACCTACGTATACTCTTATCATTACAGCATCATTAATATCTTGGAACTAACAAGTGAATTTATATTGCGATGTATTAGAGAAGGAAAAAACTCGAAGTCCGTGAAGACAACGGAGTTAATTATAGAAGAAGTGAGATTGGATGAAGATAATTGAGATATCGTTTGTTGTTATAGGAACGGACGGCGAACCGAACAAACGCAAGAAAAAGAAAAAGAAATCGGAGGTAAGCGCTACACCTGAGCGCATTGAGCACAGGGTCAACCTGACAGCCATATTGCAGTTCTCCAACGCAAGTCCGTTCCGGGATAAGACAATGAAAGGCTTCTCCTGTCTCTACTGCGCGGAGAGTTTTCAAGATATAGACGAACTAAGAGCGCATACGTCCCAGCAGAATGAGAAGGACAAAATTAACACGATGCTCGATTACAAACTCAGCTATAATCCGATCAAATTGGACATAACTAATCTCCAATGCACCGTCTGCCATAAAGATTTGAAAGATCTGAACGAACTCAAAGATCATTTGGTGGCTGTTCACAATAAGACCATACATAAGGACATAAAAGACACAATACTTCCATTCAGATTGGAGAACGGTCATAACTTCACTTGCGTCATATGTTCCGTGGTTCATATATCTTTCAAAAATCTATATCACCACATGAGTAGCCATTATCGTAATTATTGCTGTAAGAAATGCGGCGCTGGTTATATTACTATAGCGGCGTTGAGGAAGCACGGCAAAACACACTACCAAGGTCATTTCCCTTGCGACTTCTGTGATAAATCATACACTTCACTAACCAAGAAACGGAATCACGAAAAGGGGGTACACACTGGCGGCTGGCTTAGAAATAAATGTCCACACTGTCCAGAGATTTTTGTCAGCTATTATGACCGCAGCGAGCATTTGGTCAAAGTTCACAACGAAGCACCAGTTGTATATCCCTGCAACGCGTGCAATAAGACGTATAAGAAGAAATTCGAATTAAACAGACACATAAAGCACCACCACTTACAGCAGAGGAGTTTTCTATGTGATAAATGCAATGCCAAATTCTTTTCTAAGCGCGGTCTAGTCGATCATATGACGCGGCATACTGGTTCGGAAATGTGTTCCTGTGATGTATGCGGTAAAGCCTTCTCGAGGATTAGGACGCTGAGAGAGCATATGCGGACACACGAAGACGATAAACGCTTCCAATGCGAAGTATGCAAGAAGACATTCATGCAGAAGAGCAGTTTGAAGAGTCATGTGAAGCTGCATCAGGATGACTTGGATATATTCAAAGAATTTGATGACGTAAAGCATTTAATAGATGATAGGGAGATGACTCTTAAACAAATAGCGGCTGAGAACAAGATGAGATCTATAGGTGTTAAGTTAAAAAATCAACTGGTACATCCCTAACATAGATATTTAATCCAATTACGTGTCATTTGTCAATATAGTACTTTTGTATTTGAAATTTTCACGTATTGTGATAGATTTATGTGCAATCGTAATGGAAGGTAGTTCAACAAAAGTTTTCTGTATCTGAATTTAATAGTTTCTTTTTGTATATTTATAAATATAAGAATATTTTATGTGTAAAATATATGGTATATAGCAATATTATAATTGTGAAAGACATTTTTATGAATTTTAATAGTTTTTATATCACTTATGACCTATCCTATTTTTGACTTAATATTTGTTGCTTTCGTCATCATTAAAATACCTGTAGGCACCGACAATTCGATCTTTTTAATTTTCTATTGTATACATAAATCTTTATATAAATTATCTTATGAATTTATTAAAAATATAAATTTTTAATATCGAGAATAACATTATCTCTATATTTATATGAATTTAGTAAACTAGATATTGTTAATTTGATCTGCATATTAGATAAAAGAGAAATATACATGATAAAAGTGAAATTATTCTGATTTTTCTATATTTTGTGTTTCAAAATAAAGCACTATATATAAATGTTTGGTTTTTATTATATCACTATGAATATCAAGTTTAAAGATTTTAATACATGCTTCGGTACGATTGATGAGATTCAATTGTTTAAAATGGCTAAAAATAGTGAATACTTAAGTATTTTAACTGAGAGGCCGAAAGCTGGGTCTGTTTTCAAAATCATGAAGTCCATCCATGGCGATATAAATTAAGATGTATCCTACATCTTAAATGAAGTATCAAGATAACAAAATTCTACCACCAAAAAACGAATTTACTGAACGGCCTATAGAAAGTTGTTTTTCTTTTATAGGAACCCGAAAAAAAAGGGAAACGGCCGTAAAGGAGGAAACTGGGCAGACGTTGAATAGTGTTGTGTACCGTGAAAAGCATCTACGTGAGATGCAGAAGCAGTGGCACAATCTAACTACCCTCCTAAAATACTCTAACGTTACCCCGTTCAAGGACAGAAATGACGCTGGTTATATATGCGCGTATTGCTTCAAAACTTTCCCAGATCCAAATGTTCTAAGACATCACACCCATTATGACCATGTTAAAGAAAAACCGACGTACAAAGCCGGTTCTGGCATAAGCAGTTTCGTAGTTTTTTTGGATATAGTCGATTTAAAATGCACGTTATGTGGTCTATCCATGGAGAGCATCAATTGTCTTACCGAGCATCTAGTCAAAGATCACGATAAGAAATACTATTTAGGTGTGACTGACTACTTCCAGCCGTTTATTCTAACTAGCGAACAGCAAATACACTGCTGTCTGTGCGACGAAGTTTTCCATAATATGAAGTTATTGATGCAACACATGAACATGCATTATCGTAATTTCATCTGCACCACATGTGGGGCTGGTTTCGTCAATAGTTTTCGCCTCAAAAGGCACGAGACAACACATTTAAAGAAGAAAACTGGTTTTGCGTGCCGGCACTGCGGTATGGTTTTCGCAGCTGAATCTAAAAAGAAAGCTCATGTAAACGCTGAGCATAAGGGCATAGAAGGACATAGTGTGTGTCAAATATGCAAGGCAAGATTTAAGAATTACTATCAGAAGACCAGGCATATGATGCAAGTACATAACGTGGAAGGCATTAAATGTGATAAATGTGATAAGCGTTTTAATCTCAAATCTAATCTAATGCTGCATATGCGGAGCGTGCATTTGAAAGAACGACCATACGAATGTTCGGTGTGCAGCATGGGATTCTTTATAAAGCGGCATATGCTAGGACATTATATGGCCACACATACTAATGAGAGGAAATTTAAATGCGACGTTTGCGGCAAGGCGTACGCTACGCAAAATAGTTTAAGGAAACACATGAAGAAGAATCACGGTATATCAAAGAGTACAATGTTAGAACAGAATATTGTTAAGTGAAGTGTTTTATGTGTATGTTGAATTGTGATTGTTTGTTTGTGATTCGTGTAATAAAATGTGATTGAGTCAAGAGTCGGTTTTTTATTGTTCATTAATATTGTATTTATTTATTTGGTCTTGAAGTGACCTGATTTGGATTTGATATCCAGTCTCAGTCGTGGACTTAAACCATTCACATTTGAAGTGCTTACATTAGTTATATTTAGAAAAACAAGTACTTTAATGATAGAGCAAAAATTTTATATTGTTAATTGGTGTAAAGATAGATTAATATGTCAAGTTTTTGTATATGCTGAGAATACCAAAAAAAATAGTTGAAGCAGTGTTGAAGATGACGTTTTTAACTCGGTGTTTTCTTTGTAGGTGTGGAGGATCAAACAACATTAATTGAAGTTGTTATCAAACAAGAACCGATGTCTGACTCAGAACTACCAGAGGACGCTAAACCCGATACAGTTTTCAATATTAAACCAGAGAAAGATAGCGGTGGGGATGTTAAAAAAGTAAAGAAAACTGCATCCGAAAAGAGATCCAAAAAAGATCAGATTATAGAAATGGAAAAACATTTAAAGAATATAAGCACAATACTACTTAACACAAACGCTACGCCCATAAGATATCACGACGGTGCAAATTATGTTTGTGCGCTCTGCCCAGAAACATATCCTTTGCCATCGGATTTGAAAGTTCACGTTTTAGAGGAGCACGATGAAATAGATAAGTCGTCTTTCATGGAAGGTCATAGATTGACTTCCTACATGGTCAAGTTGGATATAACAAATTTGCGTTGTTTGATTTGCCACAACGATGTAGAAAGCTTCGATCCACTTTTCGATCATCTAAAATCGGTGCACGGAAAAGAAATGCATACGGATATACCGAACCATATCCTTCCCTTTAGGTTCGTTGGGAATGGTTTCGATTGCGTCGTCTGTCCCAAGTCCTTTGAGCATTTCAAACTAGTCCAGGAGCACATGACTGTTCATTACAGGAACTACATCTGCGAAACTTGTAATGCACCCTTTGTTAATAAACGGACGCTACAGAATCACGCCAACAGGCACAAGAAAGGCGATTTCCAGTGCAGCCAATGCCCAAAAATATTCGATACAAATCGCAAGAAACTGAATCACGTGAAATTTGTACACGACGGTAATTACAAGAGGAAGAAATGCCCGTACTGTCAGGAGAAGTTCACGAATTACGCTAAGAAGAGATCTCATATGGTTAAAGAGCATGGAGCTGAGCCTTTATCTGTGAAATGTGATATATGCAAAAAAATATTTAGCACGCGGGCGAGATTAAGAGGCCACACTCGCAGAGATCATATGGAGTGTCAGCACGCGTGCCATAATTGTGATATGAGGTTCTTCACGAAGTTGGAACTGGTTAAACATATGGTGAAACATTCGCCATTAAAGGAATACCAGTGCGACATTTGTAAAAAGGCTTACGCAAGAAAACACACGCTCCGGGAACACATGAAGATACATTCCAATATAAGAAATTTTAAATGCGAATTGTGTTCTTTTACATTTATACAGAAGTGCAGTTGGAAGTCCCATATGCGCAAAAAACACAAAATACAGATGTAATTATTTCGGAATGTAGTATTCAATGACTAAGTGACGAAGTCTATTTTAAAATATTTGATTCATCGTCGTCGTGCAATTTCTTTAGCTGTATTCAAACTTAGTGTATATTATTTCTATTATGAATCTCAAAATAATTAAATTTTTGATATACTCTACTCGACATATCGAACTAAAAATAGTACTGATCTCTTATTAATTTATTTACGTAAAAACTATGGAAAATTGTTTTCAAATATGGATATTTACTAGTTGGTATTTTTCTTCAAAACAAATGAACAATTGTAGGCTACGTATGTAGTAAAAATGTTTTAAAAAATATATTACATTTACACTCTACGATGTCTTTATGTCCTTTAGTCTTACTATTTCAATAAATATTCTATTCGTGCCTATTTTTTTTATTTTAGTCCATTTTCCAGTCTGGTTTGCTTTTACACTGCCAAAAGTTCTCTAAATGACAAAATAAATCTGAATTTAAAATACTACGTACCGCTACAGTTGATAAAGTTATTTTATATTTTGTTTTGGAAAACATTTTTACAATGCGACTGATATACAGTGTGTATGAAAAATTGTGTCAACCCTCTTAACAGCGTTATCAGTATCGAAAATAGAACACAATCAAACAACTTACATTTACAAACTCTTCAATAAAAATAATAAAATTAAATATTAAATGATTATTATATGTAGAGTAACAAAATGTTTGTACCCACTGGTATAACACGATGACACGCAATGACGTCATCACAGCTGCTGCGCTACTAGTGACGACCTTGAAGTTACTTTCACATTATTGAAAATTTCGATATTTAAAAAATCATAACAATAAATAAATATTTAATATTCATATTATTTCGATACTTATTTTGATATATCAAACATTAGTATTATTTTTGATTGTAAAAAACCATTTTTAACAGAAATAGATTAACGATTTATCCTAATAATACAACATATGTAGTAAATTTACCTGATTTACAAATTATAATATTTATTATTAATAAAAGTTATTTTAAATGAAATTATTTTAATGTGAAAAGTATAACTATTTATAGCAATATTGAAAATATCGATACAATATTTATCGATATACCTAATTTTTAAACTTGCAAATCTGGGCGGCCCGGCGCCTGCGGTGAATGGCCACGCATGCGCCGTCGTGACTATACGGTGCCTTGACCTTGTATGGTTCAGATGTTTGAAACATTTTATCAAATAATGTCGATTTAAAACTTATTTAGCCTATGCACTGTAACTGACCTCTGCTTGATATTTTTTAAGTTATACTATTTTTTATAATAAGCTTATACTTATATGTATACATGCCCTCAAGGGTTTACACAGTTTTTAGAACACCTGTATAGGTTTCAACTATTATTATCGGCTTGAATTGAAAGTCTTAGTGAAATAGGAATTTTTCCTGAAAGAGGAGGCGTTATACAAGACAGGACAGGCATTTAAAATATAAGTTGTTTGCCAAATTATAGAGAGAGACAAAGAAATACAAAAAGACTAGAGAGAAGATCGATTTAAAAGTTCTGTTTTATTTATAGGTCAGAAAATTATCGTCGTAAATGGTGAACAAATGGAAGATTTACTTCAGGAAAATAACAAGGAAATTAACGTTGGAACAGGAAGAAAGGAAAATAGTAAATCATTGATTAGAGGGGAAGTTATAAAGCATCGTCAGAATGTTATGGAAATACTGTTAAATTCAAATGCGACGCCAATTCGTTGTAAAAACGATCTTGGGTATAGCTGCATATTTTGCAATGATCATTACCCAAATCCATCTGATTTGAAGAAACACACATTAATAAAACACGATGAGGAAGAGGTTTTAAAGGTAGTTAAGGAAATCCGAATGTACACTGTTAAATTGGACATAACTAATCTACAGTGTACAATATGTGAAACTGATTTAGATAATATCAGTGACCTAGTCGAGCATTTGCTTTGTGGCCATGGCCGTATATTACATTCGGAAATCACGAACCATTTAGTGCCATTCAAATTTGATGATCAAGATTTGAAATGTGCCATGTGTCAAAATAAGTTCACGAAGTTCAGAAACTTGATTGAGCACATGAACACGCATTTCAGGAATTACGTGTGCGATGTATGTGGCGCTGGTTTCGTGAATCGTGATATACTAAGGAGCCATCTAAAGATACATAAGATAGGCACATTCAATTGTGAATTGTGTCCGAAAACTTTTAATACTTTGATGAAAAAAAGGTCGCATGTGACTTCGGTTCACCAAAAATGCTATATGATACGAAAATGTGGTTACTGTAATGATATGTTCGATGATTATAATAAGAAAAATGCCCATCTAGCAAAATTCCATGGCGTCGATACGGCCGCTGTGAACTGTAAACTATGTGACAAAACTTTCTCAAACCAAACGGCAGTTAGACTTCACATAAGGAAGATACATTTGTTGGAAAGGAAGCATGAATGTGATGTATGCGAAAAGAGATTCTTCAACAAAAAGGACATGATCAAACATATGGTCAGTCACACGAAAGATAGAAAATATTGTTGCACTATTTGTGGGAAGTCTTTTGGCCTTAAATTTACTTTGGTTCGACATATGCATGTGCATGACAAGGATACAAAAATAATGAACAGTTAGTCAGTCAGCTAATGTTTGTAAAACATTCATATTTGAAATAGATAGTTTGTGAAAATTTGAAGTTTTCCATATTTGGGATCGCACAATTGAGATATTTAGATAGGCTTATATATGTATATAACTGTATTTCACAACATGCAAGGCAGACCCTGGCTATGCCTTAAATCTTATTCGAGGAAGTTTACTCTTAGCGAGCATATGCGCATTTACTTTGATGATAGACGGCTCAAGTGTGAGCATTGTGGACAGTCCTTCGTGCAGAAATGTAGCTGGAGAGCTCATATGAGATCCCAACATGGCGAACAAGTTTAGATAGTGTGAAAATATTGTGATTACGTAATAAAAGTTATTATTAAAAGTCTTATTATTTTAGTTATAAAAGAATTTAAAATACATACATGTACTTTGAATAGATATTTAGGACTTGTGACAGTAAAAAAATGTAATAGAAATATAAGAAAATAGGATGTTTTTTTACAGGTTTGTTAAATACGTTACTACTTCGCAAATGAAACTGCAATAAATAATTCGTGGTTTTCTTTGTAGGTGTACTACGTAAACTCAAAAAGGAAAAGTTAAATAAGGGCGACGACTTCGTTCAGAGAACAGATATGCCAAGAGGTAGACAGGGAGAAATTTTAGACAAACATCGCACTAATATTCGCGAAATTATCAAATGGTCGAACGCTACGCCGATACGATGCCGTGGTGGAATCGGATATGCATGCTGTTTCTGTTCAGAACAATTTCCAAATCCTGCTGACTTAAAACATCACACCATCAAAGCACACGATGATAACACGAAGTCCAAGTTCATGAAGGGTAGAGATATGTATGGATATTTTGTCAAACTAGATATTACTTGTCTACAATGCAACATTTGCGGACTAGAAATTGACACGTTGGAGCAAATCATGATGCATTTGAAAGACGAGCATGACAAAAACATCAGTACTGATATATCAAATCACATATTACCCTTCAAATTCGACAGCGAGAATTTGAGATGTTTCATGTGCCACAATGTTTTCAATAGATTCAAAGCATTACAAGAACACATGAACTTACATTATAGGAATTACGTCTGTGAAGTCTGCGACGCTGGTTTCGTCAATCGGCATCTCCTTTTATGTCACAACGAGGGGCACAAAACTGGTACATTTGCTTGCGATCAATGTCCAAAAATCTTCGACACGCTAAGGAAGAGAAAATTGCACGAAAGGAAGATTCACAACGGTTTGAACATGCCACATAAATGCGGATATTGCAACGAGAGATTTAAGGAGAACTGTTACAAAAATGAGCATCTCGCCAAAGTCCACGGCATAATAGGTCCGTCTATCAAATGCCAAGCCTGCGAGAAAACATTTTCGACGCAGCAGACTTGGCTCTTGCATATGAAGAAGTACCATTTGATGCAGAGACAGCACAAATGCACTAAATGCGAAATGGATTTCTTTTCTAAGAGGGAACTCACCGACCATATGGTTAAACACACTGGAACCAGGGACTATAGATGTGAAATGTGTTTCAAATCGTATGGAAGATTGAAAACTTTAAAAGAGCACATAAGAAGACTCCATCCAGAAGACAGAGATATAAAATGCGTTCATTGCGGACAAGCTTTTGCGAAGAGATTCGCTCTGAAAAGTCATTTACTTGCTAAGCATGGACAAACATTATAATTGTTTTAGTTTATTACTACTTATAAGTGGAGATGAAATAAAATTATGATTTATTTTATACAATATACTATTTCAAACAGTTATTGATATTTTTTTGTTGTCATAAGTGATTTTTAATACAGTGATCTATAATATAGGCTATAAAGTCATTCAAATTGAGACCTAGCTTCCGATAAATAATTTCAAAAGTGAATACCAACAGATTATCATTAGATTGGTGATTTTTTTATGTAAGTAAATCAAATATACAGTGTACACCATAGAGTACAAGTTTTTCAAAATTAAAATAGGGCATTGTTTCCTAATATAGTAAAGGAACATATCTCGAACAACAGTATACACTGACAATTAATAATTGATAGATTTTAGTAGTAATCTAATTAAAGTTTCTCTTTATAGGTATGAAAACGATAAAAATTGAAAGAAAAACCGACGTCCCTCGCGTGCAGTTGAAGCTTGTTACCCGAAAACAACGAAGACTGTCTGATAACAAGAAGAACCAGGAGAATCTCATGCACATATTACTCAATTCAAACGCCAGCCCGATTAGAAATAAAGACAGCCTTGGCTACGGCTGTGCCTTTTGTTCCGAACAGTTCGTTGACCCCAAGAATCTAAAAAGGCATTTCTTAAGCGAACACCAGAGCGACAGACTGATAAAATTAATGTCTAGTAAACTTTTTGAACATGTAGTCAAATTGGATATCACGTATTTGCATTGTTCGCTGTGCGATAAAAAGATTCCTCATCTAGATGAACTTATGGTACATCTGAAAACGGAACACAGAAAAGACTTGCACACAGACATCAAAAGTTCAATAGTACCATTCAGTTTTGACACTCCGCAACTACAATGCGCTGTTTGCAAGATAGAATATTCCAACTTCAAGCTATTACAAGAACACATGAATTCCCATTTCGGCAATCACATCTGTGCTATGTGCGGCGTCGGCTTCGTTACAGAGCGTCTGTTAACAACGCATATGAAGAGACACAAAACTGGAGAATACAAATGCGAAGATTGCGATAAAGTTTTCGATAATGAAGAGAAATTAAAGGAGCATCAGAAACGATCACATCTGGGCCATAATAAACGGAATAAGTGTCTTATATGTGAGGAAAGATTCGTGGATTACTGGAAGAAAGTCGAGCATATGGTCGAAATACATGGCGCTCCGCCGGTTGTACTGAAATGTCAGGCTTGCGATCGTACATTTAGAAATCAGAGAGCTTTATCTAGACACACGAAAAAGGACCACCTTATGGAGAGAAAGAACAAATGTCCGGAATGCGATATGAGGTTTTTCAGCAAGAGCAGTCTGCAGCGGCATATGGCTAAGCATACAGGATTACGGCAGTTTTCTTGCGATGTGTGTTTTAAATCATACGGCAGAAAGAACACTCTGAGGGAGCATATGAGGATTCACGCTGATGATAGAAGATTTGCCTGCATCCATTGCGGTCAGGCTTTTGTTCAGAAGTGCAGTTGGCGAAGTCACATGAGGTCGAAACATGGCGATGATGTTTAGATTTTATTTCCTGATGAAAAATACCTGAATGTCAACACATCAATCATTGGATCTAATCATAAACAAACAAAAAATGATTTCCAATATTTATACACAATATATTCATAACAAGACGAAATAAACTAACATCAAAAGATATTTGAGTATAACAGGAGATAATATTAAATTTCTTTCGACCATAGTCCTTTTGGACTTCGATTTTATAACAACAAGAAACGAAAATTCATGAATATGAAGATGTATTTGAACTTTTTTTGACAGCAGCTCGTGCAATATTACAGAATTTAATATGGAGAAGAACTAGACTTAATTTATGTATAAAGCAACATTGACTACATTTTAATAAAGTATATTTATTAATTTTACATGATTGTATTTTTTTGTCAATTTTTTCTCATGAAGAAATTCTTAAAGACTTACAAACAACCCTTACAAACTTAAGCGTTTTTTCTTTAAAGTTAAAAGGAGATTATCCACTTAATATGCGGACTTTGGCCTGACATGAACAGACAATTTATCATATTTTTTTGTAATTAGTTTAAAAGCTCTAACTAGTAATAATGAGAATATGAACTTAATTTTGTATCAAAATGTTTAAAAAGAGATTTTTGTCATGTGAGGAAAAACAGGTTAAAGCGAAATAAAACAACATTTTTTATGATTTATTTTTATTCTGAAACATCATATGTTATTAATATGTGTTCAAGAAATTGGACAGGTGGTGCAATGTGTTCCTGATAACTTGCCCAACTTAAAAACCTTAAAATAGTCATTAGCAACCCACTGTCCTTCGGCCAACCATGCAATTACAATAATATTCTTTTATAGCTTCCTTACCATTGTGATTATTTTCATATAATATAAAATATATTTTTCGACTTACATGCCTGCTTTGTATTTTTCCACACAATAATCTGCAGTTGGCCAAAGGAATCGGGTAGTCAACCAATAGGTGGCTGGCTATATTTCTACATAATTCTATAGTATAGGAACCATCGCCTCTTATGTGGTGCTCCTAATACGAACAAGCTTGTTTTAGTTGGTATGTTCCACATACAATTAATATAAGATCATTATATTCTATTCTTGGAAATATGAAACTGTCCATGTTTACATTTATAGGTTGAAAATCTGCCGGCCTTCTATTTAAATTATTTTTGATAACAAAGTCAGCTAATGTGTTAGGAGTAAACATCTTTTCATTTATTATAATACAACAGTATATAAGGATTATAATTATATACAACAATAAAACCTCATTTTGCATTATAGGAATAGCATATACAATACATATCTATTAAAAAATGAGTTATTTAAATGATTAATTGAATTGACACTAACTCGTCGAGGAGCTATTCACTGTCTCATAATAGACTGAACCTGATTAAGATCTAGACCATGTCGTCTACTCTATCAAATCCGTTCCACAGTTTATGCATCTCAGAGATACGGATTGGTAAGAAGTCACTTCTTCTGTGTGCAGACTATCATGAGACACGCTTTGGTTTTGTTCAATGTCCATATTCAAGCCGTGGTTAGCGATGGAGCTAGTTTCGGGGTCCATATTACGTGAGTGTTGGTCATCGTTTATGCCTTGATCGGAGTCCATAATACAAAAGCCAGGGTCATCGTTTGAGCGAAATTCGGGGTCCGTAGATGTGCAGGGGTCATTGGAAAAAGATAGGTCGGAGTCCATAATGAATAAACAATCGTTGAAAGAAAATCCATAATAAATCAACACTCTCAATGAAGGTAAACAAAGCGAATGTAAACAATCAGTCTGTGACATATCAATTTCAATTTGTATTTTTTTTGTTTTATTAGTGTTGCAATAGAAAAAAATCATTAAAAATCGATCGAAAACAGATATGATTACGTTAAACATTCTTCATATTTCAGTTTATAAAACGTTTTAAATGACGAAACTAATTAAAAACAAATATTTTTAATTTTTTTTTGTATTAAATACATATAGTTGTATTAAGTACTGCGAGGTGATTCGATTTGACGCAATCGTTAATTGATCTTGATGGTAACACAAAACGTGGATCAATAAAGCAAAATCAATGAAAATACTTTAAAAATATTTTTTCCATAAAATACAAATGTACACTCAAACAACAATGGAATGGCTAGCTAAAAAAATATTTTTTTTTCATAAACTTGTTTTTTTGATAGCTTGTTCGCGCTAGGCCAGCAATGGACATTGCCCTTTGAGTCTTTAATTCTATTTTAGATTTGAGAGGTTTTCGATTGTACGTTCTATATTGTAATTTGTATAATAGCTTTTATTTACAAAGTCATCCATAGATGTACCTCTCGTTGCAACTATTTTTGTTAGTTTTAGATAATTAAAATATTTTAATAGTAATTTGTTGCAAAACTGATCATTATTCATTCATTAATATCTAGGTATAATTTTTCATACACAATTATATTCTCAATATAATTTGGTAATCAAACACAAATTAAAATTTTACTTTATTGTTGGATTAGACCTTAAAAATTATAGAATCACATACATACTTATTGCAACAATTTATTTAGGATCTCACATATAATTTAATAGAAGACAGAAACATCCACTACAGTATAACCTTATTATAGAATAGGAACTGAAATAAAAAAAAATCAAGATTAATCCCAAAAGAGAGATTTGAATAAAGAAGAATTTCTAAAAGATATATTAGCTGGAATTAAATAAGCATCTCTTTGAAAGCAAGAAGTTACTTTTGATATTCAATTCTTCGACTTGCCAAGTCTCGAGAACAAAGACTGTGTTAAAATATTTCGTACAGAGAAACCTCGGGTTTAAATACAAGGAACATACAATAATTGGAGGCTAGTCGTCGCGACAAAATTTAAGGCCACGTTCAGATAACTAACTGACTAGCAAATTAACTCCAAACTACTATTCAGTACTTATGATATTTGAGTTCAGATTCATTAGGTATACTCGTTAAAACTCATTCAAGTACCTAACCATGTAAATTCAACTAAAATCTTGCCCCGTTATAAACCAAATTGGGCTCTAAAGAACTCTTGGGAAGCCATAACTATAAAAAAAATACTTTTCAATTTAAAACTAAGATTACAGATGAAAAAAAACAATGCAGTAATTGAAAATGTTTACGTAAACATGGGGGGAGGAGGTAAGAGCTTTGCTTACTTTGGCTGACAAGGGGGATGGGGGGTGAATAATTGTAATAAATCTGCTTACGTAATACTTGAACGGCCCCGATGGATTGATGTTTATTGTATATAATGCAATATTTTAAATACATATATTTTTAATACATATGTATTTGTTTTTTACAATTCTTCTTTATATCTTCTACTGTTGTGTCTCTTCTTTCGATGAATTTAACCCGATGAATTTTAATTGAATTCTCACCATTCACTTAAAAAATGGATACAACATTTTCGCATTCACGTATAAATATTGCGATTATCACAAGTAAAAGTTTTTACTAAATTAGAACATTCATAAAAGAAACTGCCAATTTTTTACTTAGAATGTTATTGGAGCCCATTTTTTTTATTTATTTGGTTTCTTTTCTTGTAAGTACGTTTTCTAGTGTGTAAGTTATATTTTCTATAACAAAAGCTTATTTAATATATCAACTTTTAATGTTGTTATTTGTTTTAGATGATCAAGACACACAGGCGTCAATCATGGAAAGAAATCTGATTGCGCTCAAAAAATTAATGGCTAGAGGGAAAATGAATAAGATAGAAGTGAGTTTAAAAGGGAAAGGACATATTAATGATCATAAAGAGGTGACAAAACATCAGAGCAATATTAAGGAGATTCTTCTCAATTCTAACGCAACGCCGATTCGATGTAGAGGCGGCATCGGTTACGCCTGCTGTTTCTGCACAGAACAGTTCCCTATACCCGCTGATCTCAAGAAGCACACACATGAAGAACATTCAGACGAAGAAAAAGCCAAGTTTATGAAAGACAAAGACATGCACGGGTTCATCGTGAAACTTGACGTAACAGGAATGAGGTGCAAACTGTGTGATCAGGAAATTAAGGAATTGGAAAAGATGATTGATCATCTAGGAAATGTTCACGGAAAGAAAGTTTATACGGATCTGAAGAACCATATACTGCCGTTCCACTTTCCTAGCGAGATCCTAGAATGCATAATATGCTGTAACGTTTTCAACACTTTCAAAGCACTACAGGAGCACATGAACTTGCATTACAGGAACTTTATATGCAATTCGTGCAACGCTGGTTTTGTCAACAAAAATATTCTACTGCGCCACGGAGATGCGCATAAAACAGGCACATTTCCATGCGATGTTTGCGAAAAAACATTCGATACGGCTCGCAAAAGACAGCTGCACAGTCGAGCAAAACATCCAGGTGAAATATTGCCACACAAGTGCGGGTACTGTGATGAAAGATTTCCCGAAGTCCGCAAGAAATATGAGCATCTGTCGAAAGAACACGGTATAAAGAATCCCAGCATCAAATGCAAAGCTTGCGGCAAGGTTTTCGATAAGAAACAGTCTTGGAGAATGCACACAACGAGGGTCCATCTCATGGAGAGAAACCATAAATGCACGGAATGCGTAATGAAATTCTACACACGCCGTGAATTGGACAACCACATGGTCAAACACACTGGAACAAGGAACTTCAAGTGCGACGTCTGTTCGAAACAATACGGAAGGTACAAGACGCTGAGGGAACACTTCAAAAGAGCTCACTCTTAAATTTTTCTCATAAATATGTAGAATTTAATAATTATATAGAAAAAATTTACATTACGTAGTTTACTTTCTGTGTTGTGATTCTAGTCAAGTTGTAAGTTACTATACTATCCCTTAGGGAGCATTTCCGAAGAGTATACTTTTAGATTGTTCGTGTACCTAAATGTATTTTAATATTAAAAATATTACTATTATTTGTAGTTTATAGTATATAAAAGATATTTATTTTTTTAATAAATGTTTCATATATTAATTAGTATTTTGTCGTAATTTAGAATGTTTAATATTCTCTTAGGGAATTAATATGTCCACTTTTATTGTTGTTATTTAAAATAAAGATAACTGTACCTTGAGTAGCTTAGATATTTAATGTGTAGCTAGTCGTTGAAAGATATTTTTTTATTTATATTTTAATATATGTTAGCTGAGTCCTTGAGAGATCTCACACTATATCAATGTCAGATTGCTGTCATACATTTCTTGAGTGAAGCGAATGTACGATCGACTAGAGGTTTTATGCTACATAGACATTTATATGGAATGGATATTGATAAAAAAATAATTAAATAGGATCAAAAATATCAATTTTAGTCCCGAATAAATGAAGCCATGTAGAAAAAAACGATTTGGCATCGAAACGATGAGGTCGCTTATTCAATCCTCACCAAGAGCTGTTTTTATTCGACCGAAGGTAGTAAAATATGCTAAGAAAAAAATATATTTGAAAAATATTATCTCCTAGTTAAAAAAATATTAAAATTGTGACATCTTTATTGTGAATCTAGAACATTCCATTAAATATAAATTAATAAATATTTCTTTGTATCATTACTCATCCTATTGCTTTATTTAATATAATATCTAGTTATCTTTGCTTTTGATTTGCTCGGTATTTAGAAAGTATTAGAATTTATTTTGTTTTTTTTTTCATTTCGTTTAGGCATTTTTAAGTGATCACGTTAAGAAGACACGAAACAATATAAATCAATAATTAATTTCTTAGTCTAACCTCCAAACAAACACTCATTGACTTCCTGTTACTTAACAACGCCATCTGCTGTTTTGTATATAAAGCAAATAGTAAAAGCAATTAACGAGAAGTAATATTACTATTCGCCAATAGATGTCAGGAAGAGTCATATTTTGCACTATTCCTTTTTAAACCCCTATATACTAAATTTCATGAAAATCGTTGGAGCCTGGAGCCTAAAGATATAAATATCTATACAATAATTGCTCATTTAAAGATATAAGATTAAGTTTAGTTTTTCGATCTAATTAAGCGAAACAAAATATTTTAGTTACTCCGTTTACAGTAAAACACGTATAGTTATATATTTTAAAATGTGTTGCATCAATCCTGGTGTAGACACGTTTTTTCGTTAAACAACCTAAAGAAACAAGTAGCTTAAGTCTTAGGAAAAATTTGTTTTGTTTTTAAATGAACAGTTATAAAATTATAGTACTTGTTTGACCAGAGGGTCGGGAATTATAGAATTTAAATGTAATACACATTGCGTATATACGACTATATTTTAAGTCACTGATATTTATTTTAGGATCAAAGCAAGAGTCTCCAACAGAAAAAGAAATGAATGTCATATACAAGCGTTAAACAGAGATATATTAATCAATATTGAACCTCAACAGGGATTTAAATAATTACGTCCCACCATTCAAATATGTAGGCAGCAATTTGAAGTATGAAGTGAAACGATTTTGAAGTACTCATGAACCAAATAAAGACCACTACATACTACTATAGAGACCAGAATTACATATCAAATTATAAGAATTTTCATTTTAAAAAATCAGTTTTTAAAAGCCTTTACTTATCATCATATCAAAAACCTTTATTCACATTAGATAAATAGACAATTAAAGCTTCGCTAAAACAATTTGGAATCAGGAATAATTAATGTAATGACTAAATTGTTATATTATATTATTAAGAATTTAAGAATAAAAAGTACATATTTAAAGTATTACTTTAACACTTATATCACAATAATAGAGAGGTGAAAAAATAATTTAATTAATAACATATCTGCTTAAATACAAAATATAAAATTGATACTTTACTATTTAAGAAGAGAAAAGATGGAACTTTTCAGCATTCCATGTGGTTTTAAATATAAATACCTGTTTAGAAAAAAAATGTTTCAAATAGAATGCCTGATTACTTATTTAACAAATTTTAATATTAGTTCAAAGATCTATTTCTCATGCTTTAGGACTTCAAGCATTACACCAAAAGAAACTTGGTAAGGACTTTCATAAATAAAATAATTTAACACTTAAGAGTGCAAAAATAAGATGAAGGAATAAAAAAATAACATAAATATTAAAAAATTATTATAAAGTAAAATTTCATTGAACATACTGAATACATTTTGAGAAAAGTTTTGGTGTAAATTATAAATAGGCATGTATTTAAAAATAATTAACATCACTATACTTTATATACTTTCACTTCTTACTTCTTTTCATATATTACTACATGACACAGCGAACCTCATATCGCCTTATTATCAAGGAATATCTGTTGCATTTTTATCTGAATGAAGTTAATATCTTTATTCCTCTGAACGGAGTTTTGCCTGGTTCACCCTGGAAAACATTAATCACTCAGTTTATACTTTTACATACATATCAACAGCATATTGGTGACAGAGACGCTAACATATTAAGATGTGATCGACCTCAACTTCTCCAACCATAAGCCTGTATGAATAATAATTCATTTAACTAACTTTTTTATTAGTTTCAGAACCTAAAAACATTTTTATGTGATAAAATTTTATAAATTACTTAAAGCTATGATAAACATTAAAAACTTAAAATTTTTATTTACCTGTAACTGGATTTATCATCTTCATTAAAAATAATATCCATCTTCACCTTTCCAAAATAAGATAAAATATATTTATATATGTTCAATGTGTTTCAGACACACGCTGCAGTTGATTGTTACACCGGTGTAAAACAATATTGCCATTATCTACATTTTCACCCACAATGACAATAGCGACTTCATCGATTCTTTGGGCATTAAAATGTCTTATGTGTTTGATAACAATTTTGTGATTATCAGATGGCATGTGATCTAATGCGGTCTTGAATAATGCAACCAATGGGTTGTGTTGATGGAATAATAATTGGAACTGTTTCACAACTGGTCTTTTCACAGAATAGTTGTGTGCACAACGCTGATCGACTTGTCTACCTGAATCGCCCATGAAATAAATTTGGAAAAATTTATAGTCACTGATCGTCACTGGTGATAACTAATAAGTTCAATGATATATTTGTCCTTGAATCTGCAAAGGTAAACATTCCTGTATTACATATACATATTGTAAAGTGAATTGTTCAAACCACCAAGTGACACTCAAATACTTTGAGAGCACTACCATTTCCTTCATCAACTTTTTTAACACAATTCCTTCTGGCTACTAAAAGTAATTCACAGAGCTACAAATGTACTTTAAGCCATTTCAAATGATACACCATTACAATTGAAAACTTTCAACAATAGTGGTAAATGTTATTCAATACACTTACCTTAAAAGTTGGCATAAAATTTATTGTACTGTAGTCCATTTCTTTGTTATAATCAAATGCAGCTCTATAGGGTTAAAAGCAACACTTCTATATTGTTGGTTTCGGTTCCATCGATTCCGTTCAACTTTATTCCACGTTTCACGTTGCTCATCAGTTAGACTTGCTCTTCTATTTCTTTGACTTGAGGCATTACGGGTTCTACGATTTAAGTTTGTACGTCTAATTGCTGGCATGTTTTGAAACAAAAATGCAACTGAAAATAAAAAATACTATTATTATATTCCTATTCTTTTGTAATAGTATCAAAATGGTCTATCAAAACTTTCCAACATAATAATAATTTGACTTACCTTGTTGAAACACTTCAGAAAAAAACACAGAGTACAAATTATCCTGTAGAAACCAATGTGAAAATTACACTTAGAAATGGTAAATGAATTCTGTAGGTATTTTGTTATTATAAATCCGGCGACAAATAGTAAAACTGAATATGTACTCGTACAAAACCACACAAAAAAACAATTTGAAAGAATAACTGAACTTTTAAGACAGAGACAATACTTTATAATAGACTAATATAGTCACACAAACGTCAATCTCAGCTTATGTATCACGCATTTAAAATAAGTATTTTAATCATGTAAATCATAATTATTAATAAAAAAAAGCAGTTATTTTTTCATTGTATTGCTTTGTGATAAATGATGTTTTTTGTTTGATTACCTGGCGCATAGACAAACAAATCTGATGGTTATTATTATTTTTTGTGACTATTCAATTGGTCGGGTCGACGATCACTTTTTTTTAGTTTCTGAACGCGACATTAAATCCACCAACGACGTATTCTATGCTCCAACGCTCACACGCACACTGTTTTGATAGATATGATTGAACTAGCTTTTGCCGCGAGTTCGTCCGCGTGGAATAGTGACTTCCGGCAGATTTTTGGTTCTTCCCACATAGTTCCCGTTCTTGCGGGGTTTTCGGAATGGTCGAGTTCCCGTAGAATTTTCAGGATAAAACCTATGTTTTTTTTTAATTCACAATGAAGTACTCTTAACCAACAACATATTTATTTGTTTATTTAAATAAAGATTAGTATTATTATGTTGATACAACTTAAACAAATTACTTCGACCAAATTAGGTATCATAAAAACGGTTTTTGTGAGTTAATCTTAAAAGATAGACATATACTGTCGCGGACTGTTTTTTAGATCATTAAAAGAGCTATTATTCTTTAATATATATTTTTTGTGTATCTTGAACCGTTTTCACGGCGCACGCAACGGAAGGCTTCAAAGATGAAATAATTTCTCCCGTTTTTTACACATTTACCACTATATCTTTGCTCCTATTGGTCGTAGCGTGATGTTATATAGCCCACAGCCTTCCTCGATAACTGGACTATCCAACACAAAAAGAATTATTCAATTCGAACCAGTAGTTTCGGAGATTAGCGCTTTTAAACAAACAAACTCTTCAGCTTTATAATATTAGTATAGATTTGAACATTGTGTAGCGGTAAGATAGTGCAAATTTACTTTTTGACGTTAGGAACACACCTGCATTTCTTAGATAACAGTGAGTGCTTGTAATTGAATATGAACTTTATGTAATAGCAGTAAAGCTCCAATTGATTCTACGTTTTAGTTAGAAAACGTTTGTATGTGAAAAAGAAAAGGGTTGTTTTTAGGATTTCCCCGGCAATTATTCGATTTTTTCTCGCCGTAAGAACCATCGTTGGACTTCAACGAACATTTAAAAAAAAGAATTATCCAAATTGGTCCAATCGTTGTTGAGTTATGCGCTTACCAGTTTACCAACTTTAAATAGATTATAACTTAAACGCTTGAGTTACAAACATGAACTGAACTTTATTGAAATGTACATATATCTTCGATACATAGCGCTACTAGTTTTGATATGTTGTCAATACAATAAAAATAGGCCCAATATAACATTTTCTTTCAGAAATCATGTAATGTCTAATTTCAAAACAAACATTGACTTCCTGTCACTTAACAACGCCATCTGCTGTTAAGTCGCTAAAGCAATTAGTAAAAGCAATTAGCAAAAAGTATATTACTGTTCGCCACTAGATGTCAGGAAGAGTCATATTTTAAACGCCTTCTTATTTTTTTATATAATGAAATTTTCTAAAAATTTATCCTAGTTAGATCGATTTATCGCCCCCGAAACCTCTATATATACAAGAATTGGTCATTTAAAGATAAAATAAATACATAATCTTTATTAGAATGTAATCGTCATAATTACACTAAATCCGGGTGACGTTTTACAATATGATATTTTAAGCTACTCGTCTGAACGAACGCCTCCTCACACACGGTACACACATGCCGTTTATCGTTGAGATGCATCATGAGATGTATCCGGAGATTATTCTTCCATTTAAATCCTTTGTCACATAAATCGCATTTAAATGATCTCTCGCCCGTATGCTTTATCGTGTGCTTCGTCAGACCGTAACGAGATCTGAATCTTAGGTCACAGAAATCACAAGCGAATTTCCTCTCGCCCATATGATAATATTTCTGATGCTGTAACACTTGGAAAGGGTATGAGAACTTTTTGCCGCACGCGCCGCAAGATGGCGCTGGCAAGCCGTGCTCCTCCATATGAAATGCCCTCATATACGCGGGAACTTTTACGTCACACATGTGACAACTGCGTAGTTTCGGTCTCTGTTTTAAATGTACATGTTTGTAGTGCTGGGAGAAATTCTGTCTCTTCTTAAACACGTGCTGGCAGATCGTACAAGTGAAGTCTTTGGTGCCATCATCCGCTGTTGTTATTTTGAAGTAAACTTCGCTTTTTATATCTGAAATAGAAAACCGTCTCACGTAAATAAAAAGTTTTATAATAGGCATTTAACTATCTAAAATTTTCTTAAGTTCATGACCATAAAATAATGGGGTCTGGATAAAAGTTTTATTGAAATTATATGTATATATGTATTATATTTTAAATAATTAAAGTAGGTACGTATATTACGCAAATACTTCAAATAAAAAAATAAAAAATACAACATAAATAAATGAATAAATGTATTTACTAATGTATTTTTGAATTCTTGTATATAATCGTAGCAAATATCATTCGCTTTCAAAAAGATTTGTTCAAAAATTTAAAATCCATATAAATCATTTGAACACACACGCAAACAATATATGATATTGTCAGATTATTGAAAAATATACGTACATATAATATGTAAATACATATGACGTCATACAATTACACTGAAATTCAAATATACAGGGTGACTGGTGAATTACTATCGATACTTGAGGACGTGATATTTGACGATCATATATGACAAAATAAAAATTAATATAACATAAATATTAATAAACTTCTAAGTAAAGTTAACCAAAAGTTATGTAATTAATTACGCATCGTGTGAACACCCTACAGATTAGGTATACACACACACACACTCACGCGTGCGACGGCGTGGTGTTGTATCAGCACGCCGCCGCAAGCGTCCACACTTGGGACACTTGGAACGTGTCCACACTTTATTTATTTATACGGAAATTTGGTCAAAAATTAAGTACCTATTTTTTTTACGTACTTCGAATGAGAATCATGTACCGAGAATTCTCCTTAAATATTGATAGTAATTCACCAGTCATCCTGTATATATACATATATATAATCTAAACAAGCGTTATATTTGCTAGACATAAACACAAAAACATACTACAACAAAGTTTATTTAATATAAACACCAAACCATCATACCATTACATATGCTTGCTTAATTTTTAAAACTGTAATCTCAATTGACTATTGCTTTCTAAGCTTTTAAAGAGAAAATATTATTTTGTTATATGTGAGAAGCAACCAACATTTTAACCAACAGCAAGCAACAAAAGTAACCAAAACGTCAAGAGTATGTACCTAGTTGAAATAATAAACTAATGCGTAGTAATCCAAAAAAAATTGTTTCATTTAAATGAATACTCGCTAAAGTCTCAGATATCATTAATTTGTGAATTCATTCATTCAATTCATTTAGAAATTGTGTCACTGATAAAATATTACATCACAAGGGTCTAAAGAATTTACTAAATAAAACATTTAAGTCAAATACTAAAAGGAGTTTTATTTAATCTGAACAATACAGCAGAGAGAAGAAGAGAATATACAATAATGTACATATATGTAATATATCAAATACAAATCTATTCCTGAGCAAAATGCAAGTCCCTTTCATTCAGGTCGAACTTTTATCATCTGAAGGATTCCAGACGCTACTCACGGAGGCAGAAGTGGCCAAACCAGATGTCTTCATGGAATGAGACAGAATTTTTATAGTTGGTAGAGCCTATCTGTGGTCAAGTTACTGCAGCTCGAACATGTGCTGGCTCGATCAGGGAAGTACCACCCTCTCACAGAAGATCGGCGTGAAGTAGTCTTTAATGGCTTCGTTTCGTCTGATGAGTGAAAGAGACGGTTGCCCTTTCCTTTATTTTTTTCCCAATTAAAGGTATCAACGCATCCATAAAACTATTTTGCTGATATCCATGAGTGACGATACCACCTCCATCAGGTAAGAAATCTGCTCGTTAGCCACCTTTGTCACATAAAAAAATCGCAAAAGAACTCTTTTTTTCCATCTCCAGAAAATACAAAATCTATTTAAGACTTCCTCTGATTCAAATGCGTCAATCTATGCCTGGACAGATGCTTCTTCAATTTAAACGTCTCTTCGCACAGATCACATTTGTACGGTCGCAATGAGGAATGCTTAACCTGGTGTTGAACCAGATTTCCTCTAGAAGCGAATTTCATATCACACACACCACACACAAACTTCTTCTCGCCCATGTGATAAGTTTTCTGGTGTCGCAAAACTTGGAAGGGATAGGGAAATTTCTTGCCACAAGCGCCGCAAGATGGCGCTGGGATTCCATGAGCTTTCTCCAAGTGGTAGGCCCTTAAATGCGGGGAAACCTTCTCTTCACAATAATAACAGCCAATAAGTTTCGGTCTTTGTTTCAGATGGACCTGTCTGTAGTGTTGTTTGAAACAATCGCGTTTCCTGAACACTTTAGAGCATATATTGCAAGAAAATGCAGTTCCATTCTGATCCTCTCTGATAGTGTAATGTTGACTTAGTTCCGCGCCTAGAACAAAATTTCCTTTTTTCAATTCTACTTTCGTTTTCAGCCACTTATACTAAAATATGTAGTATTTTAATTCACTAACGTTTTGCACAAATATTGTCAGTTAATAGTCTTCAATACTTTCTGCCTGTATACTTTTCATTAGAATTTTTTCAGCTTAAACTGTTTAGAAATATCTACATAAAAATCGGTTTCAAAACATTTTGTATAAGTTTTTTTATGAATAATGATGGCCATAGGAAAATTTTCTTTAAACCTTTGACAACAAAAACATGTTCCATTTCAACAATCTGATGCTCCAGAAATATTTATGGAAAGTTACGGGACATATTTTAAATTTAAATTATTACCTCAATATCTGGGTAAAGTTTCCATTATAGGTATAACATCCATTAACCTCTGGCGGAAAGGCATACATGTTTAAGGAAATATATTGAAAACCTTATAAAATCTTTCGTCTATCCATATTTCTTTAATAAGAATAACTCTTCTTTAAATTCAGTTCAGTACGTTATGTCTCCAAGAAGTCTTTATAATTCAACACAAAAATATATAAATTTAAAGAAACACATCACAACAGAAAACTAGAGCAAAGACATTGGTTGTTATCATTAGGAGAAGGTTCTTATGTAAGAAAAAATACGAAAAATACTATTAAAAAAATAACTAGAATATTTCACTTTTATCATTTTAAATCATTTTATTACAATAATGTGTTACTCGCAGTAATATTCACGTAGTTAAAGAATTAGAATAATAAACAGTTTGTTTTTGGAATAATTTTGATTTATTAATATACCAATTAGAATTCAATAATCACAGTTAAGAAGACAGAACATTGTCTGTCGGGTCAGTTATACTTAATAAAGAAGTTAACTTCATTCAGATCAAAAGGTAACAGATATTTCATGATTATAGGGCGGTACGAAGTTCACCGGGTTAGCTAGTAGGTTATAATTCAGAGTAAAAAGAAAAATATCTAAAAAAACTGGTTAAATCTGAACATATCTATATACTTGTAATGATAAATAAATATAAAGAAAAATATATTGGACAATCTTATTGCTTATTTGCCATTAATGATTTTTTTATGGGCATATAGGCATAGAATATATGTACTAGTTAAAAAATGGTAATTATTGAAATCATCCAAAAACTGTTTAATATCAAAATTCCTATCTTCCATATATATATACTCTTCTTCCTGACAATTTCCCAGCTTTAGCCAGGGTCTGCCTTACATGTTGTGAATAGTTTTGGCTAATCGTTTTTACGACCGGCCGCCTGCCTGACATCAACCCTCTTTGAGAATGCAAAATGCTTCCATATACAGGGTGACTGGTGAATTACTATCGATATTTGAGGACGTGATATTTGACGATCATATATGACAAAATAAAAATTAATATAACATAAATATTAATAAACTTCTAAGTAAAGTTAACCAAAAGTTGTGTAATTAATTACGCATCGTGTGAACACCCTACAGATTAGGTATACACTGACACTCACACATACGCGTGTCGTGACGTAGTGTTGTATCAGCACGCGTCCACACTTGAACACTTGGAACGTGTCAACACTTTACTTATTATTACGGAAATTTTGTCAAAAATTAAGTGCCTATTTTTTTTACGTAATTCGAATGAGAATCATGTACCGAGTATTCTCCTTAAATATTGATAGTAATTCACCAGTCACCCTGTATATATACTGTTTTTTAGAAACTTCTTTATGTGCTAATAGGTGAATGCCCATAAAAGAAATTGTTTTAGATTCAGTATTTAAACACTTAGTATTTAACATCCAAACTAATGTACCCCTTAAATAAGTAACATAGCTTTATATTTAATTCTTATTATTTATTTATATAACATATTAAAAATATAAGAAAAATTTAATCATTTATTAGGTATTTTAGATGATTTATTAAGCAAAAGTTTGAAGAGAGACTTAGACTTGAATTAAAGCTATCTTGGTTTATATAGAAGATTTTTTGTTAAGCTAATAAGTTGTTTTTTCATTTATTTATGAAATAGAATAAAAAATATTGCTTCTATGATTAATAAGATTGTTCACAGTCGGATAATTATAATATTTTTTTGTAAAACTGGTACAAATCGTTAATTTTCCTTCAATAATTTTATATACAACGTGTAACGTAATTAACGCACACTCTCAAATACCCCAATGCGTATATAATGATATAAACGCAATGCATACACCAAATATTATTTATATGTGAGTTTGAATTTTTTATTTGTGAAATTAGTTATCCCAATTTCGTGCAAATAATATGGTCCGCTATTCAGCGACACTCTGTACTCGCCGCGCCCGCGCCCCTCTCTCCGAGTGCCGTCCGACAATAATAAGAAGTAGGTAATAATAAGTACACGTAATAACTACATACATTATGATTTTTCTTTCCATCACACTTTTCAAGCTTTAGATTGTTGGACATTGAATTTTCTTTTTGATGTGAAGCCAATATTTTATAATTACTGATTTGTTAAATTAAATTTGTAAATAAGAATTATTAAACAGCTGATAACGCGTGATTTGATTAGACACCACAATACCTACGACAAAGTTAAACACAGTCGGCCTGTTTAAATGGTGTGTATCAAAATATTTACAATAATTTAAAGATCATAAGCAAACTTACTGTTTAATTTGCACTCGCACAGCGTTGTCGTTTTAAAACATTTTCAAAATGTCCACCGCCTTGTTTAATGCACTTTAATGATCGTTTTCGCAATTGTGGTTTTATTTTAGATAATACTGCAATGTCACTTTTCACTTTTACAAAGGCGGTTATTATCTTATTTTTTAGTTCCTCGGCACTTGTTATCTCTGTGTTATAAACTAGCGATTTAATTCGCCCCCACAAAAAAAAGTCGAGTCGCGTCAAATCAGCTGATCTAGGAGGTCAATGGACACGTGCCGTAGGTACTTGATGTATTGAATGTTAGTGTACCGAAACGACACAGCGAAATGCGCGACTAAGATTTTATTTGCACTTTACACTTGACCTCTTTTCGATAAGGTGGACGCGGCGTAACTAACTTACCCAAAACACATTTTGTTGACTTCGATGTTTAGTTATTATTACTCTGATTCCCGGAATTATGCCTGCCGTCTCGCTCTATTGTAATGTTAATAAGCCGAAGAAAGAAGGAGAAAGTAATAATTTTTGTATTACGCGGCTTTCTTTTATGCACTGTAGTGACCTTGCTGTGTGCCGGTTGTCGCTATGGTGTTGCGTGCGTAGTTACTATTAAATACTATTTTAGCCTTGAAATAAGTATCAGTTTTCTTTAATTGAATGATGATTACTAACTAAATATTTCATTTTAAAAATCTTAATACCCTGACTTACGATCCATTTTCGTTTCCATTAATTTTCGTTTCTATGAAGTGTTTAGATAACTGTGTGTAGGGTGACTATAATTTACTTAGTTCTATCTAAATTTGAGAAAAAAAATGACCTACATAAAAAACTATCAAAATCGATCCAGTATCCGATTCTGATCAAACTACTTTCAGGGTGTGCGTTAATTATGTTACACGTTGTATAAGTGTTAAAAAAGTTACTTAAGTTATTTCTCAAGCAATTTTTGTTGTTGTTAAGATTAAGTATAGCAATACAAATTAAATATCCCATTCAACTTTATATTTTATTAAAAATCAACATGGCAGTTACAAAAAAGACTATTACATATAGCACTATCCCATTAAAACATGGAAAAATATATTATGTATGAAAATTTCTACAAAATATAGATCAAAATCTTCCAACACGATGATCAAGGTCCAACATTCTGTGCCCGGGTAGATTTGTTTTTGGAGAGTTGAGTTTATTGACCTTTCCATAGATGCCAATTAAAATTTGACCCCAGGATGATATTTCGTCATGTGGTAATTTAAACTAGCTTTCTGCACGAACGCCTGGCCGCATACTTTGCATACTTTCCGTCTATCGCCTGTATGTATACGCTCGTGGAGGTCAAGGGTAGTTTTCCTTAAAAACGACTTCTTGCAGAACCTACAGTGGTAATCTTTAACGGTTTTATGCTTGAATTTATGCTTGTAAAGACCTTCGAAGCTAAATGATTCGTAATCGCAAAAATCGCAGCGAAATTTCTCACCCATCATGTGAAAATTGTTTATGTGCTTCTTTAATTGGACTTTAGAATTGAATATGCCTTTGCAGGCGTTGCAATGCAATCTATGATCTATGTTATGGCTTTCTAACTTATGGACAGTGAATTGTGGCACAGTCATGAATTCTTCCAAGCATTCTGGACATCTGTATTTAGGTATTTTGTAATGTTTTGTTTTAACATGAAATCTTAGTGAAGACATTTTTCCATACGTCTTTCCACAGTGGCAGCAGCATATTATCTTTCCATCCCACTTATAGTCTTTAGCTTGAAGCTTGAATGTTGCTTCTCCTGAAGACAAAAAAATACACTTTTATTCCCTCTATCCATCTTCATACTTCTATTTTTTTCTAATCTATTCCGAAGATTCGTCTTCTTGTTCCAACACCACACTGATTTTTAATATCCAAATTCTTTTTTCTTTTAATCGCATTTAATAATCATTATATTTGTAATTAATAGAGTCAAATTTTGGGCGCCATTCCTCACGCATTTCCACTAAATGAAAATTCGTATGAAAGTTTGTTTGACGAGAAATCAATTAGAATATTCAAGAAAGTTTATAAAGACACTACATTGATAGTCTATTAGTAGAAGAATAGAGAGATAGAAGATAAAGTTTTTATAAGAAATAACATTATTATATATATTTAAATAATTTGATATGTTAATTATTAAATATACATGTATATATAGTTACATATAAGAGTTTTTGTCAATATGAACTATCCTCAATTATGAATTTTTCTTCAATATTATTAAGAAAACATATTATGAGTACCTATGAGTTGTACTATCCCATAAATAGTAAAATCATTAGTTCTAGGTTTATGCAGAATAAAAAGAAACTACATTTTATGCAAATATATTCCATATATAATATAGATTGGTGTAATCATTCCTACCTTTCTTTTCCTTTGTTTCCATGTTCTTTGTTTTCTTCGTATCATGCTTTGTCCTTTGTCTGCTCCTCGTCTTTTCCTTTGTTTTCACTTTTGCTTTCCTGTTCTTCAAAGTTATGTTCAGTTCGTCAGAATCTGGATCATCTGGTGGATAGGAAATAAAATTTTTGTTATATACTCGTCAATCGATTAAAACAAATTATATTTTCTAAATTTACGATTTTTAAGTTAATTCTGTCACAATTAATAAGAAATTAACACAAAATAATTACTAATTATGAAAAAAATACGTTAAAAGTCGTTAATATAGAAAATATTTCAGCTCAAACTTTCTTCTGATAATCTGCTTCCAATGTAGATATGTGGAATTATCCAATGCTAGTTACGCGGATTTGCACTATCCCCGACGATGTATAAGTATTGTATACACTAATTCAATATTTTAAAGAAAATTTATCTATTAAGACATAAATCAAAAAGTAAAAACACATGTATAGATATCAAAAAATTAGAAGTAATTGATTATCGGAATACAACTTGTACCTTCATCTTGTTTTATGTCATAATCTTCATCATTGCCATCGGCTAGACTGATGAAGCTTTCTTTGAATTCTGTAACATCGGAAACATATAAATAGTTATATATATAAAATAAATAATGGTCAAAGTCATATGTATATATATATTTATTCTAATATGCATGCAAGGGCTTCATCTTTGAAACAAAACATTATGATATTGCATGGAATGCTTTATCTTAGAAACACAGACTGTAATCCCTACTAATATTATAAATGCGAAAGTAACTCTGTCTGTCTGTCTGTTACGCTTTCACGCCTAAACTACTGAAATGATTTTAATGAAATTTGGTACAGAGATAGAGTTCACCTTGAGAAAGAACATAGGATAGTTTTTATCCCAGACTTTTGAAAGGTTCTTTTGGAAACGCGATATAACCGAACTCCACGCGGGCGAAGCCGGCGGAAAGCTAGTACAAAATATTTGATAACAAATACCAAACAATTAATATTTTTCGCCCAATTAATAATTAATCTCACCTGCCTCTGAGTCTAAATCTTCTTCTTTGATTATGGATTCCTTTTCAGAATTTGTTACTGAAAAAAAAGCATATAAAAATATAAATATATGTATGTGTATTAAAATGTCTTTGGAACTGAATTTTTTCATTTTGTTTTAGTTTTTCACTAACATTGTCTGGAGGCAGGGCAGTGCCCTCACCAAGTCGAGCAAAAAAGTGTCACAGCCGTACCATGCTTTTCTCGAATTTGTATTTTGTTATAGTATATAAAAATTAATCAGTCATTTATAGCAGAATTATACAAATATATATTATGAACATATATATTTTTTTATAGTTAAATATCTTTTCCTTCCCTTGTCTATCAAAATCTACACCACAATCTCTCGTTTCCTTTATCAAAAGGATTATTAACAGAAATATCTATTAAACATAATTTATCCTTTACACATGTTTTAGATATCGTAACCACAATTTTTTGATACGTATAAGTAATAACTAGGCAAAAGACTTAAAAAAGTTTTCAGATGGTAAAAACAAACCTTTGATTGTATTATTTAGGTATAGATCCATGAATCTCCCCTCGCAATCCAGTACTTGCTTTTTGAAGCTCGTTGCATCTTGGAGGCGAGATATGCATGCCTTGCATATTGTGTATGTGACCGCACATAGCTCTCCTGGCACTGGGATGATCTGGTAGTTGAAAACTTTGATATAAGAATTATATTTTAAGTATGCAATATTTGAATTTGTCATATATACGTAATATTACACGTATTTTTTAATAGGATATCGGAGAATTGAATGTTAGGGATTTCTTATCATAAAAACTAAGAATAGCCAGCTGATATATTTTTCTTATTCAAAGAATTGTAAAATTATTTTGTATGATCTTACAAATGTTTGAGATTTGATAAGATCGAAAATAATTTCGTTTTAATTTATATTTATTCAAATATGAGTAATAGTTTTGTAGTATATTGTAAAAACATTGTTTTCAAAATGGTATATATCATTAATAAAACGAAATATATATTTTTTTCATAGTTTAACTGCAGTACTATCTTCTGGGAGCACGATTAAATACTTACTTCAATATTAAAACATTCCTTTAACATATTAGAATATATTTCCTCTTGATCCAAATTTTGTTTAGGTTCTGCTAAATTATCGAAAGCACCGTCCGAATGGCAGCAGCGACACAAATTCTTTTCAATTTTCCAGATTTCTACTGACATTTTTCACTCACATATATTTACAAGGAACGACCTTTTTATTATTTTATTTATTTAAAGTTTTAAGACTTCTATCTCCAATTTGTCAGCCATATTATGTTATTGCTTTTTTTATACTATTATCTGTGGCTGTGATACTAAACCGATAAAATGTACTAAAATAACTTATCATTTTAATTTTATAATATATTTAATTATAAACACAAAATATACAATATTTAAATTAATAATTATATTTAAATTTTACATACACTTAAAAGAATCAGGTGTTTTTCTTGTTTTCATCACAGCCCTAGCTGTCATGTTTCATAAACAGTAAATATGTAATTGAAACTTGCTTTGCAATTTGATGTGATAATCCTATAGGGCTTGTTTTCAAAATGGATAAGAACTACACAAGCTATGGAGATTGTCGATGTTGCTTAGTAAAAGGATATCACAGAGATATTATGAAGGAATACTACGTAAATGGCACTAGAGAGGTGTATATAGACATTTTTATGGAATGCTTCAATTTATTTGTACGTATCGTAACAAAATAATAAATTTAAACAAAGTCTTTAACGAAATAACACCAATTAAACACAAAAGCGTATCTATTAATGCTTTAAATGTTAGATTTTTGAGAGCAATTGTTTTAATTCTCCAATGTTATTTGTAATTCAGACTATGTATACGAAATTTTTGTATAAAACAAACTTTATTACAATTATAAATACTTAAAATTAGTACGACTGATAATTCACCTTTTGATAATCTTTATACAATTTATTGTACATATTATTAGTACATATTAGTACATATTATTTTAACATATAAAATAACATTTTACTGCCGTTATATCATTTAAAATGATTAAATATTTCAGCTATCAACAAATAAACAGATTAGCGCACTGATATGTGTGTCGTGTGTACAGAAACTGAAAGACGCTAACAGTTTCAGACTGCTTGTGATCAGCTCGGAAGAACAACTTCTAGACTCAATAACGGATAAGGAGACTGTATTTGTGAACGGTAAGAATTATAATTACTTAAAATTAATTCTTAAAGTTAAATGGTACTTGAAAAACAATAATGTATTAGGTAATGTTCTTGGTAAACAATAATGTAAGAATTATAGGAAAAATACAAGGCTGCTTATTTATTATTCATTCTTGGAATATACTTCGAAGCTGCCCTAGTAGGTTCTTTTCAAATTAGGTAGAGAGGAGCTTGTATGGTGGAGGTGAGTGTTTAATGCCCGTTAGATAGTTCTTTAAACCTACCCCTGGGTCGCAAGTCCCAGACACTGTTGAAGCTATTAGATAATCTTTATTTTTATAGGCGTAGAGTTCAAAATCTGTAAAGCATGTTTATATTTTCAAATCATATAGGAAGATTTTATTTACAATACTATACTAAATATCATTGTATGAAGAGTATAAAAAGACTGTGTCAATATTAGTTAAACATATGCCAATGTTTAATTTGATGATGAAATCTATTCAATAAAATAAATATTGTTTACAAAAATTGTCTTGTTTTCTGGCAATACCATAATGTATATGTTTAGGTAAAAACAGAGTCAAAATTTTTCCTAAATTCCCTCACTATTTAAGTATTACAAAAAAAATATAATAATATTATTTACTAGTTTTCAGCCGGCGGCTTCGTCCGCGTGGAGTTCAATTATATCGCGTTTCCAAGAGAACCTTTCAAAAGTCCGAGATAAAAACTATCCTATATTCTTTCTCAAAGTCAACTCCATCTCTGTACTAAATTTCATTAAAATCAGTTCAGTGGTTTAGGCGTGAAAGCGTAACAGACAGCCAGTTACTTTCGCATTTATAATATTAGTATGGATATATATATATATGTTCTGGTAATCTCCAGTTGGTGTTCAATCCAAGGTGAAGACGGAGCAGAGTGATGTGAAGATAGAACAAGATGACTCGGTCTTGGATTGTGAGGAGTTTATATGTGATGAAGGTAAGTTGATTAAACAAACACCTGGAACACTACCAAGCAATAGTTTATTAATTATTTTATAATAATAATAATAATAATAATATTTATTTGCTCCGAATGTAGGTACAGAATATAGGTGTATACAATAGAATCTAGTATAAGTTCCAGTACATTCTACCTTAAGGCATGCAAATATTAGGCTTAAATTATAAATTAAAATTAACCATTAAATTAAAATTAGAAATTAAAATTTATTAATATTTATTTATTTATTCAGATACACCATCGACTTATCATAATAACTAAATATTATATGCACTAAATATACAATCCAGTAAGATTAGCCTTTACAGGTGTATACAACATTGTTTTTTTTACTAAAATACAGACTAAGATAAAACAAGCAAAATAAGGACTAGGTTAAAACAAAGTTAAAAACTAGGAAACAAACAAACATTGTGTTATATTGTGTTTTTCTAGGAAATTTCATCATGTTTTGTCACTCAATCTTTAAGTTAACTAGTAGAAATTCGATTTCAGTACTAATCTCAATCTTTTGTGCAGTTTTTTTGGTCATGAGGAATGAATTTAAATGAAAAAACTTAATTCCTTAGTGAGATCTAAGATTTTCGAGTTTTATTCATTTCAATAATTCCCTAATTCTCCACTTAGTGATTTGTAAAAAATGTAAATCTAACTAATATTTTTGTCTAATAAGATGATAGAGTAACTATTACTTGCCTGGTGGAGTATTCGCTATGTTTGATGCCTCTTTACTTGTTTTTGATATATCGTCATGGATAATTCAAAACCGCGTAACTAACTTAAGATAATTCCGCGTATCTGCATTTTAAGTCATTATCAGAAAAAGTTTAAGCTAAAATATTTTCTAAATTAACTACTTTTAAAGTATTTTTTTCACAATTAGTAATAAATAAAATACTAAATAATTATCCAATGGCGGTTTTGCATTATCCCCGACGATATATTGGTATGATGTCATGATCTCTGCATCTCTTGAGTAAATTCAAGGACGATAATAATTTAGCCTTTTTTGTCTTTAAGTACACAAATTAGCGTATTTTGTTGCCAATTTCCATTCCGTACTGGTTCACATAATGAGATGTGAGAATTTCGTGAGTATTCATTTAAATGAAACAAATATTTCGGACTAACGCGTAGTAATCAAAAAATATTATCTTCATTTAAATGAATACTCGCGTAAGTCTTAGATCTGAACAAATAAATGTATTTTTTATATAACTAGCTGCGTCCCGCGGTGTTACCCGCGGATTTCCGGGATGTAAAGTAGCCTATGTGTTATTCCTGGACGTCAGCTTCCTGTATACAAAAATTTATCAAAATCGGTTCAACCGTTTGATCGTGAAGAAGTAACAAACATACACTCACTCAAACTTTCGCAATTATAATATTAGTAGGATAATTTTAATACTAAATAGCTTTAAAACCATTACAGAGACAAAGGATGAGGATTTCGTAGATAGAGAAGCGGAAATATTGTCCAGGTTTCCATTTACCAAGAAACTGCCTGATAGAAAAAGTTTGTACACAACCTGCAAAGGCTATGTGACACACTTGGATCTGCTGGAAGGTAATATAATAAATTAGGCTATTAATTGAGTCAGTGGTGGCCTAGTGGTTAAAGGGCCCGCCTCTCATGCATGAGGGCGCGGGTTCGATCTTGGCCCTGGCAAGTACCAATGTGATTATTCCGAGTCATATGTACTTTCTAAGAGTATATAGACATCACTGATTAATGCATTCCCAAAAGACGGTTGATGTCAGGCAGGCGGCCGGTCGTAAACACAATTAGCCAAAACTATTCACAACGTGTAAGACAGACCCATGCTAAAGCTGGAAAATTGCCAGGTAGAAGAAGTACTAAGATTAATTTTAATTCCGTATTTATAAAGACTTTGCAAGTACCCACCAAAAAAAAACATTTTTTACAATTTTTTTAAAGTTTTTCCTTTTAATTAATGATTACAAAGTTTTTCGCGTCAATTTTTGTCATATATATATTAATAATTATTAATCGAATTATAATTCGATTGATAGACCTAAGATATATGTGGTATCTTATTCTTTTTCCTCTCTTGGTCCCAATTTATGTAGGGTCGGCACAACATGTTCTTCCACAGAACATGTTGTGAATAGTTTTGGCTAATTGTTTTACGACCGGCCGCCTGCCTGACATCAATTCTCTTTGGGAACATAAAATGAGTTGTCTGTTGATCATAAAATATAGAACCTTACATAGTTAGCATAAAAGTATTATAGCCATATAATATGTAAAAATACATATAAAAAAAAAATTAATACAATTTTACATTAATTACGATAGCTACAAAGTGAATTATCATCTCATTTCTACTACACTATTGTTGCTATAAATTTTTTGATCTCATATTTTTTCTTAGTCGTATTATTGTAATATAACCAAAATAATTTTCCAGGTAAATTAGTTCTCCCGAAAATGATCGCAAAATTATTAGAGAACGACAATGAAAGATCTTCAAAGAAAATATTTGTTACTGAAAAAATGGCTCATATACATAACGCGTCCACGCTTCTAGAATATTCGAATGCGACGCCATTCAAGAGCAAAAATAGATCGGGTTTTCCTTGCTTCTTCTGTAGAAGCATACATGATAGCTTGGAAAAACTAAAAGAGCATCAAAGTAAATCACACAAAAGGACAGAAATCAAGAAGATTTTGGCGACTTATGGAGCCGAATGTTTGGTGGTGTATGTAGACATAACAGATTTGAAATGCACCATCTGTGACACAAATGTACCTAGTCTGAACGAACTAAAAGACCATTTGATGAAAATACACAAGAAGAAAATACATTTAGAGTACACAGATAGGGTCATACCATTCAAATTGTCGACAAACAGCATATACGAATGCCAAGTGTGCAGATTTAACTTCGAAACTTTCGGTTCGATCGAACGGCACATGAATGTACACTACAGGAATTACGTTTGCAACCAGTGTGGAACAGGCTTTGTAACGAAATACCGGTTGAAAGTACACATGAAAAGCATGCATGTAGGTGGTGCATATCCATGTGATATATGCAAAAAAGTATACACAACCCAACAGAAACACAAAAACCACGTAGACACGGTCCACAAAATGATAAAAAGATTCAAATGCACCAAATGTCCCGAGCGTTTCTCAGAATATTTCAGACGTCAGAAACATTTGGTGGATGTCCACGGTTTGGCGCCACTGCATTACAAGTGCAATGTCTGCGACAAAACATTTGATAGGCGTTACACATTGTCTCGTCATATGAAGCGTGATCATTTAGAAGAGAGGGACTATCAGTGCCAATTGTGCTCATACAAATGCTTCACCAACAACGAACTGAGCGTGCACATGATAAAACATAATGGTGAGCGAATACATGAATGCACTGTTTGCAATAAGTCCTATGCGAGGAAGAAAACTCTCAGAGAACATATGCGTATACATAATAATGATAGGAGATTCGCATGCGCTGTCTGTGGACAATCGTTTGTACAGAAATGCAGTCTGAAGGGCCATGTTAAAACACATCATATGGATTATGTAGTGCAATAAATTATTATAAATCTATGGTTTTTTTTCATTCCCTAGTCTTAAAAAAACTAAAGTTTAAAAATTATCTATGATTATTAAATATACCTACGCGTTATTTGAAATTTTTATTAACGAGATGATTCTTTTCATTTCAAACTCTTCTAGCTCGTTTCTCTGAAATAACCGAATTATCTAGTAAGATAAAATAATTCCACCTATATCCAAGGCAAGTACGTAAGACTAAAGTCAAAAAAAATATAGTAATTGTCAAAAGTGGCGGCATTCGTGCCGTACTAATTATAATACACTATAATACTTAAAATTATTTTTATGAATGATTACAATTAATCATAATATTGAACTATAGTAATATTGTATACAACGTTTAAGTGTCAACTTGTATTTGAAAATTATAAATACTGGCTTCAGTCATTTTGTAACACATTACTAGAAGTAATTAATATTATCAAGGCTGAAACTTATCCTCGAACACAATCTATCCAGAGGTTTTGGCGTGAAGCATACACAATTAGTCCTTAATACTTTCCAAGTGATGATGATGCGTACAAATAGGTCTTTCAAAACCGGCAAATATTTAAAATCATCTCCACTATAATATTATTAGTCATTGGTGGAGTAGAGGTTAAAGGCCCGAGTCTCGTTCATGAGGGCGCGGGTCCGAAACCTGGCAAGTACCAATGTGATTTTTCCGAGTCATATGTACTTTCTACGAGTATTTTGACATCATTGACTGATTAAGGAAAACATCGTGATTAAACATGGACTTATAATTTCACAATTAAAAGTTTGAAATCCAACCCGTCTAGAGCAAGCGTGGTATTTAATGCTCAAACCTTCTCCATGTGAGAAGAGGCCTTTTCTTAGCAGTGGGTTCTCAAAAGGCCGATGACTACGATATTATTTATTAATATAATAATCTGACAATGTTTCTCAGATGTAATGGTGATAAGACCTCAGAAGATGTACATGAAATAAAATTAACTCAAGTTATATCTTATCATATGACTTTTTGCCAGTCAATTAAATAAATATTGGTCCAGCTTTTACAGGAACTAGCCAGAACAAGATGTTATATATTTTTTCGGTATATATATTTGCTACTTAAATCCATAACTAATGCATAGACATTACATATTATATATGTATATATTCTCAACAGTGTTTATATCTGTTACAGCCACCTTGGAATCATTGATTACTATTAAACAGTTTTTGAAACACTTATAATAAATTTAATAACTTACAAGATAGCTTTCTTTAACTATTTTTACAAAGAAGATCTGGATTCAAAGGCTATTAAAACATAACTTAAATATATTTCATGACAAAAACTGTTATATTTTCTCTTGAATATGGTTTAAGCATTAATCAATGTAAGAATAAGAATTCAAATATTAATTGGGCCTAATAATTTCTGAAACTGCCACAGAACATTCCGTCAAAGATTATTTGTAGATAATAGACTCAAAAAAAGACAAATTAAATGATTTAAAGTTTATTTGAAAGTTGTAACAATTATCACATCAGCTTTATTACACTTATTATTAGTTATATATATATATTCTTTATTATCTAAACAGATTTCTTTTCTAACAAATCAACATATGCACATTGTATTAAATCTTCGTCTCTCACTCCGAGCTTTGTTTGTATATCTTTAGCTATATCCTGACCTTCCTCAAGTGTTTGTTCTGGACATAGAACTACTTCTATTTCCATGAAGTCACCCAAATCCTCGACTTTGTCGATATGAACACGAGTTTGACCGACCATGTAGAGTTTTCTGGAAATATACAATTTTATTAAGAACTAGAACTTGTTTTTTGATACTAAGATAAAAAAAAATTACTTATTGGAGTATAAAAAACGTTTATGAAGTGTAACAAGAGTAAAGAGTGTATTATTCAACTTTTCTTATTGATTTTAAACAGGAAATACATATGTGACGAACCATTCTTTTAAATCACGAAAAAATAAAAGTTTAAAATATATATTCTTGATGTGTAGAGCAAGTTAGTCAAAATATATAGTAAATAGTATAACAACAGTATATTGGTTGGTTGTTTAAAATACGACCTTCATCCGTACAAAGAACTACAAAACAATTGCGTATTATTCAACGCTTATTTTCTACATTATAAATAGAAAATTTGACGTACCGTTCTTTTACAACTCTCCCTCTAGCTCCCATACACTTTCGCAGGATATCATCCAATTGTTTTATTGTTTCTGTTTCATTATTAGAAAATTCAAGAAGATCGTAATCACTTAGCTTTGGACCAGAAACGTCGCTTCTGCTGTATCGTACGAGTGTAGCTGACTTATCAGCGTATATTCTCATTTTAAGTCTACCATTATTCGTTTTATAGAACGTATCATCCTGATGTATTATTTCTGGTGGACCGCCGCTAAGTTCCTCAGCGATCTTACAGATTTTTTCCATATCATGAACAACGGCTTTTATTTCTACGTTGCGCATTGTTTTTTATAATGATAGAGTGGTAAATAACATTAAATAAAGATGAAGAAAAGAAATTTAGACTGGTTTTCCTTTTGATAATTTTCACGACAAAATCTTATTGGAATAAGGTAGTTTACTGTTTAATACTTTTTGACTTTTACATGTTATTGTTTATACTTCACCGGCAATTTTTATTTTATTTTTTGTAAATGATTTTACGGCTCTGGATACGAGTCCTTTGAGCTCCAATTTTTTCATTAAACTGATATTGGCCGATACAAAATATGAAAATGCATTGTGTACTTCTACTTCTTTCAGTAAATAATTATTTTATCATACTTTACTTTTGTATGCAGTCATTTTTTTTGTTTAACCAGGGGAAATAATAATGCAGTCATTAAATAAAAAAAAAACTTTTTTATTTAATGTGAGAGTAATTTTTAATAACGCAAAATGTTAGTTGGTTAAGGCATTAGTATTTTTAATGGCAAAGCGTTCAATACTGTAATGTCTACAAGAGTTAATTTTAAAATGTATCAGTTAAGAACAAAAATTTGTGATGACTGCTATATACCCCCAACACCATATTGACAAAATATTTTCTCTAAAAAATTCGAGGTTATTGGATAAAATAAAACACAGCATAGAAGCGAACACACGTTCAGATCCCGATGTCAACTAAAGGTGGTACTTTGCTTGGCATTGCGTATTCGCCGTATTTGTCCAAATATAAGTACGTAGTCGGTAGTCCAAATAGCCTGTTTTTGGCGACATCCTGCAATATTTTTAAATATCAACCACGTGTAAAGTTTTTGAATTCTCTAAATAAAATTAAATGGGCCTTCATTTAATATAACAAAATTTGCGTCGCTAGAACATAAAATGGAAGGAAGAAGGGAAGGGACAAGGGTTAAATCGCGACTGTAAATTAAATCTCACCAAAAACATGCCTGTTAAAAAGGGGGCCAAGTTCCAATCGGCTAATTGTTTGCCTCAAAAAGGGGTGAAATCCAATCTAATGCCAAGTTTAGATGCACTTTGAAATCGATCATACTCATCTTCATCAACAGCATGATCCACTGGTAAACATTAGCCATTCCCAAGACTCGCCACCACACCCAGTCCTCTGCCTTCCACATCCAGCCACTACCCGCCACCTTATTCACGTCAACGGTCCATCTGACTGAAATTAACTTTACCATACACCCAACTTAAAATATGGTATAGTTGTGAAAATACGTAGGTGCTTGGTTAAAAATATCTAAAATTATAATACTTCTCAATTTGAACTTGGTAGGTTTTTGTGCTGTACGTAACACTTAATTAAATGTATCATTAATTTATTATTTAGTTATATAATTATTTATATAATTTAAATATTATATAATTTAAATAATTAAATTAATTAGGCGAGTCTTGGGAATGGCAAATGTTTACCAGTGGATCATGCTGTTGATGAAGATGATTATGATCGATTTCAAAGTGCATCTAAACTTGGCATTAGATTGGATTTCACCCCTTTTTGAGGCAAACAATTAGCCGATTGGAACTTGGCCCCCTTTTTAACAGGCATGTTTTTGGTGAGATTTCAATACTTTTTTTCAAGAAATCATACATACAATCGTACTATACAGCCGTACAATGCATAACTTACAGCATGAAACATACAGCTACCATCTGATGGCATAGGAATTACCCTATGTGGTATATCTCTGCCAACCACCGAAAGATGTACAATTTCCATCGTTGGTAAATGAATAGTAGAAAAGAAATAGAGTGAATTTGTGCTTTTAACACACACAAGTAATCAATCAATAAGCAATATCAAAATTAATCCTTTAGCAAGTCAAATCAGTGATCCATTTAGTCGTAATCGTAACCATATATAAGATATCAAGACATAAGTGTATAAAGAAATAGAAAGAAATGACCATCGATTCCTTATCGACTTTCATTCATATATACTGCAGACAAAACAATATCGCGATTCAATTATACCGCTAGCGCCATCTATCGAAAGTAATTTATAACAATAGAAACCTGATTTTTTAGGTAAGCAATATTTAATTAAGTTATACAGTGTGCATTATGTATACATGACAATATTTTATATCCCTTATATATATATCAGTTCTTAAGAAGCGCCCCACACTTTTTTCACAATAATATTAATTTAAAAATAAATTTACAAACAATAAATGGTATTTTTGTGAAAAAAAGCGTGATGAGCTTCATATATCACTTCTTGAGAAGCGCCCCAGGCTTTTTTTTCAATAATACCATTTATTGTTTATTTTAAACAATTTAAATTAAATTGATTTCCAAGGTTGTAAAGGTTAAATTAGTTTCCACGCGGTTTCTTTCATCATTGGAGCGTGTTTTTTAGTTTTTTTTTAAACTATATTTATTTTTTAGTTTCATTTATCACCGAATGATAGATGTACTCATATTATTAATTATTAATATTTCATTATTATGTATTTTATTGTGATGAGCTGAGCGCCTATATAAAGGTTTTTGATTACCTGTCAGTGAGTCAGTGCCAAAATTAGCTATTTTCACAGGGTCATATTTCAGGATCTACTGAAGCTTTATCTATGAAATTTGGCATACTGCTTTAGTACTAGTATATGATTACGTAGGTAAAATTTTATCTCTGTCCTTGCAATAGGCACTGAGCTGCAGGGGGGTCAAAAGTGGGTCGAAACGGTTCGTGTAAATATAGGGCACGGCATGCGCCGGCCTGTGGAACTTGGCCGGCGCACTACCATGCGGTTAGACTAGTATTTATGAAACTTACAACAGGAAAGGTTGTATAGCAATTGGACAAATTAAATGAAAAATTAATTAAAATTTGCACTACAACAAAAAAATTACAAATTCGAATCACTAACCTCAAGAATAAAGTATTGGGTGGTTGCTTTCAGTTTACTTTGTTTACTTTGTTTACTTTGTAAATATCGTTACAAAAAAATATTGAAACCGATACATCGATTTATCAGCTTATCTGAAGTTCTACGGATAGTATTAGTAACTAGCAACACTTACCATTTTGGAGGAAAAGTCAAAACAAAGATCCGGCTTAACGCGAATAATATTATTATATTTATATCTGAAAGAATATAAATATGGAGTTTAATACAGATACGTACGGTAAATGCAGATTTTGTAACACAACAGGACATCACAGAGATATTACAAAAGTTTACAACGTCGGAGGAGTACGCGAAGTATATTACGATATTATAATGGATTGTTTTAATTTATGCGTTAGTATTTAAAATCTAAACATAGAAAAAAATAATTTACATGAAAAGTCTAAATTATGTTACTATCCTCTTCTACCTGGCAATTTCCCAGCTTTAGCCAGGATCTGCCCTATTGTGAATAGTTTTGGCCAATTGTTTTTACGATCGGCCGCCTGCCTGACATCACCCTCGTCCCTCTTTGGGAAGGCATTAATCTTAATAAAAATTACTAAAAAAGCTGGCAATTCTGAAGTCGTTTAAAACCATTGCCTTTCAAACTATACAAGTTATTTCCATCAATAATAATTAATAGTATGAACTTCCTAATAGCTTCCAAGTCAAATATTTCAAACCACAGTATTATATGAAGGAATATATTATAATATTAATTAAATTATTGCTTCCAGATAGAAATAAACACAGTAAAGAGTCTTCTGATATGTGGTCACTGTATTCAACAGTTACGAGATGCAAACAGCTTCAGAATCCTTGTGATGAATGCCGAGACTCATCTGAATGGACTCGGACATGAGAACACGGTTTACATCAACAGTATGTGTTAATGTTGGAGTTTTATTAATTTATGAAGATATAAATTACAAATGAAATTAATTTTATTGTATCAAGTAATATACTGTTCTTATGAGCTAGATAACTTGGTAAATGGTGTATTCTGACCAACTAGGCTCTGTAAACAAGATTTTTCATAATACTATTTAAAAATTATACATATATACTTTCTCTCACATATACAAACAGTATTGTGTCCATAAATTTCTATTTCTTAAAGTTAATAATATTTCTCCTTGTTTATAGCTCGTACAAATCCTTTGGATACCGAAGTCAAGTTGGAAAATGTGAAGGAAGACAATGAGAGTCTCCAAGTGAACAATCATGATAATGAAGGTATTGTAAGAAAATATCAACTTATATATATATATTAAAATATAAGGCAGACCCTGGCTAAAGCTGGGAGGCTGCCAGGAAGAAGATATATATTAAAACACTTCCATTGGCAATATTCTATAATCCTAGTGTAAATGATCTTAATAGTAACAACTCAAGGCTTCATTCCACAATTCCAATGTTAATGAAGCCTTAGAATATTAAAAAAATAATTTTATAATATAAGAATTCATGTATTTTTTGTTTTGTTTTTATTCTCAGACTATATAATAGTACTGGAACTGTGGTATATTTTGATAATGCCTATGTTTTTATTTGTTGGATTAATTATAATCTTGTACTGTGTTTAGACACAAAGGATTTGTCGAATGGAAATACTATACTTATCAAATATTATATAGTTGAATATATATTTTATTGAAAAAGATATAATATTTAAGTGATATGACAGATATTCTGTAAATCAAGTTATATGGTATTTCTGGTGTAGATTGTTTTGTATTTGTTTCGTTGTTAGTTAAATATTTATTTGTTAGTATCTTAAGTATCTTGACTATGTATGTATACATAATTTTTATTTGTGGGTAGTCAATATATTTACCCAATCCTACAGAGCAAATACACAAAACAAGTTTTCACAAAACATATGTCCTTTTAAATATTTGTTTCAAAGCTTTTTATTGTTCTAGTTATTATAAGAAAATTTCAGACTTCTATATAATTTATTTGAAGAAAAAGCTAAGCTTATAAAGTAAATTGTAAAAGATAATTAAGTCTACAAATAGGTCATACTAGCAGAAAATAGCTTTTATAAGTAAGTAGGTTTTAAATAAGGAGTTTTTATAACAAATATTTTTTTTCATGTTTCAGAGAGGATATTCCATGAAGATTATGTATCTGGAGAACAAGAGCTATTGTCGCGGTACAACGATCTTAAACCTTTGCCTTCGAGAGAGAGCCTTAAATATATATGCAATAAATATTACAAGGAATTGGAACTATTAAAAGGTATTTGTAGGGTAATTTTAATTTGTTGATAAGTTAAATATATTAGTATACTAGCTTTCCGCCCGCGACTTCGCCTTCGTGGAGTTCGGTTATGTCGCGTTTTCAAGAGAACCTTTCAAAAGTCTGGGATAAAATCTATCCTATGTTCTTTCTCAAGGTCAACTCTATCTGTACCAAATTTCATTAAAATCAGTTCAGCGGTTTAGGCGTGAAAGCGTAATAGACAGACAGAGTTACTTTCGCATTTATAATATTAGTAGGGATTTTTAATTATAAAACATATTGAAACATTCACACTAACATGTACATAGCTTAATTTTGTTAAGCGTAACAAGTTTTCATGTTTATGTTTCATAAATCGATTTTATAGTATTTATTCATTTTAATCGATTTCCAGGACAAATAATAACAGCTAAATCGATTAAAATCGATGCCACAGATAAGGTTTCAAACAAAATCAATTCCAAAATATATGTGACAGAGAAGCTGGCTCATATAAACAATGTAACTACAATCTTGGAAAATTCTAATCTAATAGCCTTTAAGACTAGACGAAGAAATGGATATATATGTTTGTACTGCAATCGAAAGTTCGAGAACATTGAACTTGTAACTGATCATCAGGTTGAAAGTCATTGCAAGGACAAGATCAAGTCAATCATCAGCAAGTACCCACCAGATAGACTAGCTGTATATGCCCATGTGGTGGACATAAAGTGCTCTATATGCGACAAAAAACTACCAAACATGAACGAACTCAAATACCACCTGATTATGGCGCATAAGAAGAAAATATACACGGAATACGGCGACAGAATAATACCGTTTAGACTCAGCAAGAATAAATACGACTGTCATATATGCGGCTTCAACTTCGAAACTTTCGGCGCTGTGGAGAGACATATGAACATACATTATAGGAACTACATCTGTGATCAGTGTGGAAGTGGCTTTATAACGAAGAACAGATTGAAAGGACACATCAGATCGGCTCACGTGACTGACAACTACCCGTGTGAAGTGTGCGACAAAATATTCCAAGCGCAGCACAAATACAAAAACCATATTGACGTTATCCACAAAATGGTGAAAAAGAACAAATGTCCCAAATGTCCCGAGCGCTTCAATGATTATTTCCATCGCCACAAACACATGGTGGATGCACACGGAGACACGCCGTTGCGTTACAAATGCAACGTATGCGATGCGCTGTTCAAACGCCGCTACGCGCTATCCTGCCACATGAAGAGGCGGCATCTTGATATGAGGGACATCACTTGCGATCTCTGCTCATACAAGTGTTATACGATAACCGAACTCAAAGCGCACATGATAAAACACAACGGACAAAGGACTTATGAGTGTAATGTGTGCAAGAAGTCCTACGCTAGGAAGAAAACTCTAAAGGAGCACATGAGAATACATAATAATGACAGGAGGTACGTCTGCGTCGAGTGTGGACAAGGATTTGTACAGAACTGTAGTCTGAAAGGACATATGAAGACCCATCACATGGAATATATAAATAATCTGCCGAGATAGTCCAATCACTGAATAGTCAGTTCATTGGAAAACTAAAGTACAAAATCCTTTTTCTTGTACATTTGTATAATTTTCAGCTTGATACGAAGTAAATAATATATTCCAATAAAGAAAATGTCAATGTAAATAAAATTATCGGTTGTCGCTCAAAATACACGAATTTATTTTTATAAGCGTCGTGTCTGCATAGAAAGCGGCTAAGTAAATATGGTAGACTGTTCTCGACGCTAAGACAGCGCCATCTCGTGACGGATGGACGAAAATTTTACATTTACTAGAATATTCTTATTGTTTTGTTATAAATAGACAGGAATGTAAAAGAACATAGTTTCTAATATTCTAGTAATCGGATATAAAAAGAGCCGCTACATGAATAAAGTAGATATTTGTTTTCTGTTAAATATTGTGTTTTAATTCAAACAGGTTTGTTATAACTTCTCCGAAGCTTGACAGTTAAAACAGAGAAGAAAAGAATAATTAATAAAAATATTTTAAAACAATAACATGTTTTATTTATAACATTATTCGTAACTGTTAATAATCATTATAGGTTACACCTTTAGATTTCACTAAGTATAAAGTTTACGGTAACATTTTTTATTGCCAGATGTAACTAATCAGGTAGTCACTAATATTTTTCTTATATTAGGTTTGCGATCTAGTAATATTTATATAATAACTAATATAAAGGGTCCATTTAATATAACCATTTAAATTTATTCAATAATAACATTCTTTTTATAATCATCCCTTCAATGATTTGGAAAGCGTACCTACTGAAATGTTTAATTAGTTCTCATAATGTGATCCAAGACGCACAAGTATTCATTTAATTGATTTTCTTAATAAACCATTAGAGAGTAAAATTAATATCTGTAGCAAATGATGAAATGTTTCCTGCTGATAAACTAATGATTCATCTGTAATCAACCCACTACTGAACAAAGACCTCTCAACTAACACACTACTGAATTGAACTAACTACCTGAAAATATTTATTGAGCCATAGCGTACATCTATCATACGTCCAACACCACTTTGTTCATGATCTTTGGGAACTATCGTATCCAGGGAATTTTCGCTCCCTACATTTTGCCATAATAAATATCTTTGGCTAGAACTAGACGGCCGCTTTGTCTAGCCTGAATTATATAGAATAACTGGTTACCGAGCTTTGCTCGGTATTTGAGAATTATTAGTATTTAATTTGTGTTTTTTTCCAGATTCCAAGAGATTCCAAGTATATACAGGATGACTGGTGAATTACTATCAATATTTAAAGAGAATACTCGGTACATGATTCTCATTCGAATTATGTAAAAAAAATAGGTACTTAATTTTTGACCAAATTTTCGTATAAATAAATAAAGTGTGGACACGTTCCAAGTGTTCCAAGTGTGGACGCGTGCGGCGGCGTGCTGATACAACACCACGCCGCCAAACGTGTGTGTGTGTGTATACCTAAACTGTAGGGTGTTCACACGATGCGTAATTAATTACATAACTTTTGGTTAACTTTACTTAGAAGTTTATTAATATTTATGTTATATTAATTTTTATTTTGTCATATAATATGATCGTCAAATATCACGTCCTCAAGTATCGATAGTAATTCACCAGTCACCCTGTATATACAAGAATTGCTCATTTAAATATATAAGATATAATCATGCAATTGGGAACATTTAGTCCTTAATCATCACGACAGGATGACTGGTGAATTACTATCAATATTTAAAGAGAATACTCGGTACATGATTCTCATTCGAATTATGTAAAAAAAATAGGTACTTAATTTTTGACCAAATTTTCGTATAAATAAATAAAGTGTGGACACGTTCCAAGTGTTCCAAGTGTGGACGCGTGCGGCGGCGTGCTGATACAACACCACGCCGCCAAACGTGTGTGTGTGTGTATACCTAAACTGTAGGGTGTTCACACGATGCGTAATTAATTACATAACTTTTGGTTAACTTTACTTAGAAGTTTATTAATATTTATGTTATATTAATTTTTATTTTGTCATATAATATGATCGTCAAATATCACGTCCTCAAGTATCGATAGTAATTCACCAGTCACCCTGTATATACAAGAATTGCTCATTTAAATATATAAGATATAATCATGCAATTGGGAACATTTAGTCCTTAATCATCACGATGTTCGTGGTGATTAGTAGAAGACATTTATTTATTTATTTATTTATTTGGATTGCCAACAAGGTATACACAAATATAAACATATAAATTATAACAATTAAGATGTTGTGTGCTACCTTAGTTACAGGCAACCACTACATGCTTAAATAGTAACAGAGTGTGTCACAAGGTTAACATTTTGGTTTTAATATATTTTAGTTTAGATACAGAGCATGAAGAACAAACAAATAAGTAAAAATCTAAGCTTAATTAGTTAAAAATTTTTGAATTGTTTTTTTAAATTCAAGAGGCCTTCCCGAAAATATATCAATTTTAGTATCTTTATAAAGAGAGTTAAACTTTAAAGTCATTCTATTCAAAGGTAAATAATGATCGAGATTACTTTTGCATTTTTTTGTGTTGAATGGAGTATACACGAGAATTCTTGGGAGTTTAACTGGTGCATTTAAGTATAGTTTTGAAAGTAATTGCGGGCTGTCTCTAACTTTATTTATAATTTTGAACAGAAATGTATGATCAAGTATTTCTCTTCTATTTTGTAGAGAATCAAGGTTAAAGTATTTTAATCGGTCAATGTAATGAGGATGTGTTTTAGTTATGTTACAACTATAAGACAGGTGCCACAAAAACCTCTTTTGAACCCGTTCTATTCTTTTTATATATACTTCATAATGTGGATTCCAGACATTGCTACAGTATTCTAGCGTACTACGCAGAACAGAAATGTGTGAAAACACATGTGATAGAATAATTCAGAGTTTGTCACTGATTTGGTAAACTATAGTTACATTTTGAATGGGTATAATTATTAAAAATCATCAGGCTATTGTTTGTTGATCAGAGGAATATAGGGAATGCAATATTGAAACGGGTGGACAATAATTATGCACACGTTGGTATAATCTGGCGTTTATTAACTGTTCACACGATCACGTAGGTACACTGTCAGAGATTCCTCTAGCGCTGCTGTCATTTGTAATGTAGTGTATTATCTATGGCTAATACATTTTGTATGAGATAGGAATTAATACACCTGACGCGTGAAACAAAAGATAGTTCATAGAAATGTACCGAGTAACGAGTCGGTTCTCGAGCGCCGCACAAGCGGCCGAAGACACCCTATGTATGACAAATTGAATCATGATTGACATCTCGTTATATTGTTTTGTTGCATTTTAATATTTTAGTAAAGTACACCACCCGTTCGATTACCCACCAGCCGCCATTGCACACATATATATATATATATATATATATAATATATATAATATATATATATATATATACAGATATTCTCAACAGTCTTTACATCTGTTACACCTACCTCTGAATCATTAATTATTATTATTTAACTGTTTTAAAAAATTAATAACTTACAAGATAGCTTTCTTTAATTATTTTTACAAGGAACATCTAGATTCAAAGGCTATAAAACCATAACTTACATATATTTCAAGAGAAAACCTGTTATATTTTCTCTTGAATATGGTTTCAGCTTTAATCAATGTAAGAATAAGAGTTCAAATATTAATTGGGCCTAATAGTTCTGAAATTGCCAGAGAGCTTTCCGTCAAAGATTATTTGTAGATAATAAAAAGAACACTCAAAAAAAGACAAATTAAATGATTTAAAGTTTATTTCAAAGTTGTAACAATTATCACATCAGCTTTATTACACTTATTATTAGTTATATATATATTCTTTAATATCTAAACAGATTTCTTTTCCAACAAATCAACATATGCACATTGTATTAAATCTTCGTCTCTCACTCCGAGCTTTGTTTGTATATCTTTAGCTATATCCTGACCTTCCTCGATTGTTTGTTCTGGACGTAGAACTACTTCTAACTCCATGAAGTCACCCAAATCCTCGACTTTGTCAATATGAACACGAGTTTGACCGACCATGTAGAGTTTTCTGAAAATATACAATTTTATTAAGAACTAGAACTTGTTTTTTGGTACTAAGATAAAAAAAATTACTTATTGGACTATAAAGCACGTTTATTAAGTGTAACAAGGGTAAAGAGTACATTGTTCAACATTTCTTATTGTTTTTAAACAGGAAATATGTGACGAACCGTTCTTTACAACTCCGAAAATATAAATTTTATTTAGAACTATAATTTGTCATATAAAAGTATTTTAAAGTATATTATATTCTTGAAGTGTTAAAATATATAGTAAGTAGTATAACAACAGTATATTGCTTGGTTAGTTGTTTAAAATACGACCTTCATCCGTGCAAAAACCTACATAACATTATTATTATTCAACGCTAATTTTCTTCATTATAAACAGAAAATTTGACGTACCTTTCTTTTACAACTCTCCCTCTAGCTCCCATACACTTTCGCAGGATATCGTCCAATTGTTTTATTCTTTCTGATTCGTTATTAGAAAATTCAAGAAGATCGTAATCACTTAGCTTTGGGCCAGAAACGTCGCTTCTGCTATATCGTACGAGTGTAGCTGACTTATCGGCGTATATTCTCATTTTAAGTCTACCATTATTCGTTTTATAGAACGTATCATCCTGATGTATTATTTCTGGCGGGCCGCCGCTAAGTTCTTTAGCGATCTTACATATTTTTTCCATATCATGTACAACGGCTTTTATTTCTACGTTGCGCATTGTTTTTTATATTGATAAACTGATAATTAAAATAAAAAAAAGGATATTTATAATGGTTTTTCTTTTGGTAACTTTCACGACAAAATCTTATTGGAATAAGGAACATAGTTTAATACTTCGTGACTTTTACATGTTATTGTTTATACTTCACCGGCAATTTTTATTTTATTTTTTGTAAATGATTCTACGGCTCTGGATACG